AAAAACACCCGGAAGGGCAGCCCTACCCCTTTGCCTCCTCCGCGAGCCCTAGACCAGGCCCTAGGCCACTCCCGGAAGACATCTTACAAGCCCTGGCCTCATTTGCCCCGGATACAGCCNCTGGCCTATCCGGCTGGTCAATCCCCTTACTAAGGGAAGCCTGTAAGCATAAACAGGTGGTAGACTTTCTTACCCACCTCTGCAAGCAGGTACAGAACGGCCTAGCACCAGGGAACCAGCTACTTACCGCATCGAGGCTTGTAGCCCTAGATAAGGAAGATAGCGGGGTCCGGCCAATTGCAGTAGGAGAGCTCATCTATAGGCTGGTAGCTAAGGTCCTCCTCCAAAAACAGTTCTCTAAGGACCAACTAGCCCCCTTCCAGCTAGGGGTACAGAGCCCCGGCGGGGTAGAGCCAATCATACACCTACTAGGACACGCGGTAGATGGAAACCTTAGAGGATACACCCACGTCTGCTCTATGGACTTTAAAAACGCCTTCAACTCAGTCTCCCGAGCAGCGGTAGCCCACGGGATCCTAAGCTATGCCCCAGAGTTCTACAAGGCAGCTAGATGGGCCTACAACGAGCCAGCAGCCCTAGTGATGTATGACGGCACGGTAATTACCTCCTCGGAAGGGGTTAGACAAGGAGACCCCCTCGGCCCCCTCTTCTTCTCCCTAGCCATTCGGACCACCCTCCAACAGCTACAACAACAGCTACAGAGGTCAACCGGCTATAACAGACCCCCTCCTATCGTCCTAGCATACCTAGACGACGTCTACATCATCTCAGGGCAACAGATCACCCTACAACAACTAGAAGGCTACCTAGAAGACGCCCCTATCGCCCTAAACATAGATAAGACAAAGACACACCCCCTATCGGCAATACAGACCACGGGAATGAAGATACTTGGCTCCTTTATAGGGCCAGAGCCACGGAAGGCCGAATTCCTGGCTACAAGGATAGAAGAACTCCAGACGGTGCTAGATAGGCTAAAAGACCTACCAAAACAACACGCACTCCTCCTACTTAGGGCTAGCACCTCTACACTACTCCGACACCTTCCTAGGACCATAGGATCACAAGGACTCCTGGCAAGATTCCAAGACATTGACACAAGACTCCTAGAAACCATAAAACACCTTCAAGGCTCAGAGGATAGAAGACCACTAGACCAGGACCTAGTAGCCCTCCCTACTAGGCTAGGAGGCCTAGGAATACCTCTCTACGCGGAAGTGGCCGAGCTAGCCTTCCAAAACTCACAGGCTATAGCAGACATCACCCTACAGAGGATCCTACCGCCAAAACTCTTCTGGCGCCTACCCCGAGCACCCTCGCCAGCCCCTAGCAACACTAGTATGGAAGGCCACCCCCAGACTAGCTATAGGCCTACACAAGGCCAAGAAGGCAACCTACAAGAGGACGGCCTAGAAGGGGACATAGACAAGGCCACAGAAGAGGACACACAAGGTCTAGACGAACAAACCACTCTAGGAAGCCAGGAGCAAGAACAGGTACAAGAACAGGAACAGGATCACTCCCAGGACCGCGGTAGAAGCAGGAATAGAGCAAACCAACAACCACAACCAAGCCTATCCTACCTCCTAGCCCAGGACACCCAACAACAGCCTAGCTTTCCCTAGAACACCAACAACTAGACCCCACTAGTACTGGCCCTGCTAGAACCATCTACCGAGCTGCAATAGACAAGCTCAACAGAGCTCGACTGGCTAGAGTACAGCAGAAGCTCTCTTTACAGCAAGAGAACGTACGGATCGAGAACTCAGCCTTCCTAGGCCGGAGATGGCTATCCGCAATGCCTACCTCACAGCCCCTTCTACTCTCGGACATGGACGTAGCCGCAGCACTTTCTATTCGGCTTCTTACATCCCCTGAAGAAGGCCAGGACATCTGTAGACACTGTGATAGGGCCTATACCTTCGCCCACGAAGACGCCTGCCGTGCTAGGACTAGACAGACAATTGTCAAACATAATAAGGTGTGCCAGGCGTTGACTACGGCCCTACAGACCGACCCACAAAACAAAGTCACCCTAGAGCCACAAGGAGACTACCGAGGAATCCGGACAGACATTAGAATCGACAACCCTAAGGGAACCACCTACCTAGATGTGTCCATCATTTCCCTAGGTAAGGAAACCGCTAGGAAGGACCCTAATAGCACCCTATCGGCCGCGGAAAGGGCTAAGAAGCTCAAATACCAAACCCTAGGCCGAGCTTTTAAGCCGTTTATCCTTAGCCAAGGAGGCCTTCTAGGAAAGGAGACCTCACAAACCTACAAAGAATTCCAANAGTCCCTTGGTCCTAGCACCTCGGAGTGGCTAGATAAGTATATCTCTACCACTCTAGTAAGACTCCGGGCTAGGAACTGGCTAGGATATGGTATAGACTAGATAGATTTCTTTTTCTTTTCCTTTTTTCTTTTGTTTCCCTCTTCCTTTTTATCGTACCCTTTTTCTTTGTTTTTATATAGAAAAGTAGTTAGACGAGCAAGAATAGCTTATATAGAAGCGTATCGAAATGCTGCTAACCCTAACCCTAAAACCCAAACCCTAGCCACTTAGAGCGCTAAATTCTATAGTGTTAAGGTGTTAGACACTAGCTGCTAACACGCTCTACTAACCTATACTAATGCGCTAGGGACATTAGCGGGTTATTATAAGCAAGTCCTAGACGTAGCGTCTCTCCTGCCTTATACGATTCGACGGGCTAAGTAGGGTGATTGTTAACTAATGTTAGAGTAGAGGACACCGTAGGCCTTCTTAGCACTATACTATATCTTTAAGATGGTGTCCTACTTATAACGAAAACATCGCCTACGCCTTACCTAAAATACCTTACTTTATGTCGTATATGTTTTGCGTCTATAATGCAAAATACCACCTACGAGTCTAGCACTACTCTAGTGTTAATAGAAGCAGTTAATAAGGTAGCTAGGCATCTAGAAGCATTAGAAGCAATCGCCTTCCGATCCGCATATATAAGAGCTAGTATATAAGAATTTTACAATATACGTACGTATAGGGACCGTTATGTTCTCTCCTTAAGGCCGAATTATGCAAAATGGTATATATGCTAAATGTCTCTTCTATTTATGTTAGGTAACTTAACGGTACTTTTCGACTTAGAGAACTAGCCTTACTAGGCCCTATTTATCGACGCTAGAAGCAATATCTAGGAATGTAGAACTACGATCTTATATTAAGAACGTACATATCGAGGACGACTATAATCGAAATAATCCTTAGAATATAGATGAACCCCTACGGTCGGACAATATATAGCTATAAGACGAAACCGGAATAGTCCTTTCTAACTAGATCGGTGTCGCTAGTTTTAGGGCTATGCTTAACGACAAACAGCTATGTCTAGAGACCATTAAAATCCGCGATTACCGCATTAACAATGTAAACTTCATCCTATGTCCTAAGACAACTAGGATCTAGGACTATCGTATCGGGATTAGGGCTCCGACAGTGCTAGACTCCAAACTAGTAGCTGTTCTAGTAAGAGACATAATTAATGGCATCGATATTACAATCGTCTTCCTAGAGATGCGTACTATATAACTCGAAGCATCTAACAACTCGAATCTCCATTTACTACGCCTCGCTCTAGGAAACTCTATACGCGGACCGCAGTTATCGGAGGTAGTCGTTANNGTCTCTCTAGAGCATTAGGGATAAGGCGTAGGTCTCTCGTTACTACGCTCGGTACGGTTACTAGTCATCCCTTATTAGTTAGAATAGGTGTTAGAGCGTGCTCCAAACCTTAAGAGCCTCGAAATCTCTGTTGCAGAATTCTGGGATACGATACCTACTATAGGTACGCTTTACCTAAGACTAAAGAAGCTTAACATTTAGAGCTCGAAATTGCGCTCGCGCACGATACATACGATCCTAGCGAATTCTAAGTAGAGTCTAACTAGTATCTCCTTTGTTATAGTAACGCTAGTTAGAAACTCGACATAGGCAGAGCTACTATCTAATATCGGGGATGGATTTCCTAATCTAACACACTTCCGCATCTAGTTTGTAAGATAAGGCGATGCCCCTTTAAGCGTCGTTACTTTTCTTAGCTTTAGCAAGGACAAAGTAATGGAACAATATATGCCAGGGCTCGAGCTAGACGAAAGAGGCCCTCTAGATAACAGAAGACTTACCCGGATCATATACTATGGACTAGACGCTAGACTAGTTCTAAGAAATTCTGGCCCTTCATGCTACTTTAAAGACGGTTCAATAACAGCTTAAGCCCCAGGCTACATTTTTGCTGTTACTATAGATATAGCCTGTCTAGGGTAGTTACTTTGTACCCTGATGTCTTTGATTTACAAATTATAAGAAGCACTTGTTGCAGTTATTTGCAGTTGATGCGCAAAAGGTAAAAAGAGTGCCGTGAAATGTTTACAAAGACACGACACGCCGTCGTCGCGGATTTTGAAAAGCTGGGGGCCATATATGGGGCCATTACAAAATTACCTGATATGTCTAGCGTCATCCCTGCACTAACCGAATCCGACCTGGGGGCGGCTGCCCCTAAGTGTCCTATTAGCTAGGTATTGCACAGCACTCCTGGAGGGTTTATCCACTCTTTCTATTCGTGACCAAGGTATGTATGTGTTGCAGAAGACTCATCCTCTTTCACAGGCTATCAAAGTTGAGAAATTCACCCAAGCGTGGACCGCAGTCACCAACGAAGGTGGCAGCTGTCTCCGCACGCGTATCTACAAAGGTAAACAATCACAGATGCTGCAGACAATCGTCCGGGAGGGACTTGAATGGCGATATTTGGATACGAGTCCCGACGATTATCTTGACCAGCACAGTTCAATACCAGTGACACTACCCTAACATGAACTATCCTATAGACGCAACGACGAGTGCGAAAGAAAACTGACCATTACAAATAAATCCATCTTAGGTGTTGGTAATCCAATTCGTAAGCCGTAGACATGGAGTTGACCTTGATCGGTCGTTATTGCTCCTTCTTGATTTGGAAATCATACTTCTTGAAGTGGTTCACTCGCGCTGGTTGCCTTTTGAATTTGGCGATCAGATAGATCAGTCCAGACCAATGGAATGCGGCGGCCAAACATCTGAGCAACCAGACTCCCCATACATACTGCGGTTGAATGAGATGCGGCATACCAGGAGGCAATTTCTGAGCTTTTTCCACGAGTGGTCTCATCGACTTTTCATATCTCTCAAAGCCCTTTTCGTGATTCATGCAGTTGACCATGGAACCGGCAAGATAATAAGCACCGGCCAATGCAAGTGTGGTGCCCATGCCTGAGAAAGGAGAAGTGCANATGCCTGTGATCATGTCAGTCGTGTTCAAAGAACAAGGCGAAAGACAAGAAACGTACCCAGCATCGCCCAACAAGACGACTCTTCCCTTGCTCCATTTGTCTAACTTGATCTGCGCTGTAGTGTCAAAGTAGAAGTCGTCTGCCTCTGATACGGCGTTTCTCAGTCTCTGCTCTTGCCAAACGATTCCCTTGAGTTTCCTCAGCACCAGACTCTTCTGTGCTGAGACGTCCCTTCCACTGCCTGCTATTTCCTTTGCAATGGAACCCTCCTTGTCGGCAAGAAGCACAAGCACAGTGCTCTTCTCTTTNGTGCCCGAGGGACGTAGCATGACACTGACGCCACCAGGAGCATGAAACCATGATCGCCAGTCTCCATCTCCTGCTTCCTTGTTGATGCTGAAGAAAGCACCATACACGTGCAGCGGCTTCAAGCATCCCTCCTGCTCTGCGCCCCAGGCCAGCCTTCGAGTTTTGCTGTGCAGACCATCCGCACCAACGACGTAGTCGAATGTTCTTTGNCCTGCGTTGGCAAGCTGAACATACACCTTATTGTCATCTTGATCCAACCCTTGAATGCTGTCGCTGAAGATGAATTCCACACCCTTGCCACCTCTTGCTTCGACACCTTTGCTGACTCTCTTGGCCTGGCCCAGAAGAATCTCCGCGAGTCTGCCGCGCAGGATCTCAACATCAGAAGTCCCAGTCTCGACTTTTCCAGTCTTGTCGGCGGCCATCTGTGCCCAGATCCTGTTTGCTGCGTCGACAATCTTGACGCCTTCTTCACCGGTTGTGGCTTTCTTGATTTCTTCTGTCAGGCCAAGTTCTTTGATCACATGTTTTCCAAGCCCGCGGATATCGATGTTCTGACCAGAGCCCAGGGCAGCTGTATTGCGCTCGAGGATTGTGATTTGTGGAAGTTCGTCGGAGGGAGCGGGAGAGGAGAGCAGAAGGGTTGCAAGCACTGGGCCTGCGATTCCGCAACCCACAATCAGAATGTTTCGACGTGCTGATGAGTTCGAGAGAACATTGCGACGGGTTGGGGTGCTTGACATTGTTTCGGTAGTGTCCATGAGATTCAGATTGATTGGAGAGTGTAGTGGATGCTTTGTGACTTTGTCTGCATCAGCGAAAGATGTAGGGACTGCTTTGATTTATAGGTAGAGATGCTGGTAGTGATGGTAATGCATTCGGGACCGAGTGAGCTGAAGCTCGGGACCGAGGGGTCGTCGGAGTTTAGGTTGTAGCAAGGTCCTTCCGCTTTGTTCTCCCCGAGCTCTGTAACATCACGCTTGCACATGATATTGTGTACTTTTTCGAGGTAACTCGAAGAGATTCGAATTCACAGAAGCACGAAACCTTTCTTGTTAAGGTGAGACACAAGATATGGTCGTGTCTTCGTTGCCATCACGGCACCACGGCATCACATCGATCAAAAAAGCACCATGTATTTCCGGTAGCTACCATACGATGACGCTGTGCAGGAGATGTGGACGACTGTCAAGCGTCAAGGGAGGTGACCCAGAGCTACGGTACTCAATCGTTGATAAACTCCGAATTGTTTCTCAATTTCTTTCCAAAACGATAGATCAGCCAAGGCACTGGCAGACACACGATCCCCAAGCAGCCCAGAAACGTCAAAGTCCAGTGGTGTCCAATGCCCTGGTACATCGGTCTTGCCGCGACGACCATTCCAGCAGCGACAAAATATCTGGCCATGGTGACACTGCCCAGAGCACTTGAGCTCCAGGTTCCATAAATATTGATGATGTAGCTGTAGCTGCTGACGAAGATGGCCGTCATGGAGTACCCAAAGAGAACTGTCGAAGCGTAAGAGGACCAATAGCTCACACTCTTGTAGCTTGTCCAGGCGAGCCAGAAGATGGAGATGGCGAANAANGGCGAAGCCACCATAGCTGGCCACAGAAGCGTCTCTGGTGTCTCATCTTCCCTCTGCTGAACNTTGCGATGGAGGATGGTGATCAGTGGCATGAGGGCAACTGAAATCAGAGCCCCAAGACATATGCCCAGGAAAGCAAGAGCAGTGTCTCCGTCAGAAAGACCCCATGTATCTGTAAAGATAAACTCGAAACCATTGAGGAAGGTGAAGATGACGACGTAGATGACAATCAGATAGAAGCCCAGAGCGATGATTATCGGCTCGGTGGTAAAGAACTTTGCAGGCCGCGTCACGTTTTGAGCAAGCCTTTTGCCAAGCGAGTCTTTTCCTTCCAGATCACAGGTGTACTTGTCAGAACTTGTAATGACTCTAAGATGATGCGTCCTCCATTGAATGATCATGGGAGAAGACGTCTCGGGTAGGAAGCACAAGGCCAGCAGGAAGATCACAGCACTCAGGATAAGGCCTATCCAATACACCCAACGCCAGGAGATATGTCCAGTAATCCAGCCACCGGCAACAGGGGAGAGAATGGGCGATAGCAAAGGACTGAGAGCAAACACCGGCCAAATCTTATTTCTTTCTTCGGGGTTGTAGAGGTCAGCCAGGCTTCCGCCATAGATGGACAGTGCTGCACTCGAGCAAATTCCAGCAAGGAAGCGCAAGGTAATCTGAGCCCCAAAGTTCGGCGCCAGAGCATCTCCAAGTGTGAAGCACAGGTACAAGAAGGATGGAACAAGATAGACGGGGTTGCGACCGAGCTCTTCAGATAAAGGACCAACGATGAGGCTCCCAACCGAAATCCCGAGTAGAAACAAAGCAGTCGCCAAAGTTTCGGCTGTCTGGCTGACATGGAACTCCTTGCTAGATGGCTTTGTTACATTCGAGTCGCAGGCAGAGACCCATCCTTGTGAGAAGACCAGCAGGAACAAGAGCAGAGTCGTCCATGATCGTTTCGTCCGAGACCAGTTGTGTGCGTCAGCTTGGTCCTTGCCATCGTCGTCGCATTGCACAGTGATCTTATCTTCATGCTTGTCATGGGTTGGCATTATGATGGCGCCACGTGAATCACGGAGTGGCGGCGGCGGTGGTCGTTGCTGTTCAACATCGACGAGTTGTGCTGAGGAATGTTCACGTCCAGTTAAGTCCAGTTCCGAGTTACTGTCGTACTTTTCGGCGCTAAGAGAAGATACAAGCGGTCCATCGATGTTTTGTTTTGACGAGTTGCTTCGTCCATGGATTAGGCCTGCATATTTCCTTTCTTGCCTGTACTGGAGGAGTGTCTGCATCGTTCTATGGAGAGTCGCCGGAGCTTGAGAAGTCAAACAATCCCAGGTGGAATTCGATACAGCAGCCAGCCATGTTCAAATACTGGCTGTGAAAGGCCGGGGAAATGGAGTAGCAAGTCAGGATATCATACGTGGGATACAACTCGGAGGTTTTCTTGTGGCGCTTCATGCGGGAAGGTTAATGATCGTTAGGGTGTCAAGGTGACGTACTGAAAGCTTATTTGTCAGATCTCCTCTCGATTGGGAAGGTGAGCACACGACCAGCGATCTGGGGTCGAACAAGAAGCTTTCTTCTGTTCGGCGAGGCTATCATTGCAGTTGTGAATTGTACAACGACTGCCGATAATCAAGACGAAACTGCCAGTCTATCTTCCTCTCATGGGTACACCTCGATCCAGGAAGTGACTATGCATTTTGGTAGCTGACAGTATGACTGTTCCATCGTAGGAGATACGTCACAGAGATACCGAACATAACGGCGTGACAGACGGTATGTCACTGAACCTCGAAAGTCTACTTGTTGCATTTGTGATCATCTTCGCACACGCCATTGGTGTGCGTCGGATGACATGCCATCAGATGCCAGGTGAGCCTCATATCACTTGATTCAGCGACCTCGGCTCCATATCTTCGCATTGATCATGTACAGGCATAGTCATGGTTTGGATACTCAAGGAGACCAAGACGGACAAGACAAACTCGCGTGATGGTATATCTTGTCCGTCTTCTTGTGTGCTTTCTGTGACTGCTCTTGAACCCCTGTTCCCTTCTCTTATCATTTTGCTATTCAGCGATGTGAACGCGGTCATGGCCAATTGGTTCGAATTTGCAATGGACTACCTAATTAAGAGGATGGTGTATCCCTGAATCTGCTCGTCAAGGTCGCGATGCGATTCTCGAGTGAACGCTCGCAGACAACAAGATCGTACCAGTGAAGAACATCAAGAAGTCCGCGACTTCTGCAATCCACGATCAAGTCCAATTCTTTGCGCAAGTTCCCTTTTCCTCTTCCATCACACGTTCCTCTCAGACTTCGTAGGTTATTCACTTCGATGCGCTCGCATATGTTCTAACATACACAGAAGACCATCATGGCTCCCAACGACGACCAGCCCTGGGGTCACCCCGAAAACAATCTGGTGAATGGGTCGTCTGGACTGTTTCCCACGCTATAAGTCATGCTTTCTTCAATAGCAACAAATGGGGGATCTCAGGTCCGGAGCCCGCCCTCAATACAACCCGAGCCGATGACAAATATTCTGTGACCATCGAAGAAGTCGAAGAAAAGATAGCCCAGACAACGATGCTCGCGCCAGCACGCCCGCTCAGCAAGACACGCAACAATCGTCCTACACTTCCAACTTGGGTCTCGACAGACACATCGACCCTGACGTGACAGACGACGACAACTCGCATTCGGACAATAACAAGAACAGCTCGCCCTTGGGCAACACCGATCTGCCTTCGGACATCGAGACCTCGCTTCTGGACGTCAAGAACTCGCCCCCAAACAGCCGCAACATTGCTCCCGGCATCTCTGCATCGCTTATTCGCCCTCGCGAAGATAAAGACGTTGACAACGATTGCTTTGACGAATGTCACATTCGCCCAAGACTCTCTCAATCTTTGTCTAAGCAAAGTGAGGAAAAGATGGATAGAATGAAGAAGAGAACGTTGAAGAGGATGGCAAGAATGGAAAGGAGAAGTAGCGGCAGCAGTGAACATCATCTCAACGGGCAGGACATCAACCACATCAATCCCAAAACTGTTGTGTATTCAAGTGGGTACACGAGGCAAAACATCGGTAGTAGCGTGCCGGAGTCTGGTACATCATTTTTGAGCCTGTCACCCGAACTACAAGTAGTTATGCAACTATACAAGCCATCGCAATTCGAGATCCTCTTCATGTCAGCATTACAACGATAGGGATTTATCGAGCTGTACCACTCTTAGTGGATACGATTGTTCTCTGGCCGATATTGTGTATTGCGACAGCAGTCTAGGGTTTAGGGTTAACCCTAAGCCGTTGTGGGAGAAGGAGAGCTTGCACACGGTGCAGCTGAGAAGTATAAGCCTCCAATATCAATGAATACAACTCCAGGTGCGCCAACGCTGAATGCATAGCCCCTCTACTCTGCTTCTACTACTACTACTTCTTCAACGTCCCACCTGTGGCTTTTGCAGCAGTACTCCTTGTGAATCTCCCCAGCTGACTCAAACTGCTTCTACTCTTCTGATGCCCCTGTCCTTGTGTCGGCGTGGCAGCAGGTCTGGTTATGCTCGCCGCGCTTCCAGGCCTGCCCAAGCCACTCAATCTACCAGTGGCTTTTTCTCTCGTTGGCACGGACGCTTCCTTGTTGATTGTAGGCGACTCGAGATCGTCGTCCATGTCTGGCAGAGTGAGACCATTGGGGAGAGTGGTCAGGCGTTGAGGGCGTTGTTGTGCTCGGCGGGCCTTTTCCTGTACGGACTTGAATTTCTCCAGCAGATCTGACCATTTGATGCCGGGATCTTCTCGGGACTTGAGGCGGTTTGGTCTGTCGAATGTTGAGACTGATGGCGTGGTAGGTGCANNCTATGAGAGTCAGTAATGTGAATGAAGCGATGAAGGAAGCTAAGAGACTCACGTTCTTGGGGCAATGTGCAAGTAGCCAATCGCGCTGACACTATTCAGGCGATTCTTAAGCGCTGCAAATGCCGAAGACTGCGGTAGAAGCATCAAAAGACCGTAAAGACACTTGTAAAGGTGAGGGAAGCGCTCTGGTTCGAGGAGCTGAAGGCGAAGATAGGTAAACACAGGCGACTCGAGCAATTGCACCAGCTTGTCGATCTGGATCAGCATGTTGACGGTCATCTCGAGCTCTGCGATGATTTGCAGCAGGTTGTAAGCTTGTTCATATGCTTGAGCGAGCAGACAGAGCGAGAACGTGGCTACAGCGTTATGACACCACGCTCTGAACAAGGTGACAAAGAATGTCTGGCCGTCTCTGTTCTCGAGGTTTCGCAAGCGTTTCCTGAGATCGGCCAACTCTGGTGCGGTAATGAGATTATTGTTCAGGTTCTGCACCATGATACTCGCAAACTCAACATCATCGTCCTTCTCAAGACAGTCTGCCAGGGTGCGGTAGATGCGTTCGGCGCTGAGGTTCAAGCACAATTGACGAATGATAAGGTTTCCTCGTATTTCAAGCAGTTTCCTGTCTGTACAAAAGAGCTTCAGGAGATTAACCATGAAGGAGGTAAAGTACGAGTCGTCGCTGTTCTTCGAGATTTGCGAGAGTAGCGTCAAATCGCGTGTGACGACAGCATCTGCAGGGTCTGACAAGGTCTTGAGGAGAGCGGGGAAAGTTCCATCGTGAATGGCCAAAGTCTTGCGTGGTGACTTGCGATGTAGCATAATCAGCCAGGCCAGTGCAGCTACTCGAGTCTGCTCGTGCTCGTTGAGAAATTGTAACGTCAAAGAGTTCACGGCAGCTTCATAGTCGAGCTCGGTCGAGACGGGAGGTGAAGGTTGTGGGTTTGGTAAAGCGGACGTGGCGAATTGGTCAGTAGATTCTGCCAGCATGTCCGGGCTGTTTCCTTTTCGTGAACGTATGGGTATTGAGTCTTTCCGTGTTGGTTCGACGGGAGTCTTGGGTGGCTGTTGTTGCTGGCCGTCTTCGGGAAGCGACATGATGTGAGCCATGAGAGCAGTATTGACTCTGTTGGCCGCCTGGCGGACCTGGTCGACGTGATGCGAGAGCGCAGGCAAGACTTGTGAGAGGAGACGAGGCACAAATGCGAGCATGTCTTCGGGACAAATGTCAAAGAAGCCTTCGATCCAGCGAAGTGTCGTCATCTGTATCTCTTCTTCAGCCGAGTCGTTTAGGAATTGGATAAGGATGTCAAGAATCTTTGCATGATCAATCTGGACATCTTGGCCAGGGATCCACTCATCGCCAGCATCGTTGTCGTTCTTCTCATCCATGTTGGAGCTGACGAAAGATGCCGAATCAGAGCTTGCCTGGTCATCGTTGTGATTTGTTTCGACGTTGTCGGGCTGGGCCTCTGAGTCTTGGTCGCCAATCTCCAGTCCGTCTCTGCTGGACATCGAAGGTTTGCGATTGCTCTCGGCGACGATACTTCTCTTGCTCTCGGCAATGCCCTTCTTGATGGCCGAAATCTTCTTGATCTCTGCGAGGAAGCGGTCGAGGCAGACTTTTGTAGTGGTGTGTACATCTGTATTGGGATCGGAGAGGAAGCGCAACAGCCCACCGAGGAAATCTGGCAGAAAGACGACCAGTTCAAGATCGGGTATCGAGTCTAGCAGTGTGATCCAGCTGACGAGGAAGGTGCGGGTGAAGGGGTTGATGACGAAGATGCGTTCGCGAAGTAGCGGGATGAATCTGGCGAGAGAAAAGGCAGTGGGTTGTTCGGCAAAGGGGTCCTCGTTGTTGAGATCGAGCTCATTGTCCAGGATGGAGACGTAAGAAGCGGCAGATTCGGCGACAATGTCCTTGACCAGACGGTCGAGCAGTTCAGCGCCGTTCTTGACGGAGAGCTCGGTATCGGCAGCCAGCTTGCACAGAGCGTCAAAGACGTCGTTGAAGTAGATGAGGATCTCGCCCTTTGCGACCTTGGCAATGTTGTACATGCTCTCGCAGGCATAGTATCGCACTCTGGCGTCTTGGTCGGAGAAGCAGGCCAGGACCGGAGGGACTATGTCTCGGAGGTAGCGAGCGACGTCGATTCCAAGAGCGATGGCAGCAGCAGCCAGACCGATGAGACCTCCATTGCGGGCGTGGGGCTGGTGGACGGCGTAGGCATAGTCGTGGCAGAGCTGGTGGACTATCTTTTCGATACGGACGTGGTCGTTTGCGGCGAGCGAGTCGCGAATGATGGCTTCCAGTTCCAGGGCGCCTCCTTTGCGACGGTCATACAGCTTGTCGGCCAGCGCCTTCTGTACAGACACGTCCATGCCGACGGAGGTGTAGAAGGTCGGACGCGGGATTGAAGCTCCGGCGGGTCAGTCGATTGCTTGCTATGTCGTATGGTTGCCTGATTGTTGCATGGCGGGGTGGACGTCCTCATGAATGATGCGACATGTGTTTCGCGTTCCTTCCCCTTCTATTCCAAAACATGTCACTGTCTTTGAGCAATAGGGCAGGCACGGCTTGTAGTCAGCGACTGCCCCGAGCGTCTCGGCATACTGAGAAGCATGACTCAGGCGCCGATAAGCTGATAAGCCGAGTGACTCTTTTCGTCCCGCTGTTGTTTCCACCTTCACCCTCACCCATTGACGCGCAACCATGGCCGACAAACCGTCCATCTACATTGACGAGGAAAAGGGCGTCGACGCCGAGTCCGCCACCGGCTCCGAGCAGGCCCCTTACAAGTCCGTCCAGCACGCTTTTCTCCAACATGGCGACAGCGCCCAGTACCAAGTGCGCAAGAGCGCCGACGAGCCCGAGTGGAAGCCCGCCGCAAAGGCCGCCCTGAAGAAGGCCGCCAACTACGCCGACGCCCAGAAGAAGAAGGCCGCAAAGGAGAAGGAGCTTGTCATCCGCCAGCAAAAGGAGGAAGAGGACCGCCAGAAGGTGCTTGAGGAGGCCAAGAAGATCGAGGTCAACGAGGACNCCTCGCTGCCCGAGGCCAAAAAGATGAAGCTCGACAACAAGATGGTCCAGCTGCGCGGCAACGGTGTCGAGAAGGGCTCTCGTGTCCGCGTCTTCGGCCGCGTCCACCGCTACCGCCAGCAAAAGGGCCTCGTCTTCATCACCCTCCGCGATGGCTACGGCTTCATGCAGTGCATTCTCCAGGGCGACCTCGCAAAGTCATACGACGCCATCACCCTCCAGCGCGAGAGCAGCATGGAGATTGTCGGTGAACTTGCCCAGGTCCCCGAGGGAGCCCACGCCCCTGACAACCGCGAGCTGCACGCCGACTACTTCAAGGTCCTGTTCAAGGCTCCCGGTGGTGACGACGCCATCACCAACAAGGTCCAGGCCAAGGGTGATGCCCAGACCCTGCTCGACCTCCGCCATCTCACTCTCCGTGGCGAAGTCGCTTCCAACGTCATGTTCGTCCGCGATGCCGTCGAGTTTGCCTTCCACCAGGTCTACAGAGAGGTGCGCTGCCGCAAGGNNTCTCCTCCCGCCCTTGTGCAGACCCAGGTCGAGGGCGGAGCCACCCTCTTCAAGTTCGACTACTACGGCGAGTCTGCCTTCCTCACCCAGTCCTCGCAGCTCTACCTCGAGACGGTGCTGCCCTCGATGGGCGACGTCTACTGCATCGAAAAGTCGTTCCGCGCCGAAAAGTCCCTTACCCGCCGCCACTTGTCCGAGTACACGCACGTCGAGGCCGAGCTCGACTTCATCACCTTTGACGACCTGCTCGTCCACTTGGAAGAGGTCATGTGCCGCGTCATCGAGATCACCATGAGCGACCCCAAGATCGCCGCCATCATCAAGGACCTTAACCCCGAGTTCCAGATGCCCCAGCGCCCCTTCATGCGCATGAAGTACAGCGAAGCCATTGACTGGCTCGTTGAACACAACATCCCCAACGAAGAGGACCAACCCCATAAGTTCGGCGACGACATTGCAGAGGCTGCCGAGCGCAGAATGACGGATATCATCAACCGCCCCATCTTCCTCACCCACTTCCCTGTCGAGATCAAGGCTTTCTACATGCAAAAGGACAAGGAGGACCGCCGTGTCACCGAGTCTGTTGACTGCTTGATGCCCGGTGTTGGTGAGATTGTCGGTGGCTCGATGAGAATGGACGACTATGATGAGTTGATGGCTGCCTATGATCGCGAAGGCATTGATCCCAAGCCCTACTACTGGTACACCGACCAGCGCAGGTATACCCCTCTGTCATTTCCTCTGATGAACGAAATCACTGACACGATCATCNGCAGATACGGCTCTTCTCCCCACGGTGGCTACGGTCTCGGTCTCGAGCGCTTCCTCGCTTGGCTCTGCAAGCAGCACACTGTCCGCGACACTTGTCTGTACCCTCGCTACATGGGTCGCTGCACTCCTTAGTTTTCTTGCGTCGGCCACGACCAAAGGAAAAGTGTATGGGCACCTTCGTAGCAAAAGTAAAGAAAAGCTTCAAGTTCATCTTCAGATAACCACTCTGTCCGTCCGTTCCTTGTGATACTTGATACAATGCTCTTACCTGCGTGAAGAATGCTAACTGTCGCCTACATTCTTCATTTTCCGTTAACGTAGCTTCTTCTGATATGGTCAGGCCCAGTGTGATTGTTAAATAACATCAATCTCATGGAATCAACGAATATTCCACTGATTTTGAGTGGAATATTCTAGCCCACTGGCATAGAATAGCATAGCTAATTTAAGTAGAATGTTTGTCAATTCCAACACTTCAGACCTTATTATCATAATAAATAGAAACTTTAGAAATGATAGAAAGATATAGAAAGAAAACACCTTAACAAAGATGGTAATAAGAATCTTGCTAAATAGAAATAAAGTTTATACTATAGTTCCATACTGCTTCTCCCACACTATATGACTAGGTAGAAGGTGTCACTATCTGTGGGTTTATAAACTGGTCAACTGTAACTTGTGTCTTTCCATCCCACTTAGCGAGCCGTCCGCGCGCTTCGTCGGCATTCTTCTGGATAGTGGTTGCAATCTCAGATGATCGTGGTTCAAAACGCGCCCGAAATTCGTGTGGTCGCATGTTCTCAGCATCTGTGTAGCTAAAGATATCGAGCTGCACTTCTNNTTGGCCTGTGTGTAGATTGTTAGCGGGGTACCGCTCTATTCTTACATCATCATACAGTGCGACACTTACGTTGCTGTCAAGACCTGGTCTCACATTGAACGCCCAAAGCAGCCGAACGATTGCCATGATCAGACCTTGCTCAGCTAGAGGCTGCCCACTGCATGCCCTTCTGCCCCAACCAAAGGCATTGTGTCCACGGGTGTTCGGGTAGGGTCGCTTGCGCTTGCCTGTGTCCAGGTAGCGATTGGGGTCAAAGACGTCTGGGTCTGGAAAGTCCTTTGGATTGCGATGTATCGCCCACAAGTTACCGACTATCGTCAGGTCGCGTGGGAATACGTACCCCGANAAGACATCATCCCGGATTGGTGCATGTGGTAGGCCACCAAGTACTGTGACGCTGCGCCAGCGGAGTGTCTCCTTGAAAAGAGCACGACAGTATGGAAGAGAATCGAGCGCATCCCAGTCCGGGCACTGATCATGTCCCACGACGCGATCAATTTCTTCTTGCGCTTGCTTTTGGGCCTCTGGAAAAACGCACATGGCAAGTATGCACGTTAGCATAGTGCTGGAGCTGGTGTCCACCCCACCNCCTATGAGATTTGCTGTCATATCGGAGATGTCAGCCTTGGAAAGTCCTTGCCGCTGCCCATCAACCATGAGGGACTTGGAGAAGTTGTGCTCAGGTGCTTGCGCGCCCTCCTCTGTCAAGGCCCACCAATATGCTTTCAGTGCGTCACCAAGATGGCGTAACTGGTGTGGTAGAGGATAGAGCCAGCTGGGTAAATATTGCATTTCAGGAATAGCCTCCATCCAGTAAGCGCCAGGCACTTCCATGCCGGTTCTATCTTCCATGAAGGTCGTGGCGAGTTTCACAATGTAGTCGTCGCGATCGCTGATGCGTCTGCCCCAGCCCAGGATTGACACAATGGAGCACGAATAGCGCTCAATCGACGTGACATATCCGTCTGGCATGATCATGAGGTCTTTCATCAGGATCGCAGACTCGTCTGCTTGGAAATCTCTGTACTGGCGCACAGCTTGGGAACCCACAGCAAGATGNCTATATCGCAACAAGTCAGTCATGATGTCGAGATGCCCATGGTGGAAAGGTTGCCCTACCATGATCCTCCTCTGTGTCCGCCAGTGATCGTTGTACTTCAGCAATACCTGGTTAGATTCTGTTGTCCCACAGACGTCACCCATAACCACCCGTCTTGGGCGTGATGAGTAGATATCGGCTCGCTTCTCCATCAACTCGGAAGCGGTCCAGCTGTCATTGACAATAATTTGAGGTGTGCGTCCAATCCAGATGGTGATCATCGGGCTTTCGTAGTCCAGGCTCCATTGCTCAAATGTTATCCATGGCTTGGTTTTTGGAAGGTTCAACATATTCCCGATGATTGGCAGAGGGAACGGCCCTGGAGGTAAGCGACGCCTTTGCAGGAGCATCTGTGTATAGCTGTAACAAAGGAAGAGAATGCTGGCAAGGCCTAGCAAAATTGCCACACGACCGAGCATATGAACGATCATTGGCACTGTGTTGATCCTCATCATGGTTCTCGAGAGCGAAAGTAACTACTCAGCTACTCGGGCAACACGCGACTGCCCTTTGACTCGAGGCTCACTCTTCAGTTCGTACCCCGCGCTGCCTCGACATCGTCCCAGCCCCACAGCTGGTGTGTATACCGACTGTGCCTCTTTCTGCGCATGTGGGGCCTGATATGGCTTTGAAACTTTAGCCAAGGTTGTGGGTACCCACGATGTTCTCCATGTGGGACCCCAAACGCGACTGTCTGCCGCAGTCATGGCGGCCGACAGCGGTGCCAGACTCCCAGCGTTGAATTGACCCTGTCTGTTGCAGTCCGTGGTCAAAGGCCGAATCAGCCGCTGAAAGACTCATGAGCGTAAAGCCCCGCTTTCGGGTGACATTTCCATCCTCTCGATAAGATAGCATCTTGGACTGGGCATGGTCCGGATGCTGACGTAAGGCGTTCTTCCCCATCAGCTCGCGACCACAGACCGTCCAAGCCTCCAAGGCCGACGATTGTGCGGAGGAGCACCCATCCATGTGCCACAGGAATAATGGCATCGCAGCCGCTTGCAGAGGTGGGTGGACCGAACACCAACAAACCGACGCGTCGGCGCCAGTGCCGACATTGCAGTCGTACCTTCAAGAAAACGGAGCACTTGAAGCGGCATCAGCGCACTCGTAAGCTGGAAATCCACAATCATTCTGCTGCTCTGACGATCGTACGAATCGCAGATACCGGCGAGAAGCCCTATGTCTGTTCCGTATGCGGCAAAGACTTCTCTCGAAGTGATGTGCTCACCAGGCACTACAGAGCACATGTTATTCAGCCTGACATGAATCGAATTGATGGTCAATTAGAACATGGCGAATCGTCAAGCGCTTCAATACTGCAATGCGGGACAACTGTGGACAACAATACCCAGCCGCAAGCGCAGAGTCGGTTGGCAGACGTTCAGCCGACGACGTCTCTTGAGCAGCGTCATAGAGATGGCACGTTGCATCCACTGGATGGGATGACATTCACAGAGGTTCACACTGACTTCTCCGTCCGTACTGATATCGCTGAACAGCAGTCTGTGGGCTTCGGCGATTCGCCGAGCCAGAACCTTGAGCCCTCTAGCAATTCGGTTGGCTTCTCTGAAGCTGCCCAGTCGGGAGCTCTTGACATCGCCGGCAAGACTCTACAGCTGCGTCGGGAACGAGACAGTCAGTCTCAGGCTACAAGACAATTTGAGGATTGGCTAGCCGCCCTGGTCGATGGTGATACATCGCGTCTGGATTCCTTAATGAATGGCTACACTGGACTCCCATCTGGCGAGCTTGACTTTGACTTCTCATGCTTTGAGGACTCGCCCACGCACGTGCAGCCCCGTGAAGTTATAGCAGAGCTAACTGTGTTCTCTCGAGACAGGTTGAGTCAAGTCCAGAAGCATTGGCCTGTGCGTGCCATCGATACCACTAAGCCAAGACCAAGCTTTTGGTACTCCATCTGGACCTCTCGTGCTAATATCATTACCGATACAAAGCTACCCCCGCCAGGGCGCGCTGGAATGTCCGCTCGCTGGCGTCTCACAAACGACGCCATGACACGAATGCAAACATATGTCAATGCACCAATCCAGACAACGTCGAGCTGCGCGGACAACGTCGGACTACCACCCAACGGTATCCTTGACATCGGCTTGGAACTCTTCTTTCGCCACTATCACCCTCTGCAGCCATTCATACACACGCCCACCTTCCATCCAAACTCTGCACCGACCGCGACCCTTCTCTCGATGTGCCTCATTGGGTTTCATATCTTGAACACCAAGGGAACGGATATTTTGCTATCGCGGATGATGCAGGTGAGCCTTGATGGTTTCCAAAGCTCTTCGAGCATCCAATGCAGCCGCTGAGAGTGACAGATTGCTTTGAAGAAGACAAGAGCCAGCATGTGTGAGTCTGCAGCAACACAGCCTCTCTCGTTGATCAACGACCTCGCGAACGCTTTCCTCGTCTTGAGCCTGGGAGTAATGTCTGGCGTAAGCCATACTTTCGGCTTCTAAATATGTTTGCATCAAGAATGACTGATCGTAGGACTACACCACCGAGCCACAATATCGCATGCTCTACAGGGATACCCTTGCTGTAAGTCTTGTGCTAATATCCTGAGTGGGTGGTTTCTAACAGCATACCAGCATGCGCAGCAGGAGCAGCTCTTCTGTTCGCAGTCGACCTACGAGCGTGACGCAAGAGCTGCCAAGAACTCTTTGCAGCTAGACAATGACTGGGAGTCCTGGGCTAGGGTAGAAAGCACGAAAAGGTCTGTAGTCCATCAAGCCACACGCCGGCAGTAGCTCACGNTTGATAGATTGATCGTCTGTTTGCTCATGACCGACGCCTGGCATGCTGATGCCTATCGCACGGCGCCCATCATACAAACTAATTACTGTCAAGTGTTCCTACCATGTAACAATGCGCTGTTCCACTCCCCCTCGAGTTTGAAATGGGCGCAAATGACGGCGCTTCACAGCGTGGAATCCGGAGCAATCGTGTCACATCCCGGAGGCTTCACCATCCGGACGTCGCCTTTGCATCCTGCGATGGACTCTTTTGCCACGTATGCGGTTCTTTGTGCCATACGCTTGCGGCTGTGCGCCTCCTACCACCATGTACTTAGCAGAGTGGATGGCTTGCCTGACATGTCAACACCAATCCGCACACTGTTGCAATGCCACCCGTCGGATCCTAGTACTAATAACCTCGTGCAACTCATCTTGGATCTCCCGAAAATGGAGAGTATGACGGACATGAATCCAAACGGCATGGTAATCTGGCACCACACTTGCATAAGCTTGACGGCTGATATGCTCATTTTTGATCGTGCAGCCGGCCAAGCTGGGCCTGATCTGGCAGTGCCCGCCTTGCAATATGTTCGCGAGTGGACCAAAACGACAGCAGCTCGCAGGGCCTGCGTGCATGCCGCTCAAGCTTTCCGCACCATGACCGAACGCCGGGTCAATGAGGGCGTTATGTTCGCTTCTGTACCGCTCCTCTTTCAGTGTGCTCTGGTTCTAGGCTTCTACGTTCTGTTCCAGTCCACCTGTGGGCCGTCATGGGATTCGGATGGCTCCAACGAGACTTACAACTTGCTTGATCCCGTGGAGTGGGAGNTAGTGGGATCCGAAGGTTTTCGCGACTCTGGAGCGCATCCGGTCCAGACAAGTAACGAGCGCAACTCCACGATACGGTTCATTCGCGGAGAGATGGGTGTATCATTTGGTTATTGTATGCAGACTCCGGATCGACAGTCGGCAAGACTCATCCTTCTCGAATTTGCAGGATTACTCGACGACATAGGGACAAGATGGAAGGTTGGTGATTATGCGAACGTGCTTCGCATATTGAGTGATGCTGTGTCTGATGACGAGAGGGTTTACCCGGATGAATGAAGGATGCTCTCAAAGTTGTAGAACTCGCTGATGAGAGCTCATATACATCTGCGTTTGCACTTCGACCCGGTTCAAGCTCATGATGAGATGCATTCCTTCGATCTCTGCCGGACAATCAAAGCTCTGCGCGAGTGCATGGTCGGAGCGACCCTCACAGCATCGTACGCACGCTATGACAAAAGCCCCACATGGAGTCAATGGGAGTAAGGTAAGTACCTACTTCTTTGTATCGTTTCTCGTTTCCCGCTTTCTCCCCTCTGTCGACCCCTCGCCAAACAAGCAGCCCGTCATGGTAAAGACCATGCGGCATGACCGATCTTGCGTCTAGATTTGATCACGCAGCGTGGGGCTCCCATTCTGCCCCATGGGGCATGAAAAGCTTAAGTTCTAGGTATGATATAGGTCGATAAATCGAATACGACAACCGCTGATACTGGCTTCTTGTGATCGTGAGCCCTGGTCAATACGAGGCCACATCAACTGACATGAACATTTCCAAAGACGAAATTATGGTGGAGCGTATCGAGGATTCCAAGGACATACAAGTCCTTCCTGCTGACTTCGAGGATCCGCACCATGGTGCAATGGAAGACAATCCAGAGCGTGCGGAGAGACCATCCTGGCGTCTCGTATGCGCTATCCTCGTAAGTCCATTGATCGGCGGCATCTGATCGCGGACTGACCTCTGTCACAAGTCACTCTCCCTCTCCTATATATGCCCGCTTTCATGTGGCTTCAGCTTGATCACTGCCATCCTGGTAGACGTCGGCACAGATCTTGGAGACACGACGAACATCACCTGGATTGTTGGAGGATGGTCCATCGCTTCTTCGGTCGCTTTCTCACTTGCCGGCAGCTTGAGCGACATTTTTGGGCGTCGCTACACGGTCATTGTCGGCGAAGTGCTGTCTATCGCTGGTTCGGTAAGCCTCGGAATGAAATCTTTGTCTCACTTGAAGCTGACTCTCAACAAAGNNATAATCGGCGTGACTGCAAAGACGACTCTCCACGTGGCTGCTGGATCAACCATTCTGGNNGGCTGGGTAAGCAAGAGCGAGACTTCAACACTGATCGGGGTGATCCGCACTGTGGACTGACCATACATAGGGTGCGGCATTGTTTTCGTTTCCTACGCCGGCATTCCTGAGCTTTTGCCCAACAAATGGCGGTCCGTCTTTGCATAATCGTTGTTGTCCTGCTCGCTTGCTAACAGACAGATCAGCGGAGCCGGACTTGGGTTTACGGAGCTATGCATGACAATTCCATGGTCTACAGCTAGTGTTCTGATCGCAACCAGCTTGAACACTCGGACAGCTCTTGGCTGGCGATGGTGCTATATCATCGGTATGATGTACGGCGTGGTCAGCTTGGCTGGCACAATTGCCTTCTACTTTCCTCCGAAGCGACCGCAATACGATTTCGAAAAGACCAGGTGGCAAGAGATCAAAGAAATTGACTACGTTGGGTGCATTCTATACACAGCGGGGCTGACGTTATTCCTCATTGGTCTCACCTGGGCAGGAACGACCCATCCCTGGCGAAGTGTTGCTGTCTTGGTACCGCTGCTGCTTGGAGTCCTTCTCCTGACCTTGTGCTTTTGGTACGATTTCAAGATCGCCAAGCAGCCATTGTTCCCATGGAAGCTCTTCGCACAATTCCGCGAATTCTCAGTGCTGCTGGTCATTGTTTTTGTCGCTGGTATGGTATTCTACTCGATGGCAGGGTTGCTACCGCAAGGGTCTCTCTACATGTTTACCAACGACCCCATCCAGATCGGCATCATCGCACTGCCGAACGGGTTCTCGCAGCTCCTGTGTGGAGGTATCCTTACCTTGTTCATGGGCGAGATTGGACATCTGAAGTTGCAGCTGATCGTGTTGCTGACCTGTCAAACACTCTTCATTGCTATGCTGGCCGCGATCATACCCGGAAACAAGGCCGCTTGGATGGCATTCCAATTCTTCGCCATTGGCCCCTTCGCCCTGATTACTTTGATCTGCTATGTTATCGCCGGCCTCAACGTACCACTACGTCACATTGGACTTGCATCTGGATTGGTCGGCACCTTTCGCAGTGCTGGTGGTAGCGTAGGTAGACCGAAACTGCTGGCCCGCAAACAATGACTGATGACATTTTGATAAATAGGTCGGCAACGCCATTTTCTCGACCATCCTCCATGGAGTGGTCAACCCTCGCCTGGGCCCAGCGATCGCGGAAGTCGGAGCGGCAGCCNNGGTCTGAGCACCGCAAAGCTGCAACTTCTGGTGCCGGCTGCAATCTCCAGCAGTCTCGGTGTACCCGGCGCGTATGCCGAATTGCCCGATGTCAGCCCCGCCGTCCAGGCCGCTGCGGAACAAGCGATCCGCGACACGTACGCCATCGGCTTCAGACGAGTGTTCTATGCTTCAATACCCTTTGGTGTTATTGCTATTGCTTGTGCATGTTTCATTAGTGATCCCTCAGTCTACCTTACAAACCATACTGCTGTGCGCATGGAGACTGATCAAGAAAAACAAGTAGCAGGGAAGGAGAGGTTTAGGTAGCCCGGGCCTTGACATGATGCGGGACTTGGGCGTCGTTGAAATCCGGCATAAAACATAGGAAACGTTGTTGATTAAGCACAAATTTCCATCGAGTAAACAAAGCCAGATTTCGCGAAGTCTATCAAAAACAGTAGTGACCCTGGCACCAGTTCACTCAACCTCGACAATGTCATCTCTCATGCATATCTTTATTTTTCTGCCCAGATATCCATCTCTATAGCACTAGATATACAGATGATGGGTTTATATCACAAGTCTTTTGCTGTTTCTTAACGCAGTGATGAGCTCCAAACTTCTTGAGCGTTGAACGGGTTTCTCACCGAAGCAAGCTTCAGCGAGGCTGTCTTGTCTCGTCGGAGCAATGCAAGACATCGAATCGTTTGCCAGCGAGTGGATTTTGAAACCAAGAAACGCAGAATCGAAGCGTCAAATGATATCAAAACCGTCTATGAGGGTCAGGAGGAAGCATTATGCAGGAAAACACTAGCGAATCAAGAAGTCCCTAGGCGGAGATGGGCTGCCAGACCCAAAGTCATCCCATAGCGTCCGGACCTGTGCGATTGGAATCACGAACCAGAGAGCATTGGCGATAGATGTTGGTGTGAAATAATTGTACAATTGCATATACACAAGATGAGACCGCAACGAAAAAAACAGATTTGCTATTAACTCAGATGTAATGCAAAGGAAACCAGAAATAACAGACGCGTCTGCTGCATATGAACGCCTCCCTTTTCAATTCCCTTTCTTCCAACGCTGCTTAGTAGTGAATGGCCTTGCCGTGAGTGGCCATGGCAGCCTCCTTGAAGGCCTCGGCAAGAGTGGGGTGAGCGTGCGAAGTTCTAGCGACATCCTCGGACGAAGCACCGTACTCGAGTGCCAGGACACCCTCAGCAATCATCTCACCGGCGTTGGGGCCGACAATGTGGATACCGAGGATACGGTCAGTCTCGGCGTCGGCGAGGAACTTGACCATACCGTCAGAGTCGAGGTTGGTCTTTGCTCTCGAGTTGGCCGAGAAAGGGAAGGAACCGATCTTGTACTTGACGCCAGCCTCCTTGAGCTCAGCTTCGTTCTGGCCGACCCAGGCGACTTCGGGGTGTGTGTACATGACCGAGGGAATGGCGCCGTAGTTGACGTGGCCGTAGTTCTTTGTGATGAACTCGATGGCGGCGACAGCCTCCTCCNNCTCAGCCTTGTGGGCAAGCATGGGACCGAAAGTCACGTCTCCAATGACACGGATGTGGGGGATCTTGGTGCGGTATTCTTGGTCGATGACAATGCGGCCGCGGTTGTCGGTCTCGAGACCAATGTTCTCCAGACCAAGACCAGCGGTGTAGGGACGGCGACCGATGGCGACGAGGACGACGTCAGCCTCGAGNCTGTGGATTGCGTTAGTTGTGCTGTTGCATAAGAATAGAAGTCAGACACTCACAGTCTCCTCCTTGCCGCCCTTGGCAGCCTCGACCTTGATCTTGACGTCGGCAGCGCTGTCGTCACCCTCGACAACCTTGGTGTTGAGCTTGAACTTGATGCCCTGCTTGCCGAGAGTCTTTTGGATGTTCTTTGAGATCTCGGCGTCCATGCCGGGACCACCGATCTGACCGAGGAACTCGACAACAGTGACCTCAGCACCGAGACGCGACCAGACGGAAGCCATCTCGAGACCAATGATACCACCACCAATGACAACCATCTTCTTGGGAACAGTCTCGAGGGCAATGGCGCCGGTCGAGGTGATGACCTTCTTCTCGTCGATGGTGAGGCCGGGGAAAGGAGTGGCCTCGGAACCGGTAGCGATCAGGATGTTCTTGCCGCGGACGCTGGTCTCACCACCCTCGGTGAGGTTGACCTGGACGGTGTGCTCGTCGGCAAAGGCACCGGTGCCCTTGATGTACTCGACGTTGTTCTTCTTGAACAGGAACTCGATACCCTTGGTCAGGCCGTTGACCGACGTCTCCTTGGCCTTCATCATCTGCTTGAGGTTGAGCTTGACATCGCCGACTTCGATACCGCGGTTCTTGGTGTCGTGGAGGATCTGGTGGTAGAGATGCGAGTTGTTGAGCAGAGACTTTGAGGGAATGCAGCCGACGTTCAAGCAGGTACCGCCGAGGGAGCCGCGCTTCTCGATACAGGCGACNCTGGAGAGAGCGACTGGTCAGTGTGTGTCTTGTCGGAAAATGTGCAGAGCGAGGGGCCGCACCTTGAGGCCCTCCTGACCGGCCTTGATGGCGGCAACGTAGCCGGCGACACCACCGCCAATGATGACCAAGTCCTTCTCCTCTNNGCGCAAAAGAGTCAGCCCGGGCTCTCTCTTGTAGAAGCCTCATGCGAGCGTACCGGTCTCGGTGGCGTATGATCTCCTTGACTGGACTCTGTCGACGAGGTAGAGGGTCGAAGGCGAGGCGCGGAAAGTGTTGTTTGCCGAGCGGAGCAGCGGGCGCGATGCGCGGGGNACCATGTGCGAGAACATGGCGGCGGGAGGGCGGAAGTGGAACAGGAAAACGAAAGAAACAAAGGTCCTGTGAGGAGGGATTGTATAACAAAGTCGCTCTGTTGAGGTTCCAGCTCTTGCTCAGCAACGACGAATCGTCAAAGCCGCGCCAAGCCTGCTCTCTTCGGGCAGAAGCTGCGGACTCCCGCTCCCGCCTGCCAATTCTTGCTCCGAAACGCCCGACTCTTGCCGAAACACCCCTCGATGTCAACAAGGCGCAAGGAGCCTCTCCATATGGATGAGTAGAACAATTTCATCTTCAATGGGTATCAACAAGAAAGAAAATCTATACAATTCGTGATCCATGACCTCCACCAACGCCAGTCCAATCCAGTCATCACCCTTAAGCCTGCGCTTGAACAACCTTGTACCCCTCATTGACCACCTTGGTAATCTCTTCGTCCTTGTGTTGCAAAAGGCCCAGTGCATATGCGACATCGTTCCATTGCCTCTCATTCTCTGCGCGAGGCAGTCTGGCTGCCAGCTTGTTGGCAAGCTGTTTCGCGTGCTTGTCCTTTTCGATGAATCCTGACAAGAACTTGATGATGCGCCGGAACTGGTCTTCCTCGAGTTCCTCGTCACGAGAAAGCAGACTGAACATGTCGACGAACTGGTTGTAGACTGCATTGTCCTTGCCTGCCAGCTCGCTGAAGAACATGCGTGACATGTCGCGCATTCTATCGTCACTGTCCTCGACACACTTGGCCATCTCACTGAGTTGACCCTTGACCTTGACTTGTCCAGCAAGGATCAAGAACGTCAGCGTCATCAAACAGGTGCGCTTGACCGGTAGTGATCTGTCAGACAAGCGGCGATAGAGGTAGTCGGTGTTCTCGTCGATCAGGTGGTTGAAGCAGACTGCCATGTCTCCGAGAGCAATCACCAGATTGTTGCGAGTCGTGGCATCGGGACTTCTCTCGAGGATGGTGATAAGCAGTCCCAAGTTCTGCTCGCAATATTCTGAGCTCACACACATGAGCTTGGCCAAACACAGAGCTGCTTGTGCCTGCAACTCTTGGTTGGCGTATGATGTGTTGTTCATGCAAATCTCGCGAACCAGCGGGCCAAAGTTGGCCAGCAACGATTGAGGGCCATAGAGAAGCTCTCTCTCACGTACGTGTGCGATGGCGTCGGTAAAGTCATCCTCGGTCGTGCCAGTGATGAGGTCGAGATCATCTTGTTCCTCTTCTTTGACGTCTTTCGCATCCTTCTTTGCCCCCTTACCCTTCTTGACTGGTGTGGGATCTGCGGCGGCCTGCTTTTCCTTGTCCATCTTTCGGCGTTTGAAATCCATCTCACAAAGTTCTAGATGAACGATCTGCTTGATGGCAATGTGACCGACAGTGAAAAGTAGTTGAGACAAGGGCAGAGCAGAATCCTCAGCCTCGGGCATCTTGACTTCCTCCTCTTCCTTCTTGATTGGAAGAGCATCTCCCATCGGCTCGTCGTCCATGCCACTCATTTCGACGTCACCGTCATCTTTGACTTCGACCGATTCTGACTTGGTCGATACTGCAGCCGCTGAGAAGACCTTTTTCGTCTTGAACCTGAGAATCTCGGATGCTAACTCATCAGGATGCTTGGACAGAGCGTAGATGGCGCTGATGACTTGTTCGGCAAGACCATACCACTGCTTGTTTGAAGACTTCACATCTGCCATGGCAGCCAGCTTCTGGAGAACGGCATGGTCGTTCGGCAGCCGCGTTGAAGTTGGTGCAGCTTGGACGCCCTTGGTGTGCTTGGGGTTATTCATGCGCATCAGAGCAATGCAGGTGAACTTGGCCAGAACCAGATCTGTTCTGCCGTAAGCTCCGAGACCAATGCGAAGACATCTTTCCATCTCCTTGACGATGATATCGGGATCAGCCAAGGCGAGCATACCAAGTACAATGATGGCACCGCGACGTTGATTTTTCGAGATTTCTCTCTTCTCAATGCCGTATATCTGCCACAGCTTCTGTATAGTCGCCTCCTTGATGAAGTCTGATTGCATCATCGTGCTAAGCAGTTGCTCCAGACTGGTCAACTCGGCAGCTGTCGCTCCGAATGTCAGACTGACCATATTCCTGGCGATGAAGTTGGCAGAGTCGTTTGCAGAGAAGCCGCTCGGAGCCTCGAAGAACAAGCCCTTGTAACATTCTATGAGATGAGCTTGCACACCCTTGCCTTCATCACTGTTACCCTTGGTCCAGATGAGGCGTAACATCTTTCGGATACCCGTGCGGGCAGTCTCGATGTTGTAGGCGTTTGCGATGACGAAGAAGTCCATGGCCTCGATGACTTCAGACTTGTTCTTGGAAGCGAGCAGTTGTGTGATAATGGGCGAGGCTTCGTGTAGTACTTCGATGAACTTGAGCGCCTCGATGTAGTAGCGACGAGTAAGTGTGAGCTTGCTCATCATCTCAGACGTGACAGCTTCGGCAGCGGCTTTCTCGAACGCTGCCTGCTTCTGCTCTTCAGTCATGGCTGGCTTTTCCTTCACAGGGGACATTTGCGTGGCATCATCCAATAGCTCCTCGTCGACTGTGGCTTCTTGTTGTTCCACCATACCAGCAGCTTCCTGTGGTGGCTTCAGAGCATTGAGCTCGCCCTCGCAGACTTCCAGACGTGAGTTCCAGTCCGAGTAGGAGAGTTGTCCACCGTGCAGGACAGCGAAGGGATGTGTCTGCATGAGCTTCTCGAGCAGCTTGATGGCGTTTCTGCGGACATTGCTGCTTTTATCTTCCAGACTCCGGCAAGCAAGCTCTGCTGCGATCTGTCTGCGCTTGGGATACTTTGTTTCGAGGTCGCAAAGCTTCACGTAGACTTGAAGCGCGCGACATCTGCAGTAGGGGTTGACGTCGAGGAAACGTTCTTCGAGCACTTCGAANAAGGCATTGATCTGACCCTTGTGGTTCTCACTGCGCTCTTCGCCTTCCTGCTTGCTCAACATGGCAATCAGATTTCCGCAGACCTCAATGATGGAACAGCGCAAAGTGTAGGATTCGCTGTCAAGCAGTTTGGCGAGCAGCATGACTTGCTTGATGACCTGTCGCGGTGCCAGCTCGGAAAACTTTGTGATGAAAGTCGAAACAGACTTGGGGCCCTTCAAGTCGCTGCTGCTGAATTCTTGGTTGCTCAGCTCGCGCAAGACTTCTTCGGAGAGTTGAGGATAGTCGTATTGCTCAGCGAGAATGTTCAGCAGCTCAGCCATTGGTTCCGAGAGGTGCTCAAAGTACAAAAGGCTCTGGATGATATTTGTCTGGGCTCCAGAGGCATGACCGTGATGCTTGATGGCGATACACAAGACCTTGAAGGCGTGCATTTTGATGGCGGTGTTCTTGACTCTTGCTTCGTTCTCCATCATGAGGTAGACGGGGCGGGTGAAGAGGCCGATGATGGTGTCGCGCTCGGAGGTGGTGACGAAGATCCTCGCGAGCTTGAGCTTCATGACCTTTGCCATAGTGTTGAGGGCCGACTGAATCTGCATCGAGGGATCCCAGGGTGCGTCCTTTGCAGATTTTTTTGTTGTAGCAGGCTTTCCTCCTCTTGCACGAGCGGCAGGTGCAGCCGACTTTTCCGAGGCGACTCTTGATTCGACGCTGGTGAAGCACCACATGAGGAGGAAGGAGAGCATCTCGAGGAGCAGCTTGTGCTGGGGGATCGAGTCTTGTTCGTCGGCTTCGATATCATTGTGGACAGCGTCGGCCTCGGCGGAGAGAGCGGAAAGGATGAGGTCGAGAAGCTTGGAGAGCGACTGGGTGGGGATGAGGATGAACTTTCTGAGGTCATTGTCAGGCACATGTGACTGAGAGGCGTCTGCTTGATGGGTGGGAGCGCACTTGAGAAGGAACTGCAACGAGTCAAAGTTGGCCGAACGAGCGACAGCTTCAGGGTTTTCTGTTATGGCATCCACGATGGGGTTGAGGACCGTGTTGACCAGGGCAGGAGTCAGGTCCTCGGGGTTGTGTTCGCACTCGAGCAGGTGGGGATGCGCGTCGGGCGTGTCGGTCTCCAGCGGGTTGTTGAGGTATGTCTTTAGCGCATGGTTGATGTCGAAATCCTGGAGGGCCTCCATGTCGGGCGAGGTACGCCCTTTGGAAGGTATGAGTTGGTGTTCCAAGTTGTTCGCGCAAGAGAGGAAGGAACAGAAAGCTGCTGCTTTCTTCATCAACAGGGCTGTTGATGTTTGCGGAGAAGACGAATCTCGTGTTGATGTCTTGCCCGATCGGGGAAGGCGCCGCTGCTGATGCCTCCTCCATCATCAAGCGCGACTGTGGAGGGGCATTTTCTTGCAGCACAACAATAACAACCAACAACTTCAAGTCTGGCAAGACTGGCAGTCCAAGCATGTTACTTGTCTGATCGGAAACTGGTGTAGACTTGTCAACAGGATCCAACACAATGGCCAGCATGCGCGGAGCCAAGACGGTGCGCGAGGCCATACCCGCCGCCGACTATCGCATGCGCAGCGAGGACGAGACCGAGGACGCCATGGACGAAAGTAAGAACAGCATGGACGAGAGTCAAGCCACCGAATCCGATGGAAGCGACGAGGAGGTCGAGGCCTCGGTCCAGGAAGATATCCACCGCTTCGAACAGTCGTTCAAGAACATTTCACAGCGCTTCCGTCTGGTCAACCGCATCGGCGAAGGTACCTGCCTGCCTCTTCTACTCGTCGCTTTGACTCTTTCTGACTCTCTCAGGCACCTTCTCAACCGTCTACAAGGCCGAAGATCTTCTCTACGACAAGTACAAGAACGACTGGAACGACATGTCCCTCTCACCACAAGCAAAGACGGCACGAGACCGCCCACGCGCTCGCTACGTCGCCATCAAGAAGATCTACGTCACCTCGTCGCCCATGCGCATCTTCAACGAGCTCGAACTGCTCTACGACCTTCGCGACTCGCAGAATGTCTGTCCGCTCATCACCGCCTTCCGCCATCAAGACCAGGTCGTCGCCGTCCTGCCATACTTTCAGCACCGCGACTTCCGTGACTACTTCCGCGACATGACCGTCGACGACATGCGTGTCTACTTTAACCAACTGTTCACTGCCGTCCGCGCCGTCCACAAGCACCAGATCATCCACCGCGACATCAAACCCACAAACTTCCTCTACTCGCCCACCACACAGAAGGGTGTCCTCGTTGATTTTGGTCTGGCCGAGCGAGAAGGAACAGACTGGCATCACTGCAACTGCCAGTACTCAATTTCGGACCGCCAATACCGCTACCAAAACTCTCTCTACTCTTCCATCCGCACACAATACCGAGACGCCGGCCAGCTACCACCACCACCCTCATATCCCAAAGAAGACTCGAGAAACTCTCGCAGAGCGAATCGCGCCGGCACAAGAGGTTTCCGCGCTCCCGAAGTTTTGCTGAAATGCACTTCCCAAACCTGTATAATCGACATTTGGAGTTGCGGCATCATCCTCCTCACCCTTCTAAGTCGCCGCTTCCCTTTCTTCCACTCTGCCGACGATATTGACGCCTTCATCGAGTTGTGTAGTATCTTTGGCAAGCGTCGCATGAACGAAGCTGCTCTACTGCACGGTCAGGTCCTGCAAACCAACATTCCCACCATCAGCGAGAACGGCCACAGCTGGGAGAAGATCTTGCTGTGGTGTACCGAGCGTCGTAAGACCGACCTTCCGCTCACTGACGAGGAGAAAGAAGCCGTCCAATTCATGTCCCTTTGTCTCGAGCTTGATCCTTCTAAGCGCATAACAGCCGATGAAGCGCTTGAGCATCCCTTCTTAAACCTGAGTGCTTCGGATGGCTCACACATGAACCCTGAAGAAGAGTGATGTGAGATTTATATTATCAGCATCGAGAGCATGGGTTTGGAGTTCTGTTTGAGACAAGCAAATGATACCATGACATGGGAGGCCACAGAACGGAACAATAGCATCATCTTGGAGTCTTGGGTTTTATTCACCTTGTACATATTCTTGTTCTATTACTATCTCTTTTCCAAGTCAATATATGTCCTCGTCGTTTGCTCATGATCCTCATAAGCTCACGATAGGTTTCTCTCCTACGCTAACAAGTAGTGCTATAGTCTGCTGTCCGATTGCACAATTCTTTTTCGAATCGGAAAGGTAACCACGGAGGTAGTATTCTACTGATATCTGTCCCGTGACATTACTTCATTCTGATTATCATCGTGTATTTAAATGACCACCTACACTGTCGCGAAGTTTAGACCAGGGGGAACGTTCAGCTGGTATGCGCACGGTGCCTCCTCGAGGAGGCGGCTTTACTTGCGTCTTTCCCATGTACAACAGTGTGATATATCTATAGCTACAGGTTTGCACGATTGTTTTCGGAAAAGGGTTGTGGCCAGGGGAGAATCATGATAGAAGCCAGAGATGGTTGGCAGCGCAATGGAAAGCATCCGAGAATCTCCCACCCGAGGAAGGAATGAGGCATGACGAGTGCCGTTGTCAAGCAGTCTGGACAATTCCATCTCGACCACTTCCAACTCTGCAGATATTAACAAGACACAATGGATGCGTACGAACATGAACGCATGATTGCGGAGCTGGCGGTGCAGCGGGCCTCCCTCCNNCTGACCAAACGAATCCTCGCCGACATCGACAAGGGCGCCCTGGACAAGAGCGACCGCACTCCCGTCACTATTGGCGACTTTGGCGCACAAGCTCTCATGATCGGCGCAATACACCACAATTTTCCAGAAGACTCATTCATTGGCGAAGAGACAGCGACTGCACTGCGCGAGAATGAGCAACTACGGGACCGCGTTTGGGATCTCGTGTCGACCACGCATCTGCAAGAGAAGGAGTTGGACGAGCGATTAGGAAGCATTGGCTCAGCAGAAGAAATGCTGGACACAATCGACCTGGGCAATCATCCTGGAGGTCGTGAAGGCCGCATCTGGATTCTGGACCCGATCGACGGCACAGCGACCTTTATGCGCAATCAGCAATATGCCGTCTGTCTTGCCTTGATTGTCGACGGCGAGCAAAAGGTAGGCGTCATTGGATGCCCCAATCTGGACCTCAGCACCGGCAAGATATCCGAGGAAAATGCCGACAATGCTGGTAATGGCCAAATGCTTTCTGCCATCAAAGGCCGAGGCGCAACCGTCAGGCCTCTAGGTCATGGGGGACTGCAGCCAGCTACGCGAATCAACAGGCGCGATAACATCTCCAACGATCCACGCACGCTCGACTTTGTCGAGTCCGGTAACAGCACATCCGTCGATCTCGACTTCCACCGCAAGGTAGCCGAGAAGCTGGGCGCCCCATGGCCTGGTACCGACATGTGGTCCTCCCAAATGCGATACATTGCCATGGCCGTTGGCGGTGGCGACATTATGCTGCGTTTCTACAGCAAGAAGGGCCACAAGTCTTATCTCTGGGACCATGCAGGGNGCTTCCTGATCTTCGAAGAGTCAGGCGGTAAGGTCACTGACCTGGACGGCAAACCCATCGACTTTGGCGCCGGAAGAAGGTTCGAGAACAACAGTGAGATGGTTGCTGCTCCGGAAAACGCGCAGCCACGCATTCTTCAACTGGTCAATGAAATGCTTGGATCTTGAGGTATCATCAGCAGCCGCTCGGCAAATTGGTCTAGTCATTCGCTCGCCAGGGTAGGCAAAGGTACCAGTACCCCGCTATGGTCTTTGATAGAGTGATAAAGTCGCCAATGTACACGAGTAGCCAATGAACACTCTTGCCAGCTGGACTCGACACTGTCGCTTCCGTCTCTCGGATCGACTGTACAGCATGATTGTGAGTTATCGAAAGGCGCAAGTATTTCAGTATCGAGATCATGTCCTGAGAGAGTCCTTGTCTCTTCAGCTCTCTGTGTCCTCATTTTTGATTCGATCACCACCGTGCATTTCTACAGTACCATTATGACTTGTATCGAGCAGGGAGAGAAAAAGAACATGCAAAAAGTCTCAGGTCTAGCCTCGTCTTTCTGGGAGATCTCGAACTCGCCACTGTTATCACAGGTCACCAATATACAGGAACCGAGGCTGTGGGTGGCACCTCCTTCATGAATAACTTGCTGTTTCTCAAGAATTGAGTGCAGATAAAGACCACCAGTTGACGTCCAACAACCTCAGGCAAACTGCGATGTTGCCGGCCGTAATTTGACTGCCAAGTTGTCTGGGCGCCTCTTGACCCATCTCGCCAAGTCATGCGCAGACATGCCAACCCACAGAACTACCTCAAGTTACAACAACCTTCCCGATCAGGCATTGAAGATGGTGATATCTGTCGCAATGGTATCAAAAGACAACCTCTTATCAGTTGAGTTCCTCGAGCCAAGATCTCGCTATCTCCGCAATTTGAGCGCGACATCTTCAGACACGTCTCCGCTTTGCTTCTCGCGTTTACCAAGACTCTTGGTACCAGACTTGGTGGCACGAACCAGTCCGCTAATGTTGATTAAACTTGACTGCAGGGGACTGAACAGCACAATCAAGCGAGAGATACGCACGATAGCGACGCCACACCAGTAGGTCGTGTGTCCAGGTCGCTCATGGTGTGCGATGACTCGAGGCGAATGTAACAGCATGGCTGCTTGAAAAGATAAGGTGATCAACGGGCTGAAGTCCAGAATGCAAGATATAAAGTCATACAGGCACGGGGCCTTGGATCCAAACCAACTTCCCATTGCTTCACTTCTGCATCATACCGGCTATCTTGCTGCTGTCAATCATGGCTGAACCAGAGAAGAAAATCACGGAGGTGGACATCCAACCCGTTGGTAAGGATGTGGCCGTGGGTAGTATTGTCGAAATGGTGAGTGACTTCACAAGGCTTCAAGGCGAAACATTATTTAGCCTTTGATGCTGACAGGTGCTCAGANAGAATGAGTCGGGCGAGAGCCTGCCGAACAAGGAGTTCCAGGAGTGAGCATACGTTCCAATTGGTCTTCGACCCAACCCTGATATACTTCCANGCGACCTCAACGTCACCGCCGATGACTACATTCATGCAAGAGAAGAGGCGCTGAACTTCACCCTCGAGGAGACGAGGGACATGATGGAGAAGGTCTGGAAGATCCATGAATTGGACCCCAACTTCCCAGACAGCATCCTTGACAAGATCAGAGAGTTCTTGTTCAACGAAGATGTTTTCATCAACGCTGAGAAACATGCGGAGCTCATTGCGGAAGTCAAAATCGAGGCTGCCCTGATCGTCAACAACTCTCCATACGCTGAAGTCAGAGCCGTGGTCGACAACACTGATGATCCCAATATGCCGTGTGCGTCTCTCCGAGCTTATGTCATCGGTTTGCTCTTCGTCACTGTGCTCGGCTTCATCAATCAACTGTTCTCGATCAGACAGCCTTCAATCACCGTCGAAGCCAATGTCGCCCAGCTGCTTGCCTACCCTGTTGGAGTCGCTGCTGCAAGATGGCTTCCAGACAAGGGGTTCACTCTGTTCGGAACACGCCACAGTCTGAACCCTGGTCCATTCTCTAAGAAGGAACACATGCTTATTACTATCATGGCTAAAGTCGGAGCCAACCTTCCGTATACTGACTACGTCGTCTGGGTACAGTTCCTTCCCCATATGTTCAATCAGAGTTGGGCCGGCTCCTTCGCATACCAGATTGTGATCGCAATCGGTACGAACTTCATTGGTTTTGGTCTTGCTGGTATTTGTCGTCGCTTCCTCGTCTACCCTGCCTACTGCGTCTGGCCCACCTCTCTTGTTACAATGGCCTTGAACAATTCTTTCCATGATGGTTCCAACCCTTCTGTCGTGGCGCCTTTCAAANAAGTCCTGACAATGTCTAGGCTCAAGTTTTTCCTCTTGACCTTCACTGCCATGTTTTTCTGGTTCTGGTTCCCCAATTTCCTTNTTGAAGCCCTCAGTATATTCAACTGGATCAATTGGATTGCGCCTAACAACTTGCATCTTTCCACTATCACTGGGATGAACAACGGACTTGGCATCAACCCGTTCCCCACTTTCGACTGGAACATCTTGCTATGGGATCAGATGGACCCCTTGATGGTGCCTTTCTTTAACACTGTCAATCGTTTCGCCGGCATGGTAATTTCCGGGTTTGCTCTTCTCGGTATCTGGTACACAAATACCTTCAACACTAGCTACTTGCCCATCAACTCCAACAAGGTGTTCGACCACTTCGGCAAATTCTACAATGTTACCCGCACGTTGGACGATCGCGGCATGTTCGACGCCGCGAAGTACGTTGATTACTCACCAGCCTACATGAGCGCTGGCAGCTTGACCACCTACGCATGCTTCTTTGCCATCTACACCGCAACAATCTCCTATGCTTTCATGTACCATCGTCATGAGATTATGATGGGCTTCAAGAATCTCTTTCACCGTGGGCAAAGACAAGAGTATAACGATATCCACAATCGTTTGATGTCTGTTTACCCTGAAGGTCGGTCGTGCTCCTCCATATCATCTATACAACGCTAACGACCAATTCTAGTACCTGAATGGTGGTACCTCATCTGCCTTTTGGTGTCGGTCGCATTCGGTTGTGCTGGTATCGCCGCATGGCCAACATACGTAAGCAGCCCAGACAGTTGACTCTGACCATGTACTAATCCATCCATCGCCAGANCTACTGTTGGTGTTGTCTTCTACGGTCTTGCTCTGTGTCTTGTCTTCATCCTGCCTATCGGCATCATCAGAGCCATCACTGGTATCCCAGTCACACTCAACGTCTTGGCCGAGTTCATCGGAGGTGCTTGGGTTGGAGGCAACGCCCTGGCCATGAACTTCTTCAAGTCCTTCGGCTACGTCACCTGCGCTCACACCATTCAGTTTCTGAACGATCTCAAGCTTGCTCACTACACCAAAATCCCACCTCGCCACGCTTTCTGGGCTCAGATGGCTGCGTGTTTGGTTTCCACATTCGTCTGCACCGGCGTACTCAACTTCCAAATCCACATCAAGGATGTGTGTACCACTGATGCGCCCAACCGCTTCTACTGTCCTGGAAACAACACTTTCTTCACTGCTTCTGTGCTTTGGGGTACTCTCGGCCCCCACAAGGTGTTCGGCAAGGGTGGCTTGTACACAACCCTTCTTATAGGCTTCCCTATCGGTCTAGTTGTGCCTCCAATCCTCTACTACACCACTCGCCGCTTCNCCCAGAAGAAGTGGCTTCGCCAGATCCACCCCGTCGCCATGATCTACGGCGGTCTCACCTGGGCTCCCTACAACTTCTCGTATGTCTGGCCTCAGGTGCCTATCGGTTTCATGGCCATGGTATGGCTCAAGTCAAGATACTTGGCTTGCTGGTCCAAGTACAACTACGTGCTTAGTGCTTCTTGGTCTGCTGCCATTGGCATTTCCGCCATCATCATCTTCTTCAGCGTACAATACTCGGGCAAGGTCAGCCTCGATTGGTGGGGTAACAATGTCTCGTACCAGGGTTGTGAGAACAAGGCTTGTACAAGACTTGCGCTGGGCAAGGGAGAGTTCTTTGGTCCTCGTTCCTGGTGAATGTTCTGTTGTCCATGATGTTGACATGTCTGGTTACGATGATGATATATGGTGTGGTTTTGTGTGTTTTTGTCTGTAGTGCTGGTTATGATTTGCATTTCGTTTTGATTCTGAAGTTGTCTTTCAAAGTAACATTTCATTGTGATAGTTGTCTTGCCACACTGCATGCTTTCATGGGCTTTGTTAGTAACGTTAGTAACAAGTAAACCATGTGTCTCCGCACCCCTCCGCACCCCTCCGCACCCCGCACATATTTCTGTTCATCTCCCTGTCGATCACCCCTAGCGGCGAGCATCATCCTGACTTTAGGCAGATGTGTCTACTCCATTTGACGCGAGTCGGACCTCTCGCCTTGTCTGATCAAGCAATATATATGCTTCCCGCCGGGCCAGTCGCGTAGATGCCGGCACGAACTTCAGAAACTGCGAGCTAACCAATGCATAACTCTACGGCCGCAGCGTGCAGGGTCACAAGGCGTTGTGTATAATATATCAAGACTGCCTCCTGGTCGCTGTCGGTTGAAGTATGGACATCGCAAGCGAAATCAACCGATTGTCAATCACATACCACATACGACACTAACATGCTGCTGATCCAAGTCAAAAGAACAAAGTATATATTCGCAAGGCGGCCTGCTCAGATTTCACCAACTATACTGCCTGATCATGTATATCAAGACTACTTCTCTCGCTACTGTAGGCGTGCTTGCCTCGCAGGCTCTGGCTCTGGACAATGGCTTTGGCCGTACGCCGCCAATGGGTTTCAATACCTATAACCCTGCCGCTTGCACCATTAATCAGACTTATATTCGCGATACCATCAACGCTTTCTCAGACAAAGGCTTCGGCGCTGCTGGCTACAATATATTTGGACTCGATTGTGGTTGGCAGGGTACTCAGCGACAGGGCAATGGTTCGATCACCTATGATGCCACAGCTTTCCCTGATGGTATTCTCCCGTTGAGCAAACTTGCAAACAGTAAAGGCTTTGTGCGTTACACCAGTCGTAAAAGTGAAAGTAACTTGGCTGACAGAAAATCCACCAGAAATNGGGGCATGTATACCGACCAAGGTGTGAAAGCCTGCGATACTGGAGTTGATCGACCGGGCTCTCTGAACCACGAAAAGCAAGACGCACTACAATTCGCTGGCTGGAATGTTGCGTACATGAAGGTCGACAACTGCTGGATCACTGCTGATTCCAACGCACCCAAGGACCCCAGAACAGACTTCCCTTCCCGATTCGGGGCATTCTCTACTGCTATCCAGCAAGTCGGCATCAAGGGCATGTTGACCTGCCAATGGGGCGTCCCGTACTCAAGCCCCAGCGGCCTGCAAGGTCCTGCCGAATGGACGCCGTCAGTGTCGACTTCATTCCGCGTCAGCGACGACATTACTACCGGCTGGGCAAGCATCTCTCGCATCTACAACGAGGCAATCAATGTCAACTTGAGAGGCTTGAACGGCCCTGGCCACTTCTCCGACATGGATCTGCTCGAAGTCGGACAGCCTGGTATGACTACTGATGAGCAAGCCACCCACTTTGCCATCTGGGCCATGTTCAAGAGCCCCCTGATGATCTCGACAAGTATTGGAAGCATGTCAAGCTCCACTCAAGCAATTCTGCAGAACAAGGGCTTGATTGCAATCAACCAGGATACTTTGGGCAAGCCAGTGGTCCTTACCCAGCGTTTCTCTGGTGACAACGATCAGTTTGCAGGTCCGCTTGCCAATGGGGATGTAGCCGTGCTTCTTGTCGACTTGACAAACACCAAGCGCAGCCTGGGCATCTACTTCTCTGCCCTCAACATTTCTTCTGCCACCATCACTGATCTTTGGACTGGCAAGACGGTGTCGGGCGCCAACAACTACTTCACCACTGTCAATGGCCATGGCTCCGTCGCTCTCCGCTTGAGCAACATCGTCAAATTCACACCCGCAACACCATCACTCAAGTACTACGAAGCCGAAGCTGGCAAGCTGGCAGGCAGTGCAGCAATCGCAACCTGCTCCGGCTGTTCCGGTGGCAAANAAGTCGGCAACATAGGCAATGGCGCGGGCAACACTCTCACCTTCAGCGGCATCCGCACAAGCCAAGCCTCCCCGGACGTCCGCTTCGACTACATTGACTGCGAGATTGGGTATGCCTTCGGCGGAGGCTATGGCAATGTCAGAGGAGCANGCATCAGTGTCAACGGTGGCGCTGCACAATCTGTCAGCTTCCCGTTGACGGGATATAACTGGGATAAGGATGTCACCAAGGGTTTCTTGGTGAGATTGTCTGGGTTCAAGACGGATGGTGATAATACCATCACCATCTCTGGGCAGTCGAGTATCTCGCCGTATGCTCCGGACTTTGACAGAATTGGTGTTGTGGCTTGATCTGAGAAGGCTTGATCGAGTTGTGGTTTGGGTGTGTTTGGTTGTTCGTTCCTTCCGTGCGAACGCTTGGTCGATAGGTACATGGGTATGAAAATGCACGGTACCAAGAATGACCAGAAGCATGTCCAAGAGACATTCCGTCATCAACATCGATATCCGTATTGTGACGACAGGGTATGCTCTTGCAAGTGCTTATGAGACGGTCGAGACCAAAACAGATCAAGCTGACAAGCCTCCGAACGCTGGACCCTGCAAGACGGAGAATAAACAGAGTTTACGGCAGCCAGAACGACGCTTGAGGACGCTCAACAAGTCCCGCTTCCAGATTATGCGTCGAGATCTGGATGGACGATGCAGTCCGAGACTGCAGATTCCCGGGGCGTCCCCAATTCTGAGCTGTTTGAGAAACAGGTTGTGCTTGATATATTGGAGGGAAGTGAACTTGGGAGGCAGTCGCGTGGAGAGGAGGATAGGTAGCGGGGTTGCCGATCTCGGAGCTGAAGCCCGACGCTCATCTTCGAGAAGTTGTCCTTGTTCCCATTTTCTCCTTGCGCCCGTCAGCACCAGCCTTGTCAACCTTGATGGAGATACTTGTGGGCAGGTATACACATCTTGGATTGGATCAGGGCTGACTGCGCTTCTGGATCCTACAGGTACCAAGCCTTTTTGCAGCTGTTCCAAGATCTTCCGGGCTTTCTCGAACTCGGACGTCAGGCGTGTCGGACTCGAACTGCGACCGTGACTTTGATACAAGCATCGCATATAAGCTTCTCAGAATCGCAGTCGATGTGAGCGCCATGCTGACTGCCTGCGTTCATAACCTGGTATCCTCCAAGCCACAGTGCTGCTTGCGATTCTGTCAGCCAGTGACAATACCTTGTATCTGGAGTCTGGAATGCATACTGCAAGGAATCTCACTGATCTTGCAAGACAGCTCGAAGCTGATGATAAGTACTCGAACAAGGTGAGTGCACACTGCAACAATCCAGTCCCATAAGAGTAGGTCCTTGCTCCGTACAAAGGAGGCATCAGCATCTTCCTTTTCTTGAACCATCCAATCTGTTCTTTACAAGTCAAACGCTTTCTCAACCTTCACATTCTCACGATGCATCTTTCGAACGCTCTCGCTCTTTCTCTCCTTGCCGTATCTGCTTCGGCAGCACCTCCACATATCGAAGCCCGCAAGGGTGCTGCTCCAGTCGGCGGTCCCGCCACGGCAAAAGTGACCATCTACAGCAGCTACACTTGTCCTGCCCCAGGCACTGTAAGTCATACAACTGAAACACACACAAATTGCTGATCTTCCGATCAGGCCCCATCAACAGACGGCAGCGCAGGAACAGCAACCTCCTTCACAATCGCTGAGGGCACATGCGCAATCCCCACCGCTGGTCTGATATTCGGAGGAGCAGTCGCTGGAGGAGCAATCACAGCGACACTCTCAACTATACCAAAAACTGGTACTGTTGGATGTGAGTGTCTGTCTTGGATGCTTGCAAAAGCATTGCTGATTGGATATAGGCNNTATATTCTTGGACACAGTCAACAGGGCTGCGGTATCACGCTTACCAATGATCTTTATGGTTGGCCGTTCAATGGCATTGCAGTTGGCAACAGCGTTGGCTGTGGAAATGCACCAGCTGGTACTGCTTGGGGTGCTTTCGAGATTCTTTGTGTTTGAGCTAGGTGTTTTAACGAGTCCAGACCGCGATTGTCTTCCTTCAGAACGACTTCTGTAAGTGTTCGAGGGTCTTATAATAACTCCCTTGGAATGAAAATGCTTGAGAGACTGGCTTATTCTCTCTGTAGACATTGTATACACTACGGCATTCCCGAGACCTTGTTATTGTTGACAAACGCTTCTAGGTTCTCGAAGGCCTGCCACGTGTAAAGCTATTATCAGAGCAGCACCTGCGTAGCAGCAACCGTGAGTAGCTTGGTTCATCCAGACCTTGTCTTCTCCTTGACACGATGCTTCTCAAGGATGTCCCTTCGTTCCAGACGATCTTTTTGCTGCTTGTGTTCGTTTTGAGTGCGAGATCATATCCAGTGCTCAACAAACAAGAAACGTCCCAATGCTCAGCAAGAAACATTGCAATCGTTCGCCGGATAGTTCTTGACGAATCGTACTTCTGCAAGTGGTGGTTATCCGAGTAAGTTTTACTATTGATATCCAACTTCGCAGATGATGTCTGACGTCCACTAGTGCTCGGACCCGGTCGCCTTTCTTGGAGTTCACTCCGGCCCAGGTCGATAAGCTCTGCAGATGTATCGTAACGACATCCCCAAAGTCCAAACGTGAAGATACTTCCACAGATGAGTCTCTTCTCGAGAAGAGACAGACAAAGGCTGCATGCAGCGCCGAAGTCAGCATCCAGTTCACACAACCGTGGCGCTTCTGCAAATTCTACAATGCCTAGTATGTCATCCCATTGTGGCGATGAACCACTTTTAGCTGATGAATTCAAAGCCCCAGAACGACCTCTCCCTTTGCAAAATATTCTGCCAAGCGACTCATCGCACTCTGCAACTGTGCAACTGACCAGGCTACATCTTCCACAAAGAAATCTTCTTCATCGGTTTGCAAAAATCCATCCTCCTCAGAAAAATCATCTACTTCTAAGCGTCTGTCGACCACAAAGACATCGTCAACACAGCGACCCACTTCAACCAAGAAGTCATCATCGACCCAGAAGACAACTAGCAGTCTGATCAAATCTTCATCGCAGACATCGTCTAGATCGTCAACGAAGACCTCGTCCATGAGCAAGAGTACACCCAGTTCTGTCAAGCAAGTCATCAGCTCGTCATCAAAGTCATCGTTAACGAGCAAGGCCAGCACTACCACGAGCAAGCCCAGCACTGCCTTGACCAAGGCCAGTACTATTACGAGCAAGCCCGTCTTGAAGATCTCCTCATTGAACACCGTCGTCAGTATTCCGAACGTTCCTTCGCTCAGGCCTTCATCCAAATCCTCGTCTTCGACAAAGATCTCCAGCAGCTCAGCAAATTACACCCCGAAGTCCTCGTCAACGCTCAGTAAGAGCGTCATTAGCTTCGCCAGTTCTGTCTCCAAGAGTCTGTCTTCGAGCAAAATCGTCAGCAGCTCCACCCGGACGACCTCGTCTGCTGAAGTCTCCACCACTTCAAGTGTTCCTTCCTGCTTAGCCCAATCAGCACTCCTCTCGAGTAACCCCGGGCAGTTAGCCCAAGCTTCGGAGTACTGTTCGTCTCTCCTGAGACCCGTCGTCACAGCTGTGACTACTACGACCGAGGTTTCTAGCACTACACTGCCAACAATCTGAAGCACCTCAATCGTGGTCTTCGATTCCTCATCCGTAGAGACTACCACGCTGACTGGTATTGAGACTGCGACCGTAGCCATCTCCGTCACGGCCGAATCCACAGCAACCCAGACAAGTGATTTCGTTGATTACGTCGAAACCACAAACATCGGCACTACGTCTGTGGAAATTGTCACTGGATTTGAGACATCAACGGTACTGGCTGCCCGAGACGTCGGTCCGTCCCCAATGCCTGAGCCAGAAGGCTGGTCCACACTGTCATCTGTGGAGAGCCTCACGCTTTATGGCCAAATCCAGCGTAAATAATCAGGTCAGCTACAATGGAGTGCTCACACTAGGAGATACCAGCGAAGACTACTTTGCCCAGCCTCTTCTAGACCAATTCATGGGTGATGTTATTGCTTTCGCTTTTGGGACGATCCGTTCATCTACCAGGGAACTTAACAAGGCATCTACTACGAAGTGAGCGGATCCGCACCTCACCGACAAATAGTTTTCGAGTTTTACATCGGCAAGGACAGCGATCTGACACAATACTATCATTTCTTGATGAAGTTTGCTGAGGACAAGCCCAACATCGTCACGTACCAATATCTGAGTGTCAGCGATCACGGCGGAAGAGCCGCTGTTGGTGTGCACTTGTAAGTCACTACATCCTCTGTGAGCTATGCCTTTTTGACCGATGTGACTTTAGTGAACCAAGCTATACAATTCTCATATCGTCAGACGGTTTTTGCCTTGGACTGCAACCTTCTGACCATACAACTCAATTACCTCAAGACCCCCTTGCCCTTTGCTCACTCAGCACCAGATTCTCGAAATCGGTTGAGTCGCCTGACCTGAGCCTCCTACTGCTTTTGCACACGATGGTTCCTGGTGCAGTAGGCACCAGCATAGACGCAAGCCTGTCCCTCACCGCAGTCGGCAGAAGACGAGCATATATTGTCGTAGTCGTTGCAGCTGGGCAAAGATGCACAAACGGGCTCAGANCATGCTCCTCGACCACCAGCACATCCCTGGCGATCGCCGCTGTGACATTCGGAAGATGGGTCGGGAGCGGAGGTGTAGACCTTCACGGTCTCGACAGCAGCGGTGATGGTGGTCACGGTGATACCAGCACAGGAACAAGCGGATCCATAACGAGATGCAGCAGATCCGCGTGGTTTGGACGCATAAGCCGGGACCATGGATTGTTGAACAAGAACTTTGGTCGGGCCAGTGGAGTAGACAGTCGAGGCTCCGAAGTATTAGTTGTAGTAGGAGACGGTCCTAGGAAGCATAAGTTACCACCTCTGCCTCAGCAACATCTGGACCACTTACTCAGCAGCGGGGTAGGTCGTGGCAGTTTGGTAGCTGGAGCAATCGCTCTGGCTTCCGCTGAGGGCCGGCTGGGCTGCAGTGCCGGTGACGGCGCGTGCGCATCTATCCTTTGAGATCGGAGCNAGTCAGCAGGCTTTTCGCAATCGTTGCACAAGAAGGAGCCATACAGCGTTGCAAACGGGTCTTGCGATGACAGTGCTAGCACCTGGAAGGGCAGCAATAACGAATAAAATGAGTCTCATGGTGAAGAAGGTCTAAGGTGATAGTGCTTCGGAAGTCTTGGTTGGCAATGCTCTGGTCTTTCAAGGTGGCAGGTCATGAAGGGTATTTATGTCTTTAGGATTGCTCGCTTTCAACATTGTCGAGCTGACGATACACATGCAAGTTTCTTGTCACTCGGCTTCGATTTCGATACTCAGCTTGGATGTCCAAGCTTGAATCCTATGATCAAGTTCGCAGATGGCTGGCTGGAGAGCTGCGCGAACTGTTGTTCTTATGCCAAGAGTTCTGAAAGAGACCATGGTTTGCGAGATGGAGGGGAAATGGCGGAGGTGAGACACAATCGAGCTTCACCGAGCATTAGCAGCTGAAAGACACTTTAAAGCACCTATAATCTGAAGCAAAATAGGCGCTCAGCTCATTAGTCGTCGTGGTCAGCTTGATGGCGTCGCTTTGCGCCGGGCTGCATGTTGTGGTTGACGGCGTCGCCAGGAACAGAACATGCTCCATACTGGACGAGCTGAGGGATGATTCCATACCGGCAAGCTTTATCGAATCACTACAGCCATTGACTGCGCCAAGTGCTGTATACGAAGTTAGGCGTCCATAGACATTTATATATCGTCAGCTGTGCGGGGTAGTTCCTGCATGTGGCTTGCACGTGGAGAAAAGTTCCTGGATCTTAAAATAGCTCATTAATCAAGATAGAAACTCGAAGCAGTCCAACTGTGGCTGCAAAACTCAGGTGGTGCACCTATCCGCTTGATGAATGTTTGACGCGGCGACGTAACACAACATTGCCTGAATGTCAATAACGATCTTGTTTAGGACAAACATAAACATATCACTTGTGATATGGACGGTAAATACTTCGCGTTCAGCCAAGACACCAGAAGCTCTGTAACATAGACAGGAGCCGATTGAGGTCCAGGTCGATGGGAAGAATCGTGAGTCAAAGATTCGACAGCCCGCCACTTTATACATTATTGCAGTGCATATCTCACAATCGGCGCACGAAGGAAGAGCTGTAGCACCGAAATCGTGGCCTTGTGCCCATCATGTGGCTGTTGTATCGGCTGTTCTAGCCGCTTAGTATCGTACGGAATGTTGCCACAGATCACCAGCCAGCGAAAAGCGGAATTGAACCATAATGAGCAAAGCGAGTGAATCTGGTAGCAATGTCTGTAAGTTTCCTGGTCCAATTCGATGGTCTCCAATATCTCTGGTCCTTGTGAAGTCGCATGTCTTGGTGTTCAACCCTTCACTTATACACGCGCCGAAATTTGCCAAAGTGTTCAGTCATGCACAGAGCGGATCACGACTGGGAGCGTGTCACTGGCTGCAAGAGCAGCATCTGTGGTTGATTCGTCTGCTCTGTTCCTGAGTTCGCCAGATAACGTCGAGCTGCAATCGACCGAGGGCCTTCCATCAGTGCCTCAAGATCACTTGCCCAGGGATCGGTCGAGGTTTTGGCGTAGTCTTGCAGCATCTGCCACAGAGCGTCGATTTGCTCGCACCGCTCAGACAGTGCGAAGCATCGAACAGCGGCAGGAAAATGCGGCATGACGGCGATGATCACCATGTGAAAATGAGCTTGGAAGACTGCTGCCAACGGGTCTGATGCGCAGATCTGCTCCACCAGGCCAGGGGCCCAATGCAGCCAGTATCGTATTGGAAAGATGGCTTTTAGTTGCGCAAAAATGGTATCTGGCTTCGAAAACATGCGTAAGTTGGACACGAAGTGGATGAGTTCTTTTAGTGCTCGAAGGACAACTTCGTGGTCACGGACATGATGTCTGAGGCGGCTAAGTGGAGGTAGGATGATTTGTACCTCAAGCTCCAAGGGAAGACTTTGGAACGCGTCAATCTGCAATGATGGTCTCCAATATTCGACGAGACGTGAATCGATGTTCATACTGTCCGTCAAGTCGAGAGCCTGTGTGGCCGGCGTTAGTGTGATCTTCATGCTCTGGACGAATAATGTCTTACGAGTATGACCCCTTTCGAGAGTTTGACGTATTCCTCACTTTGGAGAGTTAGTTGCTGGAGTCTTGACTGGTGGAACCATAAAACATTACCTGTCGGTTGCGACCCATGACAACAAGAACGAGGCAGCGAGAATTGCCTCTATGTTTTCGGCATTGGGATCAGATAAAGCAGCGCGAAGCCCACGAAGCGCCAGCCCTCTATACTGGTGTGTGATCACGTCGATTGAGCTTATTCTAGTGAGCATCCCGATATAATAAGTGACGAGTGCACACATTCCGTAGCGAGCGAAGTCAACAAACTGGGAGAGACGGACAATCCTAACAGTATGTAAGACTTTGGTCAAGTTGTGCATCTCCGACTACTCACTCTGGAAGTATTTTAGAACCAAAAAGGCATGTCTAGCAAAGTGGCCCGTTTGTGCTGCAATCTGCGCAGTCTGATGTATCAGAAACCGGTCTCGAAGGGGAGTTGGATAAGGCTCGAGAAAAGTCCATTCTATGCCGGGACTGTTGTTTGTACTGCAAAGATATTGCAAAAGCTGCCCTGAGATGCACGACTCGTCCACAACGGCTTCAGANTTCACAGTCTTGATAAGTGCATCGGAAATGCTTCTTCGAGCAATTGAGGCTGTGCGAGTCGTTAGACGAGGTGTGTGATTTGTCGGACGAGACAGAAATATAAAGACTCACCACTCAGGACGAAATTCATCGCATCGTATCTTTCTTTGACGACATGTCCAACTACAGTTCTTAGATAACATACACACAGTCCTTGGAAAGCGCAATACTTACCATCCTCTACGAGATTTTGTATGCGCGCGCCGGGCTCTTGGTATTCTTTTGACTTCCATAACAAAGGCCTCGCAGAAGACTGACTCAAGGGCGAACCTGATAAGTGGAGTAGCAAGGATGGGATGCCGAGGTTGTGGGATTGGTCTCAAGAGCTCTGCACTGCGTATTGTGTTGGAATAGAGTAGGTTATCGGGAAGTTGTGGAACCTGACTTTGACGCCTGCTGACTCGTCTGCAGGCCAACGAACAGGGGTCTATCGGCGAAGTCGCGAGCGGATCCGATCAACAGACGCGGCGAGAATGCGATAGTGCGGCCAGAACCGGGAACCGATGTATAATCAGATTGTGCTCTCTCAACAACGGTGACACGAGACTCGACTAGCGTGGAGTTGCGTGATCGAGAAGTTGACGGAGAATTCCCTGATACGTGTTCATAGGCCTGGTGTACGGGGAGGCAATGCTTAGTCAGACGCCCCTCAATGCTCCTCTTCATGGTTGATCGTTCAAAGATGACGCGAATGGTTAGAAGCGTGCAGAGGGATCTACGTCCGCTTGCACCTGCCATCAGCGCACTGATTGTTCTTCGGAGCGCGCATCCGTATGACCGACAGGCCGAATCGGATTCGGATATTGACGATGTAAAAGAGCCCCGCACTTTTGGTTTCGTACAAGATCGACGGCCCGCTAGCTTGTACGAAAACCTTAATCATGCGGAGTAAATTCGACCCCGACTGCTGTCACAAGTCTGAGAACATGAAACTTGTGACGCCGATCCTGATCCTTGTGTGAACCAACGAGAACGAGAACTCTGAATTGACCGTTGTGCCGGCCACTAAGGTGCAACGAACCTCCAACAGACCCCTCCGACCTGTAGACGAAAAACGATTTGGCATCTCGATGAAACGCTCGCAAACATTGCTAGATGGTTCATAGCGCCAGACGCACGTGTACAGACTCAGTTCATCGTGGTTGGGCGATGATTGTGCCAGAGACAAGTACTGTACTGTGCATAGGCGAAGAACGGCCGACACCTTTATATACATCCCTCCCCCATTGTGCTCTATACCTCCCAGAACCGCTGAGCTCAGTACTCCCCACAGATATGAGCAAGGCTATACCATCACCTTATGGGTACCCATTGTTGGGTAACACCCTTGAGATCGATCCAGAAAATCCTGTCCAGAGCTTTGCAAGATTCGCTGGCATCTATGGTCTGGCACATCATCTGGAAACACTCGTACAAGACTGATATCGGTTCAAGGCCCAATCTTCAAGTTGAGACTTCCATCGGAGTGTATCCACGTTGCAAACTATGCATGCGCAGAGCCTTTTCAATGAGAAGAACTTCAACAAGTCAGTGTCGGGGCCTTTGGAACAGGTCCGCCATGCAGTCCATGATGGCTTGTTCACGGCCTACCCAGACGAACCCAACTGGGCGATCGCTCATCGTACTCTGATGCCTGCGTTCGGTCCGCTGCCTATCAAAGAGATGTTTGGAGGTATGATATGTCACGCAAGACCGTTCACCATAATGCTGACTGGAATTTCACGTTGAAGAGATGCAAGATATCGTCTCGCATATGGTCCTGAAATGGGCTAGATTCGGCTCCGAACATCCCATCGGAACCAGTGACGACTTTACTCGCTTGACGTTAGATTCGATCGCTTTGTGAGTAGCTCATACGATCCAGATGACAAGGACATACAACTTATTGGCTTTCAGCTGCGCTATGGGTGCCCGCTTCAACTCTTTCTATCATGAACATCAGCATCCTTTTGTCGATGCCATGGTGGGAACACTGCCCGAATGTTCCGCCAGATTCAGGAGACCTCCGATGACAGGCTTCATGTACAGAAGACAAGACGAGAAGTTCCAGCTGAACATTGATGTCTTAGAAAACACGAGCTCATTTTGTCGAGTGGCTTAAATCTGCCGATGCTGCACAGCTCAAGGATGTGAACTACGCTGTCTTCGGTGTTGGATCAGTGAGTCTTGCTCTATCGATATAAACTCGAGGAAAAGAGCTAATCCCTCTATCCAGAGGAATGGAGGGCAACTTATCAAAAGGTCCCGGCCCTTGTGGATGACACCTTAGCCGCTGGTGGTGCCAAACGTCTGACCGAAAGATACGCCGCCGAGGTGACCCAGGGTAACATCTTCGACAACTTGGACGCTTGGCTCGACACAAAATCCTGCCCTGCACTCCGCGAAGCCACTGGACAGGAATCCGATTCCAATGCTGAAAGCGGCGCTGTCGAGGAGTTGAAGATGACCCTTGATACAAACGTCCGCTCTGACCATCTTCATTCCGATGCACAGCTCGGAGAGGTTTGCGAGACTCGCCTTCTCACATCTCCAGGAGCCCCCAGAAAGCGTCACATCGGTATCCAACTTCCCACTGGTGTGAGCTACCGTGCCGGCAACTATCTGGCAGTGCTACCCATCAATCCCGTGTAGGTAGTCAGACGGGTCATGACCCGCTTCAGAGTTCCGTGGGATGCAATCATGACCATCGACCCTTCGATGTCAACTAGTCTTCCCACAGGAAAGTCTTTGCCTGTTCAATCTGTTCTGGCCAGTATGGTGGAGCTGGACTTGCCTGTGACGGCCAAGGCAGTGTCAGCCGTAGTTGCAAGTATCCCGGACAATAAGACAGCCGAGGAACTCACCAAGACGTCTGAGACAGAAGACTTCCAGAAGCAGAACATTTTTCTCTTGGATGTTCTTGAGGATTATCCCTCGGCCACCTTTTCTCTGGGCCAGTATCTATCGTGCGTCACCCTCATGCAACTGCGCCAATGCAGTATCTCTTCGAGCCCCCTGGAGGATCCTTCGGTCTGCACTCTCACCTACAGCTTCATCGATGCCCCTGGTAAGAAGGGCTCTAGATTCCTCGGTGTAGCCACTACCTATCTGGAACGTCGTGGGGAATCAGATCCACATTGGTCTACGACCTAGCCGCGCAGGCTTCCATCTGCCCAACGATGATTCCAAGCCCATTATCATGGCTTGCGCAGGCTAGGACTTGCACCTTTCTATGCCTTCGCCGCAGAAAGAGCTCTCAAGAAGGCTGGTGGCGTCTCTGTTGACCCAGCTCTGCTGTTCTACGGTTGCAATCGCCCAAGCGACGACGATATGTACAGAGAAGAATTCGACAATTTGGAAAAAGAGGACGCCATCTCTGTCCGTCGGGCTTATTCATCCGAGGCCGAGGCCTCTGAGGGGTACAAGTCTGTACAAGAGCGTATCTGGCACGACCGGAAGGATGCTATCAAATTCTTCCAAGACAATGCCGAGCTTTACATTTGCGGAGCGGGTCATGTTGGTTCGGGTGTCGAGGATGCCATGGCACGCATCAGGATGGAGCAGAAGGGGTGAACAGAAAGGCTGCGGAAGACTGGGTCCGTTCGACTAAAGGTGAAAGGTACTGGGCTGATATTTTCAACTGACGGAAGGTTTTCACAAACTTTCAACACGTTTGGTCCGAATGTAGCTGCTTGGTTTCTTTTGTAGTTGTTGTATCCTATCTCTATGTCTGTTCCCAATCTATCGAGCCATTTTCCCTGCAAATTCTCGATTATCCTTCGTTCTGAATACAGAAGTTCATCTCCAGCGCTTATTATTTCGCATGGTACTACCTCCGAAGTGGTTCAGCCCGTTTCCAAGACGGCTGACCACGATTTTAACGTCACAAGAGACTGATTTTGTGGCCCGACACTGTGCGAAAGACAAAGAAATCACTCGCTAGTGAAAAGCTCTTGAGTATCGACCCTACACAACCGACCCTGTTAACTTCTGCATGTCCGGGGTTCTGCACGACGTATGTATTCCGTTGAGAACCGCTCGGTGACGATGGCGCGTCTCTTGATCTTTACATGAATCAGCCTCACAGGCTGTGATATGCATTCTTTGCGACGCATAGAACAAGATACTAACAGATGCAGAACAACATGCAATTCTTAGAAGTCGAGTAAGACTGATATCCATCAGGTTGTCACAGTTTAGGTTTCTCATTCAGTAGTTGTGGGTGACACCATGGTCCACCCTCGCTAGGTCGTTCCCAGCCGCATTGAGTTGTTCAGTTACCACTCCGGTCAGGCCGAATTTGGTAGTATTATGAGAATATGGCTTAATGAGGTGACAAAGTGCGTCATTTGTAGTCTGGATATGTATAGTGTTGGAAATACTGATCTAACAAACTTCCATTTGAGATGATGATAGGACGCGATGAATTCTCTCTAGGCACCAGCATGCGAAAGTCTGTTATGTTCTACGTTTGCAATTGAGCGGATGCTCAACTAGTAGTTAACTACAACAAGACCGGTGTAAGCGTGCCCAGCGGCTTCGTAGATTTAGGTCTTGNNGGTCTTGGGACCTGGCTGCATGTGGCAATCCCACAAGCGTCCGCTGAGATCTGCCACAAAGAACCGTTGCTTCTCGTCACTGATGCGAAGGCCGATGGCCTCGCCAAATCATTGCGCGATGATCTGGCGGCCAAGTGCCTCTTCCTCAGCCGGTGCTCCACCAGTGAGGGTCTTCTTGTTCAAGGTATTGCCAAAAGGCAATTCGCCTCGAGGAGTCCAATAGAGAACGCCTGTGGGTTCATCAAGCTCCAGGTCGATAGGCTCGGGCAGTCCGTCCAAGATTAGTTCAATGTCCTTTCTGTTTGTTGCATCGGCTCCTGAGGGGGTCTCTNNGATGTTGGCAGAGAAATTAAGTCTCTGGGTTGACTCGGAAGGGCCTTTCTGGGTTCAGAAGGACTTTTGCAGCTTGTCGGAGAAGGTGACGCCAAGAGGCCAATTGATCTGATTATGAACTTTGTCTTCTTCGATTTCCCAGTTGCCAGTCTAGATCAAGACTTCGTGCTCAGAACCGTCCAGGTTAGACCGGTGGACACGCAAGCCTTCGCAGTCGCAGAAGTATAGACTCTTGTTGAGTCCGTCGATATGCAGCTGCTTTGGGGTATGGATAGCGCCAGGCTCAATGACTGTCTTGATGTCGATGCCATCGAGCTTGGTAGAGTAGACTGCGCCGTCGTTCTTTGGTGGTAGGCCCATGCAAGTCCAATACATCCTATCGTCATGCACATCGATGCCGTCGGGGCATTTTTGATCTGTGACGAGAGCGATAGGGCGTGACGATTTTTGNTCGATGGACAATTGGAGGATCTGACCACTGCTGACCAGTTCGTCCAAAGGCAATTCTACAGGTCAGGAGCCTTGGTACATGTTGGAGGCCAACAGCTTGGTACCTTGACCCTGGGCAGGAACAGGATACAGTCCACCCTCATCGGATTTGTTGCCAAGTTAGCCCTTCTCGATATAGTTACTGAGCAACCACTTGAGTGTGGTGTCAGGCAATCCTCGATAGTGCACGTAATGAGTCTCGATGTTTTCGACGGTATCCAGACCCACACTATCCAACATGGTGCACGGTCCTGAAGGGCTTTAGTACTGTTCCATCCAGATCGTGTCAATGGTTTCGGGATCGGATACACCCTCTGCGATAACCGCAAGAACTTCGCATTTGATGGCAGCCCAGATACGGTTGAAGATGAAGCCAGTCGACTCCTTCTTAGCGGATACAGGATGAAGACCTGCCTGGCTGAGTTCAGCCTCCAAGAAGGGNAATATAGCNTCCTCGGTGGAGCCGCTTGTCATGAGCTCGACTATCAGAGCNCTAGGAGAGCAGTCAGTCAAGTTTTGACACCAAAGGAATTCGGGAATCAAGACTTGAGGAGGCATCATGTAATGAGTGTTGAGTACACGCGTCTTCGTGGCATCCTTGACCTTGCCGAGAAGCTCACTGCTCTTGTACAAGGAACTGTTGCTTGCAAGAATGCTGTCTTGTGGGGCATATTTCTCAAGGTCAAGGAAAGTGTCCTCCGCATCGCAAGCTTTCATCCTAGACTAGACCGATAGTATAGTTGACAACGGGTAATTCGAGGGAACGAAAACTCTATTTTGTGCCCGGGGACTTTGCCGCAGATCTAGCGGGTCGGTTACGTAGCCGTGGGGTATCTCTTAATTGGTGGTCCAGTGTCAACGGTCCCGCGCAGAAGGTTTTCGTTCATCTGTTAGCGTACGAAGAGGCAGTCTATCCCACCGGCAAAGCAGTACAAAGTTAGGATCACTTATACCACCGCTACAACGAATTAAATTTCTTGCTCTATGGACGGGTTCATCTTAGGTCGGCCCAATCTCCTTGCACAGACTTGATGGGAAAAGTTGAGTTGATCTAGAACCGACTCCTCCGTGTACCATTGCGAGCACAGTCAGTGACAACATGATCGCAAGTAGAAGTTAAGATCAGTCTCTAATGCATTTGCCTTGAGAAATAAATATCATGATAGGCCTTGGGGCGGTGCCAATCGCTGACATACACGAGGAGGCTTTCTGTGCTTAGCTGATATCGATGAAAGCCCTAGTTCCAAGCTAGTAATGCATCTACGGATACGACTTCTCCTCTTGATATTCCTTCAAGTTCTGGAATCATAGCACCTGGTCCTGTGACCGCAGATCTTGTACTGACGTAGACTGCGATAGCCTGTCTTCCAAGACCACCAGGTTGTTACATATAACACTGAGCCAGAAACCAAAGGCATTCGATCTAGCGCCCTTGAAATATTTGCAACGAATCTATCGTTATTTCGACGATCTCTCGATAATAGGCTTCACGAAGTGTTTTTAGCTAAGACTTTGCTGATGGAGATACGTCAGAGCAAGTGCACAGATACTGATCTTCGCTCGGCTTTGTTTTCGTGGTGTACAAAAGTCGTGCATTATCCCATATCTCACTCCATAGATCTTCTCTTACTACAACATCATAGAGTACCCAAATTCCTCAACAATATGCATCTCCCTTCCATCCTCCTCGGTGCCACTATCTCAGGCATAGTCACTGCTAGGCCTATCGATCTAGATATCCGTCAGGCTTCTTGTCCTAGCTACAGTAAGTTCTGAGTAACGAAACATCTATCATGATAGTCTTGACTAAGTCCCTTCTCAAGCCNNCTCATCGATACCAGAGGCACTGGTGAGCCCCAGGGTCCTTCTGCCGGATTTCAAACTATGAACACCAATGTTCTTGCGCAGAAGCCCGGTGGTAGAGTCGTATGTGTATGTGATCTTTGTTCCAGTGTCTAAAGAGCTGAATTCTATAGTACAGCACAATCTATCCCGCCGACGTCTTTGGAATAACCACAGGTGGTACTCAAGATGTATGCTCATTCAACCAATCTCGCTTCCACCCACACTGCTGATATTGAGTGTCAGATCATAAATCATATTCACGCCACACTCGCATCCAACCCTGCTGAATGCTTCATTCTCCAAGGCTATTCTCAGGGCGCAACCGCAGTGGTCAAAACTCTGCCTCAACTCACTGGTCCCGCTTTCGATGCTGTCAAAGCAGTCTTGCTCATCGGCAACCCATTCCACAAGGCCGGCCTTGAATGCAACGTTGACTCCAATGGTGGTACCTTGACAAAGGATGTCAACGGTGTTTACGAGCCGTTACACCCAGGACTCAGTGTCCCATCGAACTGGGTCTCAAAAACAAAAGACGTCTGCGCATTCGGTGACTTCGTCTGTGACACTCGCGACGGCCCTCTCATCGCCGCCCAACACCTATCTTACCCTTTCAACCCTGCAACGCAGGACATGGGCACCGCGTTCAGTCTCGCTCAACTCAACGGAAGCTCTTGAGTGGTATCATATGAGTCAACTGCATTTGTGACGTCGGCGCACGAGAGAGAATCTAATTACGGAGGGTCTGTGGGTAATCTCTTTTCTTGGCTCTTGGACCGTTCTTTGATCAATTCTTGAACTTGCTGTAATATATGGTTCCAGATTCTTTAGGTAGTTATACTGCAGATCTACATCTTGTATAGACAAGCCTACAGTGCTCATATTCCTGGTACTCCAGGTTTCCCCATATCCACAAACAAGTATCGAAGTCATGATAGAGAAAGTGCGGAGACGGCTTCATTGACCAACCGGCATTAGCACTAATAGCGTATGGAGTACATAACGTTCTATACGCACCTGTAGATACATACCACGCTTAGCAAAGCCTGTTGAAACCTTTTCCAAGCACCGGGCCGGTACTTCTCACGACCATCCCTAGCGCAACCGCAGGATTGGTGTGACAGGTGACAGGTCGAGTTTTAAGCCAAGCGGATTCGAATGTCCTGCGCAGATCCGCCACTCGTATGATCAACGTCACCTAGACAGCGCGAAGTCTCAACAGTGATAATCGGGTCATTACAGCTGAGTGCAAAAGCAGGAGGCGAGAAGCTTTGATGGTTTCTCAGCTCAATGGCTCGGTTGTAACCCAAGATAAGCATATGATACACGATATTACTGATCAACCTCCCGTCGATATTCCTGAATGGACGAATGGCTGATACGGTGTTGAAGGAAGCGACTTGCGATACATGGAAAAGCTAGTCTGTCAAGGTCGACGCATCATAGGTAGGATTTTTCGTCACATTCAAGGACTTGCTTTTCACAGCAGTTGCCACTCCGATATGCGCAGAGCTGGATCTTCCAAGCCTATTGTCTATGAGAAGTAATTGCGAAGCAGAAGTATGACTTTGAGATTTGTAGTATATAGGTAAATACATTAGGGATTAACGAGTGTTAAGGCAACGAATTACTACTGAAATAGGACCAATGAGGGTAAGGACAGACGAGACAAAGGAAACACGATAAAGATAGAGATGTCGGGATTCGACTCCCGACACTGTTCAAATAACACACTCCAAGTCCAAGAGAAGTGGGAAGATTGGACAAATAGGATCAGGAGAAAAATCGAGGCGATTCGGATCCAGGAATTGGTATCACGAGTCATCGGTCGATTATGTTCTTACAGGAACCAGGCAACAGCAGCAACTATGAAGAAAGCATTGGCGCTGTGCGAATTGACATCCATGTTGTTTCCTGCGCCAGTGAAGGTTGCAGGAGCAGATGCCGTAGGTGGACCACCAGAGTATGATGTACTAAAAGTTGCCCCCGAGGGTTTGGCAATGCCAGATGGCCCAACCATGGTAGGTGACCTTGTACTGTCCGTAGAGCCAAGAGAACCAGCAGAGCCAACGGAGCCAGTGGACTCAACGAACCCATCTGCTTGGGTAGAAGTGACTGAGGGAACATTAGACATAGTAGAGCCAGCAGATTCCATGGAAGAGCTGGATAGACCTGATTTAGTGTCACTGGAATCTTTCGTTGGGTTTGGAGAGCCAACAGAGTTGACAGGTGACGAGTTGGACAATTTGGGCATGTCAGAAGACTGAGCTGAGCCAGAAGAATTCGCAGAGTTGCCAATGCTCAAGCTGCTTGGTTCAGCCTTGCTAGAAGGTTGAACCGAGCCAGAAGAGCCGGCAGAGTTGACAGTACCAGAACTGATGGCGGATGAACCCATGGCAGTAGAGCCTGTGGCTCCAGCAGAGTTCGACAGGCCAACTGAACCAATTGCGCCAGCATAATCAGGAGACATAGGTGAGACGGTGGAACTAGCGGAAATCAATTGGATCTCGGATGTTGTAGTGCTAGACACGACAACGGATTTCACAGAGCCAGTGCTGCCAGTCGACCCAGTGGGTACGATAGAGCCAGCAGGACCGACCGATACCGGAGATCCAACACCTCCAGAGAAGTCAGATGGGTGTGCCGCAGCATTACCGGCGCAAAGTTCGATGTACAGGCAGTCGATAATGGCGTTGCCTGATGCACCTGCTGCATCTAAGCATCTCAAAGCACACGCGTCCAGATTCATCGACGGGAACGAAGTCTTCAGATCAGATTTGCAAGCGTTGACTTGTTGAACTCTGACAGCCGAAGATCCAGCCATATCGATGCAAGCTGCGGGCACAACCAAGTCGCAGGTGCCAGCTGCATTGTATCCTGGCGTGGCTGTTGACGGTTGTGAAGAGCTTACAGAACTGATCAGATTGGCTGAAGTTGCTTGAGTCGCGGGTGCCGCAGGTATAGATGCGCCAGATGCGTAAGGAGTCTTAGACATGTGACATGAACGAGATGAGCCGGAGCAGAATTCAAGTTGCAAGCAGTCGACAATGGCAACGCCGATAGTTCCAGCTATCTCGAAACACTTCATAGCACAGTCAAATCCATCCGAGTCGCTCCAGGATGCCGAGTGCCCAAGAGCGGATTTGCAAGAATCGATTTGTTGAGCGTTGACCGCTGGAGATCCAGTCATATCAGCACACGAAGATGGCAGTGTCAAGCCACAAGCTGGTCACGCTGTGACTGGGAGTGATGTCCGAGGGTTGCGAAGAAGTGATTGTGCTAGGGGGGCCAGACGAGATAGTAACGTCTGTGGAAGGGCATAACTCGGTGCGCACACAGTCGAGCACAGAGATACTGTCGCCTGACGCTATCTCGAGACACTTTTGTGCCGATCTGTATGCCGTTGATTGTCTGGGAGAAGATGAGGTAGCGGATGCTGAGGCTTCAAGAGCAGATTTGCAGGACTGTGCTTGCTGAGCAACAATCGTTGGGGTAGCAGTCATCTCGACACAAGCCGCCGGGACGACTGTGCTACAAACGCTGGAGGGGACAATAGTGCTAGTCGGTGAATGCGAGAAGCTGGTGAAAGTTGGTAGACGACACACGTATGCTGAGCTTCCTGAACCAGACGAACCAGACGAGTCGGAGCACAATGCAGCCTCCAAGCAGTTCACCAGAGCCATACCATTGCTTCCAGCTATCTCGAAGCACCGTTGTGCACAGAGGTAAATCTCTGGCTTCCCGGGAAAGAAGAGGTCTGGGAAGACGAGACAGCGAGAGCAGACTTACAGGATTCGACCTTTTGACTGCTAGCCAAAGTCGCCGAGGATGTAGCTAAGTCGGTACAGGCTGAAGGCAGAGTGATAACACATGTGCTCATGGGAGGAGAAGTGCCGGTAGTGGATGGTTGCGAAGAGGTGCCAGATACAGATGAGCTGGTGAAGTGACAGGATCCGGATGAGTGATCCGAGCACAGCTCAACTTGCAAACACTCTACTAAAGCTGCACCATTGAGTCCCGACACTCCAAAACATCTATTCGCGCACTGATAGCTCTTTGCTGCTGAGGGAGAGGCGGTACTCGAAGATGAGGCCGAAAGGGCAGACTCGCAAGATCGCATCTGCTCAGCGTCGGGAATTGTTGTCGAAGCAGCACTCATTGTAATGCAAGCGGCTGGTAGAGTGACAGCACACTTACTAGCCATGGTAGTGGTTGATGTTCTTGAGAAGCTAGTAGAGCTAGTTTGACTACATGCACCAGAGTTGACGTAGCATTCTTCGGTCAGCAAACATTCGAAGATGGCTGTGCCATTCACTTCCGTGCTCTCAAAGCATTTTTGAGCGCAAGTGGAAGTTTTCGAGTCTGGCTTTGGAGTTGAAGATTCGAGAGCGGTCCGGCAAGATGCGATCTCTTGAGCGTCGGCAGTCGCGACTGCCCCCATTTGGGTACAAACGGTAGGCAGGGTGACAGAACAGATTGTAGGAGTCACGACAGAGGTCGAGGTGCTGGATTCGGTACCCGATATCACTGAGCTAGATCTCGTGCTCATGCTTGACGTGATCCCAGTATCGACCGTGGTAGTGGTTGTGGTTGCAGTCGAGACTGTCGAGCTCAATCTCGAGGTGTTGCTAGAAACAGTGCTAGGAATGTTACTAGACATTTCCGAGCTCGGCGACCCAGTCGAACTTGTTGATATAGTAGAACCAGAGCTACTGCTTGACGAAGACAGAGTGGAGGACAGCGAAGTGGTAGACCTCGAAGGGATGCTAAGAGAGGCACTGTTGCTACCGCTCGTGGTTGTGCTAGAATTAGGAATGCTAGCCGAGGACGATGCGGTGCTAATGCTACTACTGCTACCGCTTGTAGTACTACTCAAAGCAGGTTTGCTAGTAGAGAGCGACAAAGTACCCGAGCTCGAAATAGGGGTACTATCCGAAGACGAAGAAGTAGCAGAGCTCGAACTGGTACTAGAAGTAGGGGTACCATCCGAGAACGAAGAAGTAGTAGAGCTTGAGATAGTGCTAGAAGCAGCAGAGTTCGAAGTGGTGCTAGAAGCAGGGGCGCTGCTCGAGGACGAAGAAGTAGCAGAGTTCGAAGTGGTGCTAGAAGCAGGAGCGCTGCTCGAGGACGAAGAAGTAGCAGAGTTCGAAGTGGTGCTAGAAGCAGGGGCGCTGCTCGAGGACGAAGAAGCAGCAGAGTTCGAAGTGGTGCTAGAAGCAGGAGCGCTACTCGGGGACGAAGAAGCAGCAGAGTTCGAAGTGGTGCTAGAAGCAGGAGCGTTACTCGAGGACGATGAGGTCTCTACAGGGCAACCGAACGCGTCCCTGATGCATCTTTGGATAAGGTCTCCGCTGAGGATCTGTGTCGCATTCTTAACAAGACACCCTAAGGCTTGAGGAGCGCCTTCCAGATTGTCCTTGACGTTTGCCAGCTCGAGTTGAGGTTGACAGAGGGCGATCTGGACCGGAATTTGAGCAGTTGGTATAGCATTGAACCCAAGACATCCTTCAGGGATCTGCTGGCATGTGATGATATTGGCAGAAGATCTCAGGGTGCCTGCTGCGAGCCACAAGAGACTCAAGGCAGTGGGATACTTCATCGTTGGTGCGTGTCGATATGTACTTGTAAACGAGTGTCAGGAGTGAGTGTCTGGATTCTCAATGCAAAGCGAAGGCAGTCCCGGTTTATATAGACATACAGGTTCGTCTGCAGTGGGCACCATTGAATCTAATGCACGGACAAGTTATCAATAGACGATCACACAAGACGTGATCAGACGTAACCTGTTCAGCTCTTGTCTCAGTCGAATTAAAGCGTTCGTTCGAAGGAAGCCAACGAACATACCTGTACTGCCATTGAGTCTCTTACAGATAGGCTCGATCAAGATATGCCCTCGTATTGATTCCCCACAATTTCTAAGTTTGATAGTGATTCTCGGCCAGGACGATTCTTCGTATACGCAAAGATTTAACGCTTTGACAGGCGTGTTCAGCAGGAGGAGTTGTCCCAAGGCGGTGTGCATTGTTCGCCTCTGACCAAAGGTGACGAAACTGTATTGCGTAGAACCTACCGACTGGACACAAGCCGTATACATGGATTACATCAGCCATTTTGATTCTTGTTCCGTACACAACCAACAAACAGATTCCAAGGGAGTATTGGGGGTCGATATTGATGGCCACTAGAGAAGACCAACGCGGTGCTGATCTTGCCGTTGTAGCGGTCGACGAGTCCTTGACCGGATTGTCAATCCCGGTATTGGCGCCATCTTGTCTTCCCTCATATCTCTTGGCCGAGTTACCAGATCGGGTGTCTTGATTTGTGGAGGTCATGTTATACGGTCGACGTTGAACATCACGGGACCGGTCCTTACGGTCTCAGAGTGTTTCTGTCCAAGTCATTTAGACTCTGCAGCTTGCGTGTACATCCCTAGAGAACCCAAAGAACCTGTCTGACACACTTTTTGATCATCTTCGCTCATGGTAACACGCCCTATGATGCAGCCAATCTATGACCTCGTGCAACTTTAACGCTATGAGAATCTTGTCATCACTATCTATCAAGAGTCACCTCTGGAGGGTCATAGTCTGAGCAAAATTTAAGACGGTATACGGTTTTTATTTACGAGTAACTACAGCTTGGAAAGCAAAACGGAAAAAACGATAACTTAAGGAATGGCGAGACGAACACACTAAACTAATGCCTCCGTATACCATGTCGTTGAATCTCACTTCAGTGGGATGTTGAGAGCTCGCATGCCATTGAACCCGATGCTAGTGAGAAGCGCAGTCAAGTTCGCGGTAGGGTCGTAATTTGGCGGAATCACAGTCTCGAGAAGTTCCTAGAAAGGATATGTGAGCGAATGATTGTTCCCAAGAAGGAGCAGACACATACTGATGGAGTACCAATGATGACTCTGACAGCATTGGGGAGGATATTGGGGTCCGCTGCCAACGATGCCGCAGCTACGGCGATCGTAGTGGCGGCATTCGTAGCTTCGTAGAACGGTCTCCAACCCTCGTCCCAAGGCAGTCTTTCCTCTTCAAAGAAAGTGCGTACATATTTAAGTGGAGCAATTCCGAGAGGTCCACCCATGGCAGTGAGAACGAAGCCCGCCTCGATAGCTCCAAAAGCTGCTGCTCGAGGCCCGTACAAGTCCTCAGGATTCATAGCAAGTGACTGGGTCACTCTGGCGGACTTGGCACGTCCAAGGTCAAAGGCGTTGACCATTGGTCCATCACCCATGGCGTCGAGTGCGGTTTGCCAAAGAGTCATGTTGAAGTCGTTGTTGTTACCAACGCGAGCATCTTGGCGCGACCAACTATCGTCATGTTCGATGAAGAACAGATGGCGCGAGAGATCGTGGAGATCAAAGCTGAGGGTGAGTGGGTGAGTTGATGACAAAGCTCCCAGCAGACCGATGAAACCAGAAACTTCGGGGGATACGCCCAAGCCGTTGAACAGCCCCAAAACGAGCTGGGCAATGTTTATGTTCTTTCCATCATGAGGGAGAAACCCGTGATTGGCAAGAGTGTTCAGAGCCGGGCATGGACTACGTGCNTGGAGGATCGTCAATTCCTATCCCTCACTCTGTGAGAGACATGAAAACTTACAATCGTTGGGACCGGCGGGGTGCCAGTTCAAGAAACGAGAGTCTTTCGGATCAAAAATGGGCTCACTTTGACTAGAACCCAAAGATGGCAGAATCGAGGACAAAGAGGTTGGGATACCCTTGGGTGCTGATGGAACAATGGAAGACAAGAACCCAGGATTGGGCAAAGCAACCGCAAGTTGGGCAATTGAAAGAGAGATAACAACAGGGGTCCGCATCTTGTTCAGAGACTTGGGATTTTTATTGATGAAGATAGTGTACGAGCCAGCTGTAAGGCAGTCGTCGAAGGGATATCGGCGAGCCTTTGTAGATTATATCGTACAGTACAGGATTCAAAATCTTCAGACTAAATCATTGATTTGATGCTCCACACGTCACACTAATGTCAGCAAACCAAAACTGTTTTACTTCTCATCAATTAATTGAAAGCTTGAATCGAATCGCTATGCCGACTTCAGAGTGTTTATACGCATCTGTTACATTCTCGTAAGGGTTGAGGATCCGCCTTGTCACCTCCACATCCCGTTGAACTATATTTCGGCACATAGGCCGGGGCATAACTTGAAATGGCAGTCTAACGGTTACTATGAGGAACAGCAAGCCGATCCAGGAACTGGTCGTGAACCAATCGCATTGATGGTATATAACAGACCGAGGTCGGTTCCGGTGGAACATTCGCCAGCTTGATGTCTCACCGTTCGCCGGAGAGCGACGCAGTATAGCGGACCGCGTCTGCTGGTACAGAACCGATTGCATCATCACAAACATATGCTCGATCTTCTCCGACGGACACAAGGGTCGAACGACGTCATGCAGCAAGAAATCTGTCCGTTCACGTTCTACACGTATGTATACATGAGAGCACAAACATGAAATGTCAGTTACGACAAAAATCTTATCTACGAGAACATAGCTCTACTGCATATCTAGCTACAAAAATCAAAGATTGGCCCCATGCCCCGTCGATACACTAGCTCGACCCAATCGACTTCTTCAATGTCGCCTCCAATTGCTAGAAGAGCGCCCTGCTCCTCATAGACAGCGTTCAATAATCTCAAGGCTGCTTCAGATGCTTCATTCATCCTTGAATCCCTCATTCTCTGAAGAAGATTGAGGGATTCAAACCTCTGCGCATCGATGTTCGTCGCATAACCAGCAAGAAAGATACACCAGACAATGGGATGTGTCCAGCTAGGCGCGACAGGTATCATCAGAGATACATGTGACAATATGAAGCTGCAATGCTCGGCAATGAGATCTCTGCGGCAGTTGGACGATGATCTTTGTCGAGGTACATGGAGGTAAAGAGATAGATTTCAATGGCCGCATAATGCATAAATGCAATGTGCTCATCCTTGGAGAATGTTCGAGTGCTTTGCGATGGGCTCGGAGCAAATCCTGCATGATAATTCGATAACACATGCTTGCACAATGATTGCCACACTGTATGAGTGTTCTCACGAAAGCTTTCGATGAGACGCGAGCATTCCTCAGGGCAAAACTAGCTGCGCGGGATTTCTCGCGAGTGAGCCTCGCGACTATACTCAGCTCCACTACCGTTCTTCGGAGAAAAGTCGACATCTCTTGTCCTTGCCGCAAGGAGTCGCTAGAATTCTGCCATGGCGAGGAGGTTGACGATAGATCCCAAAGTGGTTGAGCGTTAGATTCTAGGAATCTTTGTGCGTACGCACCTGCCTTTTCCATACCAGCAAGTACAGCGTAAGCATCAAGTGATACGATGTACGAGGAACATGAAGCGTAGTAGTGGTCCAACATGTTCTTAGGTTTGCATGGGATCGATTTCGAAAGAATCCGAAGATGAGTTGACATGCATTCTTCGCCTCTTTCCCCAAAGCTCGCATCTGACAGATTGTGTCAAACACCAGAAGGAGGAAGTGGAGGCAGAATACTTTGTCGGATCCAATGTGTCCTGATGATACGCCCCTCACAGCCTGTCCATAGTACTGGAAAGCAGTAGCAGTACAACCCATCACTGTATCTCCTGCATAGACGAGTGAGGATATAGCACAGACCGCGTTGAGAGTCGGTCGATAGTCTAATGCCATTGCGATAATGGCGTTTTCTCCCATGGGATCGTTGCTATGTGACTCTTGGCATAGATCTGAGAATATCCTTCCCGAGCTCACCAAGTGTCGGAAATGTTCGATATGCCACGCGGTAATGGGGTGGCTGGAGGACTTCCAGCATCTCTCCATTATCGGAGTGGTCAGCGATGTAGTTCTGAACGCAGTGTCCTCCGGAGATCGTTCTTCTGTAACGGTATGCACCGACTTTGACCGTGGTTTTGTGATGCAACAATGGTTGGCGGCCCTCCACTCGTCGGGTGAAGATTCTGAAAAGTGTGTTCTCCAAGTGGTTCGTGATCGAGCTTGTCCTTGCACACTGCATGATACTGATGACTCGGACGTTCGTCTCTGATCGGGTGGGTGCGAGCTACAGCCTGGTATTGTTGACCGATCCATTCATGGGAGGAGAGAAAAACATAGTCTTGTCTTCGATATTGGCACTTCTTCCCAAGATGGGTGCAGCGTCCACACTTCGGTCGGGCCTCGTCGCACTTAACTCGTCCTTGCCGACATTTCTGGCAGCCATTTCTCGACCGACCTTGCGAGATCCGTTTCCCTTTTGGCTCTTCCAAAGTGTTACGCATGGTTTGCTTGTTCATACTGAAGGTCTGGTTGTGTCGATTGTATGACACATTAAGTGGTGACAGTTCGGAGTCTTTGTATATATGGGTTTGCGAGTTGACTGTTTCCTATCTTGCTCACTGATCGGCCATGGTCAAAACATCATGAAAAATCATGACTAAAACCTTCGCTGAACTTGATGTGTCCAGCTCGGTGTCCCTGGTTCTTCTGGTAACCGTTTTTAGAGCAATCATGCTACCGGCTCGTTCCGCTGAGTCTGACAGAAGTGTACGAGCCGACTAACACGTCCGTTGTGCAGCTTTGGTCTGCTGAACTGTATTGGACCATGACAGAGCTGGTGCGGCCACGAACTGAGGCTGTAAAGTCTACTGTCTTGTCGCGTGCAACATCGGGACCTAGTAGGAGATCTATGCTCATTTTGAGCGATGTCCTTGAGTACTTTTCTGGTACGTTGGTTGCTTAACACTGGGTTTGCCAAAGACGAATGCATTCCTCAACTTTGCAGCACTATTCTTATCGACTTCGCAGTACATCATTCCCCATGCTCGCAGCACTAGTTCCATGGTGCGTGCAACGTTGCCTGCAAACCCCGTCCCGAGGTCTACCAATCACACGTTTCCGCCAAGATCGAACAGTCTCAACGGCCAATTCCTCCGTCCCCTCAGCTTAAACTCTTCGCAGAGCATTCAAACAGCCTTGAACTAAGCTTCGTATGAGCTGAACTTTTTACCGTAATTACGGGCGGAAGCAGTGATGCTAGATCATGATTTCGCCAAGACCTGTTTCAGATTGCGCTGGGCATTGTGCGAATGTGGATGACTTGGTAGTGTTACGCCGCGGAGCATGTGATGTCCGATCACTACGTATGGAGAGTCCGGTCGCCGGTCGGTGGTCCACTGCCTTTCTTTGACCCCAGCAAACTTTGTTAGACGGTTGATGTGCGCCCGAGGCTTCCGAGTCCCGACTCAAGACAACCTTATTCATAGTTTGGGGTAGCCATGCTACGTATGGGCTTCTGGATCCGGGAATGCTAGAGGACAACTTTAATTACACGTCGCGGCTTGATACCTAGACTGGGCGACGCTTTTAGCTATAGTTGCGTCTTTTATCGTTCACTGACAGGAGTCCCTGCGTGTCTCATGGCTTGCACGTGGGGAAGAGTGCCTGAATCTTGAAATACTTTTACAAGTTCTACAGAGTGATACAGTGCATCCGATGGTTGGGCTGATCTTCATTTCCAGCTTGGCGACAGCTCCAATTCGCTGCAGTCCTCGTAAATTGTCGTAGTAAAGACGACCGCCACTCAGCGGGTGCGCAACTGATTGTGAGCAGTGATGCAGGGGTGAGTTTTGGTTGATTCAAACTCCAGACGGAGTAAAATCTATTCCAATTTCAAAAATACGGTAGAAGCATAATCAACTCCTCGTCATTCCATGCTTTCACAAAGTCGTGGATTTCGTGGAAGATTTATGGAAACTCTATGGGGGGAAACAGACAGGGTTAGTCTGTCAACCTACTCCATAATGGCTATACCACTGTTTGACAAGGCTCAGCTTTTTCCACCGTGTCAAGCATTAGCACTATATCAAGTCAGGATATGCTGTCCACATATAACTAATTGTCCATGAAATAGCTAGACCTTGATTACGAACTCAATTCCATGTAGACAGCATGGGACTCCACATGAGATGCTATATACTTCTACCACTGCCCGTGACATCGACCGTGCTCCATAAACATAGGTAGCAAATTGATTTCCAGTAGTAGGATCACAAGGCGAACAGCACTGTTTCAAATTTTGTTGAGTATCAATGCATCAGTCATATGTACAATCCAGCATGAACTACCTCAAGAAATATCCAGAGTCACAACACTACAGAACAACTTTGACCTTGAAACAACTTTCCCAGTCACCATTTCTGCCACAGTTTCTAGCAAGCTCAAACTACCTTGACATACTCGACATTGGTAGTCTCAATCTTGTCCTCAGAAGCCTTTTCATTCGCAAAGGAGACTACATGAAAGTCTCTATGCGCTCCCTCGCCATCGAACACCACAGCAATCTCTTCCAAAGTACGTCCCTTGGTCTCTGGAAACACGAACCAGATAGTAGGAATCATAGCCGAAAGCGTAGCAATATAGACAAAGTAGAACTTCCACTGAATGGCCTCCAGAGCAATGGGATTGACGTATTGATTGAAGAAGCCCAGGGCAAAGACACTGGTAAGGTTGGCAGACAAACCCTTAGAGCGGAGGTGGAAAGGAAGAATCTCGACAGGGTAGGCGATGGACAAAGGAGTAAAGGCAATATCGTAGAAACCAAAGAAAATGAAAAGGAAAGCGACTGTGGCGCCTCCTGCAGCTTTAACACCATGTTCGGCGAAAGTGGCGCTGAGAGCTGTAACGATGATGAAGGAGGCTAGCATGCCGCTGGCCGAGAGCAGCCACAGAGGACGACGACCATAGCGTTCAGCAGCAAGGGCGCCTGCNAAAGAGAGACCTGCATTCCAGAACTGAAGAGCAAGATTGATGCCGGCTTGCGTGACGGAGCTGGTGATGCCAACGCTCTTGAGAATGGGTGCGAGGTAGTATGACACGATACCGTTGCCAGCCCACTGAATCATAAAACCGACCAAGATACAGATGAGGAAGCGATGACGGTTTCCCTTTGTGGCGAAGAAAGTGGACCAGCCAGTCGTTTTGGAAGCCTGTCTTTCCAACTCGATAGTCTGACAAATCTCCTGGAACTCGTACTGCACAAGCTCATCGTTACTGTCGCCGTTTGCATGATATTTTGCTAGTATAGCAAGAGCTTCCTGGTCCCGACCCTTGGAGATCAACCAGCGGGGCGATTCTGGGACAACAATGAGACCAAGGCATTGAATGGCAGGGAACAAGCCCTGAAGGAGACAGGGGACGCGCCAGCTCCAGCTGTTGTCAAGGAAAAGAGTACCAAGAGCGATACTGGCGGAAAGAATAGCTCCCCAGTACCAGGTGGCCTGGAACAAGTTGGTGACATTGGCTCTGTGTTTAGGATGGGCAATCTCAGTGGTAAGAGGAGGTGCGGCTGTTTGAGAGAACCCCAAGCCGACACCGAGCATGATACGAGTACCAAGAAAGGCGTAGATTCCAGAGGTCGCACACTGGATGATAGCAGCTGCCAGCATGATAGATGAACCCAAGAAGACAGTAAAGCGGCGTCCCATGTAGTCACTGACGTACGACGCTGGGATGAANAGAAGGAAGACCCCGAGACTGATACCAGCAAGCGTCAAACCCAAGAGACTCGAGCTGGGATCTCCAAGGTTGTTGTTGAAGTAGGGGATAGCAAGCAGTCCGTTGATGAGAGAACCATCATATCCGTTGGCTGCAGCCGAAGCAAACATGGTAGCGACACCGAAATTGAGCTTGCGAAGACCAGGATCCTGGATCCATTTGGGGTTGACGTTGTTGCGGAGCGTCTTGTAGACCTCGTTACCACTGGCTGCTACGACTCCTGCTGGGCCACCCATTGTTCAAGGTAGAGATGGAAGATGAACCAAGAGGTCGAGTTGATGAGAGATGGCTGGCAGTGTTCAAGAGCCGATTGATCTGCTGGTGGATGAGTCTGGGGTACTCTGGGGTTGGCGATCCATCTCTTTATACAAGTCTGAAGCGATACATGTATACTGGAGCCATTTCTGTGGCGTGAAGACAATACCGGTGAGACCGGTTGTTGAGTTGCAAGATGGTATCGTGGTCATGGAGGAAAAAGGTGGAGTTCCCCGCGGGAGATGATTTTCGGGGCGGTGGCGGAGAACAAACACGACAAACTCTGCGAGATTCTTCGCGAGATTTGTTGCGAGCAATAACACGAACCCAAAAATCTGCAGCCACGGACAGAGGTGCCTTGGGAAGTGGCCCAGGGTGCGAAAACCATTGCGAGAATCTTCGCGAATGACTCTGCGATATTTGTTGCTGGCGCCACAGACTTCGTGCCCCTGGTCATCTGATGCGGGCGTTCAATCTTCTGTAGTGGCGTTAAGCCATTGCGAGAATCTCTGCGAGAGTCCCTGCGACGTACATGCCGACCCCAAGGACATCTGAACAAGAAGTTCTGCTTAGCCCATGGTTTCGATGGAGAAGCATGGAGGTCCACACGACCGCATTGATCATCCGTCTCGGCACAGCCGAGACGCAGTGTCTTGCTATGGTACTTAGAGGTAGGTTGTCCTCGGTTCCATCCTGCCATCAATCGACCTCTTTCGCTCTGAACTTTTCTTGAGCACCCGCAATCATGGCTCTTTCCTCACACACTACTGAGACCCATCAGGTGCAAAGAGCATGGTGGAAAGAAGCCAGTGTATACCAGATCTACCCATCTTCATTCAAAGACTCGAACGGCGATGGTTTCGGTGACCTCGGCGGTATCATCGAGAAATTGGACTACATTAAAGCCCTCGGAGTCGACATCGTCTGGTGTTGCCCCATTTACAAGAGCCCTCAAATCGACATGGGCTACGATATTGCCGACTACAAAGACATCGATTCAAGATACGGAACCATGGAAGATGTTGACCACTTGATTGATGGATTGCATCAAAGAGGCCTCAAATTCTTGATGGACTTGGTCGTCAATCACACTTCTGATCAACACGAATGGTTTCAACAGTCTCGATCATCCAAGACCAACGCATATCGCGACTGGTACATCTGGCGCGATCCCAAGTACGACAGCAAAGGCAACCGCCAACCTCCCAATAACTGGAGCTCATACTTCAGTGGCAGTGCTTGGGAGTACGACGAGCCTTCAAATCAATACTACCTTCATCTCTTCGACAAAACACAGCCAGATCTCAATTGGGAGTGTGATGATATGCGCGCTGCAGTCTACGAGACCGTGCGTTGGTGGCTCGACAAAGGCGTCGATGGATTCCGTCTCGATGTCATCAATCTCATCAGTAAGGATCAGTCTTTCCCCAATGCCACAGTCACAGACCCCAGCCAATCATATCACCATGGCTGCAAACACTACGCCAATGGACCTCGTATCCACGAGTATCTTCAAGAGTTGGGTGGTATACTGGACGAATACAATGCGTTCTCTGTTGGCGAGATGCCATGGGTCAGCGATCCTGAGGAGATTCTCAAATGTGTCGGCTATGACAGAAAAGAGTTGAACATGATCTTCAACTTCGATATGGTCGACATGGACCACGGACCCAGTGGAAAATTCAGCCCAAAAGACTGGCAAATGTCAGACCTGAAGGACCTCGTCTCAAAGTGGCAGAGTTTCATGTACGGCAATGGCGGTTGGAACGCCCTCTACCTTGAGAACCATGATCAACCCAGAACAGTATCCCGATGGGCCTCTGACAGCCCCGAGCACCGAACCTTGGCAGCCAAGATGTTCGCCACGTTCTTGGGACTCCAGAGTGGCACTGTATTCATTTATCAGNGACAGGAGCTCGGCATGACCAACATACCCGAGCACTGGAGCATGGACGAGTTCAGAGACCTGGAGACACTGAATCATTGGAACGAGCTCTGTGAACTTCGCCCACACGATAAGAACTTGCAGTCAGTCACCAAGAAACAGTACCACATCAAGTCGCGAGACAATGCACGTACGCCCATGCAGTGGACAGCAGATCGCCATGCAGGCTTCACTACAGGCGAGCCTTGGTTCCGTGTCAATGACACTTACAATGCTTGCAATGCCGAGTCGCAAGTTGGCGTACAAGGAAGCCCATTCGAGTACTGGAGAAGCATCCTTGGATTGCGCAAACAGATGTTGGATGTCTTTGTGTATGGCGACTTCCAGATGGTGGATACTAAGCATGAGGACGTTTTTGCTTACAAACGATCGTTTGGAGAACAGAGTGTGCTAGTTGTTTGCAACTTCCGACAGTATGATGTGGACTGGAAACTGTCGGCAGCGGCCAACGCGAAAACCCTCCTCGTCTCTAACTATGGTGGCTTAGATATGCATGAGGGAATTGTCAGGTTGAGGCCTTTCGAAGCCTTTGCCGTTGCGCAAGGATCATCAGTTTCTTTGCCTCACCTTTGAGATATCACGGAACACACATAGTTTTAGACAGTGTTTAGCTTTCGAACATGCGATGGTGCTTGTTATCAATTTATGTAGTTGAATGTACTTGTGTTGCTACACTGATTGCATAAATCTTGCATAAGCTTTCGAAAGTGGCCCGGCTCGGCTTGTGCATTGTTAGTAACGTGGCAATAAAACGATCGACTCCACACACGTCTTCGTTCTGCGGAGGCCGCAACCTCTACTCATGACGTGCAACATGACTTCCAGATAATGATGAACCTGGCGCATCTCGCTTCTGTTGTTAGCTATCGGTCGCTTGAGCATGGATAGAAGACGTGTTTGCGATGCGTGCTCAGTCCGGCGTGTCAAATGCGACGGTCAAGCACCATGTACTGCCTGCCTCAGGTCATCAATCGAATGTACACGCGTGAGGCAGAGAATAAAGTCTGGCCCCAAGGGTGTACGGAAAAAGACGCTCGACCGACTGAAGACAGTCAGGAGACAAAATAACGAAACCCTCGATCCTGCACCGAGTGATACGTCCGAGTATCGCGACGACGATCCGAGGTTTGATGTCCTAGGAGCCACTCCGACTTCTGCAGACCATCCTTCTTGCCCGATCGAAGAGTTCTTTCCACCAGAGCTAGGAAACAGCTACGCAAGAATATCCAATAACAGTCAGCAACTGCCTTCAGAAGTGCCACAAACACCGTCATGGCCATTCCGTGTCAGTCCCGCCCTTCTGGAACCATATCTGGACATCTACTACTACAAACTTTTTCCGGTCTGGCCAATTGTGAACAAGGATCTACTCACCGCAAGATTGCAGGCTGCTGAGCCTGATGTGACTACCTATATGCTGGCCAGCAGCGTCTGTGCAGCTACGATGGTTCAACTCCAACTTTCAGACACCGGGCCTTGCGGTGATGTTCTCGAGCCTAGTATTATGCTTGCAGAGATTGAGGATCTTCGACGGACCTACGACCATCGGGAAAGTCCCAGCATCGATTACTTGGCGACGAGTTTCTTCATGCATGTTGCCTATACGAATCTTGATCGTTTGACGACGAGTACGCTTCTGCTCAGAGAAGCCGTTACCCTTGCTTATATACTCGATCTCCACAGACCCTGCCATTACGACGAGGTCACGCCCATGGAGAGACAGAGTCACCTGCGAATGTTCTGGATCTTGTTTATCACCGAGAGAGCGCATGCCACACAACACGACATCCCCTGCGTCATGGCAGTTGATTCAAATATGCCAGAACTGGATGTCGAGAGTCAACCCGCTGTGCTATCCCCCTTGATCATGCTATGCAGAATGTTCAGATCATTCTGCGAAGGTTCGAGTAGCAGTTTGACATCAGACAGCTTGACATCCTTCAACAACCAGCTGCTGAGAATACCAACCATGACAGAAGATCACAATGAGCTTCAAAAGGCTGATCTCTCGGTCACGCAACAATGGCTGCGGCTCATGTTTTGGAAACTCGCCATCAACAAGGTCGTCATGACGGCAAATTCCACAGACGATATTCGAAGCGTTTTCTTCCCCATCTCTCTGGCCAAAGAGCTGCTAACGAATATTTCTGCAATGTCAATCGATACGCTCGAAGCTCATGGTCCGGGTATGGAGCTCAAACTCTTCGAAGTCACAAACTCGGTCGCCGATATCATAACACTCAACTCTCTACAATCACACACCTCGACACTTCAACTCGGACCCCAAGACATTCTTGTTCATCTTACAAACATCATTGGTAGATTCAGGNGTGGCAATAGAACGTTGCTGCCAATACTGCAATCTCGACTTTCGGGCATTGGGCTTGGATCTGCAGTTTTGCCACGGATAACGGATGTTACATATGATTCCCCAAACACGAATCGCGAAAAAGGCTCGATCGAGAGCAACGAAGCCATCATGGCTGATCAGAGCCTATGCGATGACCAGTCAAGTGGATTTTATGGTCCAGAGGCAGTCTATCATATCACTTCGACAGAGTGGTGAGAAGATCGTGGTACTGGCCAGTTCGCTCGCCTTTGGAGGGCACATTTGCTCTAGGAAACGGGTCTTGAAACACTTCTTTCGCGACCTACCATGGCCATATTATCATTTGGAAAACTATTCCCTCTGATGAGCCCCATAACAAGTTCCCTGGCAGTACCTCATATCACCTCCATCCACACATCGCTCACCTACTGAAGAGGGATAACAAGGACCCATACATCACAAGCAACTTTGATAAGATGTATCGAAGATAGTGCGCTACACGAGTTTACCACGGACGACAATCCAGCCGACGTACGCTGTTAAATGGAAGCTGCAATAACGACCTTGCGACGGCTGTTCAACAATGATGAATAAACGCACAATAGCGAACACCAAGATCAAGGCTCAAGAGTAAGGACTTTCTTGACTTGTGAAGAGCCCACAACGGATTGGTCAACTCAGGTTCCTCGATTCTGAACATCACTTTGAGAACACGAACAAAGCTTCTACTGGTATGAAAGAAGGACATCGAGACTTCATGGACCAAAGCATGCAGTCCTACGATACACGCTTCAGAAAGCGAGTGGGACTGGGCCGAAATGCGCAAGTGGATGACCACAGAGTGTCGCACTTCTACTTCTCCATTTCGACCGCCCGAGCCGAAGACGATGATCCGGTCGACGTGCATTGTAGCATAGACCGAGCTGCAGTAACAATCGCGATGAGGATACAAAAAGTTGAACAAACGCACGACAGCGAACATCCAGAACCCGCAGCTGAAGAGTCAGGGATTTGTTTACCTACCCACTACTCACATGTCGCGGGCAATGCAACCTCACTCCAATGCAACCAAAGTCGAGCAACATCTAATTTGCTCAACCAGTATACAAGTTCATATTAGGTGCCGACTAGACTCTCTTCCTCAGGACCAGCCTTCGGGGTGATCAAAACGAGCTTTCGGATGCGCAGCTCAGTCTTTTGTTCGCTATCTTTTACTTTTGCTTCTTGCTTCTGTGCCCCACACCCACATAGTTAGACCGTGACAGCCATGTTAAAGTACATCATACCCCTGCCTTCTCCCCTCCATTTCTGTTTTCGCCAACAACGCCACCATGGTAGCTGATTGTTGACTTCTCTGATTCTTTTCTCTTTGCCTGTTTCTCTGTTGTTTCTCATACCCACTCCTACTCTCCCCTGCCTTTTTCTTGCCCAAAGGCCAGCTGGGTGAATACCTCTCGAGTTCTTCTTGAAGTGTCTGCAACCTCTCGATAACCTTTTCCTTCTCCACAAGTTGTTGTCTCTGCACCTCGATAATCTTCTCCTTCTCCCCAACTTCGTCTCTAACCCATGGATTTTGCCCCTATACGCCGCATCGCCTTTTGGCTTCGAGGCAAGCAGAGCAGTGTGGGAAGTGCGTAGTGTATATGTTTTCTGCGGATCTGTGTGCTGGGGTAGGTTGATATTGTGGATGCCTCTAGCAGTCGAGGACGTGATGGTAGTGAGCATGAGTTGAAACTTTAGCATTGTCTTGATGTGCAAAGTATATCCCACGGGCCGTATGGCGCGGAGACAAAACATTGAGGAGATGGTTGTGCGTTTGGCGTATGGCGTTGGCGTTGCGTGATATCTCGATCCTTTTTGGTGATGGCAACCTGCGGCTTGTCGTTTTAATCTTTCGATGAGCGTTTTGTAAGTGGTCTGGAAAGAGAACAGAGAAACTAGATGAAAAAGAACTGAGCAATAAATACCTAGGAAAGAGTCATACCCTGAAGAACAGACTCGAAGTGTGCTCGCGTGGTAGCCACGAGGCGAGTGTCTCAAAAGACAAAAAGAACTCAACTTACCAACTTCCTAGCCAATGGGTATAGCATTATTAGCACCAGAAGCGCGAAAAGAGAAAAAGACGAAAAAGAAAAACCGTGTTCAAAAACTCTCTGTACTGGCATTTTGAGTGATCTGAATATAATAAACAAGCAGTGTATGAGGACCTGTGCTAGAAGCGGGAGGGGGACATAATCAATAATTAACAAGCACTGGCAATCACACGCCCATCTTCTCAGCCGTGGCCATAAGACTGCCAATAAAGGTAACGATAAGTCTGCTGCGCACAGCACAGATATCTTCAGGCACAAGCCAAATAGTTGCACCCATCTTTCTGGCAATGGAAATGGCAAGCTTGGCATTGGCATATGCTTCGTCGTCGTTGCGGCCAGAGGCAACCATGTCGTAATCCACATAGCTGCTCTTCATTCCGTTCAGGACGTCTAGCAAGAAGATGCCGTTTCCAAGAGTGCTGTCTTTGAAGCTGCGGATGGCCGAAGACTTGCCGCCCTTCTTGGACATGCCGTTGGCCCAGCTGACCATATCGGCGTCGGTGATTTCGCGCTTGCCCATGCGCTTAGCAAGGTCGCCGAGAGTGTTGACAATGTCCTTGCGCATGAGTTGCCACACCAAACCGAGGGTGAGGGTGCGTTGGCCGTCGGTGATATCTGCACCTTGGACACCGACAAGCGAGAAGCGGTTCTGCTTGCCAATCTCGATGGCGTAGTTTGTGTTCTCGACGGCCTTGAAGCGCATGAGTTCGTTGCCGCTGGCGGGACGCTTGTTGCAGTGACGCCATTGCACTGAGCCAGGGATGACTTTGTCATAGGCCTGAAGGAGGACTGTGCCGTCGCGGAGATCGTCGAAGAGAGAGACAACGGTAGGTTGGACGTCCAGACTGTTGAGCCAGAGAGTAAAGACACGGGCCTCACGCTCACCCTCAGCATCAAAGTCCTCAATATCGGCCTTCTCTTCCTCAGTGATGGGCTCGAGACCAGGGTGCGTGTTGAACAAGTTTGCGACGAAGGCAAGGTTGAGCTTGGGGTTACCGGCGACCAGCGACTTGGGGGTCAANAACTTGCGGCAGTCGAGCTTGTCGGCGTTGTCGAGGACTTGTTCGGCGCGTTGCATGAGGTCGTTGGTCTGGAGAGGCGAGCGAGAGCAGATTTCGGGCTTGAGTTGGTTGAGCAGGACGGTGTAGTTTTCGCCATCCTTGACGTCGCTCGAGAAGTTGGACACGNNCTGTGCGCTGTTAGCCGGGTACTTTGAGTAGAAGTACTGCACTCACGTTCTGTGCCACTTGGCATTCTTCAGGTGGTAGTTGAACCAGCGCAACAAGATCTGCTCAGCGGGCAGGCGCAAGAACTGCTCCAGAGTCTCGTCGTCTTCCAACAGTCTGTACAGCTCAGGGTGGAGTCTGATGTCGATCTTGCCGAGCAGACCTCTGCGGATAATCTGCCAGATCAGACCAAGAATCAAGTGCTCCTTGACCTCGATGATGTCGCCAGAGCCAATGTTGACGACCGAACAACCGATACCCTTTGCCGACTCGATGACGATGTTGTTGTTCTCGGTCATGTGGAAAGCGTTGAGCGTCTTGATCTTCTTGCCAGGTCTGTTCAGCACACGCTCATCGATTGTGTCGGGCACACTGTCGTTGATGAGCTTGGCCAGCACCAGACCGTCCTTGCACTCGTCGAACATCTCGAAGGTATCGGTGGGGAAGGGNAGCTTGTCGCCAATGTCGGCATCGCCGGCAAGGACGGCGTTGATGTGACGGGTGAATTCCTCGCGCTCGTCCTCGTTGATGGTGTGTTGCGAACTAGACGTGGCACCTCCGACGTGGATACGACCGCCTCCAGTGCCTGCGCCGCCGCCGATGCTGCCCTTGGAGGCGTGTCCGGGAGAGGCTTGTTGGCCTTGTAGTTGGGCGTTGCTGAGGCCGCGCGAACGAGTGGGTCCGGTGGCCATGCTCTTCTGAGCCTGCGACGGTGTACGGAGCTTCGAGATCAANCTGCGCGCTTGTCAGTCGGGTCCTGAGTGAGGTGGGCGGTTGGAGTGGTATACATCAACATAGTCGTCCAACTCGACTCGTCGCGAGCTGTCCAGCTCAACCTCCTTGAGAGCCTGTCGCACGACATCGTAGGGTTGGCGCTCCGAGTTTTGCGTGGCCTTGATGACGGTGGCTTCGTCTATGTAGCCCTTGTCGTCGACATCCATGTTCTGGAAGGCATTGGAGAGCTGGAAGATCTCATTCTGATCGAATTGAGGGTATTTCCTGTGAACCGTCAACTACCGTCCGTCAATCGCGCGTGTTCAGAGCGATACCTTTGCAGCTTGATTACATTCATGATTGCGGTGGTGGGGTGAAGGAGGAGCTGCTGGGCGACGCGGTAGATGGCGGCGGAGATTGCTTTTAGTAATTATGCGACGCGGAATCCGGATGCCTGATGTTCCATCATCAGTTCCAACGCTCTTCTTCTACGACGTCTTCACGTATGACATTCTTACTCAGCCTCAATCAACGCTATTGTGGTTTGTGAAGAGAAACAGCAGGCAGAAGGATACAAAGACACGCGGTGCGTGACGTCGACGCTTGGAAGGCAGCCTCTCATTGGTGTCCTCGGTCGGAGATGCACCGCCACCATGAGTGCCCAAAGCCACCAAAACTCAATTGTGGTCAAACAACGATTCTTCTTGTGCTCTATAGACGTGAATCTCTAGTTCCGACACTAAATCAAAAGGTAGAAGCTCGTGAGCACACTCGGTCCTACGAACAACCCGATCCAAAACACCACATTGCCTAGCAGGTTTCGGCCCTTGAGAAGCTTGGTCCGGCTGAGCATCACCAGAGGCATCTGCAGCAGTTGCATCGTAAACAGGTACCCGCGCACCTTCTTGAAGAGACATGCCATGACCAGCTCGTGCACCAGTGCCGACAAGAGGAAAGTCACAAATGTCGCCGTTCCTTTGCTCAGATGGAAGGCCGAAATAGATGAGTGGTAGACATGTCGAAGCAAGAAGTTGTGCACTGGTCTGTTCCAGTCTCTTGCGTACTGATCCCAGGACACGCTGTTCCACCAGTCGCCGTAGAAGCCACGGTCGGCGAAGCATGTGAGCTCGGCCAGCACGTTGAGTACGCACTCCTGTATTGTTGTCAGTCGCTTGGCTTACATAATTTTGACTGTTCCATTATGACGTACCCAAATAACATACCACGACAAGAGCTGCTCCAACAACAGTGGGAACAGCATGTCGCTCACAATCCATGGCATCTGCTTTGCTCTGTCTTCCAAAGACATGCCTGCATCCTTCATTCGAACAGTCTCGGCAACCGGAGGGTAGATGTATGCTTGAGAGATGACCTGCATCACACACATTGTGCCAAACGTTGCCATCGACTTCTCTAGCACATACCACCAGTTGATGCGTTCCTGACGAGGATACTCGAGCTCGTACACCAACGTAGGCAAGATAGTCCAGTCGGCAAAGTTGCCAAGCGTCAGGTTGTTGGGATATGCCTTCTCGTCAGACTGCGCCTTGCCCTTGAGCTCTTTGTCCAGAGCCGCAATCTCCCCTTCGATAATGCGCTGGAATGCTTGCATCTGATCCAGAGTGAGAGGCTGACCAGACTCCATGGCAGTTGCAACACTGGCTACATCAGAGGTCTCGTTGTCGAGATTTGTCGAGGTGCGATTTACCGCGGGACGGCGTTTCTTGTCATTCGAGTCCACTCTCTCAAGTGCACTCGTCACTGCAGCACTGAGACCTTGAGGACTGGACGCAGACCCGATAGGCTCGATGTCGCGAAAATCGCGCAGCTTTTCTCTCAACATGTTGCGTCGCCTGTATACAACTGACAGGTGTCCATTGTAGAAGCTGTAGCTGTGTTGCTTCATGAGAAACACCATGGTGTGTAGAACCATAAAGATAGTATGAGACCACGGCCACTCACGGTAGAACATCCACCAGACGACAGAGCCCAAGAAGAAGGTTTGCCAGATGTTTTGAATGATCCAGCCTGACTTGTTCCAGCTGATGTAGTTGTTGACGACAGCCTGCTGTAGCAAGAAGCCCAAGATAGATGAGCCGACCATGACACCGTCAGTCAGCCCCAGGATCAGGACATCATGACCGAACATGATCTTAAAGACCTCATTCCCTCCAAAGATGCTGCCATGTTCTCTCCAGTTGGTTGCAGCAACCTTGAGGAACATGAGGACCATAGCCAGCCAGAACAAGGTAAAGAAACCGTGGAACGGTGACTCTGCGCTCAGAGGATTTTGTCTGTCGAAAGTTGTGAATTGACGAGTAAAGACGAGGTCACGAAGACTTCTCGCTTTCTTAGACGGGTCTTGCGATGCTTCTTCTCTTTCCATACCCTTTCTAAGGATATCACGGATGTCAGGATCATCGGCGGTAAGGATGTAATGACCTTTGCGGTCGGTCTTTTCGAGGCGGATCTGGATGCTCTTGCGACGAGAGTCTGGTGACAGTTGACGGGTGTTGGTGTCGGACTTTCTTCTGATGTGTCCTACGCCTGACGAAGAAGGCTGGAGTGAGAGATCCTGCTCGGACTTGGAGCCAGTCGCCGTGTCGCCCAGAGGCCCGCCACTGCTGCCGTCGATGATGGTGTCTGGGTCGAGTTTGATCTTGTCGTAGTCTTCGACATCTTCATCCGAGGTCAAGGATGATGAGCTTGTGCTATTGGGAGTGTCTGCGCCTTGAGGATAGGTAGTCTGTTTGTGACGTGGCTTCAAGGTTGCAGTACCGTCCTTTGGAAGNCTGCCGACCAGTTCATGGGCATCGAGAGTGTCGTTTGTCGTGAGGACAGGACGATGACTTGGTTGTGCCAGTCCGTCCATGATGATAGCAAGTTGTCGTCAATGTAGGTAAGACGAGTGTATTGATGAGTTGATGGAGAAGTGGTTGGGGAGACGGAGGAAGAGAGGCTAGGTCAGTGGAAGAAGAAATGGCAGGCCATGTCACGACGTGATCAGGATATCAGCGAAACAGGGGTGGTCCACAGAACTACCTGTGTCAGTGTGCAATATAAAAGTTACGTTCACGGTGGACACGTAGGAATTTCGACTTGCTCTGACACAAGTTGGCATGGTTCGGTCGGATGCAGGCCACTTTTTGCTGCTTGGCTGACGATCTGAACATGACGCAGCTGCCCTGACCGGTGATGTAGCTGCCTCGGAGCCGGGCCTCGATCAACTCAGCATCCGTACAACTCACGGCCATCTGCTCGTTGTTGCTCTAGGAGAGAAGATACAAGAGCTCAATGTTTTCCTCTTGGCAACAAATCTTTGTGCATCCGAGACTGAGTATAGGTACGTTGCTATGCCGTGCGAGTGCAGAACCTGGCCAATCAGCCATGCTTTCAGGGTCTCCGCCGAGAGCTTCAACTCTCGAGTGTGCTGAAGTTTGTCACACCGAATGGTCTGAAACTTCAGTATGCACGACAGGGTCTGGAAAGTTCATCGCCGCCAGGCACTGAACCGTTACCTTCGTGAATATACAGCTCCTACGCTGGCATATTCGAAAGTTTTGACAGATTACAATTGCACAGTTTTGCTGTAAGAGAGACTTTGAAGTGACAAACTTTTGGGCAAGGAAAGAGCTCCCGCAACTTCTCCGCTTTTTTCGTTGGAGCAGAAAAATCACAATCATCGTCACAAGTTTATTCCGTCAATTTAAAAAATCATATAGCCCAACATGGCAAACAGTCAAGCAATGGACATCGATACCGACACAACCGAGCAGGAGATTCTCCTCGCCGCCACCAATCATGACATCGATTCGCTACGCCGTCTCTTGCGTACGCCCAAAGGTTCCGCCAATGTCGTCGACTCCGATACTGGAATGACTCCTCTTCACGCCGCAATTGCTGCATGCGAGCCCGACGACGAGACTGCCCAAGACAAGAAAGAGATGGATGTTGATGAAGCCGCTACTCTCAACGACTCGGCTCTGGAGGAAGACGAGGCCCTCAAGACTGTCAAGCTCTTGCTTGAGAATGGTGCCATTTGGAACGACTTGAACGACAACAACGAGACCCCCGGATGCCTGGCTTTGCGACTGGGCCTGAAGAAGTGCTACGAGGCCATGGTTGAAGCTGGTGTTCGCGCCGAGCTTCTTCTCAGTCGTCTTGATGGTTTCGAAATGCTGGCACAGTACGAGGACGACAGCGAAGACGAAGAGGAGGAAGCCGAGGGTTTTGAGATTGTCGAGAACGAGAATGGTGACTCTCTGCAAGCTTCCATGGTCGAGGTCGAAGAGAGTGCGCCTGAGCTTGTTGGTCCCGACGGCACTGTGCCTAACAGCGACAGCGTGCCCGAGCTTGTGCAGATTGACGAGAATGGGGAAGAGACGAAGGTTGATGTCAACAGCGAAGATTACCTTGCCTCGAACCTTACATTCAAGGGTGACAGACTGCTGGACGCCGACAAGAACGGTGTCATGATGGCTTGGGAGACTGATATCATGCAAAAGACCGTCGACCGCCTCTGCCCTGAGCCTGGACTTCGTGTTCTCAACGTTGGTCACGGCATGGGCATTATCGATGGTATCTTCCAGGACAAGAAGGTTGCAGTCCACCACATCATCGAGGCTCACCCTGATGTCCTTGCTCGCATGCGCAAGGATGGCTGGTACGAGAAGCCCGGCGTCAAAATCCACGAAGGCAGATGGCAAGATGTTGTCCCCAAGCTCGTTGAGCAGAACGAAGTCTTTGACGGCATCTACTTTGACACTTTTGCCGAAGAGTACAAGGCTCTGAAGGAGTTCTTCACCGAGTATGTCATTGGTCTGCTTGATCCTGAGGGTCGTTTTGGCTTCTTCAACGGACTTGGTGCCGATAGACAGGTGTGCTACGATGTCTACACCAGAGTTGTCGAGATGGATCTCTTCGACGCTGGCATGGATACTGAGTTTGAGGACATCCACATCCCGGATCTCGACGAGCAGGGTGAATGGGAAGGTGTCCGTCGCCGCTACTGGGCACTGGACAATTACCGCATGCCCACCTGCAAGTTTGTTGGTTGATTCAACCGTCTCGGCGATAGCAGCATCAGTGCTGCCAAGGTACCGCTGTGGTCTACAGATCGGCCCACCCAGGAATCATGTTGTTACTAGGTTGACTTTCTGGGTCCAACACCTTCTCCGCGGCCTTCTTGCCGGCGATAGGAAGCCTCTCCAGTTCCTTTTCCTTCATGTTGTCAGGCACGAGTTTGCGGTCGAGCAACCCGACCTGAACGAGCACGCTCGCCTGATCCCAATACAACTGCTCCTGGCATAACTTGCCGCCACGGATGCTCACGATAGACACAATAGGCACCTTCACCGCCTTGTTCGTCGGCGGCACCCCTGGCAATATCNNCTACTCATGATCAGAGCACCATCATATGCGGTCAAGAGTTGCGAAGACTTACCAGTCCATCACCTGTGTATGTGTGAATGAGACCATCATCTCATCCACCACTTTATCCACGCCGACGGTACGACTCAGAAGACGCATCTGGAAGCTGGAAGGATTTTGAGACATGGACACTTGGTAGAAATAGTCGAGTTCGTCTGTCCCAATGCCGCCAGTCATAGTAGGCACGTGGTTAACATAGGGTACTTCAGCCAAGATAGAGTTGGGTGTCATAGCTTCATACNNTTGACTGTATGATAGATTTAGTGACTTGCATCAAGCCTCGATCAGAACAGAACCCAAACACTTACGTCTGTTGTATTCGTCAACTACCTCCTCAAGATCAACCTCGATATCAAAGCCTCTTCTCAAACACGCCAATGTTCTTCCCCAGCTCAATTCAGCTGCAAACTTGTCATACTCCTCCATATCGCTCTCTGCAAACCCTGGACACGTGTCTGCATAAACACATGTCTTGAAGGAAGCAGCGCCAAAAGGTTGAATAGAAGCCAGATGACAGAGTAAAGAAAAGTTAGCTGCATACTTGTGTGTTGGATTCGGGACAGCAGTGGGGTAATAGCAGATCAATGCCGTGCAGTGAGAAAGTGGATATTGTTGGGCCAGAGAAAAGGTATGTGTTGCTGCTTCGCCAAACGCNTGTAGAGTCAGTATCTTGGAAGATAGGATACAAAATATACTGTGCATACCTATTATAGCATACTTTTGTCCCCGTTCTAAGTCATCTTCCAATTGCTGGATCTTGGATGTAAAGGTATTAAAATCTCCTGTGAAAGGCGTGTAGACCACATCGAAGCCTTCTTCCGTGAGGTGCTTGAGAAACACGACGTCGAACTCCGTATCATCGGATAGGATAAGTACACGATGGGACATACTGCCAAAGCCGAGGAAGTTTGTTCCTGGTTGCACAAGGGCTCCTGCAGGTCGAGATAGCCGTTGTTATGCCCGCCCTCATCGGCGAAGTCTGCCGAGCCCTGAATCACGATGACGCAAGTCGGAGACCACGCACGAGTCAAAAAGCCATCGGGACCCTTTCAACTTTCTGGGGTGTTTTTTTGATCTGTTTCGAGGTTTTGTTCTTTGCACACGAGATACGGACTCGACACCTATTACATCCTCACCACCGCCAATACAAAATCCGTACCCTGTTCACCACCGCCGAGACAAGACTCGCCATTTCGTTCAATCGCTGGTTCCGCAACGCTCTCAAAATAGGTCGCAAGAACAAACCGCACCGCCAATCGGGCGCAAACAAGGATCGAGGAAAAGTAGGAAAAGGACGCTTCAAGATGGGACAAGATGGTTCCAGTCCAGTGGACGAGAGCGCTCCCTCCAAGACACTCGAAAGCCGTACCCTCGATGGTCTAGCCAAGTACATCCGCGATGGACATGCAAAGCGCATTGTTGTCATGACCGGCGCAGGCATCTCGACAAGTGCTGGCATCCCCGATTTCCGCTCGCCAAACACTGGTCTCTATGCCAATCTTGCTAGACTCAAGTTACCGTACGCGGAGGCTGTTTTCGACATCTCATATTTCCGCGACAACCCGACGCCATTTTATACTCTGGCTCACGAGCTTTATCCTGGGAAATATCGTCCGACTGTTACACACTCGTTTATCCGTTTGCTGCATGAGAAGGGGCTGTTGCTCAAGCTGTTTACGCAGAATATTGACTGTCTTGAACGCGAAGCTGGTGTGCCTGATGAGTCTATCATTGAAGCCCATGGCAGTTTTGCTCGTCAGAGTTGCATTGATTGCAAAAGCGCATACCCCCAGGAAGAGTTGAAGAAACACATTGAAGCCAAGACTATCCCTCGCTGCCAAAAGTCCAGCTGCAATGGTTTAGTAAAACCCGAGATTGTCTTTTTCGGCGAGCAACTACCCAGTGCATTCTTTGACAACATTGATGTGCCCACGGAAGCCGACCTCTGCATTGTTCTGGGCACTTCTCTGCAGGTACAGCCATTCGCAAGTCTACCCGGCGCTTGCAAGTCCGGCGTCCCTCGAGTGCTGATCAACATGGAAAGGGTCGGTGGTCTCGGTTCACGTTCCGACGACGTCTTGCTATTAGGCGACTGCGATACAGGTGTCCGAAAACTCGCAAAAGCCGTCGGCTGGCAAGATGAGCTAGAAAATCTATGGGCAAAAACAGATCCTGAATATGTTGCTGGCAAGCCCATCAAGACAAAAGACGAGATTGCCAAAGAAGAAGCCAAGAAGACACGAGATGAGAGGTTCCAGGATGAAGTCGACAAGCTTACCAAAGAGGTGGACAAGACTTTGGATTTGTCCAAGTGGCATCAGGATCAGATCAGAAAGGATCATCTTGACGACCAAACCGATTCTGGCTCCAAGGACTCGGCTAACAGCGAGAAGACCATGCGCTATGATGAGAATGCCGATGACAAGGAAAAAGCACCTACCAATGGACTGGGACATGTGTTTCCGCACATCAATGAAAAGTCCTCGCTATAATGTGGCTTTTCTGTTTCATTTTCCGCTTAACACCATGATACCCTAATACACATTTCTATTCCCACCCTCAAAATCACTTTGACTGGTTTACATGAGACCAAAGTTATGGTTTGAAAGCAGGCTCGGTTCGACAAGTTTGCTACTACCTTGTTGTCTGGCGCGAAAAGGCACATATATTGCTACGTTTGTCCTGACACGTTGGTGCCAAGATCCGATGAACTGACACTAGGAAGCGCTCTTCATCCTCTTCTTTGAGCACACCGTCACTTTGCAGCTCAGTCTGACTTGTTCATTTTCACTTTGTTGGTGAGATGGTGTATGTGTGCGGAAAGTCTTTGTGTGTATCGTTCTGGAAGCTGTAAGGACAATAGCATTGCCCAGCTATTTGCCTCCCACAAGCCGTCTTTGTGGATGATCTCTGAAGTTGTCCCATCTTCAATGGTACTGTCCCGGTGATAACAAGATTGTGATAGATAAAATCCAAGCGACGGGGCTATATCGCCGCCGATGACCTTTCGGACTCATGTTAACGATAGCACCCTGACGCGCTCTCCGCGGAACCCGGCAAACCATCTCCCCACGCTTGCCCACGTTTGTCTCAAAGCGGTATAGGTCTCAACTTGCCGAGGTTCCTTCAGGGTCCCGACCTAGGTTCTCAATCACGACTGTTCAACCATCGATTGCACCATCCTGTTATCGCAACTTCTGCGATCAATTGTATCAGCAAAAACCTGAACCCGTCATCTCAACACTATATGTCGCGGTGCGGTGGCGCGATGACTCTATGGCAGAGTCTGCAATCTGTAGTGCAAGAAAGGCAAGGGGTCACATAAGCATGCGTGGCCTTGCTGCCTATCCCAGAATCTAGAGTACCGGTTCGTATCTTCCCTCAGCCGCAGCAACCTTAAAACGGTCTCAGTCGTTTACCCCCATGTGCCTGTCCGACTCTCCCTTTCTTGGATCTTTTCTTGTTTGGTCTTGACTGGCAGCCATGATTGCCCGCCAAGGAGAGGAATCGGATGCGCAGGTCGCATCTCAGAACACCGTTCAGCAGGAAACACGGCCTCTACTGGATCAGGAAGCCAATGCTGAGGACGCACAACAGCAGGAAGGGAGTCAGCACGACGAACAACTCACACGATCTGTCTTTGGCATCATCTCAGTGCTGTTGATTGGTGTTTTTGTCTCTCAAGCCGATACAACTCTGGTCTTTGCGACATATGCTCACATCACCTCTGAATTCATCCGTCTGGGAGGCGGCAGCTGGATTGACGGCAGTTGGATAGTGACGAGCTTCGGTCTTGCAACATGCGCTACACAACCGATGTATGGACGTCTATCACAAATCTTCGGAAGAAAACCCATCCTGCAGATGTCGTATCTGCTGTTCTTGATTGGCACTGCTGTTGCAGGACTTGCGAGGAATATGGTACAGATGATCGTTGGGCGTGTTATACAGGGTGCTGGAAGTGCTGGTATGGTTTCTATGGTTTCCATCTTGTTGACTGGTATGCCTCTTCGTAGCCCAGAAGTTTTCTATACACTGACTCGTCGTCTAGATTTGGTACCGTTGCATGAGGTAGCATCATACAGAAGTTATGTCAATGTGTTTTCCACCGTGGGAAGGAGTTGTGGAGGTCTAATCGGAGGCTACCTAACACAAACCATTGGTTGGCGCTGGTAAGCAATGCTGTGCTAGTCTTCGATCATTGCACTAACCACTTTCAGGGCGTTCATCGGACAATGTCCGCTTTTACTCCTCTCCATCATGCTGGTATGGTGGAAACTCGAAGAACCGTATCAAGACATCGACCTTAAGCAAAGCATCTGGACAAAGCTCAAACGCATTGATTTTGTCGGCGCTTTCTTCATGTCCATCGCCATCCTAGCAAGTATCACGGCATTTGATCTCGGGAGCAAAAAGGCCAACACTCCTGTTCTTGTGACTCTGGTGGCAGTCGCAGTCACTGCTGGAGTGCTCTTCGCCCTGACTGAAAAGCTGTGGGCCAAAGAGCCGATTTTCCCCTTGGAACTGCTCGGAAAGGATGCCGTGATTACATCCTATTCGATCATCTTCATCCAGACTGGCATTCAGGTTGCTGTGAGTTTTATGAGGCGTTTCTCCCTTACTTCTGGGCACTGACACCTGTCGATAGNNCTCATGTTCCTGGTGCCATTGTACTTCCAAGTCACGGCTAATGCAAGTATGGGCGAAGCTGGCGCACACCTTGTTCCTGCTGTGTTTGGTAATACACTTGGTGGCCTGGCTGTTGGTGCTTGGATCAAGCGGTGAGTTCTCCTTCCAGGAAAGGTTCCCTCTAGTCAACTGACAAAATCCTAGTNNACTGGTCGTTACAAGCCACCAACCATCCTAGCCAGTCTATCTGCCATGCTCTGCTTCTCTCTACTGCTGATCTTCTGGCGCGGTCACACCAGCACAGCTGCTTCACTAGTCATCTTCTTTGGCGGCTGTGCATCAGGCATGGCAAACTCAGCAGTCTTTGTTGGCTTGACTGCAGGAGTCGAGAAACAGCAAATGGCCATTGCAACCACGGGACTATACCTTAGCTCCAACATCAGTGTGGTAGCTGGCGTCAGTGCTGCAAGTGCAATCTTCCAATCTGCGTTGCGAGCGAACCTTCATAGGACGTTGGGCAGAGTGGTTGGCGGAGACGAGGTAGGTTCTTCATTTCTAGTGTTGAGAGAAATCGCAACTGATTTGGCGTCATAGATTGCGAGAAAGGTGTTGTCGGATGTTGCGTATGTGCAAACATTGCATGGTCGTCTCCGGCACTTGATCATCCGTGCGTTTGTGGCGAGTTTCAGGAGGACATTTGGTATGTTGCTCAAATCCTCTCTTCACAAAGTCGTCCAGCTAATTTTCCCTTTCGCTTTGCAGNCTGTACAGATCGCGTTGGCGAGCACGGCACTGGTCGTCGGCATACTATCAAAGCAAAGAAAAATTACTCGATAGACCTCATGTATGGAAAAAGTCACATCGACTTGTTTAACCCCAGTATAGAGATACAGCTCATCGGAATGACTCAAAAAGCAGCTCAAACCAGCGCAACGGTTATGACTGGTCATTCGCAAGTCTACAAAAGAACTTCGTCTACAAAATATCATCAACCTGCTTATGTTACCTACGCCTACTCCGGACGCACACAAAGTTTATGGCTCTACCTTGCCTCAGAGAATTATTTTGGAAGCACAGCAAACATGCAGAAAAACATCGTGAGGTCTATTGGCCGACAAAGGGCTTCGTGCGATAGCGCCTTTGCTGCCGCGTCCCCAAATTCTTCTCGCGAAAGCCAAAGTAAAGCAAAGCTCGCATGCGCCGCCATCTCACAGCCATCGCATCGATTGCAGACCTTGCCTCCAAGCCCCAAAACCAGCCCTTTCGCTTTCGGGTCAATCGGAGTGCGTGTCTTGTTGCAGGAGAGGAAGACAAATTTGCTGCGGCCGGTTTTTGCGAATGACAGGCCTTTCGAACAGCCTATCTCGATGTCACTGAAGCTCAAATCGCCTGGAACTTCTCAGCAGGAACGCGGTACCGCCACCTCACCTTTCAAGACGATAAATGCTGCATTCAACCCTCTGTCCACAGCAGCCAACCGCACGTCCTCACTGGTTACTCAACCCAACTTCACACCGACTGCTCCGCTCTATCGCCAACAGGTCCGCCACTTGCGCTACGAAGGCGGCTATCACGCTACTCGCACCGGCAAACATGGTAAGACAACTAATTACCATGAAAAAATAGATCCGAAGGTCGCAAGAAGAATCTGCTTTGTCGTGACAGCTTTTTTGGACTGGTGATCATGGTGTGGTTTGTGTTGAACTATGCGATCGGTGCTGCTATTGTGGTGGTGGTGAAGTGGGTGGGAAGAGTGATTTGGATGGTGAGTGTGTAGGTTGAATGGTGGATCTATGAGGTGATTAGGTATGTTGGAGGTCTTGGAAAATAGATGTGAGAGCGACGAAGATGACGGAGGGTCGAGGTAGAGAAGAAGAAAGAATTTGGAATCCACAGCGAGAAGCTCTACCCTCGACAATCAACTCCAGCCAGCCTTAGATGCAACATGTCTTTTCCATTCTAGCTCCAGACGCTATGCCTTGATTGAGAATGGAGATGCCGTTCCTCCGCCCTCCCCTGATTCCTCATCACTACCCACCAATAACAAACCTCACCAAAGCAGAAAGACCATACCCTATCCAACAAGCGCCACCCCAAACCACTGATCCCGCCATCTTCACCACCATAGATAGCATAGCACCAATGGCATAATTAACCACAAACAAACCCCCAAACACTATGCCGATGGCCACCAAAAGCCGCGTCAAGGTTCTTCTAAACCCTATGATGTTGCCGTTTTTATCGGTAAAGAGTTTGGGTCTCGTGTAATGGCGGATTGGCTGCTGAGAGTGTGGAGCAGAGATAGAACTGCGGTATTTACGGTTCCGAGAATTGATGTATGCGTGGAGTAGCGATGGTGGTGATGGATTGAGGTATGGGTTGCCAAGAGATGGGATTGAAGACTTTTGGTGTGTGCCTGCGGGGTGGTGCGCTGGCAATGTCGTTTGCACAGGAGCCGTATCTGGGCCGTTCGTTGTTCTTCGCTCTTGCAATGCGCGAGTCGTCTTGCTAGGTCTTGAGGAGAAACTGCGTATATTGCTTTGAAAAGCCAGCGGCAGTCTCGCAGACTCAGGCCGCGCCGTTGGCCCACGCGATATCCTGCGACAGTACGATACGCTCTTGAGGACACCACATCGCTGACTGACTAATGCGATGGACTTGCTATGCATGTTTTGCTTCCAATGGGGCTGGGTTTGCTGGGTTGTTTTGTCCACAATGGATGTCGTCGCGATATGCTTGTGACGTACTGGATGTTTGTGGAGGAAAATCAACCAAGATTCGCAAGGAGACCAAACAAAAACTCTATCAAGATGTTCGAGAAACGAACTAACAACTGTTATACATCATCACACACTACTTCAAGCGTTGCGAGCATTTTCCAGTGGGCGGACACGCAAAGAACCGCCCTCAATGAACCTCCCTAGCAATGTCGAAGTAATTGTGCATTTCTATGCCAACATCCATAAGTGCTTTATCAGCTAGAAGAAGCACACGGGTGAGTAACTCTTGATCTCGTTGCTTGCTCTTTAGTAAAACCGATAATGTACTGAACAACTATGAGAAGACAGCCATCGCAGTACGTTTCTGATTCTTTAGATCATGCTTTGTGGCAACATCAGAGTCCTTTCACATACTGACATCACAAAAGGGTATATCGGGCACATCTATGATCAGAAGAAAGTGTCTTAATGGGTTCTGAATATCTGCTTTGCAGGGAGATTCTGCTTCTGATTGCGCCTGATTTGTGCTCATTCCACCACTATCAAACTGCTTTGTGGTGATCCTCCATCGAAAGAATCTGGTAAGTTTGCCGATGTCACGGCATCTCGAGTCAACTGCTTTGTCTATCATATCGTCAGAAGAATGCACTCAAAAGAGCAGGAGACCACAAACCCTAAAACCCATACCCATGCTCATTTGTAGTTTTGAATTGCACAAAGCTCGCACAGACAGCCTCTAGGACGATTGTAGGCAAGAGGCTGATCCACGATGATCCAAAAGACATGAGGAACAAACTGCTTGAGCGACTTGAACGTCTTGTCTGTTCCAAACTTGTTTCTGATGCTCTCGTGGTGGCCGTAGATGTATCTGTCGGCATGTCTGCCTTCCCGTCTAGGAGCCTGGAAGCAAGCAAAGCCCCTGGGAAGACCGCCAACAAAGCGGACGCGGGTACAGTCTATNTCGAGCACTGGGTGTTAGTCGATGTAGCTGAACGCAATTATTCCGCACAATCGTTGCTTACTCAGTTCAACCATCATGCTTGACGCAGAAGGGTGGTTGTTGAAGGCGGTACTGAAGAGTTCGAGGAACTCGTCGTCGGGCACAGGGGTGTAGTTCAGGTCTGCCCGAGACCGATGCTCGGGGTCACCCTCGAGATAGCTGATCTCACTGAGGTCGAGCTCGCGGACATGGGCGTAGTTGCGGCGGAAGAAGACGTGCGACATGGTGTCTTCTTGTGTGGGTTGTCGATGCGTCGGGATAGGTTCGAGGAGGAGGAAGAGCAGTGAGTTTGAGTACCCGAGCCAGGCGATTATTGCTCGCGAGAGAAGGTTCCGGTCACTGTGCGTGGGTTTTCATATACCGAGTGAGTGATTTGAACCATCTCGTGAGATGTGATCGAAATAATTGACTGTTCGTCGACATTCGAGAGCTTCTAGGCTTTACAAAAGACGGGCTTGTCGACGTAAACATGTCGGGCACTCTTAGGGGTTCCAGCAAAGCTGTACACCGCACGATGTACTATCAAAAGGCATGATATCTTGATAATGATAGAGGTAGCCAGGCAGAGCAGAGATACGAGCTGCTCTCACTGGACACGATCATGAACCACAATATCATCATGAGTTTTGATAGCATATCAGCACAACCAGATGCGTGTAGGAGATGGGAAGCAGAGGGTTATGCCGGATGAGACTCGTAGTCTTTGAGCAAACCATGAAAATGTAGAGTAGTTCTGAATATGTGACCACATCCAGTGAGAATCCCAAGAGTCTTGACTCTCAGTGGTTAACTCTATGACACTTAGCACAATCATGACTTTTGATAGTATAGCACGGCTTTGAGTGCTTCGGAGGAGATGCGGTAAGAAGACGGATCTTGACAAAGATCCGTATGAGATGGCAGAGTGCAATTGGTATCCACAGTCGTATCCAGTAAAAGCGACTCGAATATCTGCTCTTGATGGTCGATTATGAACATCCATAACGTACCATATCTTGGTCTAGTCAAGACTGAAAGGGCAACACCTCGTAGAGCACATTAAGATGTGTGACTCATGGGGGTTGGTAGATGTCAAACCAGTTAAAGCATCTAGCTCATGCCTCCTAAAGGACCGCTCTCCTGCCTCAGAGCCATAAATTTCGGGTTTGATTACTATCAGATGTTTGCCAGGGCCAAGTATGTTTTATAGAGCAGCAATCCAGGGCTAAAGATTGTTGTTTGGAGCAAGCAGAAGTCTTTGTCAGAGTGATCGTCAAACATTCTTCGAGATAATTGTCGAGATGTTCACTAAATCAGCTCGAGACAAAAAGCAAGGGTCCCTGGGCCTGAGGCCATGTTGTTGCCATAGGAGGTTGTTACAAGTAAGCAGAAGCATCAGCTAGGATACCCGTGGAGACAACTGTCAAGCTTTGCATTGGTCTGGCTCCGGGCAATGCGTTCCCTTTCTACTCTCTCTATATGCTGAGGTCTGTGACTTCCACCGTGCTTCCATCCCCTTCCTACAAGGCCATGAAGCTTCTCTTGGCTATGAAAGGCACAAAGGCTTCTGACTGACAGCAGGGCCATAGAGAGCCTCTGTTATGTCATCTCTCAATGGATTCAACCCTGTTTGTTGCCGATATCGTGCACATTTATGGTTTCAAATGTCACTAAGTTTGTCACACGGAAAAGTTGAAGCATTGTTGTCGTGTCCAGGAAGTTGTGCAAGGCGACAAAAGGTTTTCCGTTGGGGTACATTTTCTGCTGCTCTTTTCCAGTAGCTGGTGACATTCCGGCAATATGGTCTGCATAAACTCCTATGCTTAGTTGTGGCATCGATTCGTGCTTCCAGGTACAACAAGCTTGATTGAAGTATTAAAGCACTTTCAAACTTGACTCTAGACTCCGAACACGTAGTCGAGGAGAAAAGTAAGAGCGTAGTCTAAGGTAATGTCTGGAAAGCTACAGACACTCGACTTCTATGCTCGATTTTCTAAACAGATAGGAATGCGTTCTAGCTCACGCAATTGACAGGTTCGGCATATACATGGAACGTCGTTGCGCTTGCTTTTTCAGATTCGCTGAGCCACAGATAAATTCCTTGTGAAGTATCGTATCCTGTCGACCATACAGAAACTTGAGTTGACGCTACAAGCCGCTGACAGGTCACCTCAAAGTTCGGCTGCCCGTTTGACACACGTGCGCGGCAAGGAATTTGTGTTGAGTGATGTAAGCATCGGGCCCAACATGTACATTTTTGTCACCACTGGGGTTATAGTACCAGGTTTGTCCAGCGTCTTCACCGTTCATAGGATGCATATGACCATCGCTGTCAAGCTGATATGTGCTTTGGGCCGGCGATCCCTCGGTTGAGATGAAGATGACTTGTTGGTTGACAGCAGTAGAAGGATAGCGCCCGTCTACATCGCCGCCGGAGGCTTTAAGATACATCTCACACCATTGCGTAGGTCCAGCAATGAAGGAAGTCGCAGTAACAGCCACAGTAGTCGTTTGTGTTAGGACACTGTTAACTGTAGTAGGATCGAGTACGCTGGTCACAGTGGCTCGAATGATCGAGACGACTGTCGCGTTCACCTGCTGACTCGCAGTAGCAGATCTCGTAGCGTGTAAGGATATGTGCTTAGTTTGCGTTATCGTGACAGCAGATGGAGTGAAGTAAATCGTCGAGATCCTAGTCTCAGTCGACGCAGGCTTAGTCTTCGTTGTGACTTGTGGCTCACCAGGACAGGCGCTGGCATCGGCGGGCATCTGCGGGTCGCCCAACCCGCTATCTCTCGTATCTAGCGTTGGGGTCGGCTTGGGTGAGAACAGATAGACTGAAGTCGTTGACACGATGGTCGAGGTTTGTGTTGCAGTAGCGATGGACGTCTGCAGGTTTGTAATCGTCTCTTGTGAAAAGACCGTCTCGCCCGAAATGCTAGTCGCGACAATGGTAGACGTGTAGGGTACGCTCCGAATGTCGATTACGGTCGAAGTTACAGTATCCATAAGCTCGACAGTGGTCGTTCGCACTGGAATAGTAATGGTGCTGAAGGTTATAAGAGTGGTGGGCGACGCATTGATCGTGATTGTTCTCTGGGGGAGACACACATAGGTAGAGATGATCGAGATGCAACTCTTGTCGACGAAGTACTGCTTGTTGTAGACTTACTCAACGAAAAAGAGCGTGTTGGAGCTTTCGTGGATGACGTACAACTCAAGGATGGATTCCCACTCAAGGATCTCGCACTCGATAAGGTATCGCTAGGTGTTTTTGTAGCAGAGGTCTTGCTAGTACTAGCGGTTTTTGACGATGACTTTGTAGAAGACAACGATGGTTTGGTAAGTGGGAACAAAGTCGCAGAAGCCTTGGCCGATGATGGTGTTCTCATTGAAGAAGTCTTTGTCGAGGATGAGATCGAGCTCAACCGAGTTTTCAGCGAGGATGAGATTCTGCTTGAAGTAGACTTTTTCGATAAATTGCTGTTCACAGACAACCTTGTCGATGATTTGACTGTGACGGAGGATCTCTTGCTGGGGACCGATTTAGTGCTTGATCTAGCACCGACACCCGACGAGGTCTTAGAGCTCAACTGTTTGCTAGACGAAGACACTCTTGCCGATGTCTTGACGGCGNGTGGAAGTTGACGAGTTTGGGACACTTAAGATACACCTGCACGCTTGTAGCACAGCGGGCGTATTGAAATTGGGTACAGGCGAGTCATGTCGTTCGCTGTTCGAATTGATCAGCGTAGGATCTTAAATAGCCATACTAGTCAGCTTACAAAGACCCGAANNGAATTTGCAGAAAGCAGAGGGGTCCTCGAACTCCTTGCTGATGAGATTGGCAGATGGACTTGGGCATGTTGCGCTGACGAAGCTGTGGAGGCGTGCTGCGTTGGCAATGGCTGCCAGATTCTTTTCTTCCGCACCCGCTGGTTCAACACTGGTAATGCATTTGCAAGCAGATAGTAAGGCGTTCACGTTGATGCTTGGGATTGGAGAACTGGTTCTGCCNACTGTAAGAAGTTAGCTTTTGAAAACCTCCATGGAATTTGGTTTTCCATACTCCTTCAAATACCAGGCACAGAAGTAATGAGGATTCGACACTTGTTGCGAAACAGCCACTACGGTTGACGAGACGCATGATCTCTGTTCTATTGCCAGAGAACATACAGTAACAAAAAACGAGAATAGCAGGAGTGCCTGCATGATTGGAGGCAGAATATGGAGAACTTGCCTTCGTCTCACACGGAAGGCCACACCGAGCTATTTGCATGATTGACTGTGGGAGTATATACGGCCACGACCGACATGTTGCTTAGCTAGTCTATAGATTGTTGCAGCGTTGTTCAGCTCAATACTAGCTGCAGCCGTTGGATATCTGATCCAGTTTACATAGACAGCGCTGTCCAGACTGTTCTTCGGTAAAGGTTTGCGAGAATCTAAGGCTGAATGTTTTTAGTAAATGGAGGCCAATAACGGCCAACTGAGTGGGATGCAGCAATCTGAGACCACAACGTGGGTTAAGGATCACGGTCAGTGTACTCTCCAGGCGCTGGAGACTTATGTCGTGCCCAGCTACCTCAGTATACATCGGCATCATGATTGCTTGATTATATAGCTGGTAAAATGGTCTGTTTGTCTCTTCTTTGTGTCGCTTTCGGTGGTTGATATGCTGAGTCGAGCAAGGAAGATGTGTACATGCAGCAGTTCCGGATGTCTTTCTAATGAGTGCCAAGGCGCTAGAGTGTGGACCGTTTGCTCAGCCAAAACCGAAGGATTCACCCGTCCAACGTTACCTCGCAAAACTCAGGAGCATTGTCTGCCTCCGCGACTGCTAATCTACTCAATGCTGAGCTATGGCAGTACAATCACAATTTCCTTGAAGATGAGCCCAAGATCGACCGTCACATTTTGCTGCGAATTTGCGGAGGCTAAGCCCTGAGTCACGTGCATAGAGATCTCCTCCGATGTTTTCCCAAGCGGCAACTTTACACGAGATATCATCCACGAACCCAACAGCTTCTCTCTCAGTGTGGAACTCAGCATCCAAGATACCACCTCATCCCTGCGTCTACCACAGCAGACCGTCTCCAGAAACCATCTTCGAAAACCTCCGTGGTCACGTCGCCCTCCTATGAGGCAACTTCCTCGCCGTCTGCACATGCGCGCTCTGTTTTGGTGTAGATTTAGGTAGGTCTTTCGCAAGAGGTACCACTTCTATATTCTTGCTGTCATTCTCGAGTCATGTCCAACCTGTTTCTCATATCATGAGTGTTTGACTTCCCTCGTGTTGCGTCTTTGACTTGCGTCCATTCCCATCTGTCAAGCCCCGAAAGAACACTATGTGACAATATGACTGTTTCGTCTTCCGTTCTTACCGGGGATCACTCCAGTCATATGCTCCAGCTTTGGTGCTTGATCCCGTTCTCTTTTCATCGCCAACCACGACAGTGGTGGAATCTGGCCCGTCACTTCCTCAAGCACGTCGTGAGCATCATGGAGCTGGTCGGCAAGGACATACGTAGATGGAACGAAGCCATCACGTCCGTGACCGAGAAGAGATTATCACCACTCTCCTGCGACCGTGATGGCTGGAGCCAGAGCTGGGAGACTGCATGATACACTACGGGGAACAACTCGACACACTTCGCTGCCCAAACAACCCTTGATTTGTGTAAGTCGCTGACCCCTTTTCTGTTCACCACACATACAACAAATTACCTCTACCAGCCTTTCAGCACTACTCACACTCTTTGTCTAACATCTTGCATAGCATCAGTATATGCAGCACAGCTCGTCAGAACAGCCCTTGCTTTACGTATGTCACTAACCCCCTTTCCTGATTGCTGCGCCTGCATCAGACTGACATCCAACAGACTCTCCACCCATAACATTCTGTCTTTTCTGTATAGCGTCACTGCATGCAACCATACCTCGGGGACGAAGAGCTTCACAGCCACAGGGCCACAGAAACACGACTCAGGGGGTTCCAAAAGAAAGAACAAAAGTAACATAGCATCAAGACCAGTTTACTTCCCCTTTCTATTCTTCTCCTTTGATGCCATTCACAAGTGACATCAAAACATCTACCCTTTGCTTGAAAGACCTTTGAACCATGTTCACAGCAGACCTTTCCTTGCCATCGACTAGCCGCGGAGCGTTGTTCGCAATGTCAAGTGTAATGGAGTAATTCGCCTTACTACTGATTCGATGGTTCTTGACCTCGCTACTCGAGTACACTTCGCTCAGAGATGTGTTTGCAAGTGCTTGTAGCAAGACTGCACAGTTGCACACGTGATTGTTGTTGTTGGCCATCGTAGTAGTCGTAGGCTTGTTTCAGTAGAGCTGATGAAAAGTAATGGATGAGGTATATGAGACTCTAAATGCTGTCATTACACATCGACCATAGCCCTCAATCCTCTGATAGCGAAAGCGGGACTGTTTCATCATCGCGAATCAGTCATGATGCTCCTAGTCCTCGCCCGCTCGGAAGCATCCAAATGCCACTCCAAACCAGCTTCCCTCTGCTGCTCTATACTCTGCGCAGCAACCTCCTCCCACTCATCCTCCTCCATGTTCAGTATCAACGTCATCTCCGTACAGCGCTGGAACGCATCTCTGAGCGAATATTTGCCTCCTTTGACCGCAGCATTGACAATCCCAGAGATGTCGCGTTCGAGTTTAGCAGCACCTCGCTCGTTGAGGCGGCCATAGTAGCTCCAAATGCGCTTTTCGAGTGCGCGCGCTAGGTAGGCGATGGTACTTGTGATCAAAGCGTCGTAGGTTCGTTCGGTGAGGATGCGTTTGATGGGACGTGTGAATTGCATCCAGCCGCGCTCAAAGCGTTGGGCAACTGCTGCATCCGAGTCGCCGCTTTCTGCGGCAGCGTCGTCATCGGTGAGCAGATATTCGACATCGCGGAATGTTTCGACAAAGACGGGGCGTAGGCGGGGCCGCATGACTTGTTTGAGCAGCACTTCGATGGCTTCTGCGATCAAATCGGCGGTCTTCGATTGGAATGTGCTGAGGATGTTGCTCAGTGCTGTTTCTACGAACACGGCATCATGGGCGAANGGAAAGAGGTCTGTGATGGCGGCACGTTGTTGGCCGGGATTGCTGGGGTCGACTTTGCCGAGATTGGTGTTCACGATGCGGCGGAGGTAGTCGGTGGAGATGTCCAAGTTGTTGATGAGTACCAAGAAAGAGATGATGACGCTTTCTGGTGGTAGGGCTCCTTGGATGGCGGCTTTGGGATAGCTCTCATCACGCATCTTGCGCTGAATCATGCCGAAGAAGTCACCTGTCAGTACGCGACTGACAGAAGGCATGACGCTGGCGACGACAGCTCTTTGTGATGTAGCTAGCGTGCGTTGCAGTACTTGGTTGACGATATACATGACGTCGTCGACTACAGAGGTGATGAAGGGAGGGTTGGAGCCCAGAGGCTTGTTCGGGTTGAGTGTCAGGTCAAAAGGTGACTCGTCCATCTGGAATGCCTTCTCGACGGAACGACGGAAGAAGAAAGTGGTCATGGTGTTGAAGGGTTCGATCAGTGCATCTGCGACCTTCTTGTGCAGCCTGCTGTTGGCAAGGAGATCTGGCATGGCTATGTGTTCTTCGACACCAGGCNNTTCGGGAGAGTTAGTGTTCTATCTTGACGATGTTGACAGATCAGGACTCACGTGGATTTTTGTAGCGACGAAACGGGTGTACAGAGCCCAGCGGCTCAACATCATGGCAGTCTCACTGAGGAGGGTATCGACCTCCTTCATGTTGACGCCCTCATCCTCACTAGCACGACTTGAGACTGGCGATTGTGACCTTTGGGCACTCGACTTTTGACTTGGGAGGAAACTCTGGACAAGAAAAGAGAAAGCATATGATTTGACGTCCTTGATCTTCCTTGCGAGGCTGCGCTCGTCAGCCCAGGCGTCAAGCACGATGCCACCTTGAGTATCTGCTTCTGCTTGCAGACGCTCGATGACTTTGGCCATGGAGCCCTGACCGTAGTGTCTCTCGACGAGAGGTTCATGGCCATCGACAATCAGGGCAATCTGCTCAAAGAGTTTGGTCAATGCGCTCGCGTAGAAGAGAGCATTCCCACGCTGATTGGTAGCACTTAGATTGTTCCTTGCTCTTTGAGCTACGCCGGTACAGACGTAGCGACCGTATGCATCCAAGCCCTGGTCTGATTTGCCAATCAGGGGGAACAACTTGAAGAAACGAGTGACCCTCTGACCATCTCCTTCGCTCGCAGCCCGGTCGAACTCGCGCAGGAACAGGCCACACAGACTCTCCGAGGCTTCAGTAAGTGTCACTCGCGGGGCATCGGGGACTTCGGCAGTAGGAACGATTTCTTGGGCGAAAGCACCGTCGATGACGTGGTCGGGGATCTGAGAAGCGCGGTGGAGGTACGCGGCGGCAGTCTCCCAGTCTTGTGCGGCACCCATGGAGCCATTGACACCCAAGACGCAGGCTTTGAGCTCGGCGACTTGGTCGACAACGTTCAAAGTGGACTTGACGGCGGCTTGTTCGCGATCGAGTTGGTTGACGGCACCGGAGATGCGGGCGGCTGTCGAGGCAGCCGAAGAGAGCATGCCATTGCTAATGGATCGGGTCTGGATGACTTGAGAGCCTAGATGTGCTCGTGCAAGGTCGAGCTTGGTCAATTGGCGCGAGAGGTCGCGTTGCGATGCGAGCAGCGCATCCAGACGGGCAGTCACGGCAGCTTCTTGCTGGCCCAACTCTGCCAACGTGGCTCGTATCTCGGCCACTGAAGAAGCCTTGTATATGTCTCCAGTATCCGGCATACTAGTCGCCAACATGTTCGTAGCCAGTCAAGGAAGAACGAGAAAGGCGAGAAGGTGCGTGTGTTTCGAAAGTCGACAGTCCAGACAGAAGCCAAACACGCCCAAACATCCGACAGCCGACGCACAAACTCCCCACGACTCTGCTCACCAAGCCCAACCGCTCCTCTCCTTACTACTTTTCTACACCATATCACTTCACCTCCATCATCTCCATATATGTCATGTTTGACCACTCAGCTGTTGCCTGACGAAATCTCGTCGCGGTTCAAGTCCGCCAAGCGCCTCGAGACAAGTCGCGCCGGACGAGACTCCACCTAAACCGCGGCCAAAAAAGAAGTCGCGTTTCACACTTCGGACTTTCTAGTTTCGAAGCACTTCATCGCCCTTGAACCTTCCTTGGAAAGCTTGTTCTGCCTTTCTCAAAATGCTTTACGACCATTTCCGTCATCTCGCCACATGCTATAAGCAACTTGATCGTCTTCAATGATCAACTTGCTATGCGATATGCCTGCAGCTCTTCTCTACAGTCTCGGAAACTCTGGAAAGTCGACCCAAGTGCGCCAACAAACAACAGCAATCGACCATGGTCAACTTATGTCAAGGCTTCATCTTGAAACCCTTCAGCCCACCCAACCATACCAGACTCTCATACGCACATCTTCATCCTTTTTCACGCACTCCACAGTTTTAGGCGAGTAAGTCCTCCTATGTTTCTCGGTTTCCTGAAAGGGCCACCTCTCACCCAAGGGTGCTGCCGAGCCGTGTGAGGTGCTGCCCATGAACCATGAGCTCGGACTGTATATCATGCAAACTCCATCATGACCCCTGCTCCTATACTGGGCATGCCCGTCTATCGTGACAGATTTGTATCGGTTACGTCTCCATGCCTATAATTGTAAGCGGCTCCAGTATCACCCTCTTTTACAAATTATATTCTCCTTCGTTAGTTCGTCCCTCTCTCACTCCGACCTTTCTTTCGTTCTTGCGGTCTGTGACTGCTATCTTCTGATCTTCAGTAATTCTTTTCTTGCATCAATCTTTGTCACGATGGTGTCCTGGGGCCGCCTGATTCTTCACGCCTTTTCCTTTTCTCCTCTCAACAATGATCTCGCCGCAATCTACCAGCCCGACAAGGCGAGGTTCGCTGTTCCTGCTCTTCAACCAGCGAAGAACATCTTAGGCGGAATGAACGGTGGTGCCTTCCACGGTCCGGCCTTCATATCAAATGAAATGCAAACACTTCAAAACGCTCTGGCTGCGAAACAACAAGATGACGACTCTCCTCTCGGAAAGATTGACGCACCAACGCTACCTCCTTTCCTTGCTGGTGGTGGCACGCCTCTTCCCAATGGCTTCNCCTGGGGCCAGTCAACGGCCAACAACACCAACTATTACACAACTACACCCAACACTGGTGTCACCCGATACTACGACTTTGAGATATCCGCTGGACGGATTGCACCCGACGGTGTTCTCAAGGATGGTGTCCTCGTCAATGGACAGTTTCCTGGACCGACGATCGAAGCTAACTGGGTAATCTATTCCCAAATCATACACTTTACCGATAGCTAACGGGTCTAGGGTGACATGATCTCAATCACTGTCAAGAATTCCCTGGACGAGGGAACCTCAATGCATTGGCATGGTGAGAATACGCCGGTACATATAGAAGGGGGTCTGCTAACAACAGGCANNGGACTGCTCCAGAAAGCAACTCCATGGTATGATGGAGTGCCAACTATCATGCAATGTCCCATAGCCCCTGGCAAGTCCTTCACATATACCTTCCAGGCTGATCTATACGGAACCAGCTGGTACCACAGCCACTACAGTACGTCTAACTCGGTGGCTTTCGACCATCTTGTATGCTAAATATGAACCCAGGTGNCACAGTATGCAGGTGGCGCAGCTGGTGCTATGATCATCTATGGTCCCAAGAATGTAGACTACGACATCGACCTTGGACCAGTAATCTTGAGCGATTGGTATCATGAAGACTATAACACTCTTGTCGAGCAGACAATGTCAAAAGCCGACGCCAATACTCCTCAGCCCGCATCGAACAACAACTTGATTAACGGCAAGATGAACTTCCCATGCCACAAGGATGTCAACTGCACCGCCAACGCTGGCCTCTCTAAATTTTCCTTTACCTCTGGCAAGAAGCACAGGTTGCGATTGATCAACATGAGTGCCGAAGCCATGCAAAAGTTCTCGATTGATGGCCACAAGATGACTGTTATTGCGAATGACTTTGTTCCTGTTGAGCCTTATGAGGTTGCTGTGGTTACTCTTGCAGTTGGTGAGTTCAGCATGTAGACTTCTTCAACGTGAGACTAACAGAGTACCANNGGCCAACGTACCGACATTATCGTTGAAGCTGGTGGCTCGCCTACCGACAGCGCCTGGATGCGGTCCAACATCCAGTACTGCTCCTTGACCGATGGCACCGTCAACGAAGCCGTCGCCGCCGTCTACTACGAAAACGCAGACAATACCACAATCCCCAAGACCAAGTCCTCAGTCACCACAACCCAACTCTCCTACTGCAACAACGACGATCTCTCCGTAACCAAGCCTTTCCTTGCCATCACCCCCGATCCAAACCCGTCCACTACTGAAGATCTGATTATCGAGTACCGCACCAACGAAACAGACTTTAACCTCTGGTTTGTCAACAACATTAGCTTCAGAGGCGATTACAATAACCCGGTGCTGCTGGAAGCCAAACTCGGCAACCTCGGTTTTGCCGAAGAGGCACATGTGATGAACTTTGGCTCCAACAAGACTGTAAGGCTCGTAGTATACAATTACTTTGCTTTTGGCGGTCATCCCATGCATATGCACGGTCATAACATGTAAGCTTTCTTCTCCCTCACACCCGTACCTCACTGACCTCCCTCAAGGTACGTCCTCGCAGAAGGCTTTGGCGAATGGGACAATACCGTCACCAACCCATCCAACCCCCAGCGCCGCGATACCATCTGGGTCCAAGCCGCAAAAGACAAAGATACACCCGCGTACATTGTTCTTCAAATCGATCAAGACAATCCCGGCGTCTGGCCTTTTCATTGCCATATTGCTTGGCATGTATCTGCAGGTTTGTATGTGAGTATTTTGGAACGACCGGATGATATCAAGAAGTCTATGAATATCCCGGGGGTTATGGCGCAGAGTTGTAGGGATTGGAGTGTTTGGACTGGTGGGGTCGTTGTGGATCAGATAGACAGTGGGTTGTGAGGAAGGGTGTTAGTCTGAGTGCGTTCTTTTTGTCGCTTTGATTTTAAATAGGTGGGAATTCACAGTGGCAAGGACAGATGTGCTATCTCATAGGAAGCAGATACATTGTTGCTCGGCTTGCTCTCCTTTGAACATCCGTCCTGAATCACTATATATTGATTAGTATATTGCTGCACCAGATTATAGATCTCGGAAGTCCGATAGCATTGAGAGTGAGATGTTATTGGGTGTGGGAGACGATGTACAAATAGTTTATATTGAGCGAAAACAGTGGTATCATAAAGTTACATGGTGCGAGTTTAGATGTGAATATCACCCTTCTCATTATAGAAGATCTCTCTCGCCTTGACGCAACGCAAGTGGTTCTTGCCCCCTGACAACGACGAATCATGATAGAAGAGGTACCACCTGCCCTCGAACTCAACAATGGAGTGGTGAGTAGTCCAGCCAACCACAGGCTCCAAGATGGTGCCGCGCTGAGTAAAAGGACCGTACGGGCTATCTCCAACAGCATATGCCAAAAGATGGGAGTCTCCAGTCGAGTACGAGAAGTAGTATTTATCCTGGTACTTGTGCATCCACGCGGCCTCAAAGAATCGTCTCTTGTGGTCGTCGGCTTGGATGGGCTTGCCAGCTTCATCGACAATCAAGGCTTCGCGAGGAGTCTCTGCGAATTCGAGCATGTCGTTGGTCATCTTGGCGACACGAGGACCTTGTGCTGCGACGCCATCGCCAGTCAACTCTTGTGGGCCGCTCCAGGCAGAGTCGAAGTGTCCCTCCTTTTGCCAGCACTGCAGTTGACCGCCCCAGAGACCGCCGAAGTAGAGGTAGGCTGAGCCGTCGGTGTCGACGAAGCAGGCAGGGTCGATACTGTAGCTGCCCTTGATATAATTCTCTTGAGGCTTGAAAGGACCCTCAGGCTTATCGGAGACAGCGACACCACAGCGGAAAATGCCCTCCTTGTCGCGAGCAGGGAAGTAGAGGTAGTATTTGCCGTCCTTGGTAGCAGCGTCGGGAGCCCACAGTTGCTTGGACACCCAAGGTACATCCTCCTGCTTGAGGACTACACCGTGGTCTGTGACGGGGCCGGTGAGCGAGTCGAGCGAAAAGACGTGGTAGTCGTTCATGTCGTACTGGTCGCCATTGTCGTTGTCTTGGATATCTGTCTCGCGGTCGTGGGAGGGGTAGATGTAGATTTTGCCGTTGAAGGCGTGGGCCGAGGGGTCGGCGGTGTAGAGGTGAGTGATGAGAGGCTCCTTGTCTGACATGATGGAGGTGTGCTAGAGAGTGGGATCAGAGGAGAAGTGCTTGGTGACCTACATGCGGATCGGCAGCAGTGTTTATAAGGCGACAAGGATGAAGAGCAGTCCACATGGTGTTTAGCCTGCCTGCCTACTCGGCATGTACAGGCTGTGTCTGGTGAGCGGCTCTGAAACTCTTGGACGCTACCATGTGCCTTGTAAAGGGAAAGTGCACTTTAGCCTAAAGAGAGATGTTCAGGAACAGGAAGGTCGAAAGGAGGGGCAGCGTGGGGCTCCACCAGCCGAGGCTTGGCGCTTGCCGCAATAACATCCGGCATCGTCGACTTGTTCCTTCTTCAGCCAGCAGAGCAACCACGAACAAGTTGAACGAACTCTGTCTTGAGCCTTAGAGGTAGCAAACAGCCCAAGGGTTCATGTCTATCTCCATACCAGACATGCGTCGAAGAAGAGTCCTCTGGATCATGTTCTTCATTGAAGATTGTCTTGTTTTGAGAGCAGCGTGATGTTCGTGGCTTGGATGTCTCTGTGTGCCATCATTGGAGGAGAGTGTGTGAAGTGAGATGAATCTGTAGTCGAGTGTCCTTGAGATTATGCTTCAGTTTCGGTGGTCATCATCGAGGGTTGGTTCTTGAGATGCCCCTGCCTCAACACCGGCTTTCTGCTTTCTTGGGACCTTCCTGTGAGGTCTTCTTTCTATCAGAAAATACGACTTTGTCTCAAACGTCCCTTCTGACATAGCAAGTACCGCAGCTACCAGTTCTTCCTACATCAACGAATCTCTCCTCTCGGCCAACACTCCCGTCGCCTACCAAGTCAAACATCGAGGTCTTTTTCGCTCGCCGATCAGCCATGACCCGTCCACTGACCCCTTCGTCACTCCCCAACGAGCTCATCACGCAGATCTGTCAACTCCCGGATCTGGGTGCGGATGATTTGATCTCTCTTCGACTCACGTACAAGTTCCACGGCGTTCATGACGCAGCGACTCGAGCAATCGGCAAACACTTCGAAAACGTCACAGTGCTCTTCACTCAGCACAGCTTCGAGACTCTGGTCAACATCTGCGAAAACCCAGTGTTTGGTCGCTGTGTCAGAATTGTCAGGTTGTCTTCGATGTGCTGTAACAAAGAAGCGCTTTATACGGACATCGTTGAAGACTTGAGACTTGAAGTGGCACCATACCCACCAGTAGGACGATTCAAGAACCAAATGGAGTATCTCAGCGACCTTTCGAGCCAAATCCAGTCGTATCTTTCTCGTGTTCGAGCAGAGATCGAGTTTGCTCAGGACGTCTTCAGCAATCCTCTTACGCTTCTCACGCAGGCTCTCCGGTCCCTAGCTCGGACAAACAATCTCGTGGCCCTTTGTTCTACCACCAACGAACACTCTGGACTTGGAATGCGCAAAATTCTCATCGCAAAGCATCCCGAAAAGCAACTGTGTNACACTGAATATGGTTCAACTAACTTTATACTTGGCTCTGCGGTGACGNATAGTAAGTTACTGGCCCGGCACCTCTCGATTGAAGTTTTCGTCAGCAAGCACCGCAACGTCAGACATAGATCTGCAATTGAAAATTGCATGGAATCCAGTCTATTCCCACAGCTCGAAGCGCTGAACTTAGATATTTCATGCTCTCACAATGTCTCTCAGGTCGACTCTTTCGAGACAACACATTCATACTGAGAGCATGCTCGCCTTATACAAAGATTTTTGTCCGATTCTGCACGAATCAAGGCCCTTTGCTTGATTGGCTGCGCTGCAGCAAACAGGCTACATATCCCTGGTTTCTTGCAGCTCCTTCCATCAATCTCATCAACTTGTCTCGAAAAACTCAATCTTCACAAATTGTTGATTACCGAAGCGGAACTCCACACACTGTTGGTCAAGGCACAAGGAACGTTGCGCTACTTGACTTTCGATACTTGCTTGATGGACGGGCCGTCATGGATGCTGTCCATTGCCTGGATCAAGGACAAACTTGCTGGACTCGAGGAGTTGCATCTTTCGTCCTTGGCGATCTCTGCCCGCAGGAGGCCACTCGCTTATTACGAATCTGTACTCCTGGAGTCAATTAAAGCGTGCGGTCTAGCAAATATACAGTCAAGCTTGGGTGGGGTGCTGTCGAGTTATGAATCTGGCGCTCGCAATGCATTTCCTCGCTGGAAACGACAGGACTTGAGGATAGGAACAGGCGGACGAGCAATCAAACGTAGGGGACGACAAAGTCAGGGGCATCAGTCATAAACAGGAAGCTTGGCAACATAGCAGTTCGATTGCTCGAATTCGGTAAAGCACATGTCAGACTTCGTTCAGACAGTCCGGTTTTGACTCGCTAGACGTGGTTTCTGATGACAGTGTCCTGTAACCTTATGTCTGTGACTGCAGATGAACAAAGCGGGAAGGTTCACATGAGTTTAAGTACCTCTTTTCACAAACTTGCGGTATTGGAAGAGTCGTCGCTTCCTTTGTTTGCGTGGAGTTGTCACTTCCTTTCTACCACCCTCTGTGCGTCAAACTCCGCTCTCACTACAACACCAACACGACTTGTCTCCACAAGCTGAGACTTTCCTTCTTGTTTCATTCCGCCGCTTGCAGACAACCTCTTCTATCCACACAATCTTATCATTTCGCAACCGCAACAACTTCTCTCTTTGTAAGGTCACCATCGCACAACAACATCTCCAATCGTCCGCACATCTTCTCTTGCCGCAGTCACAAACCAAGGTGAATACGTCGACTCTGGCTTGCTCTCGGAATAGGCACTAACATCACCACAGCTTCAGCAACACAACCTCACCAGTATCCATGCATCAAAACGAACGCATCAGTACATACGCATCAACGATGGATTCGTCGCCGCCAGCTTCGTTCTCTTCACTTCCTCCCGAGTTGGTCTCTAAGATCTGCAGCGATCCCGGTCTCGATAAGAAGGATCTTATTGTCCTACGTCTCACCAGCAAAGCGCAAGGCATCCACGCATCTGCCACGAGAGCCTTCGGCAGACACTGCTTTTCTCGTGTCCCGCTTCTCTACACTGAGTATAGCCTGGAAACTTTCCTCAAGATCTGCCGGCACCCTGTCTTTCGTTCGTGTATTCGTCTAGTTGAGCTCTCGTGCTTTCGTTTCGACCCAGGCCATTTCAATCTCCTCGTGGAAAGCATGACAATCTGGAATTTGGATTGGGACGAGTTAGTTCGGAATGTACAGCTTCTTTCTGCAAGATGTGATGCTCAAGAATCCCTCGAGCCCTGGGATGCGAAGACCTTGCTTGAGCGAGCCTTTGCTCGGTTCGCAGAATCTGGCCACAGTTTGACGATTGCTGTTTCAACAGACGAGTACAACGCGCTTGGTGTTAGTAGAGTCTTTGAACCAGAACCAGAGACCAATTACTTCCACGCAGATGTACCTTTCGCTTTACATCTTCTTCTTGCATCAGCAAAGCGTGCTGGCTGCAGAGTGCCCAAACTCGACATCACAGTCGCGTCACGACTATTCTCCTCCCAAGACTATGACTGTGATCTATCAGATCTCATGCATTCGAACACAGAGCTATCTCTTGAAATGTGCTTCATCACAGACTTTGATGAGGATGAACACGCAGAATCCATTCGATAGATCAAAGATATGCTGTCATGGGTTAGCAATGTCAAGGTTCTCCATTTTTGTCCTCAGATCTTCGACGACAACGATGACGACAAGTTCAAGACTTTCAGCAAAGCAATCTCGCACTTATCTCTGGAGGAGCTTAGTCTGCAAGACGTGTTTACACGCCAAGAGACCATGGTCAACCTCCTGGAGAAATTAGGTCCAACATTGCGTCGCCTGACCATGCTTTGCAGTATCACTGGATCTTGAAAAGAGGTTTTACTTTGCATCCAGCAAAACACTGACCACTTGGACCGGCTTTACATCTATGCCTATGGCGCTGGTCCATCTTGGTTAGAACGAGCAAATCTCGACAGCGGCATCGCAGCTGTTCGCCTGGGACTCGAGAAATTGCTGAAGGCGGAATCGCGTGCATCTGAAGTTGTTGACGACGAGCGTGATGAGGAATAGCCTCTCTCTAGAAGAGCAAAGGGCTCGGTTTTGGACATACCTTGATATTGATAAAGAGGATCGAGTGGAAGAAGCTGGTCAATAACAGGCGGCAAACCCTGGTGCCTTAGGACGGCGATGCGGCTTCGTACAACAAGGAAAAAGAGCTAGCAATACATTTACAGTAGTAAATAACTCACTGTTGACCTGGAACTTTCCCCAAGATTCGTCAACAATCGATCTAACGCCCTTCCATTTACGGACTGGAGCTCTCCTGTGTTCGTTACCAAGAAGAGGTATTTTTCGATGTTGGGGGAAGTATACTGGAGGAACATCAGACCGTCACGTCCTTGTGCAAACCTTTGAGACATCGTTTGCAAGATACAATGCCGAAAGCTACAGTCGCAACCATACAGGAACCTTACGTGGTCAAGCATTCTGTCATTTTGCCAATAACTCGAACCGTAGTCCAGTGCTCGAACTCTCAACAAATGAGTCTGGTGCACTCGATGGCAGCAAAATCCACCGATCTAGAACTGGCTTCGCATTACTGGTATACTAACATGCTTCCCAATCGAGATCTTCCTCTTCGCTGGCAAGAAGAAAGGATGTTGAATTCAGAATGGCCATGTCAGTGTGAATGTGATCTCCAGCTTTTGCCATGGCTAACGAGATTTCCGAGATCTTGTGGATGAGGTTTCGGGATTTATATTTAGTTGGAGTGTTGTTGTTGAGGATACAGATGACGGTCCTGAGAGAACCATATTGATGATGAAGGACCTGTTCTCATGGGGTACTCCATTTGGGGTGAAGGATAATGTCCCTGTGGATGTCGCCCGTTCCTAAAAACCCATGTGTATTTGATTGGCTGCAATCGGAAGTGTTCAGCAAGCGGAAATGCTCAATGTTGCAGTCAGAGACCATCTGAGTGTGACCGCTAAAGTTCAAGTCAAACGGATACATCATGCTCTCTGAGAACGGATACACAGATATCCGACCTCGCTAGATCCAGATTGCACGATCAATAAATCAGCTCCGTGTTTGGCATCTTCAGCGTATCTAAAGGTGGGAGAGCAATCTGGGTAAGCAAAGTAGGTCAGAAAATAGTCAGTAACTAGGCACACCCTGGCCACGAGAATTGACATCTCGAAACTTCGCTTACAAAACATGACCACCTCTTGCCGCAAAAGCACTTTGACAAACTTTCAGCAATGCATTAGAGTCGCAAGCTGGGATTTTCGTCGAGAGCGAAGTGGAGTTTTTGTGTTCCTCATGCGCTACTGCACGACTTGTCGGAGATGGACCGTGACCCACATGGGCGGTGTCGACGGTGCCAGGGGACCTGCCGGCTTCAGCGGTTGCGGCGGCTGTTCGGGACCTCGTGCACGCTTCACGCATATTAAAGTCTTCTGTTACTTGCATCTTGCAGACCACTTGGGCGTCATTCGCTACAACTTGCTCAAAGATCGGTATCTGAGACCGGGAAAGTGCAAGCCGAACGATGGATTGACAGAAAAGGAAAACGCCATCTGTCCATCTGGCTTCTGCCTTTCCTTGTTGAGATCTAGGGTGGAAAGAGCTCAACAGCTTGCTCTTTCCTGTCTCCAAGTCAAACACCAAAACATCTACTGATCGCCGTATCTCCGAGTGATCCCCGTTCCCATATTGAGGCGACTGGCCGTCGGGCACCCCACGACCCAGACGAATGAGGAGGTGTCAATTTGAACATCCCACCGTCCCAAGCTCTGGACTTCCAATATTTTACCCAGCCACGATGGAAATCAACCACGTTTTTGTGTCTTCGTGTGGCTGGAGTTCCGATCTGCCATGAGATGTCTTTCCGAATCAGCGCCGCCTTGCGAGATGAACTCGAAAGGAAACGTACTTGCCATATCGCCCATGGTCTCGAATGACGAAGGGCGAGGATTTTGGTTGATTGAATGAGGACGCTACCACGCACTTATACTAATGGACTCATGCCCTGTTCGAGCTTCAGGCGCTCATCGACTGCGACGTGACCATGAGATGTGCTCAGGTCAACCAACAGGCTCGTGTGTGATTGCCTTGGGATCAGCCTAATCCGTTGCAGATGCGACTCCATGCAGCTCAGCTATGGTCAATGCCACAGCCACAGAGCTGTCAAAACCCATAATCATGGGACGGACCGGAGCTTCCCCTTCATCTATCGCGCAATGTCGATGGAGAAGGTGATGGTGTTATGCCACCGGCTACGAGCAAGGACCCAATCTTGATATGCACGTCCAATCCAAAACACTTCAGCAGCAGCGTAAGCACCAAGAAATCCTGATTTACGACAAGGACCGATTGAGTAGCAATGGATCTTGAGCTGTTTATAGCGCCGCTTCTCATGTCCATTTCTGTCATGACTCGCATGGCCATGCCTAGTTTCTGTCTTTTTGGTCCCCGAATATCCCCACACAACTTTAGTTATGACGCCTAATCCCTAAAGCAGCAGTAACGTGCATGGTGTACGCAAGAACAATGGGGCAGGGCCTTCAGGCGGTCCTTACTATGCTCGACATCGAAGACGGTCTCTGGTCCTTTACGCACTCTGTGCTCACTGGTCAATGTGATAGGGTTGATCGATGGTCTGTTACACTTGTACCAGAACCCATTTTATTGAGTTTTTGGTATAAGGACTCCTCTGTCGTCCTTGATGGTCCTGCGTATCTCGGTCGAGAACGGGTGTGTATTTCCTGATGCTGCGAGGTCAGTACATGGGTGCCACTATCTGCTCTCGAACCGATGGAACATCGCTACAAGCCGTGTTTCCTGTCACCCCCAATATCCAACACACTATGAGTGCAGATTGATTTGCCAATAGCAATCTGACTCGATTGCCGCTCTCCATCGCAAGCCACCTCGCACATGGCCGGGAAGCGATCTCGGGCCTGAGACCGACCTGATACGGACCTGAAACCATTTCATCATAAAGCCTTGCTCTCCAGGCTTTGGAGGAGACTTCGACTTTTGAATGTCACTTCGCATGTTCATGGATCCCAATGCAATAGCAGCAATCGGAGAGTCGTCGCTGAAGCTCAGGGCGGCGGCCGTGGCCTTTATGCCCATCACCGCAGTAGCGCTGTCGTTGCGCTTGTATGTGAGAGTTGTCATTGTCAAAGGATTCGGTGTTGATGATATGTTCTTGATAGGAGCACNNAGGTCAGTATGCTCGACGTGTCAATCATGAGTTTGAACTGACTTGGTATCATTCTAGGTTATGTTTCTAGTATTTTGTGGATTCGCCATCCAGTTGATCAATCTTGAGCATGACCCGGCCACGTTAGTAGCCATATCTGGAGGCATCAGAACAGCATTAGCAGCCATTGAGAAGATCTATACGGTAAGTTGGCATGCTATCAACAAAACCGTCAGCTGCTAACATCCACTCAGANGCACTGTTCTCTTCACCATGTTTTACGTCTTGTCTCTTGTCTTCCTCAAACTCTCGCTCGCCTTTTTCTACGTTCGAATCGTCATCCAGAGATGGCAAAAAGTTGTCATCTACATCACTGTCGCAACGATGACTATGTACGGCCTTACATACGCCTTCACCTACCTGTTTCGATGCGGAGCGGACATCAACCATCAACTTATTCACCGAGCAGAAGGCAGATGCATACCAGATCACACGTTATTGATCATGACATACATCTTCGGAAGTGTGGACACATTTACAGATTTCGTTTACGCGTTGCTTCCCATTTACGTCTTGTGGAACTCGAACATGCCGTTAGGGATGAAGTTTACAGCCGGTTTCTTGCTCTGCATTGGATCCGTCAGCTCCGTCTGTGCCTTGGTCCGCGTCGCCACTCTCTCGAATCTGACATCGGTGGAGAAATTCTTCAAGCAAGCGGTAGAGACTGGCCTTTGGAGTGTCATTGAACCTGGTCTTGCCATTGTAGCCACATCACTGGCGGCATGCAGGCCACTATGGAGGAAATTCTTCGAGGACACGAGCACGGGGTCCTTCATCAAGAATACCTTTATGTTCAAGTGGTCGGGGTCCAGGAAGAGTGGCGCTTCGTCAGACAGCAGTGGCTCCATCGACAAGCCTGTGACAATCGGACGAGCCCAAGGACGAGCCAATGGATTCGGATTCGTCGAGCGCTCTGAAGGAAACAAGGGCTTCAAGAAGTTCAATGACGACGAGTATGGCGTTTCCATGGCCACTGTCGCGGTTGGAGACGACGGAGACCCAACTGAGATGCAAGATCTCGGCAGACTGGAAGCGCAAACTGATTACCGGGAAGATGATGATGAAAATGACAGGAGATCTTTGGTGAGGACGTCGATGCCGCCGTCTCAAAGCAGGTCGAACAGTGCGCATCGGCAGAGCAAGTCGAAGATATTCAAGACGAGAGATGTGCGAGTGGATATCTCGAGCACGCCTCCTCCGCCTTGATGTTTGCTGTTTTTGATAATAATGTACAGCCTGTTTTCCTTTGTTTATTTTAGCGTTTACGATCAAACCTTTACTTTTCCATGCTGTGGTTCTCTAGGAAGCCAGGGATTGAGAATATGCATCTTTCGACATATCGTGAAGATTATTGGCTCGCTCTGAAAAGTGGTCGTCTGTGCAAGAGTCGAAGAGTCTTAGTTGTGATATTGCTGACCAAAAGCTTCGCAGGCAGCGGAAACGCACGGATCATATTCACAACTCTTGGCGCGCTCGTTGCAACAGCATCTCATACCGCAATCCACGAAACCGCATCCCAGCAGCAATCTGTACCCTCACCACACACCACACACAATGCTCGCCACCCGTCTCTCGCGCAGCTGCGCAGCCCGCTACAGCCACGCCCACCGCGCCTTCACCACAACCAGCTTCCTGCGCGCCGACAACCCCATCCCGGCCAACGACACCAAAGACCGCAGCACACCGTCGCCCGTCAGCAGCACCAATGCCATGCCCTTGAGCAGCGAAGGCAACATGGACAAACCTCTCCAAGAATCAGTTGCAGAGGGAGAAGAAAGACGCGTCATGCAAGCGCCCAACAGAAAGAGCGTTTGGAGCAGAAGCCAGCAGCCCAGGGAGAAGGCCATGGTGGGGCCGAGGTTTGAGCAGATGATCATGTATGATCAGGTATGTTTCCCTCTGTATCTACACTTTGGAATGAAGAGAAGGATCTTGGGGGCGGATTGGGTGGAAGATGGGGATAAAGAGGAGATATGATAAAGATGCTGACGAGACACCACAAACNAGCCCCGTCCCATGGCAGCCATCGAGCTCATCCACAAGCAACCCGTCAACTGGGTCAAGGAACGCACCGTCAAGTGCGACGGCGGCGGCGGTCCCCTCGGCCACCCTCGCATCTTCATCAACGTCGACAAACCCCAAATATGCTGGTGCACTTACTGCGGTTTGCCTTACGTGAGTCTCCCCTTCCTTTCCCTGCATATCTCTATAAAAGCATCGGAGGAATGGTATACTGATATTTTGGGGTGATACAGGNCCAAAGAGTCCAACCGCAAGATGCTCGAGTCTCTGCCTTCGACTTCGTACCCGCTTGAGCCTCAGGGCCATGAGGCTGAGGTGCCTCAGGGTTATCAGAGCAACACTGGAAAGCCTTTGGAACAGCGATAGATTGCTTGTTCTGCTTTCTCTCAGCTCGAATTGTTTCCTCTTTTAGCCTTTTTCTACACCTTTCTGTTGCAGTGTATATATAAACCTCAACAACCATGAAATCACATACATCATTATACATCACGTGCTGAAAAAGTCATCGTGTGCACGTTTTTGTGATTCTTAAACAGAAATAGTCCGAACGAAGTATATCAATGGCAATCGTGTCATTTAGCATCACCTCTTGCTGCGCCCAACCCAGAAACAATTCCGCTTTCATATCCTCAGGTATCTTCGTTCCCTCCTCTTCTTCCTCATCTAAGCCTTCTCCCCATAATAGTAGCAACAACCTTCCTCTGATGCTTACTTGCCCTAAACTCCAAAAAANNCCACACACCTTGCCAGGTCCCTGTGTTGAGCCTTCCATTTGTAATCGGAATGCTGACTGAAGCGCCAATGAGTGCAGACTTTATGTGTGCGGGCATATCGTCAAGGCCTTCTGCAGAGTGGCGGTACAGGTTTCCCTTGCGGTCTTCGGGGGCGATGCGGTCGAGGGCGTCGGACATGTCGTGGCTGTTGATGGGTGGGTTAGTGACTGACTGCAAGACAAGGCAAGGCAATGCTAGAGGAGGCAGACTAGGAATGTGGAAGGAAGGGTAGAAAGAAACAGGGCACACATACCGCACATCCTCATCCCAATTCTCATTCAAACTCAACGCACAACTCGTATGCTGCACAAACAGCTGCAAGATCCCCACTTTGTAGTCCTTGATTTCTGGTACTTTTTCCATCACCGTGTCGGTGATGAGATAACTGCCTCTACTCTTCGCAGGCAGTGTAAACTGTTTTTGCGAAAACGACATTGTGGGAGGTTGCTGTGAGAAGGAGGCCAAAGGTGGGGTGGAAGTGGACCAAGGTAACAGGGATAAAGTGTACGAGAGGAGGGTGAGGGGTGAGTAGATCAGTGGTCCGATGAGGCAAGGGAAGAAAGCGAGGATGAATATGCAGAGGAGGAGGGGGAGGTGGTATGGGTTTGTGGTGGTGGTATTTGGCATTTGAGAAAGCGATGGGTGTGGGTTTTGGAGAGAGTGATGCGGCTTGCGGGTCAGGGCGACGTCATTTTTTGGAGCTTAGAGAGCTGGACATCGAGTGCTGACTGCTCCTCCTTCCTTCCTTCCCAAACAACGATTGTCACAGTCCGAAAGGCGTGGTTGGAGAGATTCGATGAGATTTGAATTTCTGTAACAGCAAAGAGCAACAATTAAGTTGCTGTTGCGTCCAACTTAGACTGTATTGTTACATGCGAAAAAAAGAACTGCTGGCCCTGTGTGTGGTTTAAGCAAGAAAGAAAAAGGGCAAGCAGCAGAGCAAAAAGCAGAAAATGAAAACAGAAAGCAGAAGATGGAAAATCGCCGCAACTTTCCTCTAGCAAACAGCCACTGATCGGATAGTGGTATGTTCTCGTCCCTCCTCGTCCTTCATCCTCCACAGTTTCCACGAAAGAGATAGCCATACCGCCTTGAAGACCACGAGCTTCTTTGAGAGAAGCAGAGAGCAACGCATGCATCATCACTTCTTCTTCTGCTCCTTGTCACGCACAAAGTACGCATTGCCATATCTCGGATCAACCTTCCACTTGCCAGGATACAGCTCCTCCTCAATAGTGCGAAAGTTGCGCAAAGTGTTCGAATCATCAGGCTCAATGACCCAAAACAGTTGGTCAGGAGAAGCAGCCTTGGGAACCATTTCATTGGGCTTGTACACGCCTTCCTTGTGCGCGATCTTGGTATTGTCTTCGTCGACTTGCTTCTTGGTGCGGCCGACCCACACACGATCGGTCTTGGGTTTGGGCGAGGCTGTGGGGTTTCGGTGTGTACGGGGNACTGGGTAGTTGGGCATGGCGTAGACGACTGGGATGGCGGTGGCGGGCAGGCCGTAGGGAAAGGCGCCGTAAGTCATGGTGGGTATGTTGGCTTGAGGGGTGGGTGGTGGAGGTGCGGCCTTCTCGATGGTGGGAGGCTCGGATGCAGGGCGAACTGACTTTTCGCGGACACGCTCGTGAATGTAGTGGCGGTAGTGAGGATCTTCCTGCTTGAAGTGTGCCGAAGGAGCAGCTACAGCTGTAGGTGCAGGTGGTGCAGGCGCGGGAGCTGGAGGTGCGGCCATGGCTGCGAATGGCTGGGGTGGATACATGTAAGTGTAACCAGGCTGAGGGTAAAGAGCATAGGCGACAGGNCTGAGTTGGTCAAAGGTCAGTCAATTACGCCAAAGATCTTGTGTCGATTTACTCACGACAGCGTCTTGAGGACCAGGTTCTCTCATAGCAACGTAACGGTAAGCGTTGTCTCGATCAGACACTTCGCTCTGACTCTGGGTCGAGCGATTCGAGATGGACGACTTGGGAGCAATGGTCTCGGTAGGAACAGCCACACACTCGCGCCTCTTGCACCACTCCTCGTAACTAAACCCGCCGACCTCTTCCATCTTTCGAGAGGATTTGATGGAAACAGCCAGAAGAATCGGAGGTGGGCAAGTATGCTGAGAACCAACTGGAAGTGAGTGTTTGCGCTGACAATGGCAACTTCTAAGAACCACCTTCTTCTTTTCGACACTTGGCGGCGCGTCTTCGCTATAACGCCGGCGATGGGGTCGGTGACGTCTGTGCTCGTCGTGATGATCAAGAGTCTTGGGATGAGAATGATGATAGGAATGGTGTCGCGAGTGATGGTGGTGACGCGAATGGGAACTCGAGCGATAACGAGCAACCCTTGCAGGTGAAGCAGAACGCTCCGGCTCAGTCACAGAACTCACACTGCTTGTCTGGCTTGCCCGACCAAAGACCCAGTTGCCTTTCTTCTCTTTGGTCACGGTTTTCTTGACGGGGATTCGCGAAAAGTCTGACTCTGACTCTGATGCTGAGTAAGGTGTGGGCGAGGCGCCTCTATAACGTACAAACTTGCGTCCCATAGTTTATGCTGGTGTTGGTACAGATACTTGAAGAAGAATGCTGTCTACACAAGACAGAACTAGACTATGGAAGTTGACCGCCGCACAAAGAAACGAATCAGGGTATCACGTAAATTTGTTTTTTCTCCTGGGCAACGAGCATCCAAGATGAAGTTGTCCCGGGACCCGACTGGAATCCATACATGGCATTCTTGCAGCATGATAGGCTGTTCCGATACCTCCATCAGCATCGGAAACATAGTAGTCCATAACAGCATCGTTTTTTGCTCATCAACTTCATGATGGTCAATCCGCAGACTCTATAATGTTCTTCTCATGCTAGCAGCTCTTTCTCCTCTTTCACCTTGTCCTGCTGCTCGCTCACAGCAACAAAGATTCTTCCCTCTATCACTTATCTACTTTCCACAACAAGATGTCTACATTCATCCGTATCAACCACTTGTCTCCGGTCGTACGTGTGAGCTTCGATCATGGAAACAGGGATTCTGTAAACGAACAAGACCTGGAGAACATGAATCATTGGAGCAAATCATAACATCAAACAGAACGAGCTATGGGATATCTCTGGAGAAAGCAACAACGAAAGACGACAAACGAAACTGCTGGTACAGATAGAACTTTTCTCCCACGCCTGTGAAACGTAAGGAACAACGATACGCTTGCTTTGGGATATGACAAAGGAGATGTAAAGAAAGACGGCAAGGCACTTCTACTTGCTCCGATCAATGATGGGTCCACCTCTGCCTTCTTCTCTTTCGGTCCTGGCGACCTGGTTAAGGAGACTGCCAGGCACATATCTGCCTTCTTCCGAGACGTCGATCATGGGCTCGCGTGCGTTCCTGTTGCCGCTCATGACTCCTCTGCCTATAGAGTTTCTGCCGTCGTAGCCACCGCGAGCATTATTCAAGAGACCGCGACCGGTAAAGGCATCATCTGTGGAGTCAGGTGCGGGTCTGTGGGCTAGAGAGCGCTGGCGACTGACTCCTGCGTTGGCTGCTGCAGGGACATTGGCTCGGCCACCTCGCCAATCGTGCGCAGAAGGAATCTGGTAAGCTTGTTCGGGTGATGTTGCATTGTCGATTAATCCTCCAGGACCAATTTCATCCGGACGAACGCCTCTTCCCTTCTTCAGATGTTGAGGTGGTGGCTTGTAGGTAGGAGTGAGATCGACCAGCGGCTTCGACGTTTCCTTTGCGCGTGTCGATCCAGATCGCTTCAGTCCGTCGTCGGCTGCCATGAGTCGCTCACGAGTGGATGGACGGTGCTTGAGATCAGTCCCATGGCCATCGGCACGGCGTGTAGATCCAGTTCGCTTGACAGAGCCCTGGCGGGCCAATGTCTCTGCCTGGTTGCCGCTCAGCAACGAAGGACCTGTCGCCCATGGATTCTTTGCTGCAGCTTCTCGTTCTGCGGCGGCTTTTTGGCGAGTAGAATAGCTTCTGCCGAGCAGACCATCTCCTGCGAATGCTTCTCTTTCTGCTGCAGAGTCCTGATCAAAAGACGATCTTCGGTTTCCTGCCAACTTGTTAAGAGATTCATCATCCGCCAGTTTCTGTTGTTGGGACAACGCAGAAGGATGACTTGATCGCTCACGCACTGAAGGCTTGCGGGCAGGAACACCAGAAGCGGTATCCTGGCCTCTCGATGACGAGGGTCTATCGAACTTGTCGAGGTCCATGAGTGGCTTGTAGCTGCCTAACTGATAGTGGGCATCCATTGATCCAGTCGAAGGTTGAGGAGCATCAGATGATTGCTTTGACTGTTTCGTCGCTTTGCTAGATGAACGTCCTAGACCTGTAGCTGATTTTTTCTTGCCCTCGTCTTTGGCATGGTGCAGATACCAACTGCGCCAGCCCTGTACGGCGTCGTGGAAGCTGGCGGCGAGTGTTTCGTCTGATGTACAGAAGAAATGGACGTATACTGATTTTGAATCTTGTTGGAATATGTTGGACTTTTGCTGGCTCTTCACGGCGTAGCAAATCTTCTTGGGAGGTTTTAGCATCTTAGACATGAATCTGGCTGTAGGAGTGTAGATGTCAAAATCTGTGAGATGACCAATGTTTGTCGTTTCAGACTCTTTGTTTGGCTTTGCGGCAACAAGTTGACCATCTTGACGGATGGTGACCAAACGCTTGTGCCATGTGCCCGGTTTCTGCGAGTGTTGCAACAAGAAGGAAGTTTCTCGCGGTCTCTCGCGTGGAACGTTCGCAAGACTTAGATTACTCGAGTCGCTCGACAATACGCGAGCAGGCACTATTTGCAAAGAATTGGAGCGATCTTCATCCCAGGAGTTCATGACGTCGAAAACATACTCGTAGCGTCTCAGCGGTCGTGTCACGTCCACCTTAGATGTGAAACTCTCGAGAAGGACAGATGATTTGAGATCGATGGGTTCGGATAGGCAATTGGCGGCTGATGCGATCAAATCTGCGGCAGAAGTGGTAGGCTCGACGGGCAGATCGATGAACTTTCCGTTACACTCGACACGAACACGCNNTGCTCAATGATTAGTCTTATCTCAGCACACCAATTCAACTCGACTCACTCTGCTTCCTTCCGGTGCGCCATTCAGTGCTGACAAGGGTGCGTCCGTCATAGGTACTATGCCACGGCCTCCTGGTCTAATGACTGGAGGTTCGTCCGGCTTGGTAACCGCAGGTCGGGCATTGAGAGGCGTCGTCGCAGTCTTGGTCTTCTTCTTCTTCCTACCGAACATTCCAAAACAGCCAGCTGTTTCTTCAGCCGAGACTTCGCCCTCTTCCTGATCGGGTATGTAGTTCTCGACCTTGGCTCTGATCTGTGTAGGAGCCTGGGCTCTTGCGATGGCCATGATGTCCTCTCTTGGAGGAGGTTTGGACTGTTCCAGGCTCTTGTGCTGCGATCGCATGCTTCCGTAGCCATCGTCGCCAGAATCAAAGGCGCCGGCTTCTGCATCGCGTGATCCGTCCCTACCACGACTACCACGGGTGGAACGAGTTCTAGTCGGAAAGATGGGTGCGTCGTGTGCGGGCTCGGGGACAGGCGAGTGTTCTTGAGTGTTGGCAGCGGCAGGGCGGGTTTTGTGGTAGCGAGACCTGCTTCTACCTATACCGGCATCTTGTGCTGTCTGGGGTGTAGATGCGACTGGGGCCTTTCTTTGCGAGCGATAGCGCGCCGGCTTTCCGTCCATCGTGTCGGCCATGTCGCGTGTCCTGTCGCGGTGGTGGGATTGTGGTTGTGTACGAATTGTTTTCAGGCGGTTGCGTCACATGCAGGTACCAACGGGTCCAGAAGAGTCGATGCGATGCGCTGCCGCGGACCAGGGTCAATGCAAAGCGAAGTCGAGAAGAAGAGTGTCGCTGGCCTGCTGCGACTGTTGTGGAATGAATAACATCAGCTGAAGGGTGTCTAATAATAAAAACACCATAGGGAGGGGGTTGTTTGGGAAATGAATTTCGAAACATGTCGCGGCAAGATGCAACGCTCCAGAGGACCCTCGGATCTACAAAACAGCAAGACCTGGCGAGCCGACTGCCAATTATGGATTTTCTCTCTCGTCACACGACCGCTCCTTCATGCCTTTCCAAATCCTCTACACGACTTACACGGCCGCCCAAGCCCATNCTAATCATGCCAACCTGACTATGCACGCCTTGGCCGCCATGTTTGCTGAGATCAATATCGAACCTGCCAACTTCTTCAAACCCCAGCTTGTCAAACAGCCTCCTGGCGGGCCCATCGGCCACCGTATCCAGATAGATACAGCTAACCTTTTCTCGATCCGCGGCCTCGAATATGCTCTTTACGAGCGCAGTGGCCGCTCCCCTNTGCCGGCTTTGATTCATCGTTCCAATATTCATGAGCACTNNAATGTGTCGTCGTCAGCAGTTAGCAACCAACTTGGCGGTAGACTGTGACCAACAGTAATGCCTCCGTCCACGCAGCACGTCATTGCGGAGTTTTGTAACTCGGTGTCTGAATTCTACCACGAGGCTCGAGTTCATGCCAGGTGCAATTGAGTCCTCGTAGGCTTCCTGCGCTTCGGCCTGGTTCATGTCATTGCTTGGCCTCGATATCGGAAATAACTTTTGACGTACAAGCTCCTGTGCCATCTGCTCTTCGCTGTCTGTCTCATCGTTGGGCAGATGCCACTCAGCAAAGCTGACTATTCTGTTGCGCTCATCTCGAGCAACGAACCAGGCTTGTTCTTCGTCTTGCAAGCTCTCAGCGATACGTGTCGCTTGGTTGAAATTTAAAGCCAGCACGTTCAAAGACCCCAGGCAGAGTTCTATGAATGGCGTGGGCTCGTCGTGGGAGTAGATTGATGTTATGGCGGGAACATCAGCAAGTGTCGCTTTCGAGACCTTCCAAGACATTGTACGAGTGTTGTGAGGATGATACTTATGGGGCTCACATGTATGTCGTCTGGTCATCTACATATCCCTTTGGTCGACCCTGTGCATCATGTACCTGCTAAGTAACTCACTCAAGAGATAAGGCCTTATGCAAGGCGATAAGCACTCGCGTATATAAGCCTCGAGGGTGATCTACACGCATGCCTCGGCTGCAGCGAGACTTGACAGTTGGTTCGTAAGTACACAGCGGTCGGTCTGTCATTTGAACGTGTGTAAGCCTGCCTTGACTCTACACGCTGTTACACAAGATCTTCACATGATATCGCATAAAGTGTAGGGCTAGAACGTGCAGCTGTGCCATGCGGAGGACACAAGCCTCTTTGCGGAGAGCGAACCGAAAGTCAAACGACACTTCCGTCCTTCAGGGGCTGAAGCTGTACTCCGTAAAATGCAACACAAGATGCACACTTCTTCAACCAGCCTGACTCGATCAGCATGATGCCGCTGTTCAGCGTTTGCTACTTAGCAAACAATCTCACAACTTCAACGTAGACCCACTGCTAACAAAGCTGAGGTAGCGACTACCCAACTCCTGCCAAGTTGACGCTTGGCAACGTGCATTCACAGAGACGATAGTCTATCGATGGGCGCAGAGCCCCTGATGAGAGATACCGACGGTAGGCTTCAGCTACCAGCTGGCTAGACACCGAAGGCTCGGAAAGATTTGATTCACAGTTCCGCCGTTTGGTTTTGTCTTTTCCACCTTCGTGTCCGTCGCCATACACTCATTTGATCACCCTTTCTCTAGAAGATGCACCACGCCAAAGCTGCTGCCGTCGCTTTTCCGTCACGGTCAAGTTCGCGACCGGGCAGGATGGACCTGCGGCGAAGGCGGTTCGTTGCCATCGCTGTTGTCACGCTGGTTCTTTTCTTGCTCTACACATGGGTGGGACATCCGTCGTCAGTGTCCTCTGCAGTGCAGGCAGGACTCGACTACTTTGTGCATGTGCCAGATCTTCCTGCCGCGAACGCAACACTGGGCGTATGCAATAGCTGCATCCAAAAGCTTGGACTACAGACACTAACACACTCGCAGTTTGGCGCCATCGTCGCCGTCTCGACGCTGACATCGAAACGCCGCAATAGCCTGCTGCTGGCAGCAAACATCACCGAAATCGACATTACGATACCGAACCAACCCGTGTGGACCGACGCAGATCTCAAAGACTTCAAGGCAAAGAACCACTCCGTAATCACTCGCGGCTCGGCACTGGCATGGATGGGCCACCTGAATGCTTTGCGCTGGTTTCTGGACTCGGGGCTGGAGACCATGCTAGTCATGGAAGATGATGTCGACTGGGACATACACTTGCGCACATCCCAAGTGCCCAAGGTGGCTGCTGCCATGCGCACACTACTTACTGAGCAAGCCAATGCACTCCCTGCAACACCAAACTCAAGACAAAAGATCATCACACCAGAACAAGCAGGCGGCTATTGGGGCAAGCCCACAGACTGGGATATCCTCTACCTCGGCCACTGCGGCGACATGTTCACCTCCTCCAACTTTGCAAACGAAACCGATATCCCCCGCCTCGCTGTCTCAGACCCAACTCTCCCTTCGCCAGAATACATGCACATCCTCACCCGCCGCTTCCTCGCCGAACTAGGCGTCCCCATAAAGACCCGCGTTATCCACCGCTCCATATCCCCTCTATGCACTTTTGGCTTTGCATTGTCCAGAGCAGGCGCCACCCGCCTCCTCCACGACGTCGCTGCCTCAGAGCCCGAAGGCGGCTGCGAAGCCTACGACGTCCGCATCCTCGAAATCTGCCGCGACCGCAGTTTCCGCTGCTGGTCCGCAAACCCAGAGTTATTTCACCACCAAGACGCACCCTCCGAAATCGCCATTGTAAATGCAAAGAAGGGAAAAGATCACAGTGCCAAAGAACATGACTCTAAAGCTTCTCCACCGGGTATAGGTGTAGATTCAGAGGGTAGATTGCAAGGTGCAGCCCCGAATATTGCTTGCGGGATGCGAGGGAGCAGTTTCTGGACGCAAGATCCTGATACAGTGGAGTATCTGAAGGAAGTGGTGGGTAGACAGGGTCATTGCTTGAGGGATCAACATGCTGAGGACATGAGTGTCTGGCCTCATCTTTGAGTGTTTTTCTTCTTGAGATGTAAAGACACCTTTTTTCTTCTAGGATTAGCTTTTTGCCTCTTCTGGATTCCTTTTTCTAATCGGTTCTAATGAGAAACTATTGCCCCTTTTGACAGATCTGCTACTTTCGATACCATGTGCTGTTGGATATGGCAACGGACAGCGGTCTCGCAAGCGTGAGAGACTTGGTTGGAGTGACTTGAATGATTACGAGGTCACGAATCACAAGCCAAACGTCCGCACCAGCAGTGATGTGGACACAGACACATGCAAGGCACAATAAAAAGACATCAAGATTTCAGCTCTGGCATCCGATAGCGAACAGGACTTGATGCGGCGACACGGCACTCTATCACAAAAGCAGTCATAGACATGGAAAGCGAGCAGTTCACATGGGGGAATCAAGACAATGCTGATGATGTATTGATAATAGTGTATTTCATATTCTCTCCTCCATTGGAGGAGGTATGGATATTGTGGTCTCGTACTAATGGCTAGAAGCGAACGTGCAAATGGCAAACACACAAATGTAGTGGTATTGAAAGGGAATGGGTGGTTGAAAGCGGCAACAAGAAAAAGCGATCGGGGGACATTACGATGAGAAAAGAGAAGAGGAAGATGAGTATAGGAATAGATGAAGAAAGGGTCATTCTCATGTTGCCAGCAGGGGGAGAGAGCCGAGCCAGCGGATCTTTCTGCAAAGAGAGTCATGTCTAATCGTCGTCCATATCGGGGTTTGCGACAAACAGGCGCACGCCACTCATAGTGGTTGTGCGGTCGTCGACACTGCCTCGTCGGCGCAACTCGTCGTTTGTTTTCTGTTGGTCGTAGTTGTAAGAGACAGGCGCGCGGGTAGGCAGACTTCCGACGTCTCCAAAACGCTCTTCCTGAATGGATCCACTCGAGCTACCATTGCCACCAGGGTGGGTGAAGTAGTCGTTCCTGGATGCACCTTGTTGTGGGGTGGCGTCAGAGTATGAGCGAGTGGTAGCGATCGAATCCTGGCGTTCGCGCGTCTCTGGGTGCTTGTCGACAGGGCTGTAGCTATTGTTGCTGGGCGGTGTGCTGCCATTGCTGAAGCGGGTGGCGGTGGGTGTGGGGCCAGCATAGTAGCTTTCACGCATATGGCGACCCGAGCCCAGACTGCTGCGTCCAGAGTTGTTGCGCTGGTGGTAGCGAGCAATGGCACTGTCATCGTCGCTGTTGTCTTCATCGACCTCACTGGCACTGAGACGCATAGGCACACCAGCTCCAGATAAGTTGCCGGCAGCTGAGTATGCTGAAGCCTTGACAGCACCGTGATGGCGGATCTTGCTAGCAATACCTCCACCGCTTCCGGCTGAGCGATTGTTGCCAGTGGCCGAGACGCCACCAACGACCTCCATCTGGGCGCGGACCTTGGCAGCTCTTTGCTGGGCGAGAATGCGAGGATCCTCGAGCTGGGCACGATCGCACCAGACGGTGGCCTTCTGTTTCCGCATCAGGGAGACGTATGACGAAGGCGAGTTGTTGGAGCGGGAGGAGGTTGATCGGCGAATTGACGAAGCATATGACGAAGGAGCGGCAGGAACGCGGCCGTGCACGCTGCTGTGGGTGCTTGCAGTCGAAGTGGTGGCATTGGAGAGGGTGCGGCGGGATTGATTGAGTGGAGGGAGGTGAGGTTGTTGTGGGTGTTGATGCTGGTATTGCTGAGCGGGCACGACGCTGGACGAGATTGTGCGCGAGCGAGAGTGTTGCAGATAGTCCATGGCGGGAGTGCTGGAGGGCAGAGGCCTTCGGTGCACGTTGAACTGCTGTGCCGGGTAGTCCAATGATGCGGCCATGTCGACGAGAGATGTGTGAGGAGCGAACTCTTGTTAAGAGAAGCAGCGGCGCGGACGGAGGTAAGAGCGGGGGTAGAGTTTGGTCTGGGTCGTGTGAAGTGCTGAGGTACCGATACTCGTAAGTTACTGGCTGTGAGGGGTCGCGCGTCGGAAGAGACCAAAAGCGTTGGCGGCTGTCCGGTTGATGTGTTGGCTGTTGTCAGAAGGCAGGAAGATGGACTGTGATAAGAGAGGTAAATGTGCAGGTGCGATGGGCCATGTGGAAAACAGGATTCAGGAAAGACGTGAACAGACTCGCGAGCCGGCACAGGCGGGAGATCGAGAGATTCTATACCAAAGCGCATCCCAGAACCCACAACCCAAGAGAGAGCCCGGACCAAGCATCCACCGTCGACGCACGTTACGCCAGCATTTACACTCCGCTCCAACTGCCACTCCCACGGGCTCCCTCACCTGCACCATCCAGGTCCGCTGCTACCCTGCTGCAACCCTGCACCCATGTGATACTCGTGCGCTGCCCTCTCTCGTATCTGCTATCTGAACATCCTCATTCTCACCGTCTTTCGACCCCTACATATCGCGACATATGCACCTCGCCAATCACATGCCGACATGCTTCCTGTGCCCCCGACTCTGAATCCTCCCACTCCTGTCCTCCTGCACCATTTGAAAATCATTCACACGCTGCTTGCTCTAGCGCTGAAAAAGTCTAGACTTGAACTACCGGGCTACAGCTCGGTCAAACTACCAGATTGTAAGGGTGCCTATCAAGTTTGGGCTACAAAGGCGTCACCCAGAGGCCCAACAGACTGAAAATCCCGCGTCCCGTTGCTCGACGAAAGACACGAACTGTTTGAAAATCAGGAGTCCCCAGCCTTCAGCCCGATCCTCGAAACCAGAGACCATTCCACCAACGTCATTCGTGGCTGCAAAAATGGTGGAGATTTTTGCTTGTACAACTCTAACCCAAACCCGCCCCGCCAGCTTTCGCAATCATCAGAACCGTTCCTGTCGCAGCTCGCTACGGACTGTGAAATCGGTGATAGCAACCCATCAACCATCGTGCTCCCGACCCGTACCGCCTAAGACTTCCGTTTGACAAGCATGATTCCCTGATCGATTGCATCTCACCAAGTGCCAACCTGATTGACTTTGGTCTGTTCGGTACTCCTTCCCGAGCATTGGTCTGCTTGCCGTCTTCCTTGGCTCTTCAACAGCCTCTTCAACAGACCACCACGCGTTTGCAGACTCCACTCTGTGCGCGATGCTTCCATGCCGTCAACTTGAACCATGAGCGAATACTTGCGTCGTCTTCGTGCCGAGTCCTCGCTCTCTCTCTTGTCCCAATCTAACCTGCTCTCCTTCCGAGTCTGTTGCTCCACTGCATGCTTCGATTCTTCGTTCTTCCGAGGGTCGTACTCGAGCACCTTGCCAGCCACAGATACTACCCACGTTGCATGCACTAATTTTGCGCGCTTCGACAAAGAATCCACATTCTCCTTTTACCAGAACGAGCACCGTCGCGTGCCACTCGCGTGGGCGCGTCGTACCAGATGCGGCCACAGTGCTACCGCCTATCCTGACTCTCTATCAGCCACACTAGTATAAAAATAAGATAAGCATTCAAAGCGAACAGCGATCTACGGCGCTGCGCTCTCGCGTATCAGCAAGCCCTCGGAGTCTGCGGAAAGAGTGTTGCTTGGCATGCAAGTAACCGATCAATAGAGAGCTCCATTTCTCTACACGTTTTCTGCCGCAATGATCAGGAGCAGCAGTTTGAAGGACCCATACTATCGAGCACTATAGGAGTAACAGATATTACAGCCTCACGCGCATGTGCGACTTGCAGCGATCCACCTGTCGCGCTTCACCATGTCAACAGAATTAAGGCCTCCCCTGTCCTTTCAACCTCATACCATTCTCTCAATCCGGCAGATGCACGAATCGCACCGACTGAGCGCCAGTCTGGGATCAGAAGATCCGTTTCGCATCGCTACTCAAAACAACGTCGACCGTCTTCCAAGGTATGAACTCTAAACCCATGAGTAGGTTTGTCTCATGGGAACGACAAACGAGCGGTCAAAAAATAAAGAAGAGACAAAAAGTAGATGAGTTCCCCAGCATTCCAGTCACGATCTGAGACAAGAATTGAGCCGCATGGGACAAAAATATCCAGGGTCCTTCGGCTGTTTCGTGGCACCATCGCACCTATAACATCTTCGAGCTAGGAAACACTTTTGTTTCTCTTGACTCCTGTCACACGTTTCGAGTCAAACAGTTCATGGGCACCAAACACGGCAAATTCTCCGTATCCAAAAAGAGACCCAGCTTCCGTAACTCACCTCCGAGGGTCTTCCTGAACTAGACGACCGGCTTTGCCAAGCACATGAAGCCAAGTGGTCAGCGAATCCTTCCTTGAGTTTCAGGCGATGTCTTGAACATTGCGAGAAAACGCCATGCTACAGTGTACCAAACACCCTCTCTGGAGAAGAGCAAAGACAGGGCTGTTAATCACCAATAAGCTCTCTAAAATACGAAGTGCTAGCTACTAAGAATGTAGGTGGAGGGCACCCAAGGTCAGACGTTAAACGGATACGAGTCTGGGCTCTATTAATATCGCTATCGAAAAAAGATCACCCTCCCTTCTTCTCATATACATGACTATCCTCGCCACCGGTACTGGCGTTCCTCGCTTCCATCATTCTTCTCAATCCAAAAGGAGAAGTGGATTTGACCTTTCAGGCAAATGCTCACGGCAAGCAGTAACCACCGTCAACGATGATGTCTGCGCCAGTCGTGTAAGAAGCAGCATCAGAAGCTAAGTACAAGTATGCGCCGCGCATCTCATGAGGCTCGCCTTCACGACCCATGGGGATCTTGCTCCTCCAGATGCCTTTTGTCTCCTCAGGCACGAATGTTGTAAGTTCTGTCGCGGTGTATCCGGGCGAGACAGAGTTGCATCTCGCAATCTTGACCCATTCAACCGCCAGACACTTGGTCAAGTGTAGCACGGCGGCCTTTGCTGCGTTGTACGCTGATTGTAATTGTGGGTAGTTGACGATGTGGCCTGACATCGACGCAGTCGTGATGAAAGATCCGTATGAGTAATTTACGAGCTTGTTGCCGTTCATGTCGGTGCCTTCTTTGGCTTGCCGCCTCCAGATCTCGCCGGCGGCGCGTGCGCAGTAGTATACGCCGTCTACGTCTGTTGTCATGACTTTGCGGTAGTGGTCCAGCTCTCCATCGATCATATTGCCCTGAGTCCATGGAATACCGGCGTTGGCGACGAAGATATCAAGGCGTCCGTTGAGGTCTTGAACACTCTGGGTGAGGCCTTTCTTTACGTCTTCGGCGTCTGTAACGTTGACTTTGTATGCCTTGNNCCTGTCATCAATCTTGTCAGCATCCTGGTCGCGTGCATTCAACTTTGGGGTCCACTCACAGCTGACACCATACTCCTTCTCAATCTCGGCGGCACGCTCGTGAGCAACGGCATTGCTGTTGTACCAGATGGCGACATTTGCGCCAGCCTCGGCATATGTCTTTGCAACTGCGAAACCAATGCCAGCAGGACCTCCACTGATCACCGCCGTCCTGCCCTTCAAGCTAAACAAGGATAGAATGCTACTAGGCTTTGGCGCGACAGTGTTATTGACAGCAAAGAGGCCATCCTTAGTAATACCACCGTCCATAATTGAGCGCACAGATTGACGAGGCAAAAGAGACAGTAAAGACAACGACGACTTGGGAACAGCTCGTCTAAGGACGAAAGATAATTGAACACAAGACATCTTTGCAGACTTGTGTTATCTTTACCCTTGTTGTTGAGCCCGGATGTGGTCCAAACGTGGTCCAAAAGGAAAAAGTCAGAGAAAGTCTAATGAGCCTTACTTCATCCTTTTTGTCTGCTGGTAGAAATGCCCCAGATATTGCTGTCGACGATATTCCCCGGCTTGCAATATCAAGGTGGGGGCGGGGCGTGGATGGTGCCTTTGATCAATTGTTCCGATTCGCCATGGTCTTCCCTTGGTCCATATCAACTTCTGCTTTAGCCGGGTATTTGTTTCATCTTGAGCTGGATCTGGTTTACGTCGTTCACTAAATGTTTTCGTGGTGTTGATTTGTTTATTCTGCCGGGTCAATGTTGCCCGGGGCCGAGGCAAGTCAGGGTCCAGGGTCATCATCGGGCCCGGCTGAATGCAAGGGTAATTTTGAAGGAGCCGTGACTTCCTGTTTTTGCACGCATAGCATCAACCATCTTTGCTTGCAGTTGAGTAGAACAGCTGGTTTTGCCAACTCTGGTCATCGTTGGTGAAGCACTAACGCATCGAGGTCGCAAAGAACGACGATCTGTATAGCCGTCGCTGCCCCTCGTGGCCTGAAGTATTTGACATGTTCCTGTGGAATTTTCACCAGAGACAATGCGCTACTCGCGTCTGCTACGATAACTTCGTACAGGATCGAACTCCAGGCAATGCTATGATATGTCTTCAAGATCAATTGACGCGCTTGAGAGATGAACTTAGCTGCCATCTCTGCACGGCAAGGTAGGCGAGGTTGGGAACGACAAGGTTGGCCAGAAAGATTTGTGTGATTCTGTGGTGGTGAGCAGCATTCCTGAAGTCTTGTTGTGGCAACCTTTCCATACCTCAGGTTGGACGCTGTTATGGAACAATCTCACCAGTCCAAGGGTTTATGCCAACTATGCCATGATCAATTCATGGACGACGTTCATCACGAAGCGACATGAGTCGAACACGAGACCAAGATTATTGAAGGACTAAGTACACGACGATATCGCATACAGTCGACTAGAGGATATCTCAAAAACGCGTCACCAACCATGTCGTTCGCGGTCGTCGGCATTGGGGCAGGCATCGGGGCCCTCTTTCTCTGCGCAGCCTGCTTTGTTGTCTACCAGATATATAAGCGCAGACGCGAACACAATCGCGAAATCGCCGAGATCGAACAAGGCTTCCCTCCTGCACGACCTGTGGAAGTCACTCGGTCACAGCAAGAACCTGGCGCGTGCCAACTACCATTGATACCTACATACGTACCTTGTGGAGGATGGGGTGCACTGGCATCAACAGAGACAATCAATAATCTGCCACCGTTCGCGCAAGTCAACAACCGCCTCCATCCAGCCTTCATCTTTCCAGAAGAGCAGACACGGACAGGATGGAATTTCCCTGGACGAAGACCAAGGATGGGACGTCTGCCGTCCAACGCTAGAAGACTGCAAGCACTTTCAGCCATCATTGAGAGCCCAAGAGGAGGTATGCCCAAAGCAGGATCCAGAAACTCACCGGCTGCTACCAAAGGCGGTGCTGTCAGGGAACAGGAGATACAATCCACTTCTGTGGAGCAGTTGATCGCAAAGCCAGAGGTCGTTAGGACAGATTCGCCACAAATACCTCCTCGCTCATCCTCGCGGCCAATACGGCTTACTGATGTGCCACCACCAAAGCCGCTCTCAAGAGAGCCATCATGCCGACCCCGAGCAGCTCGATCAAAGTCATTAGGGACTGTCTCTGATCCCAACAAGCCTAATTCGACAGACACATTCGCATCTGCCCCTGGGCCGGCACCAACGGGACCATTGCCTCCTCTCCCGCCTTTACCAAGGAACATCAGTCGGCACAGTGACTATAACCCGGCAAACCGTCACAGTGCTCTCGGTATACCTTCAGCAAAGCATAGTGAGAGTACATCAACCAGCTTAAACAGCGGTTCTCAGCGCAACTGGGAAAGGATTATGAGATCCGAAGACATCAGTTCGATACCAGAGTTTAAGAATACCCCAAAACCCTCGACACTGGACGATGCTGCGGCAGGAGCAGGAGTTGAAGTTTCATCTAATGGCGGCAACTCTCGACCAGGAAGCTACCTCGGACACAGAAGAAGTCTTGTGTGTCTGAGTATCACCTCAGGTGGTAGTAATCGTAACTCTGTTTCTAGTATTGCGTCTACCTTGGAGAAACAGTCGAACAGGCTCTCGATACCGCAAATTCTCAATGTCGATCGAATCAGTATCAGTCGTGTATCATCATCGGACTCGCTCAAGGGCGGCGTCACCATGATCAGCACCCCAAGACGACACACCGGATCGTCGAGAGTCTCAGCAACCGGATCACCATCAGAGAAGCCCAAACCAAATGTCCTACGAGCTGTCTCGGGCAATTCTCTATCTCCACAGAGACCAATGAAGAGTGCATTGAGAGACTCGAGTGATGAGGTCATGTCCAAGTGGGAAAAGTCAGTGATAGGAGCTAGGCACTCAATCTTGAAGGGCAGTCCCGGTGCGAGAAAAGGCCATCGCAGACAAAATTGTGTCCGCTTATCGACTCTCGCACCCACTGTTCTAGGACCAGGGGCTCGAAGCAGATCGACTAGTCCTTCAATGGATGAGATTCAAGAAGAATCACCGGATCGTACAGCTGGGCCAGTGGCCGACAAGCATTTGAATGGCGATGTGACATTGCGGCCGCGAACCACCATGGATCCTTTGAGGTTACGCGCATCACTCACGCCTAGCTCTCCGACTCTTTCTATGGTCGCATATCAGAATGAGCCGTTGCCCTGGCACAGTGAGGTAAATTCTAGACGTGCATCTTATGTGTCGCCAGGGGCAAAGTCCGCCTTGTCGCGAGAGGCATCGCTATTCAGCATACCCAATCTTCCAGATATGAACCATGTCGACAAAGATGAAGAGGTGCAGCAAGGATCGGAAACACCTGCAATTGAATTCACGCGTCCATCGACTGAATGGTCAGAGCATGAGCGCAGTCCTCCATTTGGGCTTCATGTTACACCGAGCAACTCGAAGCGTTCGGTCTACAAGCCTGAAGAATCACCACCACTGCCGTCATGGTCAAACAAATACGACCCTTCTTGGCCGATGCTGATTACGGATCCTCCTGCCAGCGGACAAGAGTATGATCCGAGCAGACCTATCTCGGTCTACTCTTCTGGTGAAGAAAACAGCAGCTCGCCCAACTTCCCGTTCGCTGTCAGAGATGAGCCCATACCAACGACTTGTTCCTCACCGCCATCATTCCTAGCTGACTATGATGATGAAAAAGAGAACAGAGGCAGGAGATCGCCATACAGCGAAAAGGAGACTGAATCGCCGTATGCGCGTGCAGCTGCTCTCACTCAACGCATCCGTTCACCCTTCGAATCCATGCCCATCCTTCGTCCCCATGCCTCATTCATGGAAGACTTAGACCCAAGCCTACCCTCCCCACCCCCATCACCCAACTCCAGCATCTGCAAAACACCACCGCTGCTATGCCGTACCATCAGCAATGGTAGCGATACCCTCGCCAGCCCAAAACCATCACTCCTAAACAGCAGTGCCCACCGTCGTTGCAGCACAAGCCCCCGTCGCCGCAGCACTATTTCGTCGCCTCAACGCCGCAGCGGCGGCATCGAAAAACCTTCCTGCTCACGCAGCAAACGTGTCACAGGCCCCCGCGCTCAACCACCAAAAGACATTCGCAAAAGCATCATGGCACTACGACGCATGAATTCTTCCCTCCAAGTTTCCGAAGACGAGATGGGCAAAGGATCACATCGCTACTTGCATTTAGGTCGAGAAGCTTCCGTGCAACTTCCCTTTGACTTTGGCTTTTCGTCCGATACTGAAGATGGTAGTTCACCACCAAAAGATGTTCTACTGTCTGAGGAGCAAGAGGAGATGGCGAGTAGGGAGTGTCATATACTTACTTACTCACCCACGAAACCGACATTGAGTCTTTTGACCACTGTTCCTCAAGCCAAAGGTACACGTCTCAGTGTCTGGGAAAACGGGGAAAGATATTGGCAAGAAGCGCAAGATTGTGCAAGCACAGGCAGTCCTATCGATACACCCACGTCTGCGTTGAACAAACTACTGGGTTGGGAACAAAAAGACAACGCAACATTGACACACCAGAATCACCAAGAGATGGAAGCTTCCAGGGATGCAGATTCAGGCAAAGCAAACCTACAAATCTTACACGAAGGCCAGGAAACACAGACTTGGGATAAGAGAAAGAGTAAAGCGATGGAGACGCCAAAGAGTGTGCGGAGTTTATATGATCAACAGGGGTTTTATACGAGTCCGTGATTTGGTTGCAAGACGAGCGAAGAATCACGAGGATCGTGGAATACTGATGAGGATATCAGTGAGGTTGTTTGGATGATTGTGCGTAGTGTGATTGGACTTTGAATCTGGCGTTTGTGATATGTCGATGGTTGTGAATGTGGATGATATCAGTTGTTGTTTCTTTGATACTTTTGCTGTTTCTGATTAGGCATATAAAACGCTTCTTAGTTTAATCGTGTAATGTATCGTTTCTATCAGTGAAGCCTCATTCCGTTCGATGATTCACTTGTGAAAGCACTGTGGCCTTTGCATAACATATTGGCAACACAAACTTTTGGTCTTAAAAGCTTGTCGCCTTCAAAATGTACAACACATTGGCCTTCTTTGGCCCTGCTACTCATATACACTTTTACTTACAGCAGTCTTGAATTGTCACTTTGAATTTACATGTTATAGATCTTATAAATTAACATTCGTTGTGTTTAAGCAATTCTCTACTTACGTAGGCAAGATAGCCTCAAGTATACTCAAACTGAGTCCATTATCCAAATCACACATCCAGAAAACGGAAGATCTCACCTCGACACCCACACCTTTGCCCTCATACTCCAAAATTCCATCAGTACACAACCAGAACCGTCTTTCATCCCTCACAACACTTGAGAGACCTCTATCCTCATCGTGGCGACCACAATCAAGCTACCGACCTCGAGATCAGTAGTTGATAGTACAACCCTGACATTCGGACCTTCTTCCGTGATGACAGAGATCGTCGTTATGGATGGCTCACAATATTTCACACGCTCCACTCAAGAATCACTTCAGGATGACGTTTATATTCGAAAGAGCGCAAGATGACAGACGTTGAACTAACGACCAATCGTAGACATGTCGCAATCAGCCGTCAATTGTAGAGTGTTGTCGGGATATCAAACAGCGTTGCCCACCGAATAGGCAATCATGATTTGCACTCCTTCTGAGAGGTTCAGTGAAGGAAACAGTACAGATATAGCACGACGACAAAGGGAATGGAACTCAAGAGAAGTTGATAAAATCGTTAAATCTGATACAGAAAAGAGCTAAACTACTAGCCCTCGCAAAGAGAAGCGACAGAATTGGTATGGTTAAGAAAAACGTCAAGGGGTATCCATAAAACAAAACATCTCAATCAATAGCATCGTATCGGCACTCTGCGGCCAAGAAGCTGTCTCTACATGTTCTCGACAACACGGCTGTTGATGGCATTCTGGAAGCCTTCAGTGCCGGCGCCAAAGTCATTGTTGGCGGGCTGTCCGTAGGACTGGTACGTAGAAGGACCTTCACCAACAGCATCGGCCATCTGCATCTGGTGCTGGACGGTCTGGTTGGGCGCAGGCAAGAAAATGACCTTGGAGTTTGCAGACTTGGCCATTGCCTGCATAGCCTCGAGATATCTGATTTGCATGGCTGGAGCAGAGGACAAGATATCAGCGGCCTGGCGCATGAGCTTGGCAGACTCGACTTCTGCTCTGGCGGCGATGACCTTGGCTTCTCCTGTACGCTTGCTCTGGGCGGCCATGGAGAGGGATTCTTGCAGGTCTTGGCTGAAGATTATGTCCTTGATGAGCATAGATTCGACTTCGACACCCCAGCCGGAAGCAGTGTCCTCGATGATCTCGCGAATGCTCTGAGCAATCTCCTCACGGCGCTCGATCACGTCTTGTAGGACGCGAGCGCCGATAACGTGGCGGAGTGTGGTCTGAGTACGCTCGACAAGCGCCTGGCGAATGTTGGAGATGCCAAATGCGGCCTTGTGAGGCGAGGTGACGCGGTAATAGAGGACTGAGGTGAGTTGGAGGTTGACATTGTCCTTGGTCATACAGATTTGCTGAGGAACCTCTNNGCGCATGTGTCAGCATTTATCCGGGAATATGTAGTGAGAATAGCGGCAAGACTTACCAACAATCTGAATCTTGACATCGATCTGGATCAATTGCTCGGAAAGAGGGTTGATCTTGACGAGACCAGGGTCGACAGCACGGGCGAAACGACCAAACTTGGTGACCAGACCGACATTACCCTGTGAGACGGGCTTGTATGGGTTGGGGCAAACGATGCAACAAGGAATAGCTCCAAGGTTACCAAGTACGGATCCAAGAGCATTGATCATGCCACCATACCAGCCGTGCTGGGAGTCATCTTCTGTATCAGGCTTGATGACCGAGGCGTAAGAAGGCTGAAGATCCTCACGGCGAGGAGGCTGGACCTTGACGAGAGGGTCGTGATCGCTGTTGCTACCACGAATAGGCGACTTGCCCAGATCGGAGTTCTGATGGCGGATGTGCTCGTCGTTGTTCATTGTGAAGGTGCTAATTTATTGATTGCGATTGGCGTGCAGGCGAAATAATGTGGATTATTGCTGTCTTTGATGGAATGTGATGGTTGACTGAAAAACAAGCTTGTAGCTGTGAATGATATGATCTGGATGTTGGAGCTACTGCAGAAGGTGCGACCCAAGCTCCTCTTATATGTGTCACATCGTCTGCTTCCTGACAAGGCAGGCAGGCACACCAGCAACAATCGCTTCGACCCACGCCACCTTTGGGTCCCTTGGTGATGATCATAGACAACTCGTGAACCAAACAAAGCCTCGAAGGAACACCTCCCCGCAAGGGTCTTAACCTCTTAGAGCCTAGTAGCTTCCTCTTTCAGCATGGTTTCGGGCTGTGTCGTATGCCGAGATTGCCGAGTGCTAAGCAACCAAGACGTCTGCATCTCGAAGAATGTTGCCCATCTCTATCCTCTCAGCAACGATCTCAAACAGCGCAAAGCTTTCTTAGCGGCAGAGGCGGCGCAGTAATCTCAAAGAATTATTCCCTGCCCTGGTCTCGTGCAGTTTCATCAGTGAAAGTATACTGTATATTCGTTCGAAGCTCGATCTCCAAGCATTCGTACGAGAGAGCTGTTCTATCGACAAGACAATCCGCCGGCAAAGTCGGGCCATCTCGGCGTGCAACCAAGACCCTTGACTCAATAACATCTACTGCATCGCGATCTGAGCGCACGAATCCTACAACAAAAGTACGTCGGTCCCTTGTGATCACTTGGCAATTGTATGCAGTGCCCAGTCATATGCTTCTTCCATCTCGTGTTCTATGCAGAGAAGCCTTGGCACAAGTGTGGTCGAAGGATCATTGTTCTGTGCCGACTTATCCTCTAGCGACTTGGTTATTTCCGAAAGAGCATTGCCGATGCTTGGTATCCTTTAGCAAAGATGTGCTCATCTGATGATGTTCATGTTGCTATGTTTGGCGTGCAACTCCTCCTTCCTCTTTTTGCGGAGAAGCTTGATCCTCCAGGATCAGGCGCCCACCCTGACTCAAACTCAATTGACCTCGTCAATCATTTCCGTGGAGAGGGGTCCTTTCACCACCAACAAGCACATCTAAGCCTCTATACCAACCGTTCAAGTATCAATGCGTGCCTTCTTCTTTGGTCCTTCTCCCGTCTGGGCCTCTTCCTTTGCTGCTCGTGACGCTAAGCCTCGAATGCGATTGACAGCTGCGCCTAGCTCAAAGCGACGAACTGCCACAAGATCACCTCCCGGCAGCTTCTCTGGGATTGCTTTCTCCAAGGCAACCTCAGCCTCGATGCCTACCAAGGCTGAGTTTAGATGGACACTGCCTCCACATTAGCCAATGCTTTTGACCGCGATGTAAGAGTACTCACCCNNTTCAGAATCCTCCGCGAGAGCGAGTGCACGGATGGAGTGTGCAATAGTCCGTGTCTGACCCACCTCCACCAGTTGCTCGACACCGGCGATGTCAATTCCTGCTTCGTTTTGTGACGGGTCTTGCAACGCTCGGTCGGCATAGATGGTAATAAAGTCTTTCCTCTTGGCATACGGAGTCTTGTCATGCAGAATCGCTGCCGGAAAGCCGACACTTCTGTCGGATAGTGTGCCGTACTTCTTGTCTTGCACAACCTTTCTGGGCGTTCTTTCGATAAGATCTCGTGCTTCCTTGGTTAAGTCCCGAGGAACATATGAGTCCATTCCAATGATATGGCATGCGACATCCAGCCAGTCACCAAGTCCTCCAACCACGATGATTGTGCTGACACCGTGCTGGTCGTACAGAGCGCGCACTTTCGAGACAAGAGGAGTAATCGGCTCATTCTTGATGAGCATCTGCATGCGCTCATCTCTGACGAGAAGATTTGTAGCAGAAGTGTCTTCGTCTACTATGATGACTTGTGCTCCCAGTTCGAGAGCTTCTGAGATATTAGCTGCCATTGAAGTTGAGNNGCCGCTGGCGTCGTCAGTGGTGAATACATCTGTGTTTCTTTCTGCTGGCAGATTTTTGATGAAGGCGCTAATATTTGTTCCTGTAACACTGCGACCATCTTCAGCGCGGACTTTCACCGCAGCAGGGTCGGTGACGACTAGTTCTCGACCATCGCCCGGAACATAGTTGTAGATGCCAAACTGGAGAGCCTCTAGGAGAGTCGACTTGCCATGATAGCCACCACCAGTGAGCAGAGTGACTCCTTTGGAAATGCCCATACCACGTACTTTGTGGCCATGCTTACGCTTCAAGAAAACTTCGAGTTTAGGTGGCGACTCAAAAGGCACAACGTGCTTACCAGTCATACTGCGGGCAGAGGCTCCGCTAGCTCTTGGGAGAATTGACCCGTTTCCGACGAAAGCAACCAAGCCCTTAGCTTCAAGTTGAGAGCGCATGTACGCTTGGTCCTCCACGCAGTGAATATGAGTTTTGAGCTCCTCAGCTGCGTGCGACGTGTAGAGCATTGTCTTCTTGATGAGTTCCGGGAGGTTGACGCACAAAATTGCTTTGGCTTCCCTGCCGAGAATGGTACGGCCACGAGCAGGTAGGGACACTGTAAACCGCATCTCGAGGCTCTGATCCTTGCCGGGCACGATGAGAGCACTGGTACGAGGCAAAACTTCCTGAGCTGGAGCGTTGATGGTGAAAGCTCCACCTTTAGGGCCTGACCAGCCAGAGTTCCCAGAACCTACAGACTGGTCCATGTGTTTAGTACGGATAAAGGCGGCAGCAGCTCTGGAGACATAATCGGCCAGAGCGATCTGGCGGATGTCGGAAGCCGCAAACTCGTTGGGGAAGCCAGCAGTTTTCNNTGGATCTTATTAGACCACGCTGATTTTTCAAGCGACTGGAATCGACTCGATGTCACTCTCAAGCATCGAGTAGGAGCATAAACTCACCCAGTCCATGAAAACGCTAATTCTTGAAGGCGATGCATATGCGTCTGCTTGGACGTGATTTATCGATAGCGTAAAGTCGATCGAGCTGTGTTGGAAACGTGAATTCTGTAGACGCTTGTACGAGCCNTGAACCAAGATTAGAGAAAGCATGAACAAGAAAACGAAAAGTTCAGACGACCTACCGTACTGCTGTCCATCAATTGAGTCTAGGGTTTGCGACAACTGTGCCCAGGGAGATGTGTTTGCTGAGCTGGATGAGTGTGCAAGTGACGGCTGAGGTTGATCTCCAGCACCATGGCGTCCACGGCCCCCTCTGTCGGCATACTTGGCCTTGAAGTAGGCGCCTCTTCCTCTTCCTGAGACACAAACGTATCAGTGGATGCTGTTGGAGCAAGACTGACTTGTGCAATACAGGTTGATTGCACATCCGTTGGATAGTGGAAGCCGAGCTGTTGGAGCCTGGACCCTCGTCGGAACCTTACAACGGAATCTACTTGAAAGGGATATTGCGCAACCGCGGACGCGATCGTGCATGAGAAGAGAGGTACGTTACCGGACATGATGCAGCAAATCAGCTGGCGGGATGGTCAGACGGTGATCTACTTATCAAGCGTTGCAGGAGAATGGAGAGAGGAGATTGGTGAGATGAGAAAGCAAAAACACGGCTGCGGTGAGAAGGTCGTTGCTGCCCCACAAATCAAAGTGAGTGGTTCGTCTTCGTCTGGTTGAGGCTTTCTCGATTCGATTTCATCGAACCCAACTAGCGCCTCGTGGCTTCAGCTCCAAAGTATTGTTGACGTCTGTTAGTGGATCACAAGCCGAATATGTCGTTATCCTCGATGGACACGGCCTCGTTTGGCCAGTCCTTCTCACCTTACACCACCAACCAGTCGCTTCCTCTCCAGCAACCACCCTTCCCTCTCCAGGGCCAACCAGCGCCTAATTTTGCCCACAATGTCCCGCAGCAGCAGCAATACCAGCAGCTGTCTGGCGGTAAGTCGCTTCTTGCTTGTTAGACGACAGTGTGGTTGTGCCGGTGCTGACGTGCTTGGCCTTGTTCAGCCTACGCGCCGCCCTACTCACAGTCCATGTCGCCCTCGGCCGTAATGCCCATGGCAGCCTCTCCTTCGCATCGTGTTCCACCATATGCTGCTTCTGCAGTCGCACAGGGCTCGCCTCAGCAATCGCCCATGGCTGCCCCGCAATCCCGACCAATCCACTCTCCATCCCATGGCGTATCGCCAGTGAACATGTCGCAAGAGAAGGAAAGGATATCGCTGCTGTTGGAAATCAATCTTGAATTGCTACAGGAAATGCACAGATTGCAGGCGCAGGGCAAGGGTGGCGCAACCAGCCCGCAGGCAGCCGCTCACCTCAAANAAGAGGGTCTGCCAGATGCGCATGCGTCCGACGAGTACACCCAGTAAGGCTAGCTGCAGTCAATCTTCAGCCATTCATACTGATGTGCGTGACTTGCAGGANTCAACCTCAGACTACATTCGAACCTGGGTTATCTCTGTAGTCAGACAGATGGCCAGTCAAAATCTGGAGCCATACCGCACCCTCCATCTTATGTTACGGCACCTCCGAACATGCCCCAGCTGGAGTCCAAGTATGGCAAACTGAGGACTTTGTTCCCAGGTTGGACCGGTAGGGACGGCCAGAGACGGTCAATGTCGAATGGTGCAACAAACGCGCCAACGCCCATCCAGGGCTTTACCAACTGATGAATCATGACGAACTGTACGATCTTTTACTTGAGCAGGAAGTGGTGGACATGTCCATATTGTATATGACCGTTTTGGTTGCAGGGCTCTTGTGGCGTTCGGATGTTGTTTTTATGGTTATGGCAGTTTCGAGACATTTACCTATATGCTATTCTAGTGTTGTCCACTCGGATCCAGTGGAGCGGGAAGAGATGCTGCTGTATAGATCTTTGACGATCAACGATACTGCCGAATAAATGAATTTGTAGAGACATGGATGGGGCGACGTTGATAAGTTTGCTTTTGCGTCAACGGTGGGTGTAATAGTGTTCCATGTTAAGTACAAAGGGATGACAGTTGCAGCGAGAGTCCGGTGCGAGATTTGAGGAGCGAAAGGGGTGGGGTTTGGCACAAGTACTTTGCAGGTAAAGACCGAGATGGCTTAACGTGCAATGCAAGTGTTCATTCCAAAGACATCCAAGGCCACGAGACCGTTGCAGGAGAGACCCACGAGCCAGATTGCAGGGTCAGAGCATGACTTAGCTTGTAGACAGAAGATGGATGGCACAGTGCACTTGATGTTGGGATCAAGAGAAGCAGCTGCTGGGCTGGCCCTAGATCTGTTGACTTGAGCAGTTCGTGTGATGAGTGACCAGATAATAATACTCGGAGTAGCGAGAGGACGAGGGTCCGTTCGTGCACCAACCAACACGGGTGTGACGGGAATTCCTTTTCGAGCCGAGCCTTTGGCTGGAACTTGAATAGCCCCGCCTTAGACGATGGAGCAGTTGCGCCTTCGTTGTTAGCAGCCGTCGATACATCCCATCATCGACCATGCACTCACAGCCAGGCAATCCTTCTCTCTCCTAGTCTCGCTCGCGCAACCCTCGAACTCGCCAAAAGACAGCCGCACTCGGCCATGTCCCCCGTGACGCAATTGACATCTCGCCCATGCCCAAGAGCTGCCCACCACCTGTGAAAGCGACGAGCCAACACCCTTCCCGACACCTCCCGACCTCGTGCCGACCCTTTGCTGCTTCGCGCCCGTCCACTCCGCAGAGCTCGTCTCTCGCCCATCGCCCAAGCATCCGAACTGACGCCAATCGTCGAGTCCGAGTCCGAGTCCGAGTCCGAGGACAGGACCGGCCAGGGAACATCCAGTGCCCTCTGATGGCATGAAGCCTCGAGCTCACCAGACTTGCCCTTTGTAATCTGTGCCGCGTGTCCAGAAAAGAGAGTGACAGCTACAATGGCCGAAACCACGCCCAAAAAGTCAAAGCCCGAGCGACTGGCTCGGTATGTCGAGTCCGTTTGCTCCAGCCTGAAAGCCCACGAGCTGACGCAACCTTCGATANGAGAACCCGATGTAGACGTATCACCTAGCACCATCGTCAATCCTCCATACCATCGCGGTGCTGGTGCTGCACTGGCCTGGGATACGCCTGACTTTAGTGACCATCGCAAGGAACTGTCGTGTCTCGAATCCACCGGTTCCGTGCCATCCATCTCGCGCCAGCAACCCAACGACTTCACACCGCCGCCTTATGGTCGCAACAACCGTCCTTCGCATCTCTCGTCGAATTTTTTCAACAACTCTTTCTACAACTCGTCCAGCGATGACCTTCCTCAGATGTCGCCGGGCTTCGTCCCGCAAAATGGCAACAACTTGTCGCTGGGATGGAATGGCGACGACCGGAGACCGTCCGTGGCTAGTACGACGACAATGTCCTCGACCGGCTCGTCCAAGCGCAGCATAACTGGCAAGTTCCACAAGAAGTTGCAAGGCTTCTTTGGAGATGACTTTGACCCAAACGCGCCGCCGCCCAAGGATCTACCCGAGCAGTCAGACAAGAGAGGACGCAACCCATCCAACGCCACACAAGTCACTCAGACCACTCGTCCTGGGAGTCCGTCGGCATCGCGTCCACGTACTCCAAATACCAGTAGTGAAGTGACGCCATGGGATTTCGAGCCAGCTCCAGCAAACGTGAGTTTTGTCGTTGTTCAGTGACATGTCGTCTTCGTGTGATTGACATCTCAAAGTNTCCATACGCAGCCATCGCAACCGTCGACCGCACCTTCCCTGCAGCAACCGCAACAGACGCGGAAGGACAAGGGATCCATCTCAAGCCGTCATCATCGCCTCCACCTTCCTGGCCACCGACACAAGACCAGCCTCGAGGACATCGATGATAGCGCTTCCGTTATGAGTGGCCGTGCTGGTACTATTAGCACCATTGGCACCACCGGTACTAACGGCACCATGAGCACTATCCGCAAAGACTCAACTCTGCCCACAAATCTCAATGGACGCCAGCGCGCGACAAGTCCTTCGCCTAGTATGAGGAGTATGACTAGCGCCCAACAAAGCATATCCAGCGACGCCCAAGGCCAACGCTCGCCGGGAGCCCACGGCACCAAACGCTCTCTGTTTGATCGAGTCACTGGTCGCAAGAAGCACGACAAGACCGCCGAGTCGACCTTGAAGAGCTTACCTGCTTCGACTGGCTCGCTCTCCCAGACTCCAACCGCGCCAGCTGGAAAGAAGAAGGGGCCTATAGGACCGGATGGCAAGCCAATGGCATTAGGCCTAGCAAAGAAAGAGCATACGAGAATTCCGTTCAAAGGACCAAGGCGCGCAGAGCCAAGTGCCGAGTTTAATAAAAAGGATCCGAATGCTCCAAGACCCGAGGCCGTTCGCAACGCATCCGCGTTGTGGCATCTCGACACTGATATGAGCCAGATGGAAGGCATTGTCAACCGCAGTCAACCAATGACCCCACCCGTCACTACCGACATCTTCACCGGCTTCCCTGGAATGGAACCTTCCACAAAACCCGCCGAAGAAGAAACTGGGACCTGGGAGGTGCCTGACAGTTGGGCAGTCAAAAGAGTGCCTGATTCGAACGTTGCCGCTCTACGCGAAGTTGACGACGAAGGTCAAGTTCCTAGAGATGAGGACCCAGGTTCTATGTACTTTATGCGAATTTTCAGAGCAGACAGTACGTTTGCCGTCATCTCAGCTGGCCTCAACACTACCGCGAGCGAACTTATTCAGATGATGGCCAAGAAAACTTTCTTGCAAGACGAACTCGACACGTATCAGATCGTCATGCGAAAGACTGGCTCAAGTCGTATACTCGCTGGCGGTGAACGGCCATTGGCCATACAGAAACACATGTTGGAAATGGCTGGCTACAACGACAAAGACAAGCCAGAAGACTTGGGGCGTGAAGACCATGGATATCTGGTGCGTTTCACATTCTTGCCCGGAAAGCTGAGCGGATACTCAAGTTTGGATCGCGATCCTGGTTTCAAGGGCATGCAAAAGTTCAATCACATCGATCTCGCGGGTCGCGATCTGGTTACTATCCCCATCGCGCTATATCAAAAGGCCACCGAGATCATCACCTTGAACTTGTCCAGGAACTTGTCTCTGGACATACCGAAGGACTTCATTCAGAGTTGCAGCAACCTTCGAGAGATCAAATACACAAGTAACGAAGCGTGGAAGTTACCTGCAAGTATCTGCCTGGCATCAAGACTGACGATGCTGGATGTCTCGAACAACAGGCTTGAGCAGATGCAGCATGCAGACCTACACAAGTTGCACAATCTTGTTAGCCTCAAACTGTCCAACAACAAGCTGACTAGCCTGCCCGCCTACTTTGGCTGCTATCAGGCCCTTCGCAGCTTGAATTTAGCATCCAATAATCTCGACACTTTCCCCGACTTCCTCTGTGAGCTCAGGACTGTTGTCGACTTGGATATCAGTTTCAATGGTATTTCCGCACTGCCAAAGGTTGGTAAGCTTGTCAACCTGGAACGCTTGTTCGCCACAAACAACAAGCTGTCTGGCGCGTTCCCCGAGACTTTCAAGCAGCTTGTCAAACTTACGCAGATTGACATCCGTTTCAATGCGCTGGACAATATCGACGTCATGGCCGAGCTACCCCAGTTGGAGCATCTTCTTGTTGGGCATAACTCGATCGCCGCATACGAAGCTTCCTTCCACCGCATAAAGGTCCTCTCCCTTGACCACAATCCCGTCACCCGTTTCGGCCTCACTACTCCTGTTCCTACCCTCTCAGTGCTGAACCTTGCTTCTGCCAAGCTAACGCAGCTGCCCGATGACCTGTTTGCGAAGATCTCGAACATATCGAAGCTGGTACTGGACAAGAATCACTTCACAGCTCTTTCGCCTCTGATTGGCAAGCTTACCAGGCTGGAACATCTCAGTGTGGCCAAGAACATGCTGAACAACCTGCCTTCAGATATTGGCAGACTGCAGGACTTGAAGTATCTTGACATCCGGGAGAACAACCTCAGCAGACTGCCACAAGAGCTTTGGTACGCTCGTAGGCTAGAGTCGCTCAATATCGCCTCTAATGTTTTGAACGAGTTTCCCAAGCCGGGTGCCCCTCCGCCATCGCTACCATCTGAGGCACCCACTCCTATCACATCCAGTGGTGGCCCACAAACTCCTGATTTCGATGAACTTGGTAAACTCGAGGCGTTCCAGTTGAGAAGGCCTAGCCAGGTTGGGCACGGCATGATACCCGGTGGTTCACCAGCTAACCGTAAAGGCTCGGTCATTTCAAACTATGGTCCCCAATCAAGACATCCATCTTTGGCTCCCAGAGGATCCACAGAATCTGGACTCAGCAGTGCTGCTGCCACACCGGGAAATCGCAAAGATTCGACCATGTCTAACAGGCTTGCTTCTACCTTTTCTTCTACATTACGCCACCTGATTCTGGCTGACAATCGCCTCTCTGACGACGTTTTCGACGAACTTGTCCTCCTCCCAGAACTTCGAATCCTCAACCTCTCTTATAATGAGCTTTATGATATTCCGCCAAGAACCATCAGAAGATGGCCACACCTGACAGAGCTTTATCTTTCTGGAAACGATTTGTCTGCGCTGCCAGCAGAAGATTTTGAAGAGGCGTCCGCTCTACGAGTGCTGCATCTGAACAGCAACAGATTCAACGTCTTACCGGCAGAACTTGGCAAGATTCAAAAGCTTCAGACTTTGGATGTCGGCAGCAATGCACTGAAATACAACGTCTCCAATTGGCCGTACGATTGGAACTGGAATTGGAATCATCAATTGAGATATCTCAATATGTCCGGCAACAAACGTCTGGAAATCAAGCCCAACGTCAATGTGGTGCCGGGACGCGAAACGCGAGACTTGACGGACTTCTCTACTCTGCAACATCTGAGGATTCTTGGTCTCATGGATGTCACTCTGACAATTCCTTCTGTACCTGATCAAGGCCCTGATAGACGTGTTCGTACTGCAGGATCCATCATCGGTACACACATTCCCTATGGTATGGCCGACACGCTCGGCCGTCACGAGCACTTGTCAACATTAGACATGGTCATTCCTAGTTTTGGTGGTCACGAAGATCGATTGCTCTTTGGTATGTTTGACGGACAAACTTTGACCACCGGAGGCAGCAACGTGGCCAAATTCTGCTATGAAAAGTTCAGGCATCACTTTGCAGATGAGCTCGCGAAACTTCAGGAGGAAAGTGACGACTCACCCTTGGATGCGCTAAGGAGAGCATATCTTTCGCTCAACAAGGACTTTGCCACAGCAGCCACTCAAGCCATTGAGTCCCGTGCTCATCCAAGTGCTTCCATCATTCACAGAGGCAGCATTACGGGTCTCGAGCTGGGTGAAGACGACATGACTTCAGGTGCAGTGGCTACGATCATGTACCTTCAAGGTATGGACTTGTATGTTTCCAATGTTGGAGACGCTCAAGCCTTGTTGATTGACTCGGAAGGTGGTCACCGAATCATCACCCGCAAACACGCGCCTGCAGAAGCAGATGAGCGAATTCGCATTCGAGAGGCTGGTGGTTACGTCTCACGTCAAGGAAAGCTCAACGATGCTCTTGAAGTTTCGAGGGCGTTTGGCTTTGTACCACACCTTCCTGGCGTCATTGCTTGCCCGCATACAGCTCGCATATCTCTCAAGGAGTCTGATGAGATCATCGTTGTCGCTTCTCGCGAGCTCTGGGACTATCTGACCATGGATTTTGCGGTCGATGTCGCTCGCTCAGAACGTGGTGATTTGATGCGCGCTGCACAAAAGCTGCGTGATTTGGCCATCGCCTTTGGTGCCACAGGTAAAATCATGGTCATGATGCTCGGCGTGAGCGACCTACGCAAGAGAGAACGCGCTCGTTTCAGGACTCACAGCATGAGTATGGGCCCGAGCGGCGCACCCGACGAGCTTCTGACCATCTCAAGACGTCCCAAGCGTGGCAGAGACAATGTTGGAGACTCCAAGCTCGCCCGTCTGGACCAAGAGATCGATCCTCCTCAAGGCGAAGTTACCTTGGTCTTCACTGATATCAAAAACAGCACAATGCTTTGGGAGTCCTACCCTATTGCCATGAGAAGTGCGATAAAATTGCACAACGAACTCATGAGAAGGCATTTGCGCATCATCGGTGGTTATGAGGTCAAGACTGAAGGTGATGCATTCATGGTAGCTTTCCAGACCGTCACCAGTGCGCTCTTGTGGACGTTCACTATCCAGAGTCAACTTCTCGAAGTCCCGTGGCCGCAAGAGATTCTCAACAGTATTCATGGTCAGGAAGTGCTCGATACTGACGGCAACCGTATCTTCCGTGGTCTCTCGGTTCGTATGGGTATCCACTTTGGTCGCCCTGTGTGTGAGCAAGATCCTGTGACTGGCCGTATGGACTACTTCGGACCTATGGTCAACAGATCTGCGCGTATTCAATCCGTTGCTGATGGCGGTCAAATCACCGTATCATCCGATTTCATCGCCGAAATCCAACGTCTTCTCGAAACACACATCGAGACCGACAGAAGCGGTTCCACAGGTTCTGACGACGCAATGGGCGATGAGATGATTGGCAATGCCATCCGCCGTGAGCTGCGATCACTTAGCAGTCAAGGATTTGAGGTCAAGGATCTCGGCCAGCGCAACCTCAAGGGTTTGGAAAATCCTGAATACATCTACCTCATGTACCCGCACTCGTTGGCGGCACGCCTGGTGGTCCAACAGCAGCAACAAGCACAGGCTGAGCAAGTCAAAGCAGCCGCTGCCGCCGCACCTAACGGCGATAATGTCGGCATCGAATCGTCAACCGGCGCTGCAGCGACAAAGAGCGCAGACAGCCAACTCAGCATCGATACAGAACACGTCTGGGATCTATGGAACGTATCCCTGCGTCTGGAGATGTTGTGCAGCAGTCTCGAAACCACTGGCTTGACAGCACTTAAAGCACCGGAAACTGCACTGCTCGAACGCATGAAACAGCGCGGTGGAGAGATAACCGACCGCTTCGTCATCAATTTTGTCGAGCACCAGATTAGCAGGATTGAGGTATGTTTTTGACTCCTTGTTCACCACTTTACCTCCAGAGCAGGTTACTGACTTGACATAGNNACTTGCGTTACCACATTGGCGCTTAGACATATGGTGCAGCCATTCAAACCTGGCATGTTGTTCTCCTCGAAACCCATGGCGGAGATTTTGGGCGAGGTCACTGCTGCCATGCAAGAGCTGCAACGACTTAAAAGTCAAGTCGACATGAATGATGCCTAGAAAGGAAAGAAGAGAAAGAGAAGAGTAGAAAAAGCCCCAGTCGTGTCATCACAGAAACCCCAACATTTTTTCGTGTTTTTTGTCATAAGTATCTTGGAGGTGGGGAGGGTTTCATTGTTTTGTCTTTGGGGGTGTGTATCGTGTTGTTTGGGAATTCATTGGTGTTGCATTGGTTGTTTGTAGGGATACTGTTGTTTTTGTCGTAGGATGGGGGTTGGTTGCTTCTTGCTTTTTATCGTTTTTGGCTTACCTACTGATAACTTTGTCGTACTACTACCTTTTCTGCTACCCTGTCGTGACTTGCTCTGCTTCGCGGCATCATACATAAGACTGCCATGACGGGGTTCGAAGATCCTATGGTATATGCAGTGTAAGGTGTTTGGATTGATTCTACATGTGCCATAAAACTTCTACTCTGAACGCCAACACACAAAACTACTCCTGTCCAGAATTCCCTTTTTGACAAGGAAAAAGACCATCCCATATCTGATATACAATCAACGCCACTTCCTTTGTATGCACAACTCAAAAAAAGATGCAAAAGGTCTTCTAGTCCTCAAGACCAATCCATCCATCCTCGCCATCTTCATCTTCATCATCCTCCACCATTTCAACTTCCTGAACTGCACCATTTACACTGCTCAGCAACTTCATCCCATCCTGCTGTTTCTTGACCGGTTGCGCAAGCAAGTATTCCACCATGAATTCATTGTTCTCGGCAACACTGAAAATCTCCTTTTGGATGCGTGCAACAGCGCGTTGAACCAGACGCGTTACTTCGGCATACTCGCCTTGATTTTTCTTGAGTGTGCTGCCGTGGGATTGGAGGATTGATTGCAGCCAGAGGAGGTTGAGTTCTAGGAGGGGAGAGGCATCGCTTTGGACGGCGATGAATCGGAGGAGGCGGGGCAGGTAGACGAGAGGTAAATCAGACACGACAAGGGGGATATCGGCGGCGGGGACAGAGCGCTGCACTCTAGTCACGAGTTTGGGGTTGTTGAGGCGGAAAGCCATAACCAAGGCTTTGAGATACTGTTTTGCGGCGAGGGTCTTGAGTGTGGATTGGGGTGTAATGTCGATATCGAGGTCGAAGGGGTCAAAAGCGATGGTGGTGTCGAGTGAGTAAACGAGCAGGCCTTCGGTGCTGGCGGCGCAGAAGGAGCGGCCGGTGGGTGCAAAGTTTACGCCTGGGACGCGGACTTCGGGGCCGATGCGGCGGGAAGCGGCGTCGCCTCGTTTGGCGCCGGGGAGGGAGTTGTCCATGCGGTCTTCGAGGTCGGAGGCGTCGCCTGTCGTGTCGATCATGCCTGCCGGGCCGCCCTCGGTCAGGTTCTTGGAGTTGAGGAACTCTTGTGTGCCTTCAAGGGAGAGGTTGACGCTGACAGTGTACTTGTGTAGTAGTACGCCTGACATGACGTCGTAGAGGCAGATGTACTTGCTGTTACCTGATGCGACGACTACGCTACCGTCTGCCGAGTAGCTGATACTGTTGAAAGATTTTGTGCCTGCGGCATTTGCAGCAGTTTGACGGTCAGTGAGCTTACGTCCACCAGAGACATCACGACGGCCGTCGAAGCCAGCTTCTTGTGTTCCTTCTGACAGAGACCAGAATGTCAGTTGACCATCTAATGTGCTGACTGCAATCTGTTTCGAGTCTGGTCGTACGGTGACACAAAGAACATCTGCTTGTAGTTGCAGAGGTTCGCTAGTCTGTGTGCGTGCGAAGATTGACCAGATGCGAACAGTGTGATCCCAAGAGCCTGACACCAGAGCACCGCCATTGGGAGCGAAAGCTAATGTCGAAACGGGACCTTCGTGACCAGAAAGCTTATCCAGCAGTTGGCCAGTCTGTACAGACCAGATGTGAATATCGAAACTGTCAAGAGAACCAGCAGCCACGACTTCGCCTGATGGATCAACTGCGATGGAAGAGAAAGAANNAAGACGTTCAGGGGCGGTAAAGGTTCGGAAATTTCGGTATCTGATCAAATCCCATGCGCGAATTGAACCATCCAGAGAAGCTGTGAATAAAACGTTACCTCGTTTCGCAAACTCGCACGCCGTAACTCCTGATGTGTGTTCGGTGAATGTGACGATACAGAATCCTGAGGCAACGTCCCAGACCTTGATCTTGCCGTCATCGGCACATGTGATGATGCGGTCTCCAGAAGGCGAATATGTGAGGTTGTTCAACGAGTCGAAATGTCCTTGCTGCTTCAAGATATATGACTCTGACTGCCACTCCCATACCAAAAGCTGACCGAGTTGAGAAGCACCAAAGGCAAGCCATTCACCGGTCTTGTTGATGGTAACGAAATCGACGTCGTTTTGTGAGATACTGAGATTGTGAATCTGGTTGAAGTCGGGGAGTTCGTACAGACCGAAAGTACCGTTTGAGAACCCGGCAACCAGAAGATTTGACTCTGGATGGAAGGAAGCGCAAGTCAAAGTGGCACCGTTTTGCATGAAATAGTGTCTTTCAGCAATTCTCCAGCGGAAATTCTCTTCGATGTCCATCTGATCCTCAGGAGCGTTGCGAGGGGGTAGGTATTGCCACTGGAAAAGAGCACCATCTTTTGACACTGTCCAAATCGTCTCCTGATCGGCCGAGAACCATGCGCCGTGAACACCCTGTCTGTGACCACCAAGAGTAGTAGGCTCAAAGCCAGCTTCAGGATCCAAACTCCAAATACGCGCGGTCAAGTCCTTGGAGGCAGTAAGGAAGAAGCGCGAATCGCTAGACCATTCGATGCTCTGTACTGTGTCGTAGTGACCGGCATATTCTCTGTGCTTCACGAAGGGGGCGAACTCGAGGGAGCCATCCTGGGTATCTGAGGGAGTTGAAGGCGTCCTCCAAGTTTCGATCTTGCGGCCAAGGGCGACGGCAAAATGTTGACCGGAGGGCGAGAAGACAAGCGAAGAGACGGGGCCCTTGAAGGAGAAGTGGTAGAGAGATACGCGACGGTGGAGGTGGGTAAGAATGGCCTGTCCGTCTTCGTCGACTGTGAGGAGGAGGTTGCCTTTGGGGTTCAAGGCTAGACGGGAGATGTTGCGGCGATGTGCGAAGGGGAGGGTATGCGATTTGTTGCTNAGAAGCTGAGTCAGTACGTGCGTATAGATGGGCGAGCGCAGGAGGAATGCGCACTTGACTAGGTCAAAGACAGTAACGCGATTGCCGACGGGCGACAGCAAGCATGTGCCATCGGGGCTGAAGCAGAGGTTTCCTCGCCTATACACGGTACCGAGCAGGTTGGAGAACTGGAGAGAATATCAGTATACGCGACTACACAGTCAATATAGGCAGGAACGGACCTTGAAATCAGTCTTCATCTTGAATATGTCTCGGTCGCAACTTCCAACATTTTTTCTGGCTTTGAGATGCAAAAGTCGGCTTGTCGGAGGCTTCTTCTGCTTCCCCGCAAAAGGGTTCGGCGGGAGTGTACGGGCCACAAAGCCGTGGCTTCCTCAGCACGAGGAAAGGAGACCTTACTCCAAGCATACACGAGGCCGTCTTGCTCCTGCCTGCGTTATACAATCTACCGCACCTGCTCAATCCACCGTCGTTTCCGGAAGCCGCGCCTGAACTTGCGCTGCTAACTTGTCGCTTGTCACTCGTTTCGCCATCCAACACATCCCACACACCCAATACCGACCATCATGGCCGACTCTGCTTCGCCCATTGGCATTGCCAACGTATGTGATGCGCTGCTGGGATACCTGACTTCATGACTGACTCTGGTGTAGCTCCCCAACCAACGGTACCTACTCGCCTCTCGTACTTGACTGTCCATCGACTAATGCCTCTTCTAGCNNCACAAGATTGTCGCCAAGCGCGGCGCCGCCTTCACAATCATGGTCAGCTCATCGATACGCCTCCAGTCGCATCACAGAAATACTCACACATGTACAGNNGTTGCTGGCGAGTCCGGTCTCGGCAAGACTACCTTCATCAACACCCTCTTCTCCACCACCATCAAGAACTACGCAGACCACCGCCGCCGTCACCAGAAGCAGATTGACAAGACTGTCGAGATTGAAATCACAAAGGCAGAGCTCGAGGAGAAGTTCTTCAAGGGTTCGTCGTTTACCACCGTTCCACCTCTCCTATCAACCACATTCTGACAAGCTCCTCAGNTTCGCCTCACCGTTATCGACACTCCTGGCTTCGGCGACTACGTCAACAACAGAGACTCATGGCAACCCATCATCGAGTTCCTCGACGACCAGCACGAGTCATACATGCTCCAGGAGCAACAGCCCCGTCGTGGTGAGCGCATCGATCTGCGCGTCCACGCCTGTCTCTACTTCATCCGCCCCACTGGTCACGGCCTGAAGCCCCTCGACATAGAAGTCATGAAGCGTCTGTCTAGCCGCGTCAACCTCATCCCCGTCATCGCAAAAGCAGATACCCTCAGCCCCAACGACCTCTTGAAGTTCAAGTCGAGAGTATGTTCTCACTCTTTCCCTGCATTTCCCCACATTCTAACCCCCACAGNNATCCGCAACATCATCCAAGCTCAGGGCATCAAGATCTACTCTCCTCCCCTCGAGGAAGATGACGAATCCGCCCTCAGACACGCTCAATCTCTTATCACCTCTATGCCTTTCGCCGTCATTGGTTCCGAGAAAGATGTCACCACTCCCGATGGCCGCAGCGTCAAGGGCAGACAATACGCTTGGGGTGTCGCCGAGGTTGAGAATGAGGAGCACTGCGACTTCAAGAAGTTACGCGCCGTCTTGATCCGCGCACACATGCTCGACTTGATCCACACCACAGAGGAGAACCACTACGAGGCCTACCGCGCACAGCAAATGGAGACCCGCAAGTTCGGCGAAGCCAGGCCACGCAAGCTTGATAACCCCAAGTTTAAGGAGGAGGAAGAGGCTCTTCGCAAGCGTTTCACAGAGCAAGTCAAGGTTGAGGAACAGCGCTTCCGTGCCTGGGAGCAGAAGCTCATCGCCGAGCGCGACCGCCTCAACAAGGACCTCGAGACCAGCCACGCGCTTATCAAGCAACTGGAGACCGAGATCGAGGGCATGCAAGGCAGTGTTGCCCGCTCTGGACGTCGTTAAGCTTGATCACTTCTGGATCGGAATCCAACAAACCTTCGGTGCGCGAGTTCTCAAAGATACCTTTTGTCTTTTATTTAGTTTTGTTTAACCTCCAGCTGGTCATGTAATTCTACAGGGTTGCACGAACGGGTTTCATCATGCGACCTCTGACTGGTAGTATGCTTTCTTATCCCACTGTATCAGAGAAAAAAGTTCAGTATAAGACATTGTTTCTTTCCAAGTCAAGACTAACAAGAAGTATGGTTGCCTCGGGATAGTCGTTTGTCTCTACTGTGAGTCTGTCGTTGTTCGAAGGAAAACTTGACTCATAGTCCTTCATTGTGAAAGCGAAGCTCAAAAAGACTTGTCGAATCGCTAACAATTCTCTCAATACATCGCACTGCGTCGCTCTGACACATCGCAGAACGATCTGCTATGAAGACGAAAGTCGAGCATCTAGAATTCTTACACCTCAGGTCTAGCCTCTCCAACCATATTAACGCCAATTCAACCACGATGGACCTGATGGAAACCTACGACAAGCGCATCTGGCGCTGGTGGGTGATGAGGTGTGTTCAGTCAGATCTTGTAAAATGATCACACTGACTTCCATCCAGCGACATCATCGGCAAATCAAGCGAAATGATTGGAATCAAGAGCCAGGACGACGACAGCAGCTTCAACTTCTGCACGACTGTGCACAAAGAGCTTCTCTGCTTTTACTCGCCTTACTACACTGCTGCCATGAAAGGTGGCTTCTCTGAGCGTCACAAGGACATATTTACTCTCGAGCTCAGTGGCAAGCAAACAAAAATGTTCGTAAAGTGGCTCTACACAGGATGCCTCGAGTGCTACGCATGGAGAGAGGACGATAACAACGACGCCTATGCCCTCTATGTGTTTGCCGACCAGACGGACATCATCGCTCTTCGCAGAACCGTCATGACTTGCCTGGCCACATGTCTTCGCAGACCCGCGACTCCTGGTGAAATGGCAAGACTTGTCTCTCAATTCCCCGAACACTCTGGCCTCAGACGTTTCTTGCTGGACGAAGCCATAGCCGATCGAAAGTTCCAAGAACGCGAGAACAAGGTGGTTGCTTGGGATTGGAAGAAGCGTGGATACCTTCCAGAGGACTTTCCTGAAGACTTTTATGCCCAACTTGTCATTGGACATGTCAAGAAAAAGAGATGGAGCTTCGGTTCTTCAACAAGCAACCCCTGCCACTACCATGAACACGAGGACGGAGAGGAGTTCAGTTTGAGTAAGTAAAAGAACATGTGACCACGAGTGATCTGTGCTGACAATATTTCCAAAGCTTGCGCCAGGAACTTCATACCACGCCTCTGTGCAAACCTGAATTCGATTACCTCAAGCATCCGAACGCCAATCATCGCTTCTGCGAGAAACAAGCAAGAGAACAGACATCGAGCTGTGTACCACAGTAGCGAAACGGTTGAATAAGTCAATTGGAGAGAACGTCCAGAGGACAAGAGGTTGATGATAATGGTGGTGGTTCTATGAGTCGGTCCTCAGATGCAACAATACTCGTCAGATTGCTACGTGTGAACCAAGTAACAGGTGGCTTGATCAAATTGGTAGATCGAGACACTGATTATATAGAATGTTCAACGATGAGCAGTTGAGCAGTTGCACAATTGTGAGCCTGCGTGGACCTTTTCCTAAGAAACAATGATCACTTGATGCTGACGCATCAATGCTTCCTGTATGTAATGTGTGTAGCTATAGAAACTCACAGTATTATCAAGAAACTGGGCAGTATCCTTCGAGAGTCGACATATTAGCGGCTCTCCTTGGCTACGCCTCTGCTTCTGAATACGATTGTGCTTTTTTTCAAAGTGCAAACTCCGCTCTCTAGGAGAGGATGGATTTACAGACTTTGACACACGGGAGGTTGCAGATCTCTTCACTTCTCTAACCCTCCACAAGAACTCTCATCACTAATCGCCCACAGTTTTTCCCTGCCAGAAAGCGCTCGAGTGAGTGAGCGACGTTCAGAAAGAGCAAGGGTCTGGTCACTCCCTCCCCAACCGTCTGGTCTGGTACAACAAGACCTCTACCGCTGCTTTGTCACTTCAACTTCAACGTAACTCTACGCGCACCATAGAAACACCACTCCTCTCATCGTCTGTCATCAAACACACGACACAGCACGTGAGACGAGCGTTTAAGACCTATTTGCCTCACTCATAGACTCTTTCCATCGCGGTTCATCACTTCAACACCCTTGCGTGCAACTCAAAGTCACAACTCTCCCTTTCACCTTCTCTCATCGACAAAACACATCCAGCGCACTGCACCGGTGCTCAAGATTCTTCTCGAGGACAGAAGTTATAATGCCACCAAAAGGTTTCAAGGGGTCCAAAGGAACTCAAGAGCCCACGGAGGCTATCAAGGAGGAATGGGCACGTAGCACTTGGAATCCAGAGCATGTCACGTATGTTATGTTATGCTTACTGACCGAAGTCTTTTCCGAACTGACTCTTCCAAGCAAAATCATCGCCGGCTCAGCAGACAGGATTCAACTTATCGGAAATCAACTTGACCGGGATAACAAGATCTTCAGTGCATCCGTCCACAAGGAACTGCTTTGTTTCTTCTCTCCCTATTACACTGCCGCACTCAAGGGAGGGTTCGCCGAAGGTCAAAAGAGCAGTCTCACTCTGGATCTTTCTAACCAGCTGATGGCTGATGTGGTTTCTTGGTTGTACTCGGGCAACACCATCAGTACTACCGGATTTGAATTCCTTGATCTATACGTCTTCGCTGATGATCGAAAGATCCTGCCCCAGAACTCAGGCCTCTTCCGCTACCTCGTCGATTACTGGTTTGGCGTCTGGGGTCGACACCCTGGCAGAACCTTGATGGCAGCCTCGGACAACGACGATCAGATTCCCAAGACATTCTTCCGCCAGGCACTTGTGAGATTCTGCCGTCTGCATGAGGACATGCCGAATACCCCACCAGCAGACTACGAAGGATGTTCCAAGACTGCATGCAACTTTCATGAGCACCCCAGCAAGCAGGAGTGGGTTGAAAGTAAGTGTCTCGTTCAGATTAACAGCCTTTTCCTCTGCTGACGAGATAGCTTGTGGCAATGTGTACATGCTGGCATGGCTGCATGAAGACCAGGCTCCTAGTCCTGAATACTACACTAATTCATGATCTGCACGCTGTATATTCAAATATCACCTTATCATCATAATGAAAGATAAGGAATGGATCCCCCAGAGGAGGAGGTAGCATAATCTTCTCAGAAGCCGAAGGATGTTGAGACAGGCAGCCATAAAAACGCACAATAGTGTTTCACAACACGATAGTTTCCAGGAAGAGTCGACTTCTCGTAGGCTCTCTTTGGTCATGTCTCGGAATCAGAATTATCTTATGCCTTTCTAAGGTTCAAAGGTACGCACGAGAATGGCAGCAGGAGACAGATGGAATCGAACTTCAAGCAAATAATAAAATGTCAAAACGGAACCTAGGTTGTTTGCTAAGAATTCTTCAGAGATTCACAACGTACTTCTTTGTTGTAGACACTCTCTCACTGACAAACGTGAGTCCAGACATATATTCTCGCCCTCTGTCCTGCTCAAGCAAAACATTCCATCACTTGGCTATACACTGGAAGCCTAGCCAAGGACCTCGACTATCCAACAAATGGAGGGACACGGAGAAGTACAAAGACTTTTTCGAGCAAGTGCAGTCTGCACAAGACAACAAAGGCAGTTGGTCTTGCAGAGATTCACAAAGACCCGTGCGAGAGGATCCATGCTGTGAAGATAGTCCTGCCAAAACAAGCGGATGTAGCTGCGATCGTCATAGAGGCACGAGAAGTCAAGTCTGTCCCTACCATGAACACTACTCGATTCAAGACTGACGAGGTAGGGCTGCTGCTCCCAGAACAGTTGATTTCTCTGCTCACATGCCCTTCAGTCTGTGCCGGCAAGAAGTTCCATACGGCTGATTTGGCTTACCCTAGGAATACTTCTGCTTCTGACCCCTTGCCCGAGCTCAGATTTACTCACGTTCACACTGATTCGAAACACGATCCTGATACCTGCACCTGGTATTTTGAGAAATCTCCATGAAGGGAATGTGGTCTTGCTTGTCGTGATGGAATACTTGTCGTGTCAGTAGGATGGTTTCTAGTGTCCGTCATCAGAAACAGAAGGGGTTTGCGATATCCCTGGAAGAGTGTAGCTTGGAATCTCAGAAACAAAAAGTGAACTCGAACAGGGGTTTTTAGTAAATACGCGACGGTGAATTATTGAGATGGGATACAGGAAAGACTAGAGATACAAACTGCCCAAGTCGACAAGACATGCAACATGCTTCTTCGTTGTTTCTGTCTTTCTTGCTTTGCCATGAACTCTGACAATCATATACCGTTATGATCTGGGCAAGAACCGTCTAGCTTCGCAACTAAGAAAAGGCCTGCATACCTAGGACGCAAGACCATCGCAACCTTGGTACCGATCTGCTTTCAAACCATCTTATACTAAGATAACAAGCAAGATATACAAGAACTCCGGGCTTGTAGACAGTGTCTATCTAGTAGAGTCTGAACATGAGTCTGTTAGATCTACCGTAGTCGACTTTGCTGGGCGTGCCGTAGGAGAGACTGACTTGGAAGAGGGATAGGAGACGGACGACTGGGACAAAGGCGAGATAACAGAATTTACGGTCATTACGAGTGGAAAGGAAACGCAACCATAAGACTAAGATAGCGGGAAGAACTCGAAAGATTACATGTACCGTAGTAATGGATATCCAAGCGCCCTATCCTTTACACTTTGATTTGGCCAATCTCAGCGATTCCTCATTGTTTCCTGATTGTCGATTTGATATGGACGGCAGTGCACTAGAGGCTGATTCATAGCCGACCTCTACTTAGTTGAGGTGGAACGACTCGTGCTGGTACTAGTGGATGAGGTGAGGCGAGTTGTGCGGGCGCTGGTACTCGTGCTCGATCTTGTTGACGATAGTATAGAGGTGGCTAGTGTCGTTTTGGTTGCCCAATAGTCCTCCAAAGCTTTTTCGGCTTGGACTACATTGACATAGGCCTCCTTGCTCAGGAAAAATGAGACCTTGTCAGCGATGGCAGAGTTGCTAAAGTTACCTGTTCGCGCAACAAAGTCGTTGGGAGGGAAATACTTGGCACGATAGGCAGGTTCCATGGGGTCCAGCATCGAGGTCTTCTCGGAGTAGCCAAGATCTGCTAGCTTTGTCACGTTAAATGCCACCATCATGTCGTGGTCTTCGTGGATGAGATTGTGGCAATGGAACATGTAGAGACCATCCCATGGTGCGAACCTGGCGATGACCCTAACGCGCTCGTTCTTGTTCAGCCATACCACATCCTTGAGAGCGGTTTTCTCCCAAGGCATGACTCCTTGCCGCTCGCCGTCGGTCCGGCTGATGACTTGAAAGTCGATGAGATGGATATGGATCGGGTGACTCCATCCACCACCGCCATTGTGTAACTCCCAGACTTCAACATCGCCGCGCTTGGGGGTGGCCAAGACTCTGTCATTGACGTCTGCCCATGTCACGCCGTTGACCTGCCATTCCCCATTGCTTCTTGCAAACTCAAAGGTCCGATCGACACCAGTTTTACTTGGGGGATATGGCACGTCGCGCAGTTTTGTCGGAAGAGGTCCGTTGCCCACATCACTGGACACTGTCTGACCGACAACGAAACGCATCACTTTGTCCGTTGCCGCGTAATCCTCGTCTGCAGCGACTTTTCTCATGTTTCTCAAGGTGATGTTTTGACCTTGGAAGCCAGCGAAATCAATGACAATCTCGTATCGCTCCGCCATCGAGATATCCAGCTGTGTGATCTGTGCTGGAGCGCCGAGCAAACCTGCATCAGAACCCACGACGTAGAATGGAAGACGAGCTCCAGGCTGCTTGTCGGCTTCGATATAAAGCTGGAAAGATCGACTGACAGAAGTGTCGAGAAGACGGAACCGATATTTCCGAGGCTCGGCTTTAAAATAGGGCCAAGGTTGTCCGTTGATGTGGATTATATCGCCAAACAGACTGGTAGTCTCGTGGTTGGCGTCTGGGCTCCAGAGACTATAGTCTGAATTATAACGTTTTGAAGCAAGGGCTAGCGGGATATCGTAATCGCCTTGGGGTAGACCACTGGCTCTTTCCTCGGCGTCATGAAGGATGTAGAAGCCAGCCTGTCCAAAGTATGCATTTTCCNNTGTCATTGGTAAGTAAGGCAACCTGGCACTCAGCCGGAAGGTATAACGTACGGCAGTATGGCCGATAGCGTGATCATGATACCACAAGGTCCGCGCGTTCTGACGATTGGGATAGTAGTAATCTTTATACTGTCCGACTTCTGTCGTGTCTTCGGCCCATCCATCGAACGGGGCACGNGCCTATGTTATTGATAAGCTGTTGTGTTTTGCTCCAATATTGACCGAGGTCGGCGACTTACTGTATGAGCCATGTAAGTGCACCGAGTTGGCTCTATCTGCATGGTTGACGAAGCGGACTACGGCTTCGCGCCCTCTCTCCATCATGAAAGTCGGTCCTGGCACACTGCCATTGTAGCCAACATGACGAGTCTTTGTGCCTGGATAGATCTCAAGATCCACTGGTTTGATCTCAATCTCATAGTAGTCAATGTTTTTGAACCTCCTGCCAAATTCGAAGACTGTCAGAGATGGATCATTGTTTCAGCGCGTGGTTTGTCTTACTGCGATNGGCACAGCAATGGGAGGCACTGGAAGCGGCCTGCTGAAGAAATCTTTGTACTCAGGGCTGAGCCATTGAGCCTGCACAACAGAGATCCATGGCAGGAAGGAGATCAATATTGCCACGCGTGAGGAAAGATTGTGTGTCATCTGGTTGGTATTGCTTCAGGTACAGAAGGGGATCTGGTGGTGCTTAAGAGTAGGTGCACATCATCGTGGGTGTCCTCATATTTGTGTTCGTGGATGCTATGCCTGCTCTCTCGTCAATCCCTCGGGCCTATGTGCACATGTTGTCCACATCGCCGTCAGCTCGTGTCGTGTGGAGCGAGTGGAGCGAGACCACCTGGAACTAGTTCTCTCATGCACATATGGAGCCTGCCTGGCGTGATGACTCGACATGTGGAACGAGCAATAGGTGATGGTACCGAGAAGAATGTAACGGTACGTGAAGCTGAAGGATTTGTATCTAGCACACAGATTGTCGATGTGTAGCATCACTGTATCGCTGACACCAGCGCACCAAAGCTTTTCACACATCATAACGCACCGAAGCTTTTGCCCAGTGCTGTAGACTATACTGGAACGCGCCCAGATACGGGACGTGAGGTACAAGGATAGGTACGAATCCTCAGCGGAGGTCTAGCGACTGAGTGGATCTGGGTGACCAGTCCTCGGATCGAAAGAGATGATGATGGCGCCGACATGGTGCTTCTCGATGGGTCAGTCGGCTCGCAAGAAGCGACTCGACGGCTGAGAAGAGTCTTGCTATCCACATGCCAAGAAAGTCTAAATGACGACAGCCCCCAGGCACATGCACGTGATGCAAATCCCGACGACCAATCTTCCATCCTCCATCGATTAATTAGTAAACTTTAGACTCAATCCAATGTACTGTACCTAGCTTACAGCTATCCAAACCTGTAGCTGACTGGTCACCAGTCTCTTCCTCAGTCTTTCTTTGGGAACTTGACCCTGCCGCGGTCTCTAGCCCGAGCTTATCCTGCCACATCGACCCTTGAATCCGACTTCATCAAGCCTTTACCTGGTAACAATTATGACTTGCCATCTGTTACATCAGGTAGCTCTGGGACATGAGTCGGCACCTGTAATCATGGTATGACACGATGGTATCTGCCGCTCATGACCAGATGACTGGAATAGCCTTTCGCCAGAGGAGATGCATCGTGCCCATCTGGATTTGTTGACTCTCTTGATCGCCCAATCTCAGCCTGTGTTTGCAAGTCAATATGAGCTGATCATAGAATCTCACGCCAAGTCTAAGCCTGTATTCATGATCAAGTAGACTAATTGGACTTTGCGACATCCCGTTCGCTGATTGTTGCTATATAGTCGCAGTCTTGTCTGCATCAGTGCTTGTGAAGCAACCAATTCTATCTCGAACCTATCTTGTTCAGTGTATAAGAATGTATCTTGTTGCGATAGTCTCCTTCTTCCTCTCCTTCGCCGCGGCGCAAACCGTCACCCCCTTCGCTCTTGATGGTAGACTCGATAAGTAGGTCGAACCAAGCTGAAAATTATGCTGCTTCCAGTCCTTCCCAAGCGCTAACACACCTAAAGAGNCTACGGCGACTGATACCACATTCAACTCAGGAGGCACTGCTGTTGTCAATGGGTTCTCAATCACCGTACCGCAAAACCTACTGGTCCGCTTCCCGGCGGCATTCAGACCTTGGCGAGAGCTGAGTGAGTTCGTTGGCAGTGAAGTATCTGTAAGCAATACTCACATCTCGAAGGAACTGTTGGGCTGATTAGTCCTTAGATCANCAGGCAATGTGGTGGATGGCGTGCCTATTGCGGGATTGATCGATATATCTCAATACCTCCTAGAAGCCAATTCCGGGTTGATCGAAAGCATTGATAACGCAGCCGGCACGATCAAAATATTGAACGGACCAACCATCCGGGTCAACGATCCGAATGGCGTGTACGGTGTTGCCTTCACGGACTCTCCGGCATTTACTGCTGACGACCAGAACCCTTCTATAACAGCGTTCAGCGGGTTTCCTATGTGTATACCAAGATCGGCCTCAGATCCGCTCTGCCCAAGTACAAACCGTCCTGCTGGCCAAANNGAGTCTTGTAAGCAGCCCTAGTCTACAGATCCGCACCATTATCATCTAACATGCCATAGTAATGCCCCAGATCCCTTGGTGATGGCGCCCTTTGTCGTTGGGGATTTTCTTGAATTTTCCGGTATCAATGTCGATGGCATCATTGTTTGCTATTCAATCAACGCTCCCAACGTTCAGATCCTCACGCCTAATGGACCGACTTATGTTCGGGTTGAAGACGCAATTGTTGGTGTGTTCCAATCCGGGGCTGGGATTGAGGTCACGGACTCGAGATTTATCGGCTACTCCTCGAACGCCGCCGCGCCCGTTACTATCTGGGCTTTGGACCTTGATCCATGTACTGGCGAAGAGACGGAACGTAGTATTGGCTCCGCGCCATACAAGGCGGGTGATGCCCGCAATAAATGGATCTGGCGAACGGACACAAGAGTCAACAACAAATACACCCGTGAGTACGTCATAAGGGCTAACGACGGCATTACCAAAACCAAGAACAACATCACTGCCGGACGATATGTTCAGCCTGCCACAGAGTACATCTTCCCAGAGTCTACCGTGCCAGGTGATGTGCCTCCAGTAAATGATTTCACGAATTTCGAGCATCTCGCTCAAGGGATCGGATATACCCCTGATGGGGTACTCATCGGCCAGCTCAAGCCGTGGCCAGGTGGAAATCCTGTTCCAGTTACGACAACTTGTCCTCCTTTCAGTNCTTCCAAGCACGACTCCGCCGGTCGAGGCGCCTGGCACACCCCCGTGACAGGGCCTGTAACTCCCATCCTATCCTTGCCCTCTACCACAACCGTCCGGCCTGGTGTATCTGTACCTTTGGCGTTCAACGTCACGAACTCGGCCAGTTTCTCAGTCGGCGATCTCAAATATGCTTGGTCCCAGACCGGAGGTCCGCCCGTGACTTTGTCCGCGACCAATGGCTTGTCGTCTTCGTTCATCACTGCGGCTTCCACCACCATCTCAACTTATACCTTCAAAGTTACAGTGACGAGTACGTCGTTTAGTACTTCTGCAACGGGCGACTTCACGGTTATTAGTGACCCAAGTATCGCCGATGTAGTCGTGATCGATGCTTACACCGCCACGAATTCAAATGGAGGCCATTTGACTGTCTCCGCCCACACAAACATTGTTGGTTATGATGCCAAGCTGAAGGTGTATCTTGCTACTACGCCGACAGGAACAGCATTCGACATGACTCCCGTAGCTGGCAAGCCCGGCAATTACTTCTACGATGCACCTAAAGGTACAAAAAGACCTGCCGGCATATATGTAGTCAGCAACGGCGGTGGTTTCGCAACAAGAACAGCCACGACCGCTTGAGCAGATGGCGATGTCAAAGGTATCGGTAATGGACAGAACACAGCTTTTGTTAGTGGCCAGGGTCAATGGTCGATACGGCGTTTCTGATCAGATTGATTGGTTGGTTGATCGATATATTTGTTGAAAGTCTGTATTTCGGTGTTTCATGGTCAGGGATATCTATAATGTTCAAATGCAATTTGATCCGAACAGACCTAGAACCGGCCTCCGACGTGACTCAAACGAGCACGCAACATCAAGTCAATGTTCTGGCATCCAGACTTTGATCATGAGCTGTGTCTGGAGGTTCTACGGCCAACGAAGTGGATCTTTTGACTTGAGTGAGAGCCTGTGTGGACATAGCGATAGACTATGAGATACCTATATCTTAAGTCACTGGATATCATCTGTTACAAAGCAAGAGGAGACTCCACCCAATCTTGACCCTGCTGATATATTCTGTCTCTTTACTTCATGTCCCTGGCTGGAAGTAAAACTCGCGTGAGCCAAGAGGTCATCGAAGCCTAACAGAGAGGCTCGTGGTCGACGCGTTATCGAAGACCAGTTCAGATCTGTGGGTTCGTAATCAGCGGCGAGCTGCCTTTGAAAGCTTGTAGGATATCTTCCTGACCAAGAGAACTCTCCTCGAGACTATGTCACATAGCACCACACCTGCATGTAGATCTGGTAGTAAGCTGAAGCTGCACCTACGTATCTGCCAACGTTGCGCACAACTGTAGTGTAAGTGATCTGACCCGGCTGCCTCGTCAACCGAGGCATATCAGCCGTATCAACCGGAACCATATAAATATCTATACTATCTTCTACTTTGACACGACTGATCCCATCAATTTCCTCATACAATACATTGCCGTTGACCAACAAGACCTCAGTCATGAAAAACCACTTCTGCATTACCTTTGCAGCTTTGCTGCTTTTCTTTGCACCATACATCACGGACGCTATGCCTCAGCCTAAAACAGGCGGCGAGTTCCATCTTCGCAATGGCGATAACATACAAACCGCCATCGACAAAGCCAAAGCTGGAGACCACATCTTCGTCGGGCCTGGCGAATACAAAGGTCCAATCGTCATCCGCAAAGATGGGATTTCTCTAAAGGGACGCAATGCTCGTATCGTCCCATCCCAAAAGCCGAACAAGCCCAACGAATGCTCCAGCTTTGCCGGGCCAGATACTGAAGCCGGCATATGCATTGTTGGCAAAAACATTGCTCTCCAGGATTTTATCCAAGAACACAGGAATATCACCTCTGTTGCCGTACCAGTCGATGGGGTCTGCGTGAGCGGTTTCGAAGTCAAGGACTTCTCCGGCCCAAATATCGCAGTCCTTGGTGCGCAGAACACCCGTGTTAGTAACAACATTCTCCGTAACAGCAAGACGTATGGGTGCATCACGGCAGGTTCTACAAACAGTCGTATCACCGAAAACGTCGTCACTTCGAACACCTTGAATTTCATCGGCATCTGTATGGATGATACCGGGCCAGCTGAGGTCAGCCGTAACGATATCTCTGGCTACTTCATTGGCCTGTGCATCCAGACGTCTGGTGCAAAGGTCGAGGAAAACAAAGTGAGCAACATTTGCATCGGAGCTTTCCTCGATCCCAAGGTCGCAGATACCAAGATTACGAAAAACACCATCACGAACCTGAATCCGACTTGTCCCTCTGCCTCCGGTGCGTCAGGAATTCTCATCACCGGAGGTCTCGATTCCGAGATTCGACAGAACACGATTCGAGGCATGAAACTTGCGGACAAGACCGCGGCAGGAATCATCCTCGTTGACGCTGAGAACGCTGTATCCAGTGGTAATAAGGTGATTCACAATGAGCTCAAGGACAACGATGTGGATATCTTCGTGGCCACGCAGGGTCTAGGCAATATTTTTGAGCAGAATCAGTGCTCGACTTCTGTGATTGACTTCCAGCCTGCAAATCTCTGCAAGGCGCAGTGATCTGCTGATACCATCTGCAGTTCTGGATTGATTGTAAGCGGAAGTCTGTAACACGAGAGAGTACCGATACGCTCGGCTCTCCTTTACTGCCAGGAGTTGGGTAACCTTCTTTCTCTTTCGCGCTGTTCTTAGTTTTATGGTTTCTTGATTCATTAATACACAATCGTTCAAAGTTTCCATGTGTCCCAAGTACGTAAGCAAAGTGACCACATAACGTAGTCCTGATATTTATCATGTTAGTGTGTACTCAGTCTACAAAGAGTGTAGCAGATCGCACGGCCACCAATGTCGAAACAATAATATTGTATATTACGCACTAAAAGTTATCCAACGGATGTTCTACTTGGGATTATGTGTGTTGAACTGACCTCCAACCCCACATGTTCCTAATCCACACTCAAGACCCTCATTTGCTATTCGCTCTGATTGAGTTTCTGGCGAGCGGCACGTTAGCTTCGTCACGAGCTCCCGAACCTGACAATCTTGACAACGGGCCAACTTTTGCATCTGATCCGTGCGCTGGGCAAGATCCTTGTTGTCTTCCTCTTTCTCTTTGTATGTCCTCCAAACCTCAGATAGGTATCTGGTGGCCGCATCGATGATGACTGCTTTGGAAGTTGCAGAGTTCCGTTTGAACATATCTTCAATGTCGCCTGACGTTGCAAACGCAGTGCTTGGCAATGCATCGGCCAGACTGAACAGGCCGTCACTTAATCTTTGGCGGTACCTTCGTTCAACTTTGGCGTGAGGCGTTCGTCTGATTCGTTTGTGTGCAAGCTTGGTCGAGGTGGGTTCCACAGTCATGGATCCAGGAGTTTGATTGTCGGCCTCGGACAGGGAATCAGAATCCATGCTCTTGGCGGGTGACTCCAATCGCGTCTCTGGATGGAGGTGACACGAAGGACTGAGCACAGGTTGGAGATTTGTTCGAGCTTGCCCAGGGCTTTCGTAGGTGGAAATTCGACCAAGATGCCATGCCTGGCTGTACTGCAGGGGCAGGAAATCCAGGTACCGATCTGACCCAGAATCAGACGAATGAGCAAAAGATTGCGTGCTGGTGCTCATGAACGATCTTCAAATGAATTTGCTTGGACAATGGTTTGCTTGGGCGATGATTTTGCTGTCTGCAGATATCATGTTACCCTTGGCTGATGAGCACATGATCGTTAATATATTGTTCTTCGTTGTGGTTGACAATCAGAGATGCTCGACGCGGGACGACTTGAGGGGAAAACGGGTCTGATTGTGGCTGATGTTCCAGACCAAGCTAACCGTTTGCAGATGCATAAGCAACTTTCCCAAACGTCCCTTGGACGTCTTCTAAAAACACCCAAGACTTGCCAAGCTTGCTTCCAAAATCGAGCCAATGTGGTGAAAGCAGCGACATACCTCGCTTAGCTTGGTATAAGGAAGCTCCTGCAGTCTCCTGATACGAAGTATCAGAGGCTGCGACAATGGTCTGTTCAGCCTCCAGTGGTATTTCTTGAGCCCTCGACTCAACACGGAGCCAAGGTGTACCTCTTCTCTGCCCATCGATTATGTCTGCAATCGAACAATCATCTTTCTCTTCATGCTTGTTACCCACATTCATGGCCAGTCTTGATTGCTTCTCCACATGTACACCGGAAATGCCTCTATCAGGATGTTTTTCCCAATCGCCTACAACAGATGTCATGATCGAAGCACAAAAAGACGTCTCGGGGGTGTCAAGAACCATCACAAGCGACCTCGCTTGCGCAGAAGCCACACATCAGCCGAAGCAAGATACCGCGATGGCATCAGACACCGAATGGACAACCTACAAGCCCTGGTCGAAGACATTTTGCAACAAGACCCAGAGCTCCTCGGTAGACCTTTTGCCCAGAAGCCATCCACCAAGCTTAACATGCTCCTCGTCGTCCGGGAATTGCTCGAACATTTGCAAGACAGGCTGGATAAGGCAGCACAAACGAGAGGGGTCCTTCAAGCTGAGTTTGATGGATGGGCTGCCCTAGCCAATTGTGATGCTTGTCCTACAGCTGCATACGCCAGACAGCATTACTTCCAGACTTTTGATTCGGGCTTGGCGTCTCCTGAGATTGACCTCCAGTCCCTAAACTTGACTTCTTGGGATTTTGATCGAAGAGACTCTGAGTAACAATCGATTCGATGGCGCTGGAAGTATCGCATCGACATGGCTCCAGACAGAACCTCAGCTCAGCGACCACGCGCCAGAGCCCAGCTTCCATGTGGTCACGACCAATGGTGGTGACTGTTCGCCGACACGTTATCTTTGTGTTCTTACTGCACCTGATGAGGATATACCACGCATCATGTAAATTGTAGTCAAACAGTACCCTAACCCTAATGAAGAAAGCAATGCATCGACTAAACTTGCTGCTGCGTGAAATGTAAGAATTGATCAGAGCTCGCCTGTGACTGTGTTGGGCAGCACACTTCTTAGCGGCTGCGGGCCGATGGGGAGGGCGTTCAGTAAGGTGTGGGGATCCGATTCCAGTAGAATCATTCGGCAGAGGCGCCGCTAGCGTCTTCGGCTAACTTTTGCACACTGCTTGAACTTCACTTTGACATTCAGATCATCTCCCATTCTCCTGTGGAGCAGCTCAGGAAATGATCAAGATCCTAGCATGTTCTTGAGCTGCCTGGCTTGTTTTGGCCTAGAAAGGCCACTCCTGTAAGTCCCCGCCAATATCCACGAAATCAGTTGGAAAACCAGATCGCAGACTGAATGCGACTGGATTATCTCTGAAATTCCGCTGATCACAAGCCAGGATTCGCACCGAATTCCAGACTGGATGCCCTCTAGAGAGCTTTATGCATGGATCAGCGTAGGATTAGAATTCAGTACTAACTGGCGTGACCATGTTTTTGTTCGTCTTTCCATGGCCATAGGTGTGCTTTGTGCAATGGTCTGGCTCATCCATCAATTTGTGTTGGTTCGATCGACTGATCAAATCGACATTCAAAAACTATACCAAACGTCTTCAATAAACCTTCAGGAGTACAAATCCTGAGAACGCTGGACCTTAGAACACGTCTACAAGAATTTCAGGGACGCCACAAGGATCCGGAGGCATCTCCAACGTCGAAAAGAAGGTTAGTCTAACCATCAGTTGCATCACGCGCTTGTATACTCGCTTGGCATGGGCAAACATTGGTGAAGGAGACTTGGTTATACATGTGGTCGAGACAGGAGGGATCTGCGAATAGCAATTAAGGTTCCTCGGGTATTGTACCGCAAGGTAGCGGAGGGGGCGCCGGCCTTGGCAAGACCCCTCCTGAAATATTTGGCAGTGGCCCGTGGACGGATATCTTCGCAAAACCACTTTTGAGAAGCTTCGCTACAAACGGGAGTTCACATGGTCTGAACCAGCAAGGGGGTCCGAGCAAACCCAAGTCACCGACCAGCAAAAGTCTGGTGTGAGAATGGTTCATGCTTGCTTGGAACCACTTGCAGCAGATGACCAGAGCTTGGAGTTGTACATCGTCAACGCTGACCTGACCGGACCTCACAGACTTGGCTGTACCAACATTTGAGCACCACATCATGTGCCATCATGGGGTCAGGTGAGTAGTCTCAATTTGTCCTGCTAGTGAAGTAATTTGCAAGATCATAGCTCGACATAAAGAGCCACACTCCTTACACCTTCGTTCGCGGCTCGCATTTTCATGCTCAATCTGACCATGGTCTTTGTTGACATTCACGACGACGAAGACGCAATCACCCCAGCACCACCAATTATCGAAGCTGAAACCAACCTGAGTGTTGACAGCTCAGAATCTGGCACACTCTCCGAAGACTTCGGACTCGAGATCAAGTTTCCGCAACATCGGGATTTTGCCACCGCAGCTCCCTTCGAAGAACCTCAAGCACGCAGAAGCGAGACATTGGCCGAAACACATACCATGGCCATATCCGATCTGACTCGAAGAAGTGATGAGAGTCCCAGCAAAAAGCTCAAAGCTTGGCCGGGTTTTCACGTGCCCAAGATCTTCCCCTTACCCCTCATGGTGATCAGAAAGCAGGAACGGCGATAGAAACATCTGGTCCGTCTGCTCGAGATCACTCTACACCTGTCGAACCTTGGAACGCTTACGAGCCACAACTCCAAGAGCCAATAGTCACACGAAAAGATCGCAGCGAGGCGGTCGGAACTACCCACAACCGCTGGCCGAAACTCCATGGCGGCCGCCGTAACAGTACTCACAAGTCTCGTGAAACATATGGCAGTTATGAGGAAGATGGGAGCATGAACATGTCTGGAGGAGCTGGAACCGTGCAAGAAAGCACCGGACCGTCCTCTCAGAAACGCCGACCAAGTCTGCGAGGGCTTCTTGCAAGGAAAAGCTCTGATGGTCAGAAATGATGGCGAGCACGAAGAAGGATTCAATGACGCTTAATGATCGAGCGAGCAAACTTTGTATTCACGGTGGTCACTGACTTTGTTCGATAGTTTTCCATGAGATTATGCTTTGATGTTTAGTGCTCTTGCAGGGCTATGTATTACAGCTTGTGGTTCACCATTTCTGGTGCAGAAATCCAGAATCTTGCTTCTATGATCCGAGTTGCTCAGCTGATAGAATCTTGCTACACAAAAGTTGGGCCCCCTGCAGTGCATACAAAGTAAGAGCCTCTATGTTCTTCCGTTCAACTGCAGGTACTCATGTCCATGTACATGGAGCTCTGAAGCCGGCGACGCAGAGTGCCCGCGGATCCTTTGTGGTTGTTTCTATCAGCATCATCACGATACAGAACTACCGAACCTTCAGATCATGTATGTATAGGAGTCGAACCTCCTCTGTGAGGGACTTTGTTTGGTAATTCACCCTATCGTCGTGTCTGAGCCACCGGCGGCTCAAACCGTCGTAAAGCAAGGTCTACCAGCGGGGACAAAACCCTTGCGCAACAGCAGTGCCTGCTTGCCCGTACAACGTTATCACTAAGGGGTTGGTGACCACGGACAAATATTGAACCGTCTTGGCCCAAGATATAGACCTCGCGATCGAGCATTTTCGAGACTCGAGAGGTCGTGGTCTTGGCTCCATGACCCTGACTTCGAAGCTGATGTCTGGCTTCTCGTTGACAGAATGTCAACTCCTTCAAAAGCTTATTTGGGCCGGAACTATATCATTCTACTTTTTCGATGGTGTTGCCAAGAAGAGGGTTCTGAAAACCACGTCCCGAAGAACTGGCCTTCACCCGCTGTCCACGTGAGACCGTGGCCCAGGTGAGTGGTCAGACCAGACTTCCGAAGTTTTGAAGCTGTCAAACCTTATACCAGCCACGAACCTGACAATCCAACTGGATCTGCAGGAATTGCCGTAGTGGCAAGTCGTTGGGCCGCCCCAGGATGGACAGCCTTCAAGCCACACGTTACCCGATGGCTGCCGAAGCGCCAAGTGATTTTGGCGTTGAAACTGCTATACCTTAGCAACTTCAGCTCTGTTGCCTCTGATCATGCCACTCCGCCCCCACAGCGTTTAAAGTCGGTGAACAGAGATCGGAAAGAGCGCATATATCGTTCAGGGTGGTTGCCCCCGCTACCAAGACGTGACTTACTCCTTGATACGAACGTGCTTGGCATCGCCATTGCTTCGTGACCACACTACATCCTATCCAATCGAGGTGCGTTAGCGAGACCAAGCTGCGTTTTTCGCATCACTGGATTATCAGTGTGGCTCAAAGTATCTCGCTGGAAGTCCTTAGAACTTTCAGTCTTGCAGCGTGCCGGGTCTGTCACGTTGACAAAGTGGCCTGAGGTGAAGAAACAAACCCCTTGGGTACTGATCTTGTTTGGTTTGCATCGACCACCTGATAATCGTTGCGACTTGAACACAGGTTGCGACAGGGAAAGATAAAACCCGTGGGGTCTATCGAGCAGAAAACATAAAAGCACATGACCTTCGTTCCTGACTCTTCTCGCACTCTCAATCAGTTCTTCACTGTCGGATCAGTATCATCAACTGCACATAAGCCACACCACCAAATATGTCGAGGGTTCACGAATCTATGTCCATGTCATCACGCTTGTCCAAAGATTTCTTGCCACCTAGAACAAAGCGTCATCAACGCTCGAGATCAATCTACTTACCTCTCGACGCTGTGCTGATGAGAGCGACAGCAAAGGCATCGAGACCGCTGACCACAGTGAGTGAGTAAAAGGGTGAACGACTCCAATGACACAGCCATGAACTGATAGTCGATCTCCGAAGAGGAGGAAGCAGACCTTCCAGAAGACTCAGGACTCGATCAAGTCGAAATTCAGGGTAGCCCTCACAGTACCTCTGGTTCCGAGTCCTCACTGAGCGATATCGATGTTTCTGTACTCTCGCTGTCTGATGAAGAGCCCGATCATTGTTTCATGTATTGTGGCTTTTGCCACTCTCTGACTCGAATCGACTGCGTCAAAGGCAGGCTCGAGATCGTTGCCGCTGTCTGCGAAGGTTGCGGCACTCTAGGGCAACTCTGAATTCTTTCTTGTCAAAGTATGGTGCTGGCGGATCTTTGACAGCCATTGGTAGAAGCAGGAGTTATTGAAGCTTAATTCAATTTTTGCTGTATGCTGTAGATGGCACATTGAGTATCTATTCCGTTCTCAGATTCTCAATCTTTCGAGTGTTGTAGTCTGGTGTCAATCGTGGTTCTTGTTAAGACAACTAAGAGTCACAAGATCACCTGTTACCTACAAAGGGAAAGACTGCTCAAAGCTCTGGCAGTGCTTCAAACTTCGGCCAGTAACAGTAGTGCCTCCAGTGCTTCCCGATGTCCATGTCACGAGGCAAACACAGGCCGTCGAAATACCGGGTACATTATGGACCGGCACGTCTATGGAAAACCCTCCGCTTGAGGGCATTTTTGCCCAGGAAGGGCAATGCAGCCTTGAGGCTGAAGGTGGATGTAGTCTTGACGAACCCTTGGAGTAGCGTCATATTAGCTTGCGGAGCCACGTGAGCTGAAGAACATGGTTGCCCTATATACAAAGTCTCGGTACCACGGTGGTACCACGCTATCGGGTAGCGTCCCGGAATTGGTTCATGTGCGGAGAAACACACAGCTGAAGACTACAGCTCCATCAGCAACGCCTATAGAGAACATCTTGGGATATGGTGGTTTCGGCGGTACTCGCTCCGGCAGGGCTGGTCCGGCTCGTCATGTCAAGCTCGCATACCGCTCATGTCAGCGTAGATTGGCTCTCTCGGTCTCGATTCACCATGAATAACCCATTGCTATTCTTGTCTCATCAACGTATGTCGACGGGCTCCAGCTCTTTTTCATCCACCTGCCAGAGACTGCTCTTAAAAGAGTGTTGATGCGCCGCTGTGGTAGTCAGTCAATTCCCAGATCTCAAACATTGCTCTTCTACCTCTGAACATCAGTCCTCCCCTCTTGAATAGCTACAATCATGTATCCCAGTTTTTTCTTCGCTTTTCTCATGTCTCTGGCCACTATCAATGCTTACCCGAACCAATCGTCCAAGTTCAAAAAGCTTCTTGACGAGATCACAGCTCGCCAGGACGTCCCTGGCCAGCACGACTCGACCGAGATGATCGGAGACCTACGACCCGAACTTGGAGGCCCCACGAGCAGCGTTGGGAAATCAATTGCCAACATCTTGACGGGTTCCGAGAATCCCGAAAGCGACAAGCTGTGGCAAGGAGGCCTTTCGAATCCGGGTTCTGCAAAGTGCACAGCAGATGCTTGCTGTGTGTGGCGCCACATTGCACTCGACATGGAGAAAGTTTTCCGAGGTGCCAGTGGTCGCTGCACTGCCGAAGCGAGAGGAGCTGTCCGTCTGGGCTTCCACGATGCCGGCACTTGGAGCAAGTATACTGAAGACTTTGGCGGTGCAGATGGCAGTATCCTGCTGAGTGGACGTGCTGGCCTGGAACCAGAACTAGACAGGGCTGAAAACAAGGGCCTACAGCTTATAGGCGGCGTGATGAACAGGTGGTACGACAAGTACCACCAGTATGGCGTCGGTATGGCAGATCTCATTCAAATGGGTGCCAATGTCGCCGCGGTCGTGTGCCCTCTAGGACCCCGAGTCCGCAGTTTCGTGGGCAGGATCGACAGCAGTCGTCCCGCGCTGCAACTTCTTCCGGATGTGCACGCCGATGCCGACTCATTAATCTCTCTCTTCCAGAACAAGACCATCAACACTCATGGCTTAGTTGCTCTACTCGGCGCCCACACAACTAGCCAACAGCATTTTGTCAACGTGACACGAGCCGGCGATCCCCAAGACAGCTCTCCAGGCGTTTGGGATGTAAAGTTCTACAACGAGACACTTAATATTGCTCCTCCACGTGTCTTCAAGTTTCCCAGCGACGTGCTCATCTCGCAGCACCCTGATGCCACGCCCGAGTGGATCAAATTCGCCAACGACCAGGATCACTGGAATNCAGGTTCGTGGCATTCGGCTTTGCCCTTATGTAGTTGAGGCTAACTCTCTCAATAGGACTATGCAAGGGAGTACACGCGTCTTTCACTCCTCGGAGTCAACAACATAAACAAGTTGACTGAATGCTCTCACGTGCTGCCTGCCGAAACTACAAAGTTACCAGCCTCGGACAACGCAGCTGTATTGAAGGATTGGCTCGACGGTAAGGGCCGCAAGTCTATCAGCGACGATCTTGAGGCAGGTCGGGTGGTTAGTGCTTAAGGTTGGGTGAGTGCGAGGTGGAAAGCCATGTTAATTCTGTAGCAGCAGTCGAGATGGCATATTCTGAACCTAGCATAATGACATGTATTCGATCTCTATTCTCCGCATTCGGGTCAGAGGTTTCATGGCTGGAAACAAAGAATTGTTGGAAACCAAACATCATCTTCACATATCACAGATTAGAGCAGGGATGGAGGCAGCGCACCAAAGCGAAGAACACGATTTTCGAAGCAAAACCATTCCGCACCAAAGCATCTTCCACGGTCTCTGAAACAATATCCTTCGAGAATCATCTCAAGTCTCCGAGCCAAAAGCAGGAAAATCAGGAGCAACAACCCCATCACAAGAGTACCTAACCAAGAACTTGGAGTCTTGCGTATTGCTGTCCAAGGTGACAGTACCATCAGGAGCCGCAAGCTGCACCGTAAGATGTGGTAGGAATGGTGGTAGTAGTGGTAACTGTAACAATCACTACATGCTCGAGTACGCCGTCACCACTGGATAAGCAGTCGTGGATGAGATCAGAGTCTGTGTGGCAGTGGATGTTGGGATCGGGATGCCGAGACAACTACAAGCACTTGTGATCGCATTGCAGGCAATGTTCTTGAGAAAACCAGGAGCTCCAGCACATACGCCAGGAATGCTTATGCTAGCAGGTATGGGGCCCTGGCCACGCCCATCAAGGCCGCGCCTGTCTACGGCAGATGGGATGCAAGCCGTGAAGGTTGTTTCACTACATGAACGTTAGTCCACAAAGGCTCTCTCAAGATGTTTACTTGTGCTGACATGGTTGAATATTCAGTAACAGGCTCAGCAGTGCTCGTAAATGTTGATACCGTGGTGGGAACCGTGGTGGTTAGAGGTGAAGTGTAAGAGGCTGTAGAAGATACAGTCTTGGTGGTAGTGATGGTCTGAATCCTCAAGACGGATGAGCAGAATGGTGGAGCCGAGGGATATAGGCGTAAAAGGTCCACCACAAGATCAACTGCAAAACAAGTGTCAGCCTTAGACGATCGATCTTCCAGTGGTGCAGCGGTTGCAACACCGAGTATAGCAAGAGCAACAGTGGTGTTTAGTTTCATCTTGGACAAGTAGAGATGAGGAAGGAAGATATGCCTACGAGGGCTAGCGAGATAGAGAATTGGATTGGGATGGGAGGCACTTTATATAGCACACAGGGTCGCGTCAACCAGAAGTTGCTCGGGCTGCGACTACTGGAAACTCAAGAATGACTTTCGCAGCTCTACAACGTGAGAGTAGTGGCAGTCGAAAAGCAGATTGTTCAGCTCGATTCTGCGTGAGACAGGTTCATAAGGTTGCAGATAGTCCGTCTCCATTTGGTTCTTACAAGTATCTGATTTAAAGGTTTCTAGTGCATTCAGCTATCCAGCTGGAGAATTGCTCCTCACTCTGCCAGCGTTCGCCGTTATTCAGCCGTTGGTGTTCTACCCCAGCATACATGGTGGCTCTTTTAGAAGCTAGAGTCATTTGTGAAGGATAGAAACTTGCTCCAAGACCGTCAGAGTAGTGGAACCACGGAAGATGACGATATTGATGTTGAGAAGATGGGTATTATGGCAGTATATCTAATTAATGACATGGGACCTGTAATGCGATCCGATGGGTCATTCTGATGTTGTATATGAGAGACATCTAATCTCTAAACTCGGCATCGACAGATTCGAAACCATCAAGGAAACCTTGGAACATCTGGACTCCAAGGCCAGGATCTGAGGTACCTGTAGTAGCGCGAATACTGTGCATGCTCAACTGCGGAATACCTGCATCAATGGCACGCATGCCGGTAGCGCAACTGAGCATAGGACCAACAGTGCCACCCGATCTTGAGTCGTTTCTGATCTGGAAGACCTGGAGGGTGGCGCCGACCTTTTCTGCGCAACGAGTGAAGATGGCAGTAGATGCAGCGTCAGTGGTCATGTGACCATTGCTGTCTGCAGAAACCGAGACACCAACGTTGAGTTGAGGGGCGTGGTTGGCGAGGTAGACGGACTCGAAGTTGGGGTTGACGGCATGAGTGACGTCGGAGGAGACGAGGAAAGAGTTTGCATATGTCCGGCCGATGAGGTCTGATCCAGGGTGTTGACCTGCAAGACTGCCGACAGCGCGCTCCACAACAGTAGGCAGGAAGTTTCCACGGGCTCCCTGACGAAGTCCGCTGCCAATCTCCTCATCGTCGAAGAGACCGACCATCTTGATGATGCCAGAACCAGAGGTGCCGTTGTGAGCGCTCTGCTTCAGAGCCTCGAGTGCGGCCCAACTGCACAGCTTGTCGTCGATGCGGCCGGCGGTGATGAACTCCTTGTCAAGACCAGCAAGAGTGGCAGGCTGGATATCATACAACTCGAGCTCCCAGTTGACGATGCTAGAGCCATCACTGAGGCCCAACTCCCTGGCAATGGCGCGGACGAGACGAGGGGGCTGAGTAGCAGCGAAGGTGCCAGTCTTGGCCTGAGGCTCAATCTGGTTCTTCGCCGATGACTCGAGACCAATGATGGGAACAACCTGTGTCTCGAGGTTGAACGGGCCGTTGGCAGGGGTGCCAAAGTGAGGTGCCAGTGTGGGGATCTTAGCAATTGGCCAGCCGAGCTTGACCAACTTTGTGACAATCTTGTTTCCTTCCTTGACCAGAACGCGGCCACCAATACTCAAGTCGCGGTCCCACCAGGTAGGGCCGAGACCACCTGCGTAGGGAGCGACACCAAGCTCGACGTAACCAGCCTTATTGGGAATCTTGCTGACAGGCTTCAGCTTGGCGGTGAGAGCGTCGACGTGACCAGCGAGCACAGCGGCACCATTGCCGGACTTGTAGTCGTCACCGACAACGAAAGCAATCAGACTGCTGCCGTTACGCTCGACAAAGTACTTGCCACCAGGCTCAATACGCCACGAGTCTCTCTCACTAAGCTTGGTGAAGCCGTAGTGCTTGAGATCCTGAGCCATGCTGTCGACGGCGTGGAAGACAGTGGGGTTGTCGGTCAAGAAGTCGCAGAATGGCTTGGCGTAGGACTCGGCATTCTGTGATGTGGCGAAGATGGGGGCGGGTGTCTCGGGCACAGGTCGGTAGGAGGAGGATTGGGCGTGTAAAGTGGCAGATTGCAGCATCTTGTCAAGCTGTAGTTGTTCGATGGCGAGGCGTTGCTTGTTGTGCTCGTGCAGGAGCTCCAGTTGTGTGCGATAGTCTGAGTAGGAAGCTCTGTTGATCTCGGCCTCGATCCTCTCTCTGAAGTTGGGAGGCATTTCAAATAGCGGCGGCGGCGAGTTCATTGGGTGATCAAAAGATTGTGTTGACGTCTTGCGGGACAGTCCCTGCATGTTCTTGACCATGATGGCTGTGTTGTGATTGCTCAAAGGATGTCAGGTGAGAGGGGAGGATTGAGAAGGTGTATTGGTGGGTGAGCGAGTCGAAGAACACATGTACTCTCGGGAGGAAGGAGTGAGTCGTGTTATCAGCAGGCGGCCTTTGATGTGTATGACTGATGCAGTTGCCCCAGGCACCGCCATCTCATCTGACCAATTGACCCGAGCTCGAGCTCCTGTCTGTTCGGACTTAATGTCAGCCAATCACCGCGCCATCGCATTCTCGAAACGGCAGGTGCGGTGCGGAGAAGCTCCTTCCTGGCTCCTCCACCTCCCCAAGCTGTTACAAGTTCATCTTTGAGGGAATAGTCAAGCAGCTTCGGATCTGAGATGTGTCCAGAGAGAGCCGAGGACTACATGGTCTCCCATAGACGTTGCTATATCCTCTGTATCTATCGTGCATATCCACAGCCACTCGAGTGACAAACTCCATCACATCGCGGAAATCCTTCCATGGGGGCTTGCTTGACTCGCAGCTTCCATTTCGTCACAGCCATCATCAGAGTTTCGCATGTCCCGTCTGCCAACTCATGGCAGGGATCCAGGAACAGGTTCGCATCCATGCATCCAGGAACCAGCATCTGTGTTTCATCATAGAAAAGTCAAGGCGGCCGTCATGTCATCCATCTTCTCTTCTATCTTTCCCATAATTTCGTGACCTTTATCCAACTTCTCTATCTGGTGGTTTTCGGTCATAAGATAACCTGAAGCTTTCAAACACGCCGCTGCTGAGCAAGAAGAAGAAAGAGCACAAATGTCTCAATCAACCACCACACCCATCAAGCAAGCCAAAGCCCCAGCCGCTGCTGGCAGCGAAAAGGAACCCGTCCGCATGATCGAAAAACTAGACATCAAGACCAAAGCCGTGTATGTGATTCCTCCTTACCCTTTGCTCTGCCCTGCCAACGGCTGCACATGCACAACGAGAGCTAGCAACAGTCCGACTGACCGCCAAAAACAACAAAATAGAAATGCAAACAATGTTGCCAGAGTAGCCAACAGTCAACTAGTCAGTGCAGACGATAAACTGCACNCCCTGCTTTCGCTCAAGAATGGGAGACCACTGGACAAGTTCCCAGAGACGCCAAAGGCGTTGGCGAAGTTGAGTGGTGAGTTTGCCTGCAATTATCTAACCATTCGCGAACACTCCTAATGTGATTGATGTGAAATAGTTACTGTTGTCGACGCCATGCTCAGTGCTCTCGAGGCTGACCGTGATGGAAATGAGATGATGAAGAGGGAGAAACTGCGTTTGCAGGTTGGTCTCAAGCCTAACCCTGCTTGAGGATATTACTTCCAAACTTGTCATGATGTCGATGAGTGATGATTAGACAGGTGGATTCGCGCAAAGCGAAAGCCATAATACAGAAATAATCAAGTCCGGATTGGGACAAGTGCCACCGACCGTGCAAAGCATGAGAAATAAATCGAGCCACACAATAAAGAGAAACAGGACTGGATATATTCTGATTGCAAAAGAAAAAGGTCATGAAATCCGTACCACCATCGCCCAATTTCCCAAAGTGATCCATGCACGCATCCCAGATGTATAACGCCGCTATGCAAAAGGGAAATACGGAAATAGAAGAGAAACACCAGTCTTTGGTCGCGTGAAACCGGCGTAACGTGCACTCGATTACTCGTCATCAAGCTCCTCAGCACCATGTCTAGATGAATGTCAGCTGCGGAGGCAGACCAGGTAAGTTCAAGAGATTTCACTTACCCAAGCAAGTTCTTAATGTTGTGCATCTCGTAGTGCTTCTTCCTCATGTTCTCAAACTTCTCATGCTTCTCTCTCTCCTCCTGAGGAATGTTTTCGGGTGTCTCGCCGTGTCTTGCGCCGTCAATGTCCATTTGGTCAGGGTCGACCATGACTCTCTTCTCCGAGTCACTGTGTCTGCGCTCAAGCGTGTCTTGCTCAGGCTCTCCAAGGTCGAGATCAGGGATATCAACCTCACGAGGCTTCCTCTTGCTAGAGCCATCGCCTTCAAGCACCTTGGCCTTGTCGAGCTCGTCGACCATCAAGTCATCAGGATTGATGTTTTGTGGCTCCTCGTCCTCGTCAGGGTCGTAGCGACCAACGTAAGGTGTCTTTGGTTCGTCGATCTTCATCTTACCACCCATCTGGCTCTCGTTGAGGAACAGGTTACCCTCATCCCACTTCAGCCTCGGCGACGGGTGCTCTGCTTCGTGGCTTCCATCAGCAGCCGACTGGCGACGCGAGATGTTGCTGCGAGGATTCGACGAGTTGCGACGGCCGCCGGCGTTGATTTCAGTGTTCATCTGAACAACCTCTTTCTCGGACATTTCGCGGTTCATGGCGGGGCGGTCGAGGTGGTTGGGAGTGTCGGTGTGGAACGCGGAATGTGTGTTGGTTGGCGACGGGGGNCCTTGGGAGAGGTTCTCGCCCATGTACGAGCTGTTGTTCTTCAGGATACCNTGCCATGCGACTTAGCTAGCTGAGCGGTGAGAGCAGGAGCAGCGCAACACACCCTTGGGTCTCTTAGGAACCTCGGGTGAAGAGCTGGTAGCGGTCATGATTGCTGTCGATCTGTGTAGGCTGAAGGATAGCTAGGGCGTCGAAGAGTAGAATGCGAGTGTTGCTGTAGTCGCTCGAGGGCGTTTACGAGGCAGCAGTCAGTAACGTTGTGTTTATCGATTCGGAGACGACAGGACGAAAGTTAGAACGAGTGACGCAGACGAGACTAGCCTTCGTTATCTGTGCGCGCAGGTGGGGGTTACCAATGATCAACGTCATTCACTGCTGATCACTTCTGCTCGGCTTCGGTTGCGTGAGAGTAAACAGATACAGCGAGCTATCTATCACATGCCGACGCAAATCGTAGCTACAACATATACTCCTCATCTTGCCGTCGCTATACAGCATCATCGTTATCTGCACCTGGCCGTATCAGTCTCTGCTCGCTTGCGACGCCGTTGTCCGCCTGAATCCTGCTCGTCAAGACATGCAACCTTCACACCTCTTCAGCCTCCTCTACTTGACAGCTTTCCCGATTTAGAATGCACACATTGATGCCCAAGATACTTCAGAAATCAACCATGCCTTCATTAAGTCATTGCTCTCAAGAAAAATGTGCCGTCTCAGCTGTCCATGGTCTCCTTACAGCCTAGAGCTCGCTTCCAGAAAGAACAAGTTTCTTCCGTGACCCTGGCCATCTGTCCGTACATAGCCGCTCTTACCGATGGGCTCTTCGCTTCTACTTGCAAGCCTCTTCAACGTTGCCGCATCTCCATGGTTGGCAACAAATCGATGCCCAGAACTTCTCAACCTTCCTACAACATGACCTAACGAAGGTTCGTTCTTGCGGTCAAAATTTACTGTGTATGTNCTGGAAAGGCTTAGCACCTGAACGATTTCATAGGAAGTTGGACAACTCACCTCAATGATGGCTTCTCCTTCGGCAATTTCATCGATCGTAGGTGTTGTGTTGTCCTTGAGTACGGGAGGAAGAGGATTACGAGCAGGATAATGTTGACCGTCGGCCCGTGGTCGAGAAGAGAGGCAGATGACATGCTGATATGTCAAGACACCTCCATTTGCGAGCACGAGACCATGGGTACCGTCGCCTGCACGCAGCTTTCGTGCCATGACTGTGATTGCCTACTTGGGGTCAGCTGCACTACGTTTAGCTGGATCATGGAAGGCACCCACATGCATAGAGTAGTTGTTGCCTGCGCCTCCAAAGCTTGTTAGGCCGCCAAGCAGAGTAATGGGCTTCTGAGGTTTCAGAATGTCCAGACCAAGATGTAGGCAAGCGAGTTTTGGTACTATCGGAAAGCAACTGTAGAAATCGAACATGTCTATGTCGGTCTTGTTGAGTCCGCACGCCTCGAGTCCAGCGTCCAAAGTGCGACTGATTGCAGGACTAGAGTGGAAGCTTGGTCGTTCCCAGAAGTTGTCGCTGTCTTGTGTGCCTGCTCCTCCAAGCACATAGATCCATCTTTCTTGGGCGATGCCTAACTCGCGAGCATATGAGACTGATGTCAGGATCACTGCTCCGGCCAAGTTGATCGTGTTGAAAGCATTCATCAAAAGAGGGTCTATTCAAAGTCAGTCTTGCGCAGCCAGGGGTTTGACTAGACGTACANNTGGAGAACAAATCATGCGATTTTTGCTCGAGACACGGCCAATTGCGTCTTCCGTTTCTGGCGTCCGAGGAAAGTTCCATGCCAGTGGGTTCTTGTTGGCGACTTGAGCAAACTCAGCATACAACTTCGCACTTTCAGTATTGTTATCTTCCAAAGACTGGCCCCTCTGAGCACGAAGACCGTTCTCGAAGAGGGGATATACTTGGATGGGTGCTCCGATCGTGTGTTTTGCTCCAATACCTTTAGCCATTTCTCTGGTTGAGGGAGCGAACACTTGGGTGACAGGCGTCTCAACAGGAGTCCAGTTTGGTGGTGGCATGACTCCTGCTTTCGCACAAGCAGCAAGTGATGCTAATGCCTCGCCTCCAGTGACTACAGCCACCTTCGTCTCTCCGTTTGCGATTCTACGAGCTGCTTCGTCGACCAGCTTAGCAGGTTGACTACCCGCATGTGGAGAGCAATAGGTGTGGTTAGGCCGTGTGCCGAGTCTCTCAGCGAGCAAACCAGGTAGATCCGGATATGGCCACGTCCAAGTGCGAATGACATCTATACTGTCGATTTCTGACTTGAGGTCTGCGACGACTTGTGTTGATAGGCCTGTGTCTCGCAAGGCAATCGAAATGGCATCAAGCATCAGCTCAGCCGGCTCTGCGGCATGATGGACCGCAAGATTGCGGTTGATGATGTCGCCTACACCAACGAGGATTGGCGTTTCAGCCATAGTCTTTGGCGGTACTCAAAGTTTGTATTGGCAAGTTGGATAGTGACTGGACAGATGGAGAATAGAATGTCAGGACGGTCGAAGTGGAGAAAGCAGGATGCCGAGGTCTGAAGCTTGGTGCACAATACCCACGTTCAAGAGCGGACACGACAACCACGGAGAGCCATGATTACTTGCAACAGTCTTTGTAGAAACAGCACTGATGCCGGGTCAATCGTGTACTTCTACGACTTACAGTTCTACCGCCATCCTCGAAGAAGGACAATTCAGGAGTGTTAGGACATGGGCACGAGAGATAGCAATACTGGTTGCTTGAGCCCCGAAGATCGAGCGGTATTCCCATGATAGCGCAGTCTTGCCATTACAGAAGTGTCTTCAATTGGAGTGCACCTCGACAAGCAAAGTGGCTGGTAATAAAGTATTGATGTTGGAGCAGCTCGGGGGTGAGTTGCGGAAGCGGCGTCTTTGGCCGCGGCAAACGCCGGGGTAGACAGCATGGCGATGATGGGTGAAGGCTGGAAAAAGATCCTAGACAATCACATCAACAGTCACAGCCATGATGATGCCCAGTAGAGGACTGGCGGGTGCCGTCCGTCAAGGCGCCCGTCTCAATCGCAGATTTGTATGTTCTAGCTAGGAACGCACCTAGCAAAACCTACAAGGACAAATTGGACTTACTCGACTAGNNATATCCACTCCTTCGAGGCCACTGGCTGCACTCAGCTCGCGCTCGACGAGTCGCATCTTTCAGGGCTCCGTCATCTCGCTCGCCGCACATGCTCGTCTTGCCTCGACATCGGCTCCCGCTGCAGCTCCCACCGCCACGACCGCTCCTCCACCCACATCCGCTACCGATGCTCTCGCGACCGACAGCAACCCTTTTGACATTAGCGACGCTACTGATTATGCCAACCTGCCCGAGAGACTCGGCTTCTTGAAGGATCTCGGTCTGGACTACGGCTGGGGACCGACTGCTGTGATTGAGTGGTCGCTGGAACACGTTCATGTCCTCTCTGGTATGCCTTGGTGGGGTTCCATTGCCGCAACCGCCTTCCTCTACCGTCTGGCTCTGGTTCCCATGTTTATGAAGGCGAGCGAGAACGGTGCCAAGATGCGCGCAATGCAGCCCATTACAAAACCCATGAACGAAAAGATGATGGATGCCATGAGAAACGGCGACAGAATCACTGCCATGCAGATGCGCCAGGAGATGATGGCCATCAACAAAGCTGCCGGCGTCAGCACTATTGGCATGCTCGTGCCCAGTGTCGTACAGGGTGTCTTTGGTTTCTGCGCCTTCCGTCTGCTGCGTGCCATGTCCAACCTCCCTGTTCCTGGTCTTGAGACCGGTGGCCTCCTCTGGATTACCGACTTAACTCAGACCGATCCATACTTCCTTCTGCCTGCCATCATGGGTGGTACCCTGCACATGGTCATGCGTATGGGAGGTGAGACCGGTACTCCCATGAGTGAGTCCGCCAGACCTTTCTTGCTATATGTCTTCCCTGGTATCGTCTTCATCACTACCGCCTGGCTCCCTGCCGCTCTCAACGTCTGGCTTTGTACTACTGGTGTCATGGGCATGACCCAGGTCCACCTGTTCAAGCGCCCTGAAATTCGTCGCATGTTCGGTCTGACTCCCATGGTTGACGCCGAGCAAGCCAAGCGTGATGCTGTGGCCGCTGGACTAGTCAAGGAAGAGACCAAGACTATCGACGTCAAGGCAAAATCATACCCTGCCGATCAGAGACCTGTATACCAAGCACCCAACGTTAAGTTCGCCACTAGCTCTGCACCTGCCAAGCAGACTGCATCCTCTACAGCATCTCCCGATGCTGTGCTTCAGGCCNCTCAGAGTCCCTTTGACAGCGTCAAGGCAAAAGGCTTTGGTCTGTTCAACAAGGCCGGCAAGTCATGGGAGACCATGAAGGAGGGCTTGAACGATCAAGTTACCAGAATGCGTGGAGCAAACAACAAGCCAAAGAGTAAGACACGCTCTGCCGAGTTCATGAAGAGCGCCGAAGACTACGAGCGCAGATGGCAAAAGTACAACAAGAAATAAGCCATGTCAACTGTACATATACGACAAAAACTCTCTGCACTTTATGGCGCAATATCGGAACATTGGGTGGGGATATGATGGGTGTGTTTCTACTGTAAACTTGTAAAAATAGGACATGGATTTATCTCTTTATTTCTTGTCGACGCTTCCGCTGGATTGTGCATGTTGTTAGACACAATCAGCCAGTCATATTTTCTGCATAAGTCGTGCACAATCTCCCCCGCGAAGTCACATGCGAGCTATGACGATGATACGACGAACGCGTCTTGCCATTCCAGCTTGTCTTTCACTCACACAATATTCAGTTCTTCTTACTTGCTGAACTTGGAATGCTACCTCTACAACTTGCTGGCACATCGTAACACGTCCGCAAAAGCGCGTCCATCATGTCGACCAGCATCGCAGGTCCAGTAACAGTGTTATCTTCCACAGTGCTGCGCTTGGCCACTTATGTCTTTCTCCGCTGGGTTCGCTTACTCTTGCTAGAAGCTCCGGGCGCTCGCTAACTGTACTCCCAGATCCCTGGCCATGTTCGTTGCAACTCATTTCGAATGATATTCAAGTATAGTACTAACATACTCAGGNTTGCACCTCCTATCATTCTGACCGCATTCGCTATCTATGTCACATCATTCTTCTATCAATTCACTCACACAAGTCCGTATGAAGTCGTGGCAGATGAGCTTGATATCATCACTAGGGACACGATTGATCGCGACGACAGTGATGATGAGTTGCTCATCGACCCCGAGACTGAGGAGCCTCTTCAGGAAATCGACGTTCAAGAGACTATTGTGGTCGAAGAGAAGGATCCCAAGGTTCTGCGCAGTCTGTTGACTGGACTGCCGAGCCCCAGCTCGCTCTTCTGGTCTGCTGTAACCTTCTTGACTAACGTCGCTCTGCTAGCCATGGTGGCTGACATGGTCTACCGCGCACCGCTCTTCCATCCTTCTCACAATCTTTCCTTCGTACGTCTTGGTCACGTCTCTGAGAACAGCGCAAAGCTTCTAGTCAGAGAGCCACGTACATCCGAACACNCCCTGCGCATGAGTTACAGATACGCAGGTGAATCACCTGACGATGGTATCCGTGATCACGACGCTAGCTGGAAGCACNCTCAAAACGCCATCGATGTCGACGAGGGCACCGACTACACTGGTATCTTCCATTTGACTGGACTCAGACCTGACACCACGTACCAATACGCGGCATCAAACAACCACACTGGCTTCTTCGTCACGGCGCCCAGAATTGGACGCACCGCTCCTCGTAACAACGATGTCTTCACTTTCCTGCATTCGTCCTGCATCAAGCCCAGATTTCCATACAACCCGTTGCAGCACCCGCTCGAAGTTCCCGGCTTCAAGCATCTGGCCAGACTTCTGCCATCGCTGAAAGCTCATTTCATGGTCTTCATGGGAGACTTCATCTACGCCGACGTGCCCAAGCGTTTTGGGACCGATGTCGAGACATACCGCAGGGAGTACCGTCAGGTGTATTCTTCGCCCCAATGGGAGTCGGTGAGCTCAGAGGCTAAGCTGCCTTGGATCCACGTCTTGGATGATCATGAGATTGCAAATGACTGGGACAAGAACACGACTGGAGTCTATGAAGCTGCGGTCGACCCATGGCACCACTATCAAGCTTCTGTCAACCCCGAACCAGTTCGTCCTGGTGCGACCTACTTCAGCTTCAACCAAGGACCCACGTCGTTCTTCATGATCGATACTCGCCGCTACCGTGAACCTTTCGACGGCACTGACGGCTCTTACAACAGCACTCAAGCCGAGACTGGTTACAAGAAGAGTATGCTCGGCGACCAGCAGCTCAAGGATCTTCTCGATTGGCTTGCAGCTCCTGTCCCTAATGGTGTCAGATGGAAGGTCGTCGTCTCCAGCATTCCGTTCACCAAGAATTGGCGCTTCGGAACCGAAGACACTTGGGGTGGGTACCTGGGTGAGAGACAGATCATTCTGGAAGCCATGTGGGATGTCGGTCTTCGTGGTGGTGTCGGAGTTATCGTCCTTAGTGGCGACAGACACGAATTTGCTGCCACCTCTTTCCCACCACCCACCGAAGATAAAGTTACCGGCCTCGATGCAACGACAGGCAAGCTAAGAACAAAGAAGTGGCCCGTCAGCGCGACAGTCCATGAGTTCAGCGTCAGTCCACTCAGCATGTTCTATCTTCCCGTCCGCACGTACGAGCAGACCGACAACGACGACGTGTGTGTTAAGTGAGTATCCGGAACATCTCAGATATCCCAGCAACTGCTGACTCGTAACAGGTACATGCCCGACGGCAACTCGAAGTTCGGCGCTCTTAGTATCAGCACGCCACTCACGTCTGACCAATCCGAGCTCAAGTACCGTCTGTTTATTGACGGCCAAGAAGCATGGAGCCACAAGATTCTTACTCCTCCCGTGGTTCATGGCAGTGGCCGCGGTAAGGACGCACTGTGGGGTTGACTGGTTTACGCAATGAATGATGATTATGATGGTAGCAAAATACCGCGCTTCTGCTGGTTCTCACCCATGGTGAGCGAATGATTTTACCTGTACGCAAGGGGCTTTAGTTTTCGTGCTTTCAGTATCTTTTTCAAGAAGTATTGATTTCCAATAATTATACATATCGTCCAGTCCTTTGCTTGCGATAATGGTCTTATGGTGTTATGCTATGCTGATCGGCTAATCTTTCCTATTCATATGTGGTCAAGAGATGCCTCGGCTCGTCTTTACCACCTGCAAGCTCTCCAGCCTCCCCTCCTGTTTTCCAGCCTCATCAGCCTCAGAACAATGTCGCAACCACCTGATCTTGCCTTTGCCAAAGGACTGCCTAAAGTAGAGCTTCATGCTCATCTGTCAGGTAGCATCAGTAGAAAATGTCTTCACAACATATGGCTGCGGCAAAAGACCAAAAATCCTTCATTTGATCTGGACGACCCATCGACAGCTATGCCGAGCGCCGCAGATGGCGAAATTGATGTTGTCAGGTACACATACAAGCGAGCTCTCAACTGCACAGACAGTCTAACACGAAATCACAGCTTCTTTCCCATCTTTGACAAGTATATCTATGCTTTGATATCTGATGAAGAAAGCATACGACACGCGACCACTTCTGTCCTGGAAGACTTTCAAGACGATGGAGTCTGCTACTTGGAGCTTCGGACTACGCCGCGCGCGATCCCGGATGCTGGAGTCAGTAAAGAGGAATACGTTAAAACTGTCTTGCAGGCCATGAACGACTTTAAGGCATCGTCAAAGCAGGATATCAAGGGAGCTCCTCATTACGACAAGCTGCATGCAAAACTCATCTTGTCAATAGACCGCAAGAATACGCTTGAAGAGGCTTCTGAAGTTGTGCGTTTGGCTCTCAAGTACCGTCACCTTGGGATCGTGGGAGTGGATCTTTGCGGCAACCCAGCGAACAAGCCCATCTCTCATCTCGCACCAGCTTTTGCCGAAGCTCGAGCTCAAGGTCTTGGTATCACGCTGCACTTTGCAGAGATTGCTCAAGAAGATTCCAGCGAGCTTGAAGAAATGCTATCATGGCAACCACAACGACTAGGCCACGTCATCCACGTTCGCGAATCACTTCGAAAAACAATCACAGAAAACAAACTCGGACTCGAGCTTTGCCTTACCTGCAATGTTCTTTGCGGACTAAGTCAAGGCGGCTACGCAGCTCACCATTTCGGCGAGTGGTGGAGTGCTGGTATACCCATTGCTTTGTCTACTGACGATGTTGGCATCTTCGAGTCGACGCTTAGCAATGAATATATGCTTGCTGCGACCAACTTTGACCTTGATAAAACGGCACTAGTGGAGCTTTGTAGAGGGTCGGTGGATACGATCTTTGGGGGAGAGGGTGAGAAGGAGAGGATTTCGGCGTTGCTTGTGGGATTTTGGTCGTCGTCTTGTGTGGGCAATCTTCGGCCATGAGGATGATAAGTAGGCATGACTACCATACGATATCAGAGGTTTGAGTCAGATATGTTCGGAGGAGCATGATTCTTCGCTACTTTGCAAGTTCAAGCAAGATAGTTTGAAAGCACATGAATTCGCGAAGAAATGACAAGAACCAAGTGAAAGAGAAAGCAACAGATAGAATCGCCGCTTCCGCTTCACTACCCAGCACGTGTTCTCTTCGTTGCCTTCTTCTCACTTGGACACTGCCGATGCCAATCCCGTTGGCGGTCACTTACTTCGTCAACATCTGTCATCCACAACACCCACCAATCCGGAGTTTCATTATCATCGTTGAGAGTTTCCGTGTTTCGCTCGAGTACAACGCATTCTCCTCCTCGTCAACCAATGCCAAAATATCTGGGACCTCCTGACACAGGAATGAGGGCGACATTGGAAGTCAATGTTCTCCATCGCTTCTGAGACTTCACACGTCAGCTGAACATTGTGATCACTAGACTGTAGACAACGTGCGTTGCCGAGTCTCAGCACTCAGTACTCGAGTATCAATACTCCGTTATCCATCACCTCGACGACTTTCACATCCTTTCCAACACTTCCTCCTTTCACATCATACAACACATTCTTCTTTCTGTCAACCAAGATCTTACCTTGGACCACACACTCACACCTTTTCTTCACAACATCCGTTCTCCAATCATGACGCAAGAGGACTATAGCAAAAACATCTGGACGGCCGCAAGATTCTGGTAAGATCTGCAGGCTCCACACTTCTCTTCGCCTACTGACAAGGTGTCAGTGAGCTCCCTTGCGGACGAGCCAGAGACGATCACACTGAAGTCTACACACAAGAAGAAGCCAAAGCCATTCATCGTCAACAAAGCCTTGCTGTGTCATTACTCTCCCCTCTTCGAGGAATTGTTCACCGGAACCTGGAAGGAGAGTTATGAACACAAGACCGAGTTTGAGGTCGATCTTTGGCAAAGCGAACTCCGACTGTTCTGTGGCTGGCTGCAAACTGGACGCATATTCGCTTACCCTCACGAGTTTGGGACCGAACCCATTGTCCGACTCTGGACTTAGGGCGACTACATCGGATGCCTGGCTCTCATAAGAGAGTGGTAGAGAAGGACTAGCAACCTACAGTGCTGTCATGCTTGTGTATGATATGATCTGAGAAAGGGAGCAAAATGAGCTGGAAAGCAGTCATGTGTGCAAAAGAAATTGTCGCAGCCGTGAATCGAACACGGGGCTCGTGCATGGCAAGCACGAATTTTACCACTAAACCACTGCGACTAATACGCGTTCACGTGATATTAGAGGGTTTGCGCAGAGCATATATGTCTGTTTACGCAACATCGTTTCAAGCGCAACATTTGCTTAGGATGGCGAAATCTGCCCACATATCTAATAGTCACCCTCCCAGAAGTTTGCGGCTCCAACAAGGTCATCGGCGTTAATGAGATAGGAGTTTTCGTCCCAGAGAAGACGCCAGATGGCGTTTCTGTCCTTGATGGGCCAGTTGGGAGTTTCCNNTGAGGATTGTGTCAGTACATGTAAAGAGATGAGCAATGCGCCCAAACTCACCCAATATCTGGTTTGAATTCCTTTGGCGGCTGCGTAGCTAATTTGTCCACGCAACTTGGCTAATATAGTGTCGTTCAGCTTGCCATCCTTTGGCCAGCCGAACGACTGCAAGAAACTAGTACTTGCGATGGGAGAGAGGAATTGAGTGATGTTTGAGTTTGCCGAGCTGTTCAGGGTAGATAGAGGTCCGTCGAAGAAGTAGTCGCGGTTGTTCTGGCTTTCGACTTGGTCTCTGGGNGTGTTACCGGTTCCAATCACAGTGACAGTACCATTGGTGATTCCGGTTCCGTTGTACTTGGTGAGCCAGCCGCCCTGACGGAGGGGCTCGAGCGCCTTGACGACGTAGGGCCAGGCTTCACTGCCGTTGGTCTTGACATCAACCCACAGATAAAGAGTTTGACCGGCTGCTGTGTCGAAAACGCCGTTGTGAGTAGGTGTCGTCACAAAAGGAGAGCTAGGGTTCTGCTTCTTGAGAACAGAAAGAATAGGCTGAATGTAGAGGGAATCGAATGTGCGTGCATGTGTCAATGCAGACTGCTCGTGTCCAACCTGCTGTGCGTGAGTAGCGATCCAGAAAATCAGAGTCGTAGATCTGTAGCCATGCAGATGGTATCGATCTCGAGCGAGATTACGTACATAAAGTGTACCATTGTAAAGCCACACATCTGCCTCCACTGAGGCGACACCATTGGAAAGAGCGGTCCAGAATGGCTTAGCACGNCTGGGAAGTGGTTAGTGTATTAAACAAGGTACGTGACAGACATGATCAGGACGCACCCAGTAGTCATTGTGAGAATGAATGTTTTTNGGCATGATTCCCTGAGTCAAATCGGTGGGATAAGTATACAGAGAGCTGTTGCTGACAGCGAGGACATTCTGGATATCCTGTGAAAGAGCAATGTCTGACTGGCCGAGAGCGAATGGGGCTGCAAGAAGGAATAGTGTCGCAAACATGATGATTAACGATAGCAGGATGGTTAACAATATTTTGATGAGAGGGCGCATAATCAAGAGGAAATAGGTTGCATCTTATATCTTCACAGATTGCGGCTTCGAGATGGACGGCAAGATTGATGAGAAAGCGTATTGAACCAGGATGACGCTCTTCAGAAGCAAGACCAATGAGAAACTCCACGTGCCTGGACAGAAAACCTGAGGAAGGTGCACCGACGCACGACTGTTTGATTCTTTGACCGCCACGAGTCTGAGCGAACGGTTCTGAGTGGAAGACGACACGAGCCGACATTCTTGGCTGCCGATCATGGACCCTCAGACCGAAGCCACTTTCACTTCGTGCCGGGCACAACCCTGCTTGCTATGAGCACCCCTTGATTCATATGCATTCAACCAGCTCTGATAAGGTATAACACAATGCTGTTGAGATACGAGACGCGTTCACAGAGTTTGGTTGCTTCCCAATTCATGGTATCCGACGACGCGTGAGTTCTGAGAACGTGCCTTGATGTTGCACTCAAATGCCATCACGACCTCAGCAACTTTTAACAGGGAGCTTCGAGAACCACGCTTTGCAATTGCACTTGCCACCCAGTTTGCCTACGGCTGCGATATTTTGCTTAGCTTTTGTAACCTCGATCGAAATGTTTGTAACCCGATAGAAGGAGCCTATGACGTGCTTGAAAACAGGCTGCATGGAGTACAGACGTACTGTCTGACTCACGAATTACCAACAGAAAGGTCGCATACATTCTACTCCCATCAGAGACTGTCTCTCAAAACAGGACTTGTGCAGCTGTATCGTTGAGTCTTGAGAGATTTTATCTTGCTGGAGTCATGTTTACCTCGATCATCTGTTACGAGTCATGCCAGAGCTTGTGAGCTCATCCCATGACTAGTAAAGATCCATGACTTCCGCATCCGGATAGCAACGGCCCGAGGTGTCGAGCGAAAGCGAAGGACACAAGGAAAGAGTCGATGTCGAGCAGCGTACGAAATCACGAATGAGAGGTAGCTGCGATGTGCTCAAATAATACTCGAATCAGAAATAGAAGTCGCCAACCAACGTCCATGCCAATCAAAGAGTAAAACGCGGCGTCGAGAACAATAGATTCATCAACCACAAGTCCAAAAGTTTGCGCGTGCGGGCAGTCACAGACACGGCGCTTTCCAAACCTGAGCATCTTTGCGACAATCGTTCACACGTGTGCTCCTTCTTCCGCTATGATCGATGGACGGACTTGTTAACTTCATCGGAGGAGTCAAGCGGACTTTCGACACCATTGTAGGCAACGACACGGACACCAATGTAGGACGACGTGCTGCCAGTGAAGCAATGCAATGGACACTGACCCAGGCACCGAACAGGATGATGCCCAGCCGAGTGAAGGCAGTAGAGCAGAGTCGACATACCGCACGTCGACCACGAGGTACGCCCCCACCCGAAATCTTGTCGACTCGCACATCCTGACAATGTCTCGACAGTCCAGAAGTCCAGTCCCGAACCAAACGTCTACGCACACAAGTCGCTACGCAACCAAGACAGACCACGTCGCTGAGATAGTACGCCATACACGCAGCACATCCGGTTGCCCATCTGACCCAGTCATTCCAGCCCAGAGGAACATCCGCGAAGCAAAAGAGACCACACACAAATCAGCCCCCACCAAAGAAGGACCGCCTCGTCAGAAGAGTATGCCGCATCCAATCTTTCGTCGACCTGCATCGTCTGACCATACTTCAGCTACCTAGAAAGACAGCCCAGAGCTCGACAGACATACGCGCAAGCAAGTCCGCATCAAGGACGAGGCCAGCAACGAACAAATCAAGGACGCGCAGTGCCCAGCGCCGATGAAAGAAGATTGTTCCAAGGACCATACCCGTATGCGCATTCAACTGTGCTCGACAACTGCCTTGACTGACACCGTCTAGGTCCACTGAAAGTTCTACCATAATTCCCATGCCACAGGACGAGTGGGCTTCCGCGAGTAACATGAAAAAGAAAACCCCCAGGTGGCAGGAATTTCAAACCTGGAAACACTCTGAACCAATCGAGTCCTGGCGCAATTCCTTTAGCCACTGTGACCAGTCGAGGCGCAAATGTCTCTGAAAACGCTGCCAAACGTCAAAAGACAGGTCACGAATTTCCGCAAAATGACCTCGATGGCATGTCAGATATTGATTTTTGGAATCGCGGTATGCAAGACCAGCCTCCGGCCACACTTGCAAGACAGCCGAGCGTCATCAGCCTCAACAGTCAAAGTCAAGAGACCCCCAGTCAGAGAGCCAATGCTTTCCAGCACAACGAGATCCGGAATGTACACGGGACATTGAACTACAGCAAGAAGAAAAGTCGCAAGCCCAAGCCTGGTGAAACACAGCCGAACTCGCCGCCACACCAACACGGAACCCTCACTGACCCCGTTTCTGTCGACGATAACGACGACGTTCAGATTCTTGAAGGGCCGCGTGACCCGCCTCGGTCTACCCTCCAGACAGTTGTTCAGGAGTCACCTCGTGTCGAGGTCAGTGGCTATTTCAGCAAGAATACAAGGGTACCAGAAACCAGAGTCCAGGCCAAGCCTGCTGTGCAGGTTCTCGATCGCGTAGAAATCCCAACGTCTCGCTCACCACGCCTGGCCGCGACCTTTGTGAGAGACGAGGAAGAACCTGATCAGGTTCCAGCGCCTCACCAAGCTCAGCCGAAGATGAGAGACAGGATGCAGCCGACATCGAATACTGCCCGTACCGTCAAACATCAACCATTCGTCGAGGATTTGAGTGAGGATGAATTGTCACGCGGACCTACGGTGCAATCATCCGCTCAAAAGCCGAGGCGCACCGCACCCCAGCGATTGCCATCTCCAAATGATATCAATCCTACGCAGTTCACGACGAAGGCACGACGAAAGGTCGAGACCCGTGATAATATCAGAATTCTCTTGTCGTCACTACGTATGAGAGCCGGCAATTGGAAGCAGCTTTATCTCGTCTACTCTTGGGAACACAAGGCTATGCAATTCGACAAGAACGGTGAGGCACTCTTCTACAACGGTGTGAAAATCCAGCTCGGAAGTCAACACGCTCAGCAAGTATTCTGCAGTACGGAGAGCTCAGCTGCCGTCATTCTGGTTGGAGCCAATGATAACGAAGTCTCGCGCGGTCGGATCTGGTTTGAGTTCTCTACCACAGATGACTGCGATTTGTTTCTAAGAGCCGTTGATCATATGAACAGTAAAGCTACAGTCAGGGATTTTGACACGTGAGTCATGTTAATCACGCTAATATTTAATGCTAAAAATCCTACAGGCNACAAATTCGCAAATGTTTGCAAAGCTTCGGAGACGCATCTCACGCCAGCAGCCGAGACAACTGATCCCGAACTGGAAGCGATGAGCCATCGTCAAGGCAGGAACACAATCAGAGAGCGGGCATTGGCGGCACAGAGCGGATACCGACTTTCTGAACCTACAGGCCAAACACCCGCGCCACGAATGACTCGCAGAATGAAATCTGACTACGCCAATGAACCAACCATTAAAGCAGCACCCGACCTTTCTTTGCCTCCGCCCACACCTCGTATTGATCAAGGCACGCCTGTGAGGAGTAGCCGAAGACTCAAGAGCAAAGATGGTGGTAAAGTCGGACATGCTTCAGAGCCGGAGGTCGAGCGATGGACTGTAACACATGGTGTTCCCAAGTGGGACGCTCCGCTGACATATCCCCCTGCTGGAACAAACAGAACTACGGTTGACGCTGATGACATTGCCCGATTGGACGATGGCGAGCTACTCAACGATAATCTTATCTCATTCTGTCTGCGAGAGATGCAGGAGAACAATCCGGACTTGAAGGGCAAAGCTCACATATTCAATTCGTTCTTCTATTCCTCCCTCACCACTTTACCATCGGGAAAAAGAGGGTTCAACTACGATGGTGTCAAACGCTGGACAAGACAGATTGACTTGTTTAGCCATCCATTTGTTGCCGTCCCTATCAACACTAACTACCACTGGTTTCTAATCATCATCTGCAATCTCGACAAGCTTGAACGAAAGCTCAATCTGGATGGTCTTGGAGACGAAAAAGAAGAGCCTGAAGCTGAACCACAGCCGACCGTTGAGGAGCCTACACAATCTCAAGCGACAGTGCAGAACGACATCGAGATCCCTGAATCGCCCCAGGAGGCCAAGGACGATGGTCTATCGCAGGGAGTGAAGCGCATTTCTCTGGATGCATCTCAAGAAGAGGAAGAGGAATTTCCTCCTCTTGGCAAGTTGAAGCCAGCTCCCCGCAAGGGTAGAAAACAGGCACCGCCTTTGCCAAAGATGGACCCAAACACGTATGTATCATCATCTATCGCTCAAGGCGATAAATTTATGCTGACAAAGAACAGACCTGCCCTTATTCTTCTCGACTCCTTGAGCGGCACACACGCTTCAGAAATCAAGAATCTGAAGCAATACGTCGTTCATGAAGGTCGCGACAAGCGAGGTTTGGAATTTGAATATACCGAACTCAGAGGACTGACAGCTCGCGGTTTGCCTCAGCAAACGAACTTTTGTGATTGCGGCGTGTACTTGATTGGTTACATGGAGGCCTTCTTGCGCGATCCTACAGAGTTTGTGCGCAAGGTCATGTCTCGCGAACTTGATCACAACAACGACTTTGCCAACTTTGATCCCTCGAAGAAACGAGCAGAGATTCGTGAGAGATTGATCAAGCTCGAANGAAGAGCAGAGTGCCGCCAAGAAGCAAAGGAAGAAAGAGAAGGCGCGTCTGCTGAAGATGACCAACCAGGAAAACAGTTCCCAGAGTCCAGCTCCAGCTCCGACTCCTACTCTTAAGCAAATGAGCTCGCCAATGAAACCGCCTGAGGCGCAAACAGACTCTAGGATGGTCCAGAGCTCGCCCATGAAGCCGCCGCCGCCGCCGATGCACAAGCCGAGCCCTTACAAGTCAAGTCCCTACAAGCCGTCATCGGCTCGAAGATCTCTCCGGTGGTGGAGCGATCCATCAAAGACGAGATGTTGTTTGGCGGTGACGATTACAACGACGACGAAATCAGTGAGCATGCCAGATCTCACGCTCATGACAACTACAGTCATGGCCAAAATGGCATGACCCACGATCAGCGAAACTCCTTCAGATCGCCAATGGCGTTTGAAGACGAGCTTCGGCAAGCCGTCCAATCCTGCTCCGCAGGTAGACTGCGAAGAGGTACAAGAGTTTTAGTGGCAAGTGGCATGAGACAAGCCTCTTGTGCAAATACTGCATTTCACCACCATTCTCATGAAGTACCAAAAGGACGACAGCGTTTTTTTCTTGGGGCTTTGCAGAGCCAAGACCCTTGCTGCTGTGTCCATATCGAGACGACTTTTGCTAGAAAATGAACATACTTTTTCTTCACGTTTTTTGTGGTCCAGGTCCTGCATGCGAGACGCACCGGGCAAGTAGGATGTACCTGATCCATATAAGCGCAAAGTTGTAAGCTTGTAGATTCCAAACACTCGTGCTGTCCGACCATAGTATACAGTAGTACTGAGAGACGTAGAGAATTAGTGTAGGCCAGGTAAAGAAGAGTAAGCGAGCCGGATACACGACCGCATTCCCCGTCCCACACCCGATGAATTTGTGGGACCATCTTGGTGAAAGTACATCTTCAAAGGTCAAAAATCAGGTATATGTGTTGTAACTCACAAGGATGATGACAGTTTACTTTGTCGCTCATACTTTCTTGTACATCTATCCATTCCTTGAACGACACCTTGCACTTGACAACTTTTACTATCGGAGTTTAGAGAGAAAAGGAGCTGCTGAACGTCGAATAAAATACATATTCTTGGGCAGATTTCTCATAGATAAGACTTCAGGTCACGAAGTCGTTCTCAACCTCAAGGGGGAAAAAATGCAAAGAAGTATGAAGTACATCAGAACAAAGGGCTTACAAAAGACAGTCAACTTTACAGTTTGATGCAATATAGAGTGAAAGCAAGTGTGAGTTGGCAAAAGAATGTATTGCAAAGGTCTTGTGGGGTCTAAGTATGTCTAATCATGATCTCTTTAGTGTCCATGCTTTCTTGGTGTCTTCGTTGTGTCGTGTGTGTTTGTCTGAGTGATTAGACAGCGCTCTTCAAGGGCTCGCCGTCGTTGCTCTCCTGCTGTTTCAGTTTCTCGTGCTCCTTGCTGAGATCCTGGGCGATCTGACCGTTGCCGAATCTACCGCCAGTGGGGTCAATGATTTCCTCGTCGTCCCAGCCTTGTTCTGTTTGCAAAAGTATGTTAGTCTGATTTCAATTATTCTGGGACGTGAAGAGGAAGCACTTACCCTCAGGCTCACCGCCAGACCACATGGCAAGCTTCTCCTTTCTGAAAGCGGCGTAGTCCCACTCCTTGTCTTCGAGTTGCTCGACCTTGGCAGTCCAGATGTATGTCTGCGTCTCCACTTCCTCGCCCTCGACATTGCCGCTTCCAGTTACTTCATCGCCTCCGCTGGTCAACAGCTTCACACACACAGTGCGCAGAGAGTACTGGCTGCCCTCGAACATGTCCAGNCGGTAGATGTCACCGTCGGTGAGGCCGGTGACGTAGGTGCCGCGAACCGAGTGGCCTTTTTCGGGGATGACGCCGGGGTAGTCGCAGTGCTTGACGCGGGAGCGCTTGTGGTCGTGGAGGATGGCGGGNGTTTGGGTGACGGTTTGGATGTTGTAGCGGCTGGTTGAGGAGGTGCCGAAGATGACGTTGTAGAGGACTTCTTGGGCCATCAGGGTGCCTGTTTTGGAAGTAGATAGGTCAGTCCGGTGATTCTGTGGTAGAAGGAAGTGGGATCAAAGAAGTGGACCAGGAGAGGTGGATTGAGAAAATTAGATTCTTACCATAGAAGAAAGCGGTACGATCGCCCATCTTGGATTGTGCGCGCTTGATGCGTTCTTCGAAGGTGTAGTCGATAGGCAGGTCGTCTTCCTTGTTGCGTCCCTCCTCGGTGTAGTCGAGAGGCAAGTCGTCTTCCTGGTTTCCGTATAACTTCATGACGTCAGGTTATGGATGTAACAGAGAGAATTGTAGTGGATAGAGATGGAGATACTCCCGGCTGATGGGAATGTGATGGACGAAAGATACGTAGAAGGAGAAGACCTACATTGATATATGCTGAGGAAGGGGCTAACCAACACTTCTAGAAGGTGCCGGACGCAGCAAACACCAGGTTCCCAAGACACAGAGACTAAGGATTATAGTAAATAAGAGACCTACAATGAATGTTGAGTGTTGTCTCTGACTTTCTTTGTTAACGGTGATGTAGCAAGATGTAGAACCGCGATAAGACATACGGCGATAAGACATGCTCGCCAAGCTGTGGCTTGATGTGCGTGTGGCGCTCATGAGGCTCTGCGTAGGGCTGAACGCTCTCGACTTTCAACAACCTTTCTCTGACGACCCCTGATAAATTTGCGACACTTTCATACTCTCCCTTTTCTCACATTTTGTTGTTTGCGGCCAAGTGTTCGATTTTCTGTCCAGGACTTCAATGACGCTTATCTAACGATCAATTCCTCACCATCTTTCGACGTCTATCTTTTGGGAAACAGTCAACGACAAGCTCTTACGCCAAGCACTAATCTCTTGGACCCTCAACCCATTGGTATCCATCTGATCAGACGAGCACATACCGAAGAAAGGGACAAGGCAGAAACCACTTCAACAACAGAGAACAAGAGCGAGCTACCATGGGTCTCATTTCTTGGCTGATCACACATCTTGCTCCTGTCTTTCTTGCAACGTCGCCTGTGACCAGCTATGCCGATCAGATCTATTCTATCCATCGTACGAGGTCCTCAGCCGGTTTCTCTCTCGACATACCCCTCATTATGCTGGTAGCGTCAATCTTGAAGTAAGTCTAATATGTGTCAAAATTGAGCTTAAACACACTCAGCATAAGAGATCAGGTAACTAACAGCGGGTCACAGANNCTATACTATTGGCTTGGAGCACGCTTTGATTTATCTCTTCTCTTGCAAGCTGGTTTGATGGTTATTGTCCAACTTGTCCTCCTGCGAGTTGCTCTGCAGAACCGTCCACTCGCCAGTGCTGCCAACAACATCCATCAGCCATTTGCAGGATCCAGAGAAGGTGATACTCACATCAAGCGGCCTTTCGACTTTTGGCAATGGAAGCAAGCAAAACCATACTGGATGTTCCTGGCGTACTTCAGCGCAACCTTATCGGTTCTCCAGATCTTGTTTGGCCGCATGGATTCCTACGTCGCACTTCAAGGTTATGTGGCTTTGGGGATTGAAGCTACGTTGCCCTTGCCCCAGATCATGTCGAATCAGAGAAACCGCAGCTGCAAAGGCTTCCGTCTGAGTGTTCTCGCAAACTGGCTGTTGGGTGATGCCATGAAGATGTCTTNNTTCTTCTTCCTTGCTGAGAGCACGATCCCTTGGTCATTCAAGCTCTGCGGTATCTTCCAGGCATGCTGCGATTCGTACCTTGGAGTACAGTACCTGATGTTCGGCGAAGGACCAGTGGATAGCATCGATGGTCTGGTAAAAGAGATGAAGAATTTGAGTTGAGGAGCTATCATGCGATGATACGTTACTGGAAGAGGACCATGATATCGTTGAGCACAAGCCTGCCCAATCCTGGTGGAGGGCAGCTCAAAAGTGTGGAACGTCTTGGATATTTGCTGCAGCATCTCGGGCTATCATACTACGATCTAGCATATGGAGAGCAGTCTCTTTGAGGCGGTACATGTCTTCTATAGAATATAAACAACATACACGTAGGTGTCCATCCATAAGACACATCGCATGATGGCTTTCTCGGGTTCTATCAACTGTTCGCAGGAGCGCACCGGCAGCGCCGCACCGGTTGGCATGTTGGCTTCTGTGACTACCGCTTGCACCAGCTGTTGTCTGATCCACGTGGTATGACTTCGAAGCTCTTCCATCAAACCCTAATTTCCAAGCGATCAATCAAGCCCAATCAATCGAGCTCATAGCCGTTTAGTGAGAGCTGTTTGTTTTAGAATCAGAAAGTTAACGATTATGGATCGGTGCCACGATCACAAGAAGTGCAGTGAGTTCTCTCAGGGTCTTGGGTTCCCGTGGGTGTCGAGGTTCAATTCAAAGCAGAGCTCTCGTCCTTTCAGACCCTTGACTTTTGTCATCGTTGCATCTCAGGATGCAGCTTCCAGACTACTCTTGCCCGCTGCTTTGTGGTAGGTCTTGGTTGGAGCACCATGGCATGCCTTGTTACCTAATGACCGACCATGATACAACAGCTAGCGATCCCTCTAACCTGGCGATGAACATTCAATGGCAATCGACAACAGATCTTCCCTCTCAAGGAGTAGTCACGAATTCATGTGATGTTCCTCCGACTTACGCTACGGCAGAACCTCAACTTGGCATTCGTCGTGTGAACAGTGATCCAGGACCTGCCAGCGCCGGTTGGGGAGGTCCATACTCTTCCATGTACCAAGAATTCTCAAGCTCACACAACCCTATGCAAGAGTCGCAAATGTTCGAACAGCCAGCCGTCCAGCAGTTCCCACAACCAGGCTGGTTGCTATGCGGCCAGCCACGCTCCCAATCGTGTGACTTTCCGGATCATGATTCGAGTCTTCAACAAGAGTTTACCATGAATGCTCCACAGGAAGCTCAACACAATCGAGGTGAGATATATAGCAGTATTGAAGGCACTTCTGCTAACAATCGAACAGTCTATCCATATCCAGCACAGCAGTTCATGTCAGATGAGTTTGGTCCAGCGCGGCCGATCGCGCATGGACCAACAGGAGCGATTTCGGCCGCCAAGGATCAAATCACGACAGGCCACTTCCAACGATCAGATAAGATCATTCTCTATCCATCTACCCTCGGTTTCCCAAACCACGACTTCAACATGACGACTTTAGCATCATCACAGCCACAACCCTCGCCCTTCTACCCCAGCACCGTCCAAGATGGCCCTCCTGTCGCTGGATTCCGTCCGGCTGGAGAAGGCGCCCCTCAGCTGAAGAGGGGTTTTGGCTCGGTCGACAGCGCAATGGACGAGCAGTAAGTCGCTATCTTTTCCCGATCAATTCGTGAACAGAAACAGGGTAGCTGACAATGTACTTACACANGATCGCCCGTCTCAGCAGCGTCGCCCGAAGACGCACCACCCGGCAAGATGAGGATCCCAGCCTTGAAGCGTCCCCGCAACGACTCGACGGTCAACAATGGGCCGCTCAGCAAGGAAGTCGTCCTCATATCTCGACCAAAGCCTGGCCGCAAGCCCATGGCCGACCAGAACGACTCGACCGACAAGCGGAAGAACCAGAACAGGCAGGCACAACGCAACTTCCGCGACCGTCGTGCTCAGAAGTGCCAAGATCTTGAGATAGAGAATGCTCAGCTCAAGGCAGACGTGGCAGACTCTGAAGCCCAGCGGTCTGCCTTACTTGAGCAGCTGAGACAGCGCAACGCCGAGAATGCAGGCCTCGTGGCCAGAGAAGGAGATGCTGTTGCTGGGAAGGCTCAAGCCGACCTCGAGCTCCGCCAGGCCAAAGAGCGCATCATGGAGCTGCAGAGGGAACTTGGTACGTTTTGTATTCCATTTCTGCTACGTCGTCGTTTTCCTTCACTGCCTTTGCCTGAAGACGAAAAAAATCTCACGTGTGAAACCTGCTCGAGCCTTTACTCTATCGGGTGAGAACAGTACTGANTTTGTCCATTCAGATGCTGCCAAAGTCCATCATGCCAACGCCCATGCTTCTCACCCTCAGGTAATTGTTGCAATGCCTACTGCCCCGTAGAGGCCATCATGCTTACCCTGGCCCAGCGTTCTGTTGTTCCAAACTTTGTTTCATCTGTTCATCAAATCCTCACGCCACCGTCAGACAACGATCCGCACGACGAGTATGAAGTTGATTTCACTAACATCTATGCAACTCGCAAACCATCTGCGTTTGCATCTGGACTTGGTACAGACGAACACTGCGGTTTCTGCAGTGACGTCGAGAACTGCATCTGTCGTCAGCAAGAAGAGCTCAACAACAAANAAGCCCCCCCCAATCTTCCGCCTATTGACTTATCGCGTGCTACCGCTCAACCGAAACTGCCCTCTGATATCTCCACCCCCAGTTTTCTTGAGGCGCGAACCGAAGCTTCTGGTCCTGGTACCTGCGACATGTGTCTAGCTGACCCTGAAAAGGCAAGACAATGCAGAGAGCTTGCTGAAGTTGCTTTCCAACAAAAGGAGGCCGCGTCATCTCGCTCTGGGGATTCTGGCTCCAAGGACATGGGTACTGTCACCCTTCGACGTATCAAGCAGCTTGACTCAGCAAAACACAATGAGCGAACCTCGTGCTCTGACTTCTTTCAACAAGCACAGCAGAAGAACGTCAGGCTCAGACGAGACGACTACCAGCAAATCAAGCATGTGTATCGTCTCGACGGTCGATCCGAGCATTCTCCTTACATGGAGATGGATACTCGGGACGCTGCTCATGCTTTGGCTGCTCTTTCGCGACAAGACACCAGATCTGGAATGGACCGTCAATCTTAATCCGGGTGCGGTAATTCTGTTCATGATCAACGTTAAAATGATGTATTGTTGGAGGCGTTTTGAGGAGATTTCTGTTTTTTGTTTCTTAGAAGGCGTTTGTTGAGGTGCTGGTGCAACCTCACATGGTGTTGGCCTCTTCTGCCTTTCTTCACCTCGTTCATCTGTCGATGTTTGGTTACACTTTCTTATCTCTCGCTCTGTTCACTAGTGTCTATATCACGTCGAATCACAAGCTCTCAGATAAGATAATGGCTGTGCATGCCACGCATGTGTCGCTTGACAGTAACCGTGGAGCCGGCACTAACTTTGTCTACTCGCCAGGAAGTGTCTGTGACGAGATGTCATCTGGGGTCAATCTTTGCACGGCCTCAGGTCATCAAGATATGCCCTCTTTCTTGCAGGCAGTGCTCGAGGTTGTGTCTACCACCCCGCCTGGAGCTTCAACACATCATCCAATATGTCACTCGCATCCACACCTCCTGATTAGATTCAATTGTCTCAGCGGTCACGTACACTATCGACCACTGAAGACAAGGCCAAGAAAGCAAAGAGCTGGATTTTTTTACTTGCTGTCCTGTTGCCCCCTGCTGTTGCCTACGCATCCTGCCCTCCTGACATTCCAAGGTCTCTCATGATCTTTCTGAACTCCTATGTCTTTAATCCCCTTTTTGCTGTCTTTTCTTCTTGCTAGTCATGCTGGGTTCACAGCACAAGCCTCTGCAAACAATACAATCTCCCTGGAGAGATAGATACGTGAAGGAGGTGCAGTTAACCTTTGGGGACTCGTCCACATACTTCAATATATCTCCCCGCTTGTAGTTAAGGTACAGTAAGCTTCTTTTCTGCACGTGGGTAACCTTTTGCTAAACTATAAGGAGCAAAGAGCTGGGAGCATCAAGGCAACATCTTTCTGACTAAACTCAAGATTAGAATGTCTGCTCCACTTGTTGTCCTCGTTTGATTATAACGAGGTTTGATTGGAGAGGACATAAAATGCTGTGTCGTTTCCTTGGATATTTTGAGAGTTGTTTCTCTCGAGAGCATCTTACATACATGCAAATAATCTCCTGACTTCCATGTCACATCATCTTTGAATTCTCACAGATGAGCTGCGTGTATGATTTGGTTGGATACCAACATGCTCAGAGGCATCTTCTCGAAGTCAGAATAAACACTTGAGGCTTGGGTCGTCATTTGAGTCCAGGAACCATCGTCTTTTTTTTTTCCTTTTTCTCTCCAGATCTTTTATTTTGAGTCTGTGGTATGGGTAGAGGGAGCAGCTTTGATTCGAAGTTGGTTCGTACCTACCAACTTTTCTTGCACACGGCTTCCCTCCCATTCCTGCTCTTTCTGCTACGTCTTTGCTTTTGTTGTCTTTTCCACGCCTCTCGTATCTTCTTTCTCTCTGCATCTTTCTTTTCTTCTGTTTCTTTTTACATCTTCCTTTTCTTCTTAATTTCTTTTACACGATCCTTCTCTTCTCTATTTCTTTTACATCTTCCTTTTCTTCTCGGTTGTCCTTCTTTGCATGGCTATCCTGCTCTTTCTTCTCTGTTCTTCTAGACCTCTTTCCTACTTTGGGTTATAGAGCCCCTTGTCTTCTACATATCAACCCATGAATCCTCGTGTAGCAGTATTGTTTGTTTTGTCCCTCTAAACACTATGGGATAGTGTCTATTATAGGCATGCGTATCCATTGCTCAAATCGTAGAGACCTATGAAGAAGTTGTGGAGTTGCGTGTTTTGCGTTGCATAGGATGCTACCATATATGTTGATATGACTAGAGATAGAGCGCGTGTGCTTGTTTGATCGTTTGTCCCATAGCGTGTGCTTTTCTCAACAAGGTTTCTTGCATCTGACGTTACTGGGTCTTGGACGCGATGGACTTTTGCATCATCTCGAGGTCACTATAGTGAAAGGTGTGTAATGATAAAAGCACAGTCGAGCAATGCAACAATACGTGCAACATGTCAAAATAGCGGGATATGCAGTAGACATATACGTACTTCCAAGGTATACGTCCCAAACAATGTACAGTAGACATTCGCGACACAAAACAGGCACAAACCGCACGCGAAAAAGACGATACAGACAACAAATGGACAAAAAAGAAGCACCGTGGGCAGGGATCGAACCTGCGACCTCCCGATCCTCGAGGGAGAGTATCATGGACTTAGGTAAGCGAATTTAGGGACTTAGGTTACCGGATCGGGTGTGCTGACCACTGCACCACCACGGCCTTTTTGATTATGGGGAGGCTATCAGATTTCAAATATATATATCGGGGTTTGGGGGTGGCAGTGAGGTTGTGTGGTTACGGGAAGCGGGAGGGAGGGCGGGAGGTGAGCTTGAATGAGAGAGTTTCCAAGAAGCCTGGCACGAGAACGAGCCATAAGCCAGCAGCGTCAACAAAGATAGGAACGAGAGCGGGACAAGTCGGTATATGGTGTATATAATCGCACGAAGAAGCGATCGTACTTTTATGTCTAGATTCAGAATGACAGATGCAAGCGGGAGTCGTAGAGGAGGACTGTATTTCTTTCTGGAGAATTGCCGGATGTGCTGCTGTGCCTAAGGGGTTGCACCGTTGTGGTTCTCCCATCTCCGGTAACAAGAGATCATTTCTTCAGGGCTCATCTGTGTGATGGGTGATTGTATATGAAGCCTTGAGATGGCGGTTGGGTGCGTCCGGAGCGGGAGGAGGTGAGAAAAGGAAGGTAAATCTTGGACAGATTGTGTATGCTTGAAGAGTGTTAATACAGAAGGGGTTTTGTTTATATACAAACATGAGTCGAGAGTAGTCTATCGCTTGGCAAAGTCGCTAGCCTGCAGGTTCCTGGTCATGGTGGGGAGTTTGACGACCAAGCCGTCAAGTTCCTTGGACATCTTGACCTGACAACCCAGACGACTTGTCTCTGTCAAGCCGAAGGCCAGATCGAGCATGTCGTTCTCATCATCATCGGGCTCCTCCATCTTGTCAAACATATCCGGGTCCGAGACGATAACGTGGCAGGTCGAGCATGCACATGAGCCGCCGCATGCGCCTTCCATTTCGAGGTCATTGGCTTGTGCTNNGGAGGTTGTTAGTGTGGCAACATGACTTGTCGTGAATTGAAGAGACACACCAATGTCGAGTAGGTTGTCGCCGTCGGCGACTACAAAGGTGTGCTCATCGCCCTCCTTGTCGACAAAAGTAACCTTGCGCTCCTCGCCGGGCTTGGGAGGATCGAGGTGGCCGTGCAGCAAGGATGATGAAGAAGAGAATGGTCGCCTTGAGGGGAATTGTGTAGAAGAAGCGATTGAGAGGCGGGTAGATTGGTATGATGATTGCGGGACGGCGGATCTAAGCGGCGACGAGGTCGAGATGGGGAGCGCAGCGAGCGCTGTATTAATCTAGCCGCGCATCTGGAAGCGGCGACGGACATTTTGCTGGAGAGTCTGGAGGTGAGGGAAGGTGCGAGGGCACACGCGTGACTGCTTTCTGAGCTTGACTGCAAATGTCACGGATGACGAGGTCAAAAAGTGGTCAGCAACAAAATGCGGGAGTCTGGAGCTTCTCCGACCACGGCCCTCTGCCACCAACTCCCGCCATACAAACACACACGCAACCATGGCGCATCCAGTACAGCTGTCGACGTCGCGCGACACGCCGAACCCTCTACGACCATACTACCGCCCTCCCTCGATAGGCCTTCCGTCGGCAGACGCAAACGCGACGAGCTCGTCGGCCGGACCAAGCAGCAGCCTGGGCAGCTCGGCTCGCCATGTCTTTGACGACCTCGACTACTCCTCCTTCCTGAACGATGGCGACTCGGCCTCGGTCGCCGACATGGGTCGCAAGGTCCTCGACCAGGCCTTGTGGAAATACACGTCCGTCCTCCTGGCACAACCTTTCGACGTCGCAAAGACGATTCTACAAGTCCGCCTGGCCACACAGCTCGACGCCGAATCTACCTTGAGACGAAGAACCTCTGCCCGTTTTGCTGTCGACCAGTACCCTCCCAGTGACGACGAGTCGGACCCGGATGAGCCCAGCTACTTCACACCCACCAAACCTGCGAAAGCAGCCGAATCTGACAGATCTCGTTCTCGTCGTCCTCGTACCCCTCCCTCACGTTCGTCCAGAGAACAGTCGCCTGCTCCACATGTCCTGCAGCTACGAAGGCCAGACTCGGTCATGGAGGCTTTGTCACAGCTATGGCAGCAAGCTGGTGCTGCTGCCATGTGGAAAGCTACAAATGCCACCTTCATCTACAATGTCCTGTTAAAAGCTGTCGAGGGCTGGACACGGAATCTGCTGTCCGCTCTGTTCGATCTGCCAGACCCTTCATCTCTGGCTTCTGTACCTGCAGAAGTCGTTGCTGGTGCAATGGGTGGTCTTGATCTTGCAGACNAGTCCTCACCCCTGGCCTCGTTGGGTATCGCAGTCGCTGCTTCTGCCATCGCTGGCCTCCTGTTGGCTCCTCTCGATCTTGTCCGCACGAGGTATGTCATCTACTCATCTTCCTTTTCGTTCTCATGCTGATTCTCTACANGACTCATCCTTACACCAACCACTTCACAACCACGTGCCATCCTACCAAACCTCCGCCTTCTACCGAGTCTCACAATTCCCACCTCGCTCTTCCCAATCACCCTCCTCCACTCCACACTTCCCACCCTTTTGAGCACCAGCACTCCACTCGTCCTCCGTCAATACTTCCGCGTCGACCCTCTCTCGACACCGGCCACCTACTCCCTCGCCACATTCCTCACCTCAACCACTGAGCTCTTCATCAAACTACCTCTTGAAACCGTCCTCCGCCGTGCTCAAATTTCACATCTCAAATCTTCCCACAAGCACGCATACAACAAGGCCGCTTTGAACTCCTTCCGTGGAAGCAAGTCTGTCGGTGGTCCAGAGATGGACACCATCGTTCCCGTCGGTCCCTACAAGGGCGTCTTCGGTACTGCCTGGAGCATCATGGCTGAAGAAGGCATTCGCGAGCAACCTCCACAAAGCCGTATGAGCACTCCTGCAAGACCTGGCCTTGTCGCACAAAAGAGAGAGAAGAAGGGACAGGGAATCGGTGGTTTGTGGAGAGGATGGAGAGTTGGCATGTGGGGCTTGGTTGGTGTCTGGGGTGCTTCTGCCCTTGGAGGTGGTGGCAGAACTGGTGGAGAATTCTAGAAGGGTTCTATCCGCCTAGGCTCGTTTCCACTCTCTTCTTGATTGTCGTTTGTACTCTACTCATCTTTGGTTCTGTCTGTGTCTTACTGGCGAGGCGTTTGGGAAGGGCTGGTGCATTTTTACGAGAACAAACATTTATCTTCCAAATGTACTATTATCACACGACTGGCATTTGTGACCTTTGATGGAAGTTCATGTCCTCTTTTGACCAGTATTGTATGGACTTGAGCTGTGAGACTGTCAAAACGCATTCGAATCCATGACGGGTAGGAGTTGGCGGCAAGATAGGATCACTTGCTGACCATCTACAGTACTCTCATCCCGAAGGGCTGGATGAAGCAAGGAAGGGACTGGAAGGATTGAAGATGTACATCAAGTCATGATGTCCAGCGCATCAAGATGGTCATAAATATCGGATATATATATAAGACAGAATAAAACTCGCCAATCTCTCACATCTTATTCTCCCTAGCCTTATTAGCCGCCTCCTTGTCCTTCTCATCCGGAAAGTCCTTGAGGTAATCCATAAACTTGTCGACCGGCGCCGCCATCAACCCAGCCAACATTTCCAGGTAGTAGCTTGTGGGTGCGCTGGGATGGCTCCTTGTGGGAACAATCTTCTTTGTGCGTTCGAAACTTGCTGCCAATGCTTCGCTTTCTGCTCTTGACAGCAAGCCCTCAAGACGAGGCATGTCTTCGTTTTTCTCGTGCTCGATGTGGTGGTGTAGTAGATCCATCAGGGTGTCGAGCAGTGGCATGAATTTTGGGTCTACGGGTGTCATGTCTTGGATTTTGTAGAGGTAGTCTTTGACNCTAGTTTTCGCTTTTCGTCAGCATGTTTACCTCGAGATCAAGGGATGTCATGGGAGGAGACTTACACCTTGATGTTGCTCTTTATCTTCCTTTGACAATCTGACGCCTTCTTCTCCCAAGTGCTTCTCCATCGCGGGGTACCAGGTCAACTCCTCACTGATGGCGTGGCGGGCCACAGTCCATGTGAGTTGGTTTCTCCAGCGGACTTTTGCTGCGTCGTCTTGAGCATTCTTGAGGTTTTCGTAGAGGACGTCGAATTGGTCGTGGTCGGCACCAATGGCTTCGGAGATTGATTTGCCCATGATTGTTGTTATAGTTGAGTATGTGTTGCTATGGTTTAAAGTGATTGTGATTGTCTAGGATGGTAGAAAGTCGGTAAGAGAAAGAGAAGTAGTTGATTGCCCCTAAGTAGGAGCTACGAGTGTTCGTTGACGACATCACGGTTTACATGGAGCTTGATTGGGCACATCAGGTGCATGCGTCCAATACAAATCTGGATGCTCCTGCCGCGGTTGCTCAAAACTTGGGGATCTTTGTGGAGAAATGCACATGATGCGCGCATGATGACGGCTCAAAGGTCAGAAATGCTCTCTTTGATTCGTCCGGAGATTATACCTCCACATTCGAGTACGCCTCCACGCATTCGAGAAAGCTTCGACTATGTTTACTTCGCCGCTTTATGGATGCGGAAGTCGGGAATTGGGCGGTCTTGCTCTGGTTGAGAGATGTGTTGTTATTCATTTGTTGTAGCCAGGACCCAAGCACAATGAAGTGACAGAATAGGGCGCCAGATTCATTTGAATGACCAAAATCAACAGATTGGTATAACCACATCTTGACGATATTGGAATATAGTCCTGCTCGACTGCCTTTCTAGAGATTGCCAGGTCTGGTTATAGATCTCGAAACCATCTATATCGTCGAAGCTATTGTGCGAGGGATAGTGAAACCCCCATACAAGGTCTGCTGCAAGAGAGTGACCGTGACAGGGTCGTCCCGACTCTGCTCTATCAATCGGTTGAACCTCGGCTTCAAAAACTCGCGCTTCGTACAAATGAGAAAATCTTTGCAGCGCTTTCCTCACACATCATTGCAACATGCGACAAGCACACATCTCTGAAGCACATCAATCATGGTCTGCTGAAGCACTTGTTATATGCAACAAATGATGCCTCTACGACCATGATTGATGCACTTCTAACGAGATCCACGACCGCCATGAATAACAACCTGCCTGCCACCGATCTCAATCTCAACATCAATTTCATGGTAAGTGTTTACTCTTCCCTCATACTTTTTCCCCTTGCAAGTCGAAACAACAACATGATGAATATCCGGTTTGGAGACCTGTTCCGATCTCTTGATGATAGGATAATTTGGAATAATCTGACACGTTGTTTTGATTTTGACTTGTTTTCTTTTCAATCCACACATTTTCTCTTTTCTGAGAAGTCAAGTGCTAACGTGCGCTTTAGGAAATTATGTATGCTGTTTCTCTGTATATAAAGATGGACTAAGATGTTCAGATAGTCACCCATTTTATAAGAACAATGTTATATACTTCACACATACCGAGTTGTCACAATTGTGCTGTTCCTCATGAGATTTTTGCGGTATGAGAGATTTAGACCATCTCGATTATCTGTTTGGCTGATATATATCTGCTTGATGGCTGCCAATACTTGTTGGCAGATGATGAATAGAGCGTGAACATATGTGTTGCCAACCAAGGGTATTTGCAGCAGCGACACGTGGATCGGTAAGACCTCTCGAATCTTCACATCCTCAGGCCTCGACAAGGCGATACTTGATACTTGTATCATGACATATCTTCTGCCTTCCCCAATAGAGCCTTCTCAGAGTGATACGCAAATGAAAGACTACGTTTGGAACCGTCAGCCAGGATGATCGCGTTGTTCCTAACGGCCTGAACACGATTACGCGGCACGCCATCGCACCTCATCTATCTCCTGGTAAAAGTGACCGAGTCAAGGAAGTAGTATCGCGAAGCCGGCTGTAGATTGTGGAAGTGATGCTCGTGTGAACAGCTGTTGATTTGGGTCTCGACAACCGTCCGATTTGCTTGAACCTTCTCGCGGTACCTCTCGACCAACTCCTCAGCTATCGGCATACCACATGAAGGTCAAACTGCTCGCCGCGTGGGCTGCTTTAGCCAGCTATGCCCTGGCCAAACAGCCAAACATCCTCTTCATCATCACCGATGATCAGGATGGACACATGGGCTCGGTCGAGCACATGCCTCTTCTCAAGAAACACCTAATCGACAAGGGAACCTCCTATGAGAATCACTTCTGCACCATCGCAATCTGCTGTCCCTCGAGAGTAAACCTCTGGACCGGAAGAGCAGCTCACAATACCAATGTCACTGACGTTGGACCGCCATATGGAGGCTACCCCAAGATCGTCAAGGAGGGCATCAATGACGACTACCTCCCTGTGTGGATGCAAGCTGCGGGTTACAACACTTACTACACTGGAAAACTCTGGAATGCCCATACCATCAACAACTACAATCAGCCTTTTGTCAAGGGCTACAATGGTTCCGACTTCTTGCTCGACCCTTTCACTTACGATTACTGGCATGCCAGGATGTCGAGAAATGGTGGCACGCCAAAGGACTACTCGGGTCAATACTCGCCTGATGTTGTGGCTGACAAGGCGTATGGTTTTCTTGAAGAGGCCATTGAAGACGATGCTCCTTGGTTTGTCACTGTTGCCCCCATCGCCCCTCACAGCAATATTGTTGCGCACCCACCCAGTGGCTCCCTCNTCAATGAGCTCGAAGTCCTCGCCNCTGGACCAGCCAACAAGTTTGCGATTCCAGAATATGCCNCTCGTCATGCGCATCTGTTCAAGGACTACAAGATCCCAAGAACAGAAGACTTTAATCCTGAGGAGNGTAAGCCATAAACCCTGTTCCAAGAAATGATGGATAAAAGCTGATGATAGAATGAACAGCCGAGTGGAGCAAGCTGGATAGCGCAACTACCTAGACTCAACGACACAATGGTCGACTACAACGACGAGTTTCAACGTGCCAGACTACGCGCACTACAATCCGTTGATGAGATGATTGAGCGTCTCGTCAACCTGCTAGACTCCAAAGGCGTTCTCGACGATACCTACATCTTCTTCACCACCGACAATGGCTTCCACGCTAGTCAGCATCGCATGCATCCCGGCAAAGAGTGCGGCTACGACACCGACATCCACATCCCATTAGTCATCCGCGGACCAGGCATTCCCGTAGGCGCAACCACAAACATCGTGACTTCCCACACCGACATGGCACCCACTCTCCTCTCCCTCGCCAACGCCACTCGCCCCAACTTTGACGGCCTCGCGATCCCTCTACTTTCCACCAACAACAGCACCCGCGGTGAACACGTCAACGTCGAATTCTGGGGCATTGGACTCCCAGAAGGCAAATTCGGTATCGCAGAACCGCTAGGCGGGTTGTCCTACCCGAATAACACCTACAAAGCTTTGCGTCTGGTCAGCGGCAACTATAGTATCTATTACTCAGTCTGGTGCACCAATGAACACGAATTCTACGATCTGCATACCGATGCAGCTCAAATGCACAACTTCTTCGCTGATCCAAAGTTAACCAAGGACTTTTCTCTTGCGGGAAGGTCGTGGCAGCAAGTTATCTATCGACTCGATGCTCTGTTGTTGGTGCTCAAAACCTGCAAGGGCCAAACTTGCATAAACCCTTGGGCCTCTCTTCATCCCTCTGGCAGCGTGGAAACGCTACTCGAAGCTCTGAATCCAGAATTCGACGCCTTCTACCAAAAGTATCCTAAAGTGGGTTTTTCGTCTTGCGAATTGGGCTACATTCCCAGTGCAGAAGGAAATGTCGAGAATATCGAGTTTTCTGCAGGTGTGGAGTGGATGACTGCAGCAGAGCAACCCGTAGCAAATGGTCAGGAGCCTTTTGTCTACAGAGGTAGCTGGAGCGATTGGGTGTAGCGGGTTGCCCAATCCTGTTCATCTCACATCCAGAGTCAGGGAGCCAAGGGAAACATATGTACATGTCAATGAGACAACCACCTGCTTTTCTAGAGTGGCAGAAAGCCACTGTTGTTTTCTCATGAAAATGCCCAAGTTTCATGCCTGCGATAGCAATAACTGGCAAAGACCAAATGCATATTGTCACCTATATTTCCCTGTTCGACTCAAGACTGTTGTGTCTGAGATCTCTACAGACCAGAGTAGATATGCCTATGCCATCGGCCCCATTATCAGATCGAAAGCGCTCGGAAAGCACGACACAAACTACATCGACCGGTATTAAATACAATTCCGCGAGCGTACAATTATACTTTTTGCCAGCCCTGAGCAAAGACGTGAGGGAGAAAACCGGACGGAGCTATTCCAATTAGTTGTCGCAGTTGGGGTAGAAGTGGTGTTGGAGATGTTGGAGGTGGGGTTTGGAGACGTACACTCTGATCTCCGATCATATGTGCTGGTGGTTCTTGTAGAGTTTGTGCTAAAGAGTAATCGTTAGCAATCGTTGAATATCCTGACAGATATTGGTCTGAATAATCGACTCTTGCGTCCTTGACCTTTGGGAGAGGTGCCTAGCACAGCAAGAAAAGTTATCAGGTCCTTGATGATCGCTTTGAGTGCAAAAATTCTACCATGAGACATGGAAAAAGGTGAGATGGAAGTGTTGTTTTTGTTTGTCAAAGACGTAGAAAAAGAAGAGAGAAAAAGGAAGAAACCCAGATATACAATGAGTTTTGCTTTTTTTCCAGTATGAAAAGACCCTTCTCCATACCCAACAGTTGTCCGTCCGTTTTTTCCTGATCCCCTTTTTTATTCTGCTTCTTCTGGCCACCCACCGAACCGGTTAAAGAATTATATACGCCTTGAGCGCCTCGCTGGACAAAAGATGACGATGAACATCGAGAGAAAGGAAAGATTGTGGAGACACAACAACAGCGACCATCGTGTGCCACCGTACAAGAGAAATACGTTCTGAAAACGTTTATACATAGAAGTGAAATGTGAACAGGCCTGCTCTCTTGTGACCCTAGCTGGACCAGCTGGGAATAGGTGAGGAGTAGAGTCGCAGGTATAGTGACGGCTTACGTGAGGAGATGTATCACACAAGTTGTAAGAAACATCCAAGAGAGCAGACGTCAATTATGAGATTTCGGATGGGCATGAGAGAAGCGTCGGTAGGATGGATGTCCGTCACGGCTGGTGAGGTTGAACTGTGGAAATGAAGCCTGAAGCGGAAGGCAGGAGACAGCTCCGATGGCTGGCACCAATAAGTGGTGTGAAGTCTGCTCGTATGCCTGACACGTTTTCTAACTGGTTGGTGAGTGTCGACTTTTCGGCGGCCTCAGCGGGAGACTCGACAGGTCTGAGACTCTCATCGGTCGTCATGCCGGATGTCGGAAGAGAGGGAGGAAGGAAGGAAGAGGTATGATGGTCAAGGAAAGAGGTCGGTCGCCGTCATGGCGATTGAGCAGGCAAATGACATGGTCGAATGAAAACAAGGCTCTGCAAAGTCGTATGGTCGTCGTTATGATGCGCAGAAGATGAAAGCGGTCGGCGCTCAAAGAATGACACACTTTCCGCCGGAGCGTTTGGATTTNTTGACGGTTCCACCACTGCCGCCTGTATGCGAGCGTCCAGAATCCTTCTTGCGATCGCCGCTTCTACCACCAGAAGAGTTGTGTCTTTGGCGGCGTAATTGGCGGACGACATCGTAGAAAGCCTTTTCGACATTGACGCAGTTCTTGGCTGAAGCCTCGACGAACTCACAGCCCAGTTCGCGAGCGAGAGCGGCGCCTTCCTGGGTAGAGACTTCGCGCTCGGTGACACGGTCGCACTTGTTGCCCACAAGCATGACAGGAGCGGGACCGGATGACGCAGGGGAGGAGAGGCTGGGCGAGCCAGGGTAGGTGGGTGAACCGGCTTGTGCAGACTCCTTGACGCGTTGGATCTGGCTGTAGAACTTCTTGATGCGTTGGAATGAGGCGCGTGAGGATATGCTGTATACCAGGACGAAGCCTTCACCGTCGCGAATCCACTGATCTCGCAACGACACATATTCTTCCTGGCCCGCCGTGTCGAGCACCTCCAGCATGCATGATTGGCCGTCGATCTGGACCTGTTTGCGGTATGAGTCTTCAATGGTCGGGTCGTAGGTTTCGACAAAGTGGTTGAGACAGAGCTGTNNGAGGTGGTTAGTCAGACGGTCACCAAGGAATGCGAGCTGCCGCTCAGCACGTACCTGGATGGTGAGGGCAGTCTTGCCGACACCGCCATCTCCGAGCACCACCAACTTGTACAAAGTCATTTTTCCCGCCATCTTGACTGGTCAGACAGATGCAGGCTACCTAGGTAGGGGTGTGAGAGGGAGGTAGATGTAGCTGTGGTGCGTCGTGTGCGAAGGATCTGCGAAGCTCAATCTCGGCGGCTTGACTTTGGGTCGGTCGGCTTTCGCGCGCGTGTGCAGAGTGAAAGCAGGTGGCGCCGGAGATCGCTTTGTACGAGATGGGGAGCTGAGTTGATCGGGAGCCTTGATGCGCAGCAGACAGGGCAGGAGCAGCAACAGAAGAGAGACTGAAACTTGACACTGAGGGATAGAGCTAACGCACGTAGGACGCTGGGGCCAAGGCTTCAAGGGGCGGCAGGAGCGACGAAGGCGCAGGATGATAAAGCCAAACGGCAACGGCAGGACAGCAACAAGAAGTCGACTGTGTATAGAGACAGAGGTCGTCGAGGCAGGTGCGAACAAAAGACAGACGATGGAGGAGGAGAAGAGGGTCTTCTTGCCTCTAGTTAGCCCCCGACAACTAGCAACTACCTAGCAACTAGCACCAAGAGCTTGTTTCCTGAAAACAGCAACCACGACCAAGTGCACTTGCACTTGCAGCCCGACCCGAACAGCAAAGCGGGGTGTCCACTTTTACCAACTCACCCAATTCGCACATCCCGGAGCGACATTCCTCTCATCCTACAAGCTCACGCTGCTCTGTCTCTCACGAGCAGACAGCCAAGGGCTAAAAGCATTTGTCTCCACTGCCCGCCTCGAACCTTCTTTCCAGCCAAACGCGTCCACCACATTTGTCCACATTCCGACATGCTCAACCCGACAGAAACGTACGATACCTTCCACGCAATCTGATATCGTTGCTTGCAATGGCTGAGCAGGAACTGCTGTTTGTTGTCTATTAAAGTTTGACCCTCGATATGCCTGCCTGTTCCCCAATCCTCCCGCCTTTTCAACCATCGTTCAATGCTTCGGCGCGAAACCCTGATAAGCCAACCGCTGCGATCCCCAAATGAATATCCTCTTCTGAGCAATGTGGGACCTCGACAGTACCACTCTTTGACCAATAAACAATCACACCGTGGCGTGCTACTACTGTCGTGAGGACTGCCATGCCGACCTGTCTTGTTTTTTGACTTTGGCCCTTGGCCATGCGCTGCCTTCTGAATCAGGCCTCCTGTCTCGCACCTTCACGGAGTGCTTCGTCCTCTGACTCGAGCGGAGCATTTCTCACCCAAGCTTCTTTGCACGACAAGGTAGAGTTTCGATCCTGGTCGGCAAAGAATGGATCTGATTAGATTTGTCTTGTGCTTTCTGTGTTTCTTGCGAGTCGGAGTCGTGATCGCTGCACTGAGCCAGAGTTTGACCGAGCGATCGCTCAACATGATTGCCAGTGCCAACTGTTGGAATCACACATGGCCACACACCCAGAATCCAACTTCTTGCTAAACAGAGTCACGAGTTGAATATCACACCTGTCAATTCCAAAAGAAGAGCCGCAGCTCCGCAGACCCGCAAGATCTCGACTCCCGCACCCAACAGATCTGCTTTCGACATCTGCCGAGTTGCTGATCAGCCTCGCTTGATGGCACAAGAGCACCATCCCGTGCAGAAGTCTGGAAAACAGCATCATGCTTGCATAGCCAATTGGAAAATTCTCGGAAGCTGTTATGCCAATCGGAATTGCTCGACGATCTCAGGGCTTTTACAGACTTCTGCTCGCGATGGTGAGAGGGTACCAAGCAGACCTATCGGCTGTCGCACCGAGGCAACTCGAACCTCATCCTGCCATCTTCGCCTACTTGAATCTACCTGACTACCCGCGATCTCACGCTTACATTACATAAAGTCATGTTGCTCAGCAAACGGCTCTCAGTCTCGACGCACACCGCAATGTGGCAAGCAATAGAAGACCGTGAAGAGGCAGTGCCTGGACTGAATCTGCTATGCGATAACGCAGTTGACTCCGGATATGCACATATATCGAACCCTAATCTGGATATGCATTTCGCTTACTTCTATAAGCAGCTGAAAGGACGTTGCAACATATCTACCACGCTCTCCTATCTCGTATACGAAGTACGATCAGTGTTGGATCGCGTCGCTAGACTGCTCTCGTTGAGTTTCAGTCGATGACTCGCTCATTGGAGCAGTTTGGTACGCAACGTTGCAGCTGCCTGGCACGAAAAAGACGTTGCGACGATCATTTCTACCTACTGCCGGGCGCAACACCCTGATCCCTTGCCCACTCTCATGCATGAACGCATGATACAGGAGTTCAACACTCCGAAGACATGGAAATGGCAGATAAACAATAACGTTGGAGAAAGGCAATCTCGAAGGTTGTTGTGCTGACTTTGTAGAGGGAAACGCCCGCACAGCTATCATGCTAATGATTTCCTGCTAACTCCTTCGCGCTTCAGGGCCTTGACACATGTATGATCTTGACCACCTGACGGCTTTCATCTTGTTTTTCGTCTTGGATCGACATTTCGGCCCTTCGATTCAAAGATCAACATCAGCAACTACCTATAACTACTTGCAAGAGGAAAGGATAATCAATTGATCATCTGCAATTCTGCATATCTTACACCTTGACTCTGGAGTGCGGAATACTGACACACGAACGCCCGATGCTTCCGAAACAGACTTCGTGCGGCTCATGAAGACCTGCACGATC